CACAAACTTATGAGCTTGGATTGGAAAACATGAATTTATTTATTCCTGAAGTATTAGATTTCGATGCTGATCCAAACCACATTTCGAGTGCTTTTCCACCTGAATTACCAACAAATCAAACTCCTAGTTTATTAGCTGTTAATAAACTAAAGCAAGACGAGCAATTACAATTACATCAACAACAGCAAACACCACCACAACAACAGCAACAGACAGTATCGCAACAACGTCGTCGCAATCCTCGAAGTCACGGATCTTCTGCTAGTCCAATACTATGTGGACAAAATGATAAGTCTTATAACCCACAACATTATTATCATAGACAATCATCAAGTGGTAAAATATTTACTGTAAATCCTAATGAGAATAACAACAGCAATAGTAATAATACGACTACGGTTAGACCCGATGCCGTTTTCACTCCGTTGGTTAGTCCCGCTGTTACTCCATTAGAGAGAGGAAATTCAGGGAATGCATTTTCTCCTCAGGCTCCAATACAGATTTCGTTTGAACCATTAACAAGTCCTGTCTTAAAAGCTGAACCACTGACATTGGCAGGTAGTTCAAATGTTTCCTCTTCTTCTGCTTCGGCGACTGATGATCGTAGAAGATCTTCAAGTTCAGTTTATGCTCCTACGAAAGATGAGAATAAGCAATATAAGAGAAGAACACCTCATGGTACACCAATTTTGCAAGGAAACAAAAATAGTTATATCTCCCCTTCTTTGAAAAGCAAGAGTAGCAGTGGGAATAATTCTCAACATCAATTTACATTTGAAAAATTACCTGAATCTAAACTTAAAACAGATTCTAATCCATCAAAAGATCAAGATATGTTACCTCCAAGTGGAAAACCAGTCGAAATTAATGGAGCTCCATTGATGGGATTTACTATGGGTAAATTAGCTGAAGGAAATGAACAAAAATCGAGACAGACGTCACCAACTATGTCGATTTCTTCATCTAAGAAATCAAGTACTAAATCATCAAGAAAATCCAGTATTTCAAAAGCACCAGCCGCGTCAAGAAGTTCTTCAGAGGAATCATCACCCAAATTAAGTGCTGGCAAGAAATCAGGAGAGAAGCCAGCTACCAAAAAAGCAAGTCATAAATTGGCAGAACAAGGAAGAAGAAATAGAATGAATATGGCAGTTCAAGAATTAGGTAGATTAATTCCTCAAAATTATCATGACGAAGTTAGTATTCCTTCAAAGGCAACTACAGTTGAATTAGCTTCAAAATACATTAGAACTCTATTGGAAGAAATCGATCAATTGAAAGGGAATAGTGATAAGAATAATAATAAGAATAATAATGGTTCACGTGAGAATGATGAATAAGTATGGATTGTACATAATAAGTAAATAGACAATAAATTCTTGTTAATGAAGTAAAATAATCACGTGCGAGTTTGCATCACGTGAGACATCGAGGAAACTTACGACGACCAAATGAACAAGAAACTAAAGCAAAAAAAAAAAAAAAGAAATTATTGTCGTTTCGTTTCGCTGGCATTTTTTTTTCACTCATTCATTTCCAGTGCGTGAGACAACAACAACGGCAGGAAAAGAAAAGAACAACAAATTCAAAATTGAGCTTTAATTTTTTTTTGTTTTTTTTTTAAAGAGACGCCTTTTCTTTTCATATTCGTATCAAAGCAAACCAATTTAAGTTAAGGATGGATTTCGAAGAAGCTGAAGATATCAATGGTATTAGATTTGCATGGAATGTATTTCCATCAACTAAAACTGAAGCAGGAAAAATAGTTGTTCCTACTGGATGTTTATATACACCATTGAAACAAAGAGAAGATTTACCAATTGCAGCATATGATCCAATGTACTGTTCAAATCAAGCTTGTAAACTGATTTTGAATCCTTATTGTGCAGTTGACCCAAATGGATTTTGGAGATGTCCATTGTGTCAATATAGAAATCCATTACCTGCTCATTATCATGGATTAAATCCTGAGAATTTACCATTGGAATTACAAAGTGGTAGTTCGACTATTGAATATATTACTGCTAGACCAGTTCAAAACCCACCAATTTTTACATTTGTTATTGATTTATGTCAAGATGATGAAAATTTACAAGCTTTATTGGAAGATATCATTGTTAGTTTGAATTATTTACCTCCAAACGCTTTAATTGGTTTAATTACTTTTGGTACTATGATTCAAGTTCATGATTTAGGAAGTGATAAAATTAATAAAAGTTATATTTTCAGAGGTGATAAAGAATACACTGATAAACAAATTAGTGAAATGTTGAATAGACCAATTCAACAACAACCAATGCAAATGCAACAACCAGGTGGACAAATGAACCCACAAATTGCTAATTCATTAACTAGATTTTTCTTACCATTGGAGGATATTGAATTTCAATTGACTACAATTTTAGAAAATTTAAGAAAAGATCCATGGCCAGTTGCTAATGGTAATAGACCTTTGAGAAGTACTGGTAGTGCCTTAAACATTGCCATTAATTTGTTGGGTTTAACATTCCCAGGATTTGGTGCCAGAGTTATGTTGTTTGCTGCTGGTCCATGTACTTTAAATCCAGGTATGATTGTTGGTAATCAATTGAAGGAACCAATCAGATCTCATTCTGATATTGATAAAGACAATGCTAAACATTTTAAAAAGGCTACCAAATTTTATGATGCATTAGCAGCTAAAGCAGTCAAGAATTGTCATACTGTTGATATTTTTGCTGGTTGCTATGATCAAATTGGTATGTTGGAAATGAAAACTTTATGTAATTTAACTGGTGGTACTTTGTTGTTGACTGATGCATTCACCACCTCTATTTTCAAACGTTCCTTTTTAAGATTGTTTAATAAAGATGAAGAAGGATATTTGTTGATGGGATTCAATGGTAATTTAGAAATTAGAACTTCTAAAGAATTGAAGGTTAGTGGATTGATTGGTAATGCTTCTTCATTACAAGTTAAAACCAGTAATGTTTCAGAAAATGAATTGGGTATTGGAGGTACATCTACTTATAGATTATGTTCAACTTCACCAAGACATACTTATGGTATCTTTTTTGATGTTGTTAATCAACAGCAATTACCACCAAATGCTCAAAGTTATATTCAATTTATCACTCATTATCAACATGCCAGTGGTACTTATAGAGTTAGAGTTACCACAGTTTCCAATTTCTTGACTAGTGATGAACAAACTTTGACCAACAGTTTTGATCAAGAAGCTGCAGCAGTTTTAATGGCAAGAGTTACCTTATTCAAGAGTGAACAAGATGATGGTGCTGATGTTTTAAGATGGGTTGATCGTATGTTGATTAGATTATGTCAAAAATTTGCTGATTATAGAAAAGATCAAGAAGAATCATTTAGATTGGGACCACAATTCCAATTGTATCCTCAATTTATTTATTATTTGAGAAGATCACAATTTTTACAAGTTTTCAACAATTCACCTGATGAAACTGCATTTTATAGACATGTTTTATTGGTTGAAGATACCAACAATTCCTTGATTATGATTCAACCAACATTGACTTCATTTACATTGGATGGTGAACCTGAAGCTGTGTTATTGGATTCTGTATCTATTAAGGATGATAGAATTTTATTATTGGATACATTTTTCCATATTTTGATTTTCCATGGTAAAACCATTTCTCAATGGAGAAAAGCCAATTATCAAGATATGGAAGAATATAGTAATTTCAAAGAATTATTAGATGAACCTAAGAAAGAGGCTGCTGAATTATTACAAGATAGATATCCATTACCAAGATTTATTGATACTGAAGAAGGTGGTTCACAAGCCAGATTCTTGTACAGTAAATTGAATCCAAGTGTTACTTATAACACCAATGATTTTGTTGGTGGTGGTGGAGCCATTGTTTTAACTGATGATGTTAGTTTACAAGTCTTTATGAGTCACTTACAGAAATTGGTTGTTTCTGGATCCAGTTAAAACTGTTGATAGTCTATATTAGTTCTTTGTATCGTACCAAGATTATTGAAAGAAAAATAATACACAAAGAAGAAAATGTATTGAATTTGTTTGTATGTTCTAGTACATATTGTAGTGGGAATATACAAGATTAAAGTTATACTAACACCAACGCATCGAACCAATATTTGTTAAAAGGGTGCTTCATGATGGAGATAAACTACAAACCATCTTAAAAACGGTTTCGATAACAATATATTCGGTGTTTAGTGAAGAAAGGTTCTATGCAAATGAACAAACCAGACAAAAAAAAAGTTGTGGGGGTGACTAAAATTAGAAAGAAATATAATGGCTTATTATTATTATTATTATACTTCTAGGAGGAGGGAGGGAAAGAGAGAAGAAGAAGAAGAAGAGGGATAGGGCTTATGATATTGTTAACCTAATGAAAATGGTGTGATTTTTTATGAATTGAATATGTTTAAAGATATCGTGTGTCGAGAAATATAAGATTGGAAAAAAAAAAAAAAAAAGAAATGCAATATCTGTAATGTAAGATCATTCATTTAACAAATCCAGCAATATAGTACATTATATAAAGTTATTTCTATCACTTATTACTTCTTACATTTCTGTACATTCATGATGATGAATTATTTAAAAAAAAAGAAGATGCAAAATGTCTTTCCTTCTCTCTCTCACACACTCTCTCGCGTAGTGCACTTAAATCCGAATAACCCGTATATCTCTGAATTGTTTTTTGAAGATCTACACGGATTTGTATATGATTGGATGAAAGGAAGAAGACACATTTGATTGAGAGATAAAGTATTCTGAGTTATATGTAACCAAGGTTAAATAATTCTGACTTCTGGGTATGCATTCGACAAGAAACGAAACAAATTTTTTAGATAATTTAAAGCAAAAGGAAAACAAAATGGCAATTTGTGGTACTTGATGTATACCCAGTACGAGAAGTTTGAATTTCAAATGCAGTGATTTTTTATTTGTTTAATATATGCGTTGGAAAGAGAGGAATCAAATGATGTAATGATAAAGCGCATTGAATAGAATGGTGGAGTAGTTGGTGATAGGGTTCCTAAGACGTTAAACAGAGAGATGTGTCAATGGAGTTAAGTGATTGTTTCATCATGGAGATACGTGTTAAATAATTAATTAATTAATCTACCTAACGGCTACAACGAAATGAAACGACTGAATTTTTAATTTAGGGGAGAGGAGGGGGCGGGGGTGGCCTGAGAAGGATGAGGCGCGTTGGGCGGGGCGGGGGAGGGCCATGGTAACAAAAAAAAAAAGGCAAAAGGCAAAAGTAAAAGTATTTCTGATGGGTATGCAATCTTTGTGGGGGTTGGGTTTGATGTACAATAACAACAATAACGACAATAAAGAAAAGAAATGTACAAGGCGGTAATAGCAAAAGAAAGGGAACAATAACTGAAAAAGACATTTTTCTCTTGTTATTGTTGTTGTCGTTCTTGTCGTTATTAAGGCAAAGATGAAATTTTAGTACTTTTTGTAATCTAGAGCAAGACAAATCCGTTATACGGGATGATTCTCTCTTTGGTTCAAATTACAATTCCATTAATTATGCATAATCTATAGTGCTTACCTAATAAGTTTGAACCCAAAGGACAACAAATTAAATTTGATCATCATCATCATCATAAACATTAATGATCACTAACTAAACAAAAAAAAAAAATAGAAAATTAGTTCACAACTAAAAATTCCGAACTATCACTGAAATAACTTGAATTCAATTTCCACTAAAAATCCCACATCCAATCTTTACACTTATTTTCATTTTATTTTATTTTAGAAAAAGAACAACTTATTCATATTTATTTATTTATTTATTTATTTACTTCCTGTCATTATTTATTTGTTAACTATTATCTATTCATACTTACTCGAATCACAGCATGTTTCAAACTGTAGAACTCAATCAACAACAGCAATCTCCACCAGCAACGTCACTACCAATACAATCTTCAAATGTTGAGATCATTCAGGATGGTAAAATCGTTAAGAAAGTTCAAAAAGCAAGACAAAGAAAGATTTTATCCTGTGTCTATTGTCATTCCAAGAAGATCAAATGTAACAGACAAGAACCTTGCTCTCAATGTAATAAATTAAAAGTTGAATGTAAATATTTCATTAATGAAAGAATAAGTAGAGGAGGAAAGAAATCAAGTCGATTAACTGCTTATGAAAAGAAATTGAGAGGTATCGATACAGCAACAAATAGCAGCAGCACAACAATGTCAATTACAGAAAACAATCTAGAGTTGAATAACAGAGCAAATACTTCACCAGATTCAAATTCATCTTCATCTTGTATTTCATCAGGACAATCTTTGGCTATTACTTCAAGTGAAGCAACAACAATCGAGGAACACATAAATAAACAAAATGAATCTAATAACCACAATCGAAACCCATCAGAAGCAACTCCATCTTCTACAACATCCACCAATGAATTTAAGCAACCTCCTTCTGTTGATATGTCTGTTCATTTCTTGGGTTTCCTGAATAGAATCGAAAACAATCATCCATCAGCAACAGCAACTACATCCAACAATACCAATATACCAAGAATATCCACGCCAAATAACATTGATTCTCCATTATCAAATGATCCGTTTGCTTTGGGAAGTATGATTCAATCTCCGATTATTAACAATGCCACCAATAATATTACCAATAGTTATTTCAATACAAATTTCACCACTCAAGTCAACAACAATCCAATTTTATCATCAAACAACAATAACAATTCCAATAGTACAGCAAACTTAATAAGTTTTAATTCATCTTCATTTCCTTTGGCAAATCAAGACATCCTAACTGCATTTCCTAGTGGATTGAATTCCCCGGTTGTCGGTAATAGCAATCCTCCACCTCAATCATCAGTTTCAATCCAACAATCAGATTCTAAAAAAGATTCAAGTCCCTCTCACCAGCAACAACAACAGCAACAGCAACAATCAGATTCATTAACTAAAGCTCAACCAAATCCAAATTTGTACAATTCACTACTGGCTTATTCATCTAATCCAGCTACAACCACGGTAAACTACTTGTATGGTACAAATACTTACTATGAGAATTCAAATTTATTAGATGATTTATTTCAATTTTTACCTCCAACTCGAGAAAGAAGTTTTGAATTAATGGATAGATATTTAAATTCTGTTCATTTATTATTACCAGTTGTTGTCAACATGACAGAATTTTTAAAGCAGCACAAGAGATATTGGGATATTCGATCGAAATCGAAAAGAAGAACTTATTCATCTACTTCTAGTACAACATCTCCTGAAAATAACAATCCTTTAGTTGAATCTCCATGTGAAAGTAATCCAAGTAGTAAGCATCATAATTTTGACGTTGATTTTAATTTTGTTCAATTCTATACTTTGTATTTCCCAATCTTGTATGCTTCAACAATATCTGAATTTGAAGAATATGATAATTTATTGTTAAATCAAGATATTGATAAATATTTAAAAGGTTTTAACAAAATTTGTCAATATTATAACTATCCTCATGGTATCAAAACTATTCCTTTATTATTGGGTAATGTTATTATTCAAAGTACTTCACCGAATCCTTCAACTATGGAAATGGCACAAATTATCAGGTATGCTAAATTTTTACATTTCCATAAAGATCCATATATCAGTTTAAGAATTAAAGATCGTGAAGTTATTAAATTTAGAAGATTGTTATGGTGGGTTATTTTTGGATTGGATGCTTTAAGTAGTCATAACTTCTGTTTACCTCCAAATTGTCGAATTGACGATTTTAATGTGTTGATGCCTGATGAAGAAGAACCTAAAGATGATACTAATCCAGAAGATAAGAAATTAAACTTGGGACTTGTATCCATGAATATTAAATTTGGATATGATAGAATTTTAAGTGAATTGGTTTATCATTTACATAATGGTTTAAGTGAAAACATCTCCCTGATTAAAATTAATGAAATTAAGAGAATGATTACTGATTATCATAAAAATGTTGAAAAATCAATTGATAAAATTAATAAATATTTCACATTTAAAACATCAGGAAATTATACAATTCAAGAAATTAATTTAATCAATTTTGTTAAAAGTCATTCATGGAGTTATGTTGATCGTGCATTGATGTTACTTCACAAGAAGATTTTACTTGGATCACCAAATATTCCTGGTGAACATGAACAATTTGATATTCATATTAATAGTCAATTAATATTGGATAAACCTCAAGATGATTTGACATTATCTAAATATGAAGATACATTTGGACAAATGTTGGAATCTAATATTATTAAAAATTTCAATAATTCATCAATTTCATTATTAAAATTTGGGAATTTTGATAAAGTTTCATATGAAGATTTAAATAATAATTTAATTCCTTCAATTTTACATAATTTTAATGATTTTTTACAATATAATGATTTTATTAAATTTGGAAGATTTAATTGGTATATTAAAAGAACAATTCCTATTGATTCAGTTATTATAATGATGGTTATTATTTCTGTTAAATTTAAATATAAATTTATTGATAATGAAGAATTCTCAATTTATAAGAATCTTATCAATAATGTTTTATTTATAATTAATAGAAAATGGTTTAAAAATGAAAAGTATAAACGCATGTTGAGTTTAACCAATATGATGTGGGAATATCTCATAAAGAAATACACCATTAAAGATGCTCCATCCAACACTACTAATAATAATAATACAAATGACAACAACACAGGTACATCTTCTGACATTGATAAGAGTATTACAAATGTTCATACTATTGATGAATTACAATTAAAAGAAAAAATTTTATATGATTTAAGACATAATTTCATTGATATTAATGATTATTGTTCATTTTATTCATCTTTAGAAAATTTATTAAACCAATTATTAAAATACATAGAATAAAACCCATCAATATATATATATATTTATATACGTATCCAACTTATCGTTCTAAATTTATATTTTTACCGAATTTATCATATAATTGAATTTTCAAATCAGATAAAACATCATCAATTTTTTCAATTTTTAAATCAATTTCATCAATTTCATCATTTAATTTATTTAATTCATCATTTACTTTAATTAAAGCATCAGATACAATTAATTCAATGAAAACATCACCAATTTTATACATGATTTTATCTTCTTCATCTAATAATTCTAATTCAATTGATAAATCATCAAGATATTCTTTTTCAATTTTAAAATTATCACGTTTAATTATTAATGAATCTTTTTGTGATATTAATGTGGAAAATTTATTGATTTTTTGTTGATCTGAATATGTAACTTCTACACTTGTATTAGTTTGTCCTTCTGGCAATAATTCCATTCTTGGTTATTTCGTATTTACTAATAATTGATAATTGTTGATGGTGATGGTGATGGTGATGGTGATGGTGGTTGTTGCTGTTGCTGTTGCTGTTGATGGTGGTTGGTGATGGTGGTTGATTTTCTTTTTTTTTTTTTTGTCTTTCTCTCTTTTCATTTTTTGTATGAGAAATGAAATTTTATTACAGGACTGTATATTATGCAGCTCACATGGTAGCCCAGATACAAACAACATGAATGGTGTATCATTGAAAGGTGATAGATCATTGGTGGATTATATATTACTGGGTATGGTTTTCTGATGTTGTTGGAAAGACAAATATTTGTTGATTAGATGTCTGGTCGGATTGCATTGTAGCCCAATTTTGATACTTGTTCAAGTTCACTCATTGTACAATATATATTTTTCTCTTTTATATGTTACCGTCCATAATATACACCCCTTGTAATGACTATCAGGTAAATTACCGTTAGTTGATTCACACAACATCTATGGTTAAATACTTTCCTGGTGCGATCACGTGTTCATAGGTCAAAAGGACAAAATTATTTGCGCACCTTTGAACATCAAAAAAAAAAAATCAAAACAAAAACAAAAACGAAAAAAAAAAGACATTGAGTTTGAAATCAAAACAAACAATCATCTTTAGCAACCAACTCCAGAGACAACCAGAAGTAGATAATGGCAACACCGCAGACATTACCAAAGAAAAGAGCTGGTATTCAATCAGCTACATCATCATCGATACGACACAATACACCATCATCCAATAGAATCATATCGAATCGCGTCATTCTGAATCGAAGACATGTTAGTAGATCAAATCAACCTGGTAATATAACTGGTACTCCAGGAGGAGGAGGAGCAGGAGGAGGAACAGGAAATATTGATGATTCAACTAATGATACTAGTTTATTAGAAGATAATAATATTGGATTTAATGAGAATAAACATGTTATAATGAGTAATTTTGAAGAATGGATTAAAATGGCAACTGATAATAAAATTACCTCGAAAAATTCCTGGAATTTTGATTTAATTGATTATTTTCATGATTTAAATGTTATTAAAGATGGAGAAAGTATTAATTTCCAAAGAGCAAGTGCTACTTTAGATGGATGTGTTAAGATTTATTCTAGTAGAGTTGAATCGGCTGCTAGTGAAACAGGGAAATTATTAAGTGGATTAGCTAAAAAGAAAGAAATGGAAAATAATGGTAATCAAGAAGATGATGACGATGATGATGACGATGAAAATAATGGAAACGGATATGGAAATAATGGAACAGATGGTGAAAATGGTGAAGGTGAAGGTGATTTGAGAAAGAAAAGAAAATTTAATAGAATTGTTGAATCTACTTTGGTAGGATTTGATACTATAAGAATTAAAAAATTAGAACAAGAATTGGCTATTGATCCATTATTTAAAAAAGCATTGGCTGAATTCGATGAGGGTGGTGCTAAAAGTTTATTATTGAATACTTTGAATGTTGACACTTCGGGTAGAGTAGTATTCGATGCCACTTCAAATCCAATTCAAGAAACTCAACATGAAGTAGAAGAAGAAGAGGAAGAGCAAGAAGAAGAAGAAGAAGTTGATGACCCAGATATTGAATCTGCTATTGGTTCATTGGCAAATTTTTTGTTTAAAGATGAAGAAGATGAGAAAACATTTCAAAATCTTACTATTTGTCCATCATTAGGTGAATTTCAATCGGCATTGACAGATATCAATCAAGCTAAAAGTATATTAAGTGATTTTAATACTAAAATGAATGCGGAAACTCAAGAACATTTTATGGAGACTTTTACACCTTCAACTGATAATAATGATTATGGATTTAATGATGAATTGAATGATTTTGGAGGAATTGAATTCAATGATGAGGATGATGACGACAATAATAATAATAATGAAACGCATAACAACAGTGATCCTTTTAATAATGTATCACATACGATGATGCAAACTTTATTTAAAGAACCATCTGAAACTAATATCCATTTGAATGCTGTGAATTCATTAGTTATGGATCAAGAGTTAATGGCTTATTTTGATGATCGAATGAAATCAAATTGGAGAGGACCCGAGCACTGGAAAGTGTCCGCATTTAAGAAAGCTCATAAAATAGATCAACAACTGGAAAAGAAAAATGAAACCAATCATGATGATGAGCAACAAGAGCAAGATCCACAAGTTAAACAAGAAAATGGAACTGTTACACCTAGAAGAAGGAAACCTGAGAATGTAATTATAGATTTTTTCAATGATGAATTTGATGAAGATGAATTATTTGAACCACCAAAGAATATCAATACAATAAATAAAAAGTATACATCTATGGAAATGGAATTTAAATTACCTGATGATATAAGGTATAATTCGGCAAGATTAACTAATTTATTTTCCAAACCACATATTCCAATAATGCATCATTCACAAAGGAAATTTCAAACCAATGAACAAATATTAACTGATGAGAATTTCTTTGCTGAACAATATAAAGAACAAGAAGAAGAGGAAGAAAGAGAAAGATTAGCTCATTCATTCCATCAAGCAGAATGTGAAGATTTTGATAATGATTTTGGTGATGTTGGAGGCATTGATTTTAATGATGCATTAGAAGCTGATCCAAGAGAAACTGTAACTGAAAGTCAACAAAATATCATTGGGAAAAGACGTCCTGAATATGTTAATTTTTCAAGAGTTGCTAAACGTGTTGATGTTAAATTATTGAAAGATAATTTATGGAAAGGAATGCAAAAGGAAATACTAGAAGTTTCCAAAGAAGATGAACAGGATGTGGAAGAGGAAGAGGAAGAGAAAGTAGAAGAAGAACCAGCTAAGGAAGTTACGTTTGGAAATGTTGTTAAGAATGTTCTTAATATGTATAACATTGATCAAGCTAAAGATATATCCACGAGTTTTTGTTTTATTTGTGTTCTACATTTAGCCAATGAACATGGATTAAAGATTAAAAGTACAGAAAATCATGAAAGTTTAAGTATTACAGGATTTTAGAATATATATATATATATATATATAAATGATTACCTTCTTTTTCTTCTATTATTATTTTTACCACTTTTCCCTTTATTATTAATTCTATCAATATCATTTTGAGAAAAAACCAAACCATTTCTAGTAGATTTCCCAATACCATGAATTTTCAAACCACGATCTCTAACTCTTTTAATTACTTTTTTACCAGTACCTATTCTATCACTTGATAAAGTAGAACCTTTACCAGCATTTAAATCTCTTAATTGACCTTTTTTAACTTTTGATAAAACAATTCCAGCATTTTTAGCATCATTTTCAAATTTTTCAATTCTTTCTTGTCTCTTTTTAATCATACCTTTTCTCATATTCATTGGCATTGATTCTAATTTTTTAGGTAAACCAGTTGAATTTATACTTGATAAATCTCTTATTCTTGAAGTTAACATTCTTTTACGTGCTTTACCTGTTGGATCTTCATAATTTAAAGTTTCTAAAGTAAGATTAACTCCAGAATATTCTAAAGAATTAGATAATATATGTGATTCTTTTAATAATCTTTGTAATTTTAAATCATTTTCAAGATCTTCTGATGATTCTTTAGATGATGATGATAATTGTTGTTGTTTATTGGTTTGTTTATTTGCTTCGTGTTGTTTTTTGGTTATTTCTTCAAGTGTTGGTGCTCTACCTGATTTCAATAATTTTTTATCTATTCTAGAAATATTTGATATAGTTGACGATGATGATGACGATGAGTTGAGTTTGACTACTTTAGGTTTGATTAGTTCTTCCTCTTCTTCCTCCGAAGATGATATTGATTCTTCTTCTCCATCTTCTTCTGAGTCAGATCCAGATATGTTTATATCTTCTTCATCATCCGATGAGTTTGAATTTGAATTTGATTCTTCATCTTCTGATTCATTTATAGATTTGGTTGATTTTGATTTATCTGTAAATCCTAAATCTTCAATAGATCCAAATTGAGCTTCAAAATTTCTTCTTTGAATTTCTAATGCTTTAAGATATTCATCATCTTCTGAATTATTAGTCATTATTATTATTATAGAATTATCCCAATTATGATGATGAAGATGAAGATGATGAGTTGCAGCTATTTTTTTTTTTTTTTTTTTTTTTTTTTCGTGATAATTTTTTTCTAATTTTTAATTTTTAATTTTTCAATCAATTATCAACAAAAACTATATTTCTTCTGAGTCAATCAAAAAATGACTAAATTTAGAGGATGTATAGATATCCATTCAGGACAAGTTAAACAAATTGTTGGAGGTACATTAACTGAAGATGATACAATTTCATCAACTACAACAAAAGAAAATTTTGTTTCTAATAAACCATCATCATATTATTCTGAATTATATAAAAAAAATTCTATATTTGGATGTCATGTAATTAAATTAGGTTCAAATTTAGAAAATGATAAAGTTGCTAAATTAGCTCTTGAAACATGGAAAGAAAATTTACAAATTGGAGGAGGAATTAATTATGATAATGCATTAGAATGGTTAAATAATGGAGCTTCTCATGTTATTTTAACAAGTTGGTTATTTAGTAAGAATGAAAAAACTGAAATTATGGAATTTGATTTTGAAAAATTGAAAAAAATAAGTGAATTAATTGGTAAAAATAAATTAATTGTTGATTTAAGTTGTCGTACAATTATTAAAGATGGTAAAACTTTTTGGTATGTTGCTATGAATAAATGGCAAACTATAACCAATAATTATCTTTCAAAAGAATTTTTAGAAAAAGTTGGTGAATATTGTGATGAATTTTTAATTCATGCTGCTGATGTTGAAGGTTTATGTAAAGGAATTGATGAAGAATTAATTAAAAAATTATCAGATTGGTGTCCTGTTGGATTTGAAGGTAAAATTGTTTATGCTGGTGGTGCTAAACTGATTGATGATTTAAATATTGTTAAAAGATTAAGTAATGGTAAAATTGATTTAACTTATGGTAGTTCATTGGATATATTTGGTGGTGATTTGGTTAAATTCCAAGATCTAGTCGACTGGAATAAACAACAATAACTAAATTAGATCTGTGTTGACATGTATGTATATATATATATATATATATATATGATTTTTATTTACTAATACAGAAGAAAGTGGTTAATTCCATGAAGCACCACCGAATCCACTATCACCATATGGAGTTTGACCACCATCACCAGGACCTCCAGAACCACCATAATTGGTATTGCCACCATAATTGGTATTACCACCATAATCTGTTCTACCATAAGTAGTGAAACCACCAGCAGCAGCATTTGAAGCATCATTACCTTCAATACTTTCAGAATTTAATTCCACAGTAAGAGCACCTAATTTATTTTGTAAAGTTTCAATTGCTCTTACTACAACTTCATTAGGAGGTAAATTTCCAACAGTTTCAACATCAAAATAAAAAGTATTTGGTTTTGCTTTATAATCAAATTTAGCTTCTGGATCAGGAGCTTCTTCCCAATCACAATTTCTTGATTTTGGCCATTCAGATTCAGCATCAACTTCATACCAATAATCGGTATGTTTTAGTTTATTCCAAGGATCATATTCAAATCCAACGGCAGCACATGGGGACCATTTAGCGTGTTCTTTAGCAATACCTTTTTTAGCAATACAAGTTAATGCCAATTCTTGATCTTTTCTTAATTTACAAATGATTGGACCTCTATTACGTGGATCTCTAAATACTGGATCACCTAGTTTTGAACCAGTATGAGTAGTTTTAAGTAAATCTGAAGCATAAACATTCATTGTTGTTTCAGCAGTACAACTAGCTAATAATTGTAAAGTAACTGAACATTTGGTACAATAATTATCACAAGTACAATCTCTTGAATATGTTAAATCTTTTATACCTTCACTAACTAAAGGAATTAAACCTAATCTATGAGATAAAAATTCATCAGCTAAAACAGAAGTATTTTTTTCAATTTCAACTAAATCTATAGATAAAGTTGGAACTTCTGCCAACATTGTTCTTCTTATTGAATTTGCTACTGATAAATCGACATTTCTTAATATAAAATCAACGTGATCTTTCTCAGCTGTTCGAATAGTGACACCTGGTCCTTCTTTAGGTTCTCTATCCATTGTTGTAGTATTTGTTGTTGTGATTGTTTATGATGTTGAAGATTTGTAATTTGGTTTTAATTTTTTTTTTTTCTCTCTTCAGATTTTTCAGAACTTTTTTTTTTTTTTTTTTTCGTTTTTCTTGCCGTTGGCAACACACACCAACCACCAAAACTCACGATCCCATTCATCAAACCATTATCACCACCCTAACAAACAAACTAAGATACTTAATCAAGTATATTAAATCATGTCAGCATTGCCCATCCCAGATTTACGTTTTGAACAATCGTTCATGAAACAGTTGAATAAATATGCTGGTAACCAACAATCTCAATCAAATAAACTTGATCTATTAAAACCCCATAATATTTCTCCATTAACAGATGAAGATTTAAAATTATTAAATGAAGAATTAGATGAAGAAGAGCAAGATGAATTATATAAACCTTTGAATCCAATTACCCCATCAGTTGTAATATATGCTATTTTAAAAGATCAAATTCTAATTCCTTTATTACAAGGATTTTTATGGACAGGAGTATTAATTTCCATGCGTCCATTTTTAAGAATTATAGTAAGAAATGGACAATATGCTGGACATTGGGTTTCTAATTTGCTAGGATTAAATCAATTAACTAAAAATGTTGGTATTAGAAGAAATAACTTTGCCTAAGAATAAAAAAAGGTGTTTGATTTCATGTAGATAATAATAGTAATAGTAATAGTTGATGAAATGTATGGTTATGATTAGTTTATCGAATCATTGTAAAAGATTAAGCCGTTTCTTGTGATGTCAAATGTAAGATCGAGTCTTGATATGGATTTCATATCTTCTATCTGTTCACCTGTGTCCCTTTGTTCATTATGGTTGCTTTTTTTAAAAAAATCCCTTCTCTGGTGTGTGTATAAGGAGGCTTTATGCCACGAGTAGGATACTGGGGGGTGTCAAAATTATTTGTATACCATAGATTCTATTTTTTTTTTTTTATTTTGAGAGAAATTGGTAGAATACTATGGACAAATATTAACGTGGCTTCTTGAATAGTTTACACTACAGGAGAGGCTGTAATTGTCTTGGAACGAAGACGAATTCATGATTGTATAGTGAAGAACTAACATTCTCTAACCCTGTCTGGTACAGCATCATACAATTGATGAGCCGAGTTCTGTTGTCGTATCATGAATTTCATAGTGACGAAAAAGATTCTCTTACATGGAGGAGGAGGAGGGAAATACGATGGGAAGGGTTTTCAATTTTTCTGGGAACTCTTTGGCATTGGCTGAATATTGTTGATACACCGTGTAGGCTGTTTTATTTTCTTTCCTCAATAAAGCAAGTGGTTAACTCATAATCAATAATGACAGACTTGTAAATTGTAGTTGAAACAATTCTGTCCCCATTGAAATTTGTACAGCCCCATTACTAATGTTTTAGTCCTTACACACTAACTTACAGGCTCATACACACACTATACAGTGGGAAAAGGTCGTGCACATTTAACCGAAATTTCTCTTTTGTATTGGTGTTTGCGGCTATCGCAACCACCCAATGACTGCGCAAATAATTGTGTCCCCTTGTGTATGTACTGTGCGGGTGTTTGTGAACAAAAGTTTATGTCCAACTTGCCCATGATTCCTTACTTTCCGGCGCAACAAAAGGGGGGGGGGGGGTGAGAGAAATTTTACAGACAACCCAAAAGCAAAAATTCTTCCTCTCTCTGTCAGTCTCTCTCTTTTTCTATTGTTTGCCAGAAAAGACAAAAACAGAAAAAAACAGAAAATAATTTTTGTTTTATAAAAATTTATTTTCTCTGGTTTGCTAATTCAGACAACAATTACAACAATTACAACGATTACAACAAGTATCATCCCTCTTTTTGCTGTTGTTGTTGTGATCCCAATTAACTAGTCAAGATTACCAAGTGTCAATGTGGTCAAGAAGAAATACTAAAAGTACTCGTGGTACTGCTTACACCGGGGTGAACAGATCATCTGCCACTTCAGCAAATCAACAACCAAATTCTGGTGCCTTGGCTGCAGCGCTTACTATTGGTAATGCTATGAAACAACAAAATTCGTCCGCAGTTAACAAACAACAGCAATCAAATATCCCTCGCTCAATTTCTTTCCAATATAAATCTACCCCTTCTTCTTCTTCTTCTAAAACTAAATCCAAGACAACATACCATCAACAACCTCAACCACCACATCATCAACAACAACAATCTCATTCCAATTCACTTAGTTCTACCGGTAGTCTTTTGAAACGAGGATCGAGATCTAGTATACAAACCAATCATCAACAGCAATTACATGCACCAAGAACTTTTTCAACAAGTTCTCGTGGTTCATCCAATTCTTCAAGACATAATAGTCCATTAACTTCATCCGATTCTGTACCTCATCAACATCATACTCAAGTTTATGATATTGACGACAGTTTTAACGATTCTTATTTGGATGAAATAACTGAAGAAACTACTCAAACTTATTTAAGAAATAAAGCAAATATGAAGGATTTACAATTACCAAAGCAAACAAGAACTCAAACTGCTACTTATAAAACTCCATCTAAAACTGTGAAATCACCAGTGGTGTCACCTGTATCAGCACATCTGCAACATTCAATCAATGCTCCAGTTAAAATGGTCAAGAAATATGTTCCTAGTCCCACCGGGATTAAGATTATTGAGGTTCCTGAAACTCAATTTCAAAAAGAAGTTGCCAGAAGTAATTCTATGAGATCAAGTTCTCTTATGTCAAGGTCAGGTTCTATGAGAAATATGTCTTTGAACAAAAGAAACAATATCCCTAGATCTTCTTCGTTATCTGGTGTTTCAAGACAATTGAACCAAAAATCACCACAACCTAAAACAAAACCAACTACTCGTTCAGCCAGTACACCATTGAAGTCAATGAATGAAGACGTTGCATTGGAAGAATCGTTGGGTCATTCTGACGAATTACATGAACAAGAATTGAAATATCTTGCATTAGAAAAAGAAATCGAAGAAGAAAAGAAACTAGCTGCACAAATTGAATTGAAGAAGCAAGAATATGAAAGATTGAAAAAAGCAAGATTAGAAAATGAACAAAAATTGAAAGATTTGGAAGATGAGGTTGATCATAATAACTCGATAACTACTGAATCAACTGTGATACACCATCCTGTTTCAGAAGAATGTCACGGTATAGTTGAAGAACAAGAAGAATCCGAAGAAGACGTTCCAATAACAAGAGTTCCACCTGCTGTTGATGAATTAGAAAAGAAGCATATTCAAGCAGTTCAAGTAACTGATGCTCTTGATGATGAAGTAAGTTCTAATTATAGTGAAGCAGAACAACAATTACCAAAGAGTGAACATTCCCCACTGGATGTTGTTGAAGATTATACAACTGAAAAAGTTCCAATAGTGGAAAGTGCCGAACAAACTGTTGATAATGACGTTTCCCCAGAAAGTGCCAACAATGATTCAATAATTGTTGCGGTCCCAGTACATGAAGAACAAGAACATAAACATGAACCAATTCCCAAACCAATTTTATCAACCTTTGATGAGGATACTACTGCCGAGGATCTCACTCTTCAAGAAGATGAAGCACCACAAGAACAACAACATTTGGATACATTAAGCCCAGCACCTGATGGTTATACCTCTGTTTCTGATGATGAAAGAGATTTAAATACATTAGATCCTGGCCTTGCTTCAGAAATTGGTGTGATCAACCAATACCATAACTTGAATTCTTCAGAATTATTACATAATGAAAGTGTTAGCTTTGAGGATGCTCATGTTGATGATGATGGGATTGAAGAAATCGAAGATTCTGATTCGGAAGACGAAGAACAGGGAAAGAGTAATTTGGCCAAAGAATTGAGACCTAAATTTGAAACCACCCCTGAAATTATTGAACCAACTGAGGTTGTTCCAGAAAGTAAGGAAGAAGAAGAAATAAGCAAACCTGAAAGTGAAGATACTTTATTACCACCAATTGCATCAAATGCATCTAGTTCCAAGTCATCTGTCTCATCTGTTGAATCAGCACCAAAGAGACCAATTAAGTCAGCCATGAAGAGTACTTCATCATTCTCTACTCCAGCTCAAGGATCACAACAACCACCTATTAATAGTGCACTTGCCAAGAGTAATGCTGCTCAACAAGCTTATTTGTCATTGACTACCGCTGAAAACACCAGATTGAATTCCAAATTGTCTAATCCTAACATTACTCCTAATCCTGATTTTGCTTTGTCTGGTAATGGTCCAGCCAATGGTGCATATCCCCAATTTGCTAGTCCACAATATATTGCCAACAACAACAACAACAACAATAATAATGCACCAAATAGACGTTTATCACAACAAACATTAAGAAAACCACAACAAGGACAAAGAGGGGGACTTCAAGGATCTCAACGTCCATTCTCTACTCAACAGCTTCCAACTAGTATGAGTAGTCGATCATTAAGACCAAATTCATATGTTCAACCAATCCAACCACATCCAGCTTTACAACCAGGTTATCAATCACCATCCAAGATGAAAGCCGCTGCTTTATATGCTAAAGCGCAAGCAAGACCGGTATCTCAATTTAAACCAGTTGCAAATAGATCATCTTCATACTCAAAAGACGAACATATTCAACATCAAAACCAAAAGTTACAACAACCACACTTACAAGTTCAACCACCACCTGCTAATGGCACTTTGAGGGATCATGATGTTCCACCGCGTAGTCCTAATAGAGCTGAACCAAAGAGAACTACTCTAAGATCAGCATCGACACCTGTTCCTTCTCAACATCAACAACAACAACAACAACAACAGCAACAACGAGTTTATCAAGAGAGTACTACTACTAATGGAGCTACCAATGGTTCTACACAAAATTCTGCTCCATTTAAATCAAGACTTAATGATTCAGATGATGATCTTACTGGAGGATTTGGAGCTGGTGTTTCTAGATCTAATTTCAAATCAAGATTTAATGATTCTGATGAAGATATTTCAAGTGTTCCTGTTACTTCATTAAGAGCTCAACAAGAAGCAGCATCACCAAAGAAGGAAAAGAAATTTAAGAAATTAAGAAAATTATTTGGTGGATCGAAAGATTAATTATTATAATAATTTTGTTTTATTTCATCTTTTTCATTTAATTACCAAGTGTTGTTTATATTGTATAATATTTATATTAATTATAATTATAATTATAATAATAATAATAATAATAAACATTTCCAATTATAATTAAATATTTATTTATAAATGTGTATAAAAAAAATTATTTTGATTTCAAACCATTTCATCCTTGTTTTTTTATTTTGTTTAGTTTTGTTTGTTTTATATTGTGGAATAAATAAATTGTCAATTACTATTATTGTTCAAATTCAATTAAATTTTCCATTATTGAATCATCATTTGTTTGTTGTTTATTATTATTATGAATATGTTTTCTTGATTCTTCTTCAGCATCATGAAATTTTTTCAATTCATTAGGACTTGCAGATTCATTTTTAATTGGATCAATTAATGCTTGTGCTTCAGTACCTAATAATAAATTCTTATCATTTTCATCAATTGAAATAATTCCAAAATCATCATCTCTATCATCATCTTCACCATTATGATCATTTTTAGATTTTCCTGATTTAATTGAATTATTACTACTATTATTGGTATTATTCATATTATTTGAAGCTCTGGAATCCATTCTAATTCTAACTTTACTGGCAACTTTTCTACCATCAGCTAATAATCCATCAAACATATCACGCAAGTTTCTCATTGGATTGAATTTCAAATCTAACGGACGATCCAAATGAGTTGATTCTCTTAATGTACTACTAAATAATAATTCATAAGTTTCATCAGCTAATATAACCATTCTAAATGTTGGTAAATTTAAATAAACTGGAGTATTTGGATTTAATGCAGCATTATGGGAAATTTTCTCATCAATTGCCAATTCTTTAATTAATAATTGTTCTTCATCAGGTTGTGCATATTCAAAAGCTCTTTGAATAAAAGTACTTGCAGCTCGAAGATATCTTTCAATTTGTTGTTGCTCAATTTTTTCTCGATTAACATCAACATGTTGTGGTAAATCAATAGTGATGCCATCTCCTGATTCAATTTGATTTTTAAATACTTCATCAGCTACTTCATTTTCAATATTAGTCCTTGTTATCTCATCTAATAATAATCCTTCTTTCCATGGACTGGTGACATATAATAAATCTTCAGAAATTTGTAAAATGGCTTCACTATCAAGCTTACCATTTTGTTTAGCATCATATAATTCAAAAAAGTTCGATATGGAAGCCATTAAATCCGTTTCAACCAATTTATTTAATCCAGTTATTAAATCAGAAAATGTTAATGCTCCTTGTTTTTCAGAATCCCAATTGTTAAATAATCGACGCAAGAAATGCTTTTCATTGGAACAGTCAATATATTGGACCCAATCACAAATTTCTGACATGAATTTCAAAAACGAATTATAATCCATTAAACTTGATCCTGAACCTTTGGTTATATTACTGGATATTTCCACTTCTGAATAAAATCTGTCATACAATACATCTAAAGTTTCTGAAGTAATGTTATTAGTCTTTGGTAAGTTTCGAATTTCAGTACGTTTGACAAAAGTGGTGATATTTTGGTATATGGTATCTCTATGTTTATTTCTATGATTGTTTACCATTTCATCATTAACAGTAGAAAATTCTTTAAATGCAGTTATCAATAAATCTTGAAACTTGGAGATGTTCTTAAATTTTGGATTTGGTGAATTTGGATGTGCCGATTGGTCTAATGAAAGGAAATAGTCCTTAATGATACTTATAAATGTACCATCATCTTCTGTTTTCAACAATTCTTCAGCATTTTGCTTAAGCACTGCCAATGCCACTTGGAAAAGTGTCTTTGGACCTTGCATGAAAAATATATCCAAAATTCTAAAGGCATACACCAAAGGCATGGATGATAAATATAATGATAAAAACCATGGTAATGACACAACGGATAATTGGATATCATTTTTGGTAATATGGTCCCATAAAATTGGCATGGTATTTTGCACCAAACTTTCAAACACTTTTTGATCTAATAAAGTACCATACATGGTTTTGGAATAATACCCAGGAACAATTCTATCACATATAACATTCAAAATCCAAAATGCTTGTTCTTCAGATGTATAAATAAGTAATGCGGCAACCACAATGTTCATAGCTTGACAGTAACCAACTTCTGGATTCTTCCAAGAGTACGCTGTCAAGACTCTTCTTAATCTTTCAATACCTTCACTTGATTGATACGCAGCATATTCAGGTAATGAACGATTCAAATCTTTTTCAATTTCTTCAATGGCAAATGATTTTTTATCTTTATTATCTTCTAATAATTTCAAATATTCACCTTGATTCTCATATCTTAAATACATTGATCCACAAGTTAATTCCCAAATTTCTCCTCTTAATCGATTAGGTAATCCAACTCTAATCAATTTATAAAAAATTGGTCTTCTAATAATCGATAAGTTTCTCCCATCGGCTCTAAATAAATCAAACCACATTTTCAATTTTGTTTTATCCTTTGATTCTTTGGCATTTCCAGGGAATTTAAATGTTAACCCCAACCCTCCTGAAGGCATATGATCAATTTTTTCATTGGATATATTATTTTTACTCAATAAATATTCTGAATAACAAGTTTGAATAAATGGTTGTAATTTATTAACATTTGGTAGATTTTTCTTTAAACTAATGGTTAAATTCTGTGCAAATTTTTCACTATCTGATCGAATACCCACTAAAAATAAAGTAATATTCAATTTACTATAAGTCATTATTGTTAATGCAAAACCATAATCATTTGAACTTGCCCTTTCAACTTTCTTAATAGTTGATAAATGTAATATAAATGAACAATTTTTTCTATCATAAGCGTCTCTAAATATTAAAAAATGAGGAGTTAAATATAGTCTACCTTGAGGTAATGCTTCACTTGTTATATTATTATAAGAATCATGAGAATATCCTGAAGTAATTTTGATTTCGACTGCTGATTCACAAATTAGAACTTCTTCATCTGGGATACCATAAGTTTGACAAAACAATTGATCTTTAGTTAACTCATTATTATTATTTCCTTTATTTCCATCAGAAAGAACCTGACTAAATGTATTTAATGCTTTATCTCTAAGTGATCCAAAGAATGCCATATTTATATTTCTATATATCAAATCAAATCAAGAATTAAAAAAAAATACCCCGGGATAATAGTAGAATAAAATAAATGTATGATGAAATTTTTCTTTTCTAAACTAATAAAAAAAAAAAACACCAATAATGAAATCAAAATCTAGCCTTGTTCCTTTCACAGATGAAGCGATATATTCAATTATAATAAAAACAACAGCTTCTCCAATGGCTAAATGACAGGTGAGAATTGGTACTTCCCTGTGTATTCTGTATTGTCTTAGTGGTAATAGTGGTAGTGGTGGTCAAAGGAGAAGAAGAAAAGAAAAAGAGAATTCCCCTTTGGTGATAAAGTTTTTCTCAATGTTTGGTTGTCTCTTTTGGTTGTCCCGTGGTTGCCCAGTGTTGTAACTTTTTTCTTTTCTTTTCTTCTCTTTGTTTGGTGTGTGTGTGAGACAACAACATTCCACGCACAAAAATTGATTTTCTTCTTTTTTGGTAAACAAAAACTAAAACTCCGATTACGTAATAAACACGTGTTCTGTATCACGTGAAACATCTAACATATAAAAATAAAATATATAATACAATCAAAATACTAATATACACATAAACTAAAATAATAATAATAATAATAATAAAAAACGTCTGATTTGCTCAATACTAATCGTCAACGGCGTCCAAATATTTCGCATAAGTACCTTCATTATCAGTTGGTCCATCATCTGTAGTAACTACAGTCGAAGAACCATTAGTATCATATTGATCACTATCTTCAGGATGATGTCCACTTGCTCTTGATAGAACTTTTGAAATACTTGGTAATTTACTACTAATAGATTTTCTCCTTTGTGATGACTGATCATCTTGATCATTGTGGTGATGATGATGATGATGATGAAGATGACGACGAATTGGTGATTCAGATGGCGGTTTTTTATGAACTTCATGATCAATTGTAGAACTATCTCTTGCTCTACCCAGTTCTTGTAAATCATTCAATGTCATAAATTTCGAATAACTTGAAATTTGTTTTAAAGGTTCTCTTACGTCTTTATTCTTCAGTTTCTTTGGTTTGATAATCTTATTACCCAAAATCTTACCAGTATGTTGCAAAATGACTTTAACAGTATCTTTCTTCAATCTTTCAGTGAATTCTTGTGCTGACCAAATCTTATGACTATATCTCAATGCTGGCATATTTAAGACCAATCGATGAACATCCAACAAATGCAATGCTTTAGGTGCTGAAAAACTAATAATCAATTGAAATGCTTCAACTTCAATATCAATAATAGATTTATACTTGATAGACCTGGCAATAATTACACCAAGATCATCTTCCAATTGCTCTTCTTCTTCTTGTTTAGATCTGTGAAGATGTGGATGATGGATTTTATGAGTTGCATATCGAATACCATCAGCAAAACTGGACTCATCATTTGATCTGAATGAACTACTTGAACTTCTAGGACTCATTGTACCATTTGGAATTCTACCATTACTTGCTGACGATGGTTGTGAAATAGCTCTAGATCCATTAGATGACGATGATTTACCACCATGGGAAATACCCCTTGATCCATTAGATGATGATGACTTGCTTCCATTTCTTCTTGACATGAGTCTCTTTAAAGGATTCTTCGAAGTATGTGAACCAGAAGATCCATTCGACATTATACTTGCTCCTTCAGCTAGTATAAGAGACAGCGATTCATCATCTGAATCACTATCACTATTACCGTCATCATCTTCTTCTTCATTATCATCCTTTGGAAACAAATAATTTTGAAGTTTCTTCGCAGTTGCATAATCTATTTCAATTTGTAATGGACTGATTTCTAATTTAGCATCTTTGATAATACCAATTCCTCCAACATCATCCAAAGTAGTCCAAGTTGCTGTGATAACAGGTTTCTCTTTCTTACAACTTTCTAATTTTTCTTGTTCAGCTGTAATTTTGGGTGCTAATATTTGTGGATATAATGCTTTCTTCAGTAAATTAAATCCTTGAACCATACCAATTTCAACTCTATTGAATTTAGTACCATCAATTCCATCATCTTTCACATATTTAGTATTTGCCAATGCAAAATCAACAAATGGTTCTCTATCATCATCCAACATATGCCAGATAACTTGATCAGCTAATATTTCATATGATTTTGATGTAACTTTAGAAGATGCTTTAATTCTTGATTGTAAAGTTTTCATAATCAATAAAAGCTCCAATTTCAGTCTTTCCATTTCTAATTCAAGAACATGCAAATATTTCTTTTCATTATCATTCAAATTGGCACCTCTTTGATCGAAACTGAACAACAACTCCCTATAAGAACGAATATTTTGTTGCAAATTCTTGACACGAAGATCCAACCCTTCAAAATCAGAAGCATCTGCTAAGGAAACCAATTTTTGTAAACGATCTTCTTTTTCATTCTTTTTATCCTTACCACCAAGTAGTAAAGTAGTAACAACAAAATAAATAGTGGAATATTGAGCTGAAGTGGCATTGATCACATATTTCGAAAGATAAATCACAACTTCATTTCCTTGTTCAATATTCTTGGAGTTTAAGAACATCTTATTTGGAGTCTTACTTATAACAGCAATGGTGTTTCTTTCAGAAATTAAATATTCATGAGCCCAAGACCCATCATAACAAACTTCACATTCAAACCACGGTGGCCATCTATTCTCATCTGACATATAACCATTCTTGGCAAATTTCGAATTGGATTTACTAATAACATCAACTTTATTCAAAACAAACAATTGTTCATCGCGGAAAAGAACACCATTTCTTCTTTCAATTCTTGCAGTCATCTCATTATTATCCGACAAGATATTCATTCTTTCCTTCAAATTGATATCAACAATGCGCAATTCCAAATCCCTTGCAGTTAACACAACACAAGCATCAGGTACTTTCTTAGACATCATTTGGAATTGTGGATGAATTAATTTAACCAAATATTTATATTCAGCAGCTTCTTCATCTGAATTAGCAACATCATCTAAATTATCTTCAAAACATTCAATAATTTTTTCATCATGTTTGAACTCTTTGTTGAATACATGTTTCTTGATATTAACTGGTTCAGTGACTGATTCATCTTCATTAATGACTCTTTCAACTAAATCAACAGCATATTTGGTCATATAATAAATATGATTCTTTCTTTCACCAACTCTATGTAAATAACTGGTGAAATATTTACTAATATCATCATCCCATTTCAACTGCAAGTTATGAATGATAAATCTATTATGGAATTCAGCCACTGAGGTATAAGCAGATGCTTCAGCTAATTCACTTTGAGTTAAATGGCTAGTGTAGGCTGATAATTTAGTACTTGTTCTCAGTAATGAACTTGTACCATCTTCATGATCCGATCCACCACCACTGTCATATCCATCATCTGATAAATTGTTATAAGCATTGTTTACAACATCAATCTTTTCCTTTAAAGTTTTAATCTCCAATTCGGTATTTTCAATATCTTCTTGATATTCAGGACCATTTTGAATCTTGTATCTTCTTAATTTTTCATTTGCTGCTTTCAAATCGTCATCCAAAGCATTAAGTCTATCTAATAAGATTCTACTTTGAACAGCGGCAGGCTTGTCCAAATCCATAATACAATCATGAATTGGTTCATTGCCAAATGGGAATGGTCCTTCCTTTTGTAATGTAAATTCTCTATAATAACTGAATTTAGGTGAATGGAAAAATGGTAAAACTTTTAATTTTGGATATGGTGATAATGGTTCACGAACTTCTAATTCAACAAAATCTTGAGGATCAACCCATGAAAAATCACCATCTGGCACATCAACACTATCAATCCATTTCAGGAAATTGGCTGGAACCATATTTGAATTTTCAGATGAATAATTGGTAGATACATCCAGACTTGAAGTTTCTCCGCTATTTAAATAACTCATTAATTTCCCACTAATTGATGTATCACGAAATAATGCATTAACCACACGAACATCAGCATTTTCTACATTAACTTCAGCTTGATACATCTTCAAGTGTCTGGTTTTAGTGGTTCTATTCAACTTCTTATTTTCATGAGTAACCCATTCTTTCCTTTGATGAAGATCAATTTCACAAATATCAAATTTACCTTTCAAACCAGTAAAAGCAGTCTTACTTTTCTTGGTAGGAAGATTAGTTGTAGAATGCATGTACAAATGACAAATAGTCACAGGATTAAAGATCAATTGATACTTCATGGTGAATAAATGAGGACTGAATTTAATCTTTGGTTTCTTGACAGCATCTTGACTAAATAATTTACCTCTCTTGACTGGAGGTGGCGAATAATGTGCAAGACTATCCCACCAATAAAAGAAATGATGAAATGCTAATGGTGTGAAATAAGCAGCATTATGAGCTCCACCAACTTTATCTGATCTTGAAATGACGGATAACGCCATGTGAACATAATCTGATCTATAACCTTCATATGAATCAGGGTGATATTCATTAATAGGATTGGTGATTTGAACTTCATAATGAGGTTTGAATTCATTAACTCGTAATTCTTGATCGGAGAAATTCTTTGTTGGATGCTTATTTCTTTCAAATAACATGCCCAAAGTCCATTTAACTTTTTCACTTGAACTCAATTTGATGACTTGTTTATTGAATTTCTTAGCTTCTAAATCAACATCAGCTGAAGGATCATCAAGATCATCATAAAACAAACTCCAAATGTTCTTCTCCTCAATGGAATAATTAGGAATAGCAAAAACAAAATCGTCACTTGTGATAGTAACCAAATCTTTACTATTTATAGTACCATCGATTTTCAACGTGACATTGTTCTTCCAACAAAAAACAAACCCAGCACTTTTACCAACTAATTCATGGGGATCCCTACCACTCTTCATATGTAAACATAATTCATTGGCAATATTAAATTGAACTTTACCATGTAACATCAATGGCATTTTATCCCACCATCCAATTGGACTATCATCAATAGCAGGTTTGGAAAAATTATGGAATGCCATTCCCATGGCCGAAAATGCTGGTTGGTAAGCTTTACACCAACTTATTGAACATGCACGGTCGGTATTCAAATCACATACTAAATCAGCAGCAAATTTAACGGGTTGTAAAGTTCTTGGTATATAAACCGAATAGAAATTATCGGAATTTCCATTATCTGGAACTGCCGGTGAGAATGGAACATAAATATATCTCAATTCCTCTTGACGGTGATATAATTGTTCATGAATCACCAAATTTGTCTTGATATGAACAGTTGGTTTTGATGGATCAATACTTCTTGGGAACGAAGCAACAGGTAATGGATAATCCTTCAAAATCATATAGAACTTGGTAGCTTTGATTTCAATATATAATGGAACTAAAATAGAATAAACCAACTTCGGTTGATGTTTAGCATAATCATACAAGAATTTATCAACATCTTTGATACTTGATTTATCTAAGATTAAATCAACATCACGGAAAAGTGCTCCAGTTAATGGAGGACCATGATTAAATTCAACAATGTCAAATTTCTGCTTCATAATATCACTAACATCATTCGCACCCCAGATATTCTCAGCACGATCTTTCCAAATACGAGTTTTGGCGTCTCGGAAAATCTTATACTTTTTATGCCAAACAGTACTGAAATTAATATATAATCTTTGCCTAGCAGCTTCAATTCTAGCTTCAGCTTCTGATTTGGTATAAGTATCTGATGATGGAATAAATTGATCAGTACTTTCATCAATAGTTTCCACATCATCGCCTCTTCTTCTTCTAAATATCTTATCCTTCAAGATCGAGGCACCACTCGATTTATGACTGCTATCTGGTGATTTACTTCTTAATGGACTATGCACTCTTGATAATATGGAATCAGTTCTACCTCTACCATGACGCTCAGTACTAGCAGGGGATAAACTTCTGGTAAATCTATGCAATGCAGAATTCGATCGGTCTCTACCAGGAGCAAAATCAGGAATAGGAGCAGGAACGTCGGACAATTCAATTTGTGATTCAATATCACCAGTGGCACCTGCTCGAATCTCTTCGGCTTGTTTTTCAAAAGCTTTCCATTTTTGAAGTCTTTCCTTTTGTTCAATTTTACCCAATTCATAAATCATGGCTAATTCATTTTCAAAAGCATCAGTTTCTAATTCTAATCCTAAAACTTGAGTCTTGATGTGAATATGAGGGAATATCAAGGGTGCTCTTTCCTTAGGGAAAAGTCTTTCAAATTCTTCTATACCCCAATTGAAGTATTTAAAGTTGGATTTAAGCTGTTTGATACTCTTGAAAAACGTAATGAAATTATCAATGACAGTGTAGAATTTAAATCTATTAGGAACACTAATTCTAAATGATCTCATGACAATATCAAATGATGCTTCGTGAATGGACTTGGCTAAATCAAGACTAAATTTAGGATCTTTGATGATCAACATTCTAGCCCATAATTTAGTGCCTGGATCAACAACATACAATCTTGCGTTTCTAATAGCCGCTGATTTCAATACTAAAACATTCTTCAATCTAGCTGTATCAAGTTCAATCATAACATCAACTTGTCGAGGCAATCTAATAACAATTGCAACAGAGTCTAAATTAACATCAAGCTTGAATTTCTTTTTTGGACCAGTGATGATTTTGATTTGTTCCTTAGTACAACTGCTTTCAATAGTTGGTTTGAATCTTTGCAACATGGTCTTGACATAAAAAGTGACCCAAAGGAAAAACATATCAATTCTACCTTTCAACTTCTGGAATAGTCAATGTCAACTTATTTGGATCTTTATCTTCTTGTCGACAAGAATTAACAATATGAATTTCAGGAATTGCCAATACATTCTTGACTCTTGCAGTTGCATCGTCGGCAACATCACCAGGATCTCCCTCATTAAGATAAGGAGAGGAATCGATACTTGATAAATCACTAATTTCAGTATCACTTGTTTGTCCATGAACTTCTGTTACTTTATCAAAATCTTTGATAAATTCAGATGCGTATTCACTTAATGTGAAAACTTGTAAATTCTCAACTTTAACTTCAACAAATTCCTTTTGAAGTTTATATTTGAATTGAATATTAGCAATCTTCATCGACATACCTCTTCTAAAATCAGCTAAATCGATTTCTTTATCTAGATCATCATCAAAAAGTTTATGATGTGGCAATCCATCTTTAATGCACATATCGAATACAATATTTGAAATATCAACCTTAACCGAAGAAACAAAATGAGGCAAGATTTTGAATATTTCTTTAAATTGCTTATCGGGTGTTGCTTTGTTTGATTCGTGGCCATGTAAATTTTTCAATTCACGTGCACGTGAACTGGTTGCAGTAGTGTTTCCAACAAAAGAACCAGCAGTGGCAGCTCTCCATTCTTCATATTTCTTGTTGAAATGAAGACGTTGACGGTTTCTGAATTGTCTGACCAAATGGAAAATTAAATCATTGACTGATTTTAATTCAAGACTCTTACTTGAAAACTTCACAGCAACATTTTTTTCATTCAAATCATATGCTGCTAATAAATTAACTTTATTGAAATGGAATCTATTCCCTTCACCTTCAAGCCTTGCATTTTTGAATTTAAACAAAACATTAAATGTAGAGAAGGATTTCTGTTGGGTAACTGAAAGTTTTCTATGTCTAGTAAAAACTTTAAATGCAAGTTCCAGGATTCCAAATGTAACTTTCAAATTATCCTTTGAATATCTATTAAACTTAGCACCATCATTTGCATCCAATGGAGGTACATGAAGATTCACTTGGGTATTAACAATAGTTAATTTATTTGATACGGCACGTAATAACCCCGACGCTATATCTAATTTCAATAAAATACTTTCCTTTTCATGAACACCAGTGGCATGACTCATTTGTTTCATTCGTCGTTTCATCATTTTATCTCTTAATATCAATAAAATAATATCTTGTTGGTCATAGTAAAGATCAACAATTGGATCAGTTATGGTAATATTGGCATCGAAATTAATTGTCTCATCTGAAGATCTATCATGAGAAAGTAGGGACTGAGCCACTTTAAGGAATTGTAGTGGACAGACTTCATAGGTTATATTAGCTGAAGGTAATTCCAAACATTTGGTACCTTTGTGGTAAAATTTAAATGAAGTAAGATATAATAGCAACTTGAGATTTGAAGTGTCATCATCTTTTTCAATCTTATCAAGAGAAAAGACAAAATTGGATAAATTGGCACTTAATTTATGATGGGATAAAGTAAAATCTTCCAATCTGATTTCAGTTGTAGCATAAACTTCCATAATATCACGTAATATTCCTTCATACTTAATGACATCAATAACTTTAGTGGAGATTGGATCTTCAGAAATATCAACTTGTTTTTTAACTTTATCAGGTTTATGGAAATAATCAAGTGGGATGTTTAATCTACCAATAGACAATGAAGTTCTAAAATCAGACAAGTAAACGAAAATCTTATTTGCATCTTTATTCATACCACAGGAAGTTATAGTTTGACAATTGATATAAAATTCAATATTTCTGAATAAACTAACTTTATTTGATTTATCATTCTTATCAAATATCAACCCATTAAACAGTGTGATGGTAAATCTTGTTTGACTATCTTTTTCAACTTGACAATCAAATCGGACATAATCGAGAAAAGCAACATAATCACCAAGCAATTTCTTATGAAGAATTGAACATCTGAATACATGGATATTGATTCTATTGATGATTTTTGTTTCGCATAAATAATCATAAACAATTTTAGGTACTTTGAAATGTAATTCATCAGCAATGGAAATCTCTTCAATTCTTCTTTTACTTTTTGGTTTTGCTTTTATTGTGACACCATCAGCCGGTGTCTCCTTAAGTGTAATGGAAACATCGACAATTTCAAGGTTAACCAATTTATATCCCGATGTTCTATTTGTTTTAAATATGTTAAATTTTAAGGATAGTTTCCGGATATAGATGGTTGATTTTTTTGTATCAATAGTTATCCCTCTTAACGAGAAAAGTCCAATATATTTAATAGTTAAATGGGGGATTAAATTGAGTACTGTCAAAAACCCCAAGTAGGCAATGGCAAATCCTGCCAATAGTAGGTATAAATTGACCATTGGGAAGATTCAATAAACTCGCAAACTAAAAAAGGTGGGGATGGTAAAGTAATGAAATGAAATGAAGTGAAATTTAATTGTTGATATATTGCAAGATTTCTGGTATCTAATGATAGCAAATGGGATTAGATGTGAATAAAATAAGTAGATAATTTATGGTGAAGCAAAGGAGAGAGTAATTCCAAAGACAATAAGTAATGACTGATGGTTTAGTATAATTTTTTTTTTTTGTTGTTGTTGTTGTTTCAATTAGCCCTTTTTACTAAAGAAATAGTAATCAAATTAATTTACAATCATTTAATTTAATTTAATTGACACAGAAAGCAAAAGCAAAAGTAAATGCAAAAGTAAAAGTAAAAAGTAAAAGCAAATGAAAAATCAAGGATTTTCTCTCACAAGAATTTATTCCGAATCTTCCTGTTTTTTTCTTCTTCTTCTTCTTCTTCCTCCCTCCCTCCCTCTTTGTTTTTCCTGCGGGCGGGTGGGGGGAGGATGCCTCGGCGTTAATGTCTCGGTCGAAGTTTATCACCATGTGCTGGCCGTAAATGTTTTGTGCACCACGCGGCCATCACTCGAATGGGTTGGCCCGGAATAAATCCATGGAAGAACACAGAAAGAAATTAGAATTTTTCTTACTTTTATTTTTCCCCGGATTTATGTCTCATCACACAAAATGTTGCCACACGTGATATAAAGGTAATTCCGAGCGTCTCGGAAGTATATTTGTTGGTCTGCAGGACATCACATGTGTGGCATCACATGATCTCACTTTATCTTGCAACCAATAAATTAATAATTCTCATTGGAGAAATTAACATACACACAAGATTACCATGACATGATGATTGAATTTCTCTGTAGAGGTCTAGAATTGCAATCTAACTGAATTGGGATCAGTTCTAGATTTCGTTAAAATTTAGTTAATTATCATCACGAAAAAAAAAAGGAAGAAACTTAGAACCTATAATTAGGAATTTATTCATCTCACTAATTAAATGCCAATGATAACTAAAAACGTATATTGATTCATAACATGAAATTTTCAAGACGATTAAATATCCAAACTAGGAACCTTAACTGTTATTGGGGGTTATTTCACCCGTCAACCGGTTGACGGAACCAAATAACCAATTTTGCTCGGGAATATTTCAATACAATTTTCAAATATTATAATTCTAACTTTATTCCAAGAACAATTGAAATCATAGAAATTACTGTATTTAGAATGTTCTATACTCAATAATATATCTCCTTTGATGTTTGACTTATAATTAGAAACAATCTGAATACAGAACGTTTTTGTTCATAACACGCAAAAAGGTGGAGAGTTTATTTCGTTTTTATTTTTCTATTACAAAAAGATGAAACGTATAGATTTAAACTTCCATTTTCTCTTTTTCTCCCCTGTGTATGATCTTTACTTGATTGGGATATTATATCAGGGGTTTCATATAATTAAAACCTTCAAACAAAGTTTTCAAAGGGTGCAATTATCATTCTAACTCATTACACTTTTCAAACATTTAGTTCCTGTCATAACTGGTGATAAGCCATTAACCAGTTGACTTTGAATCATGAGCCATGTTTATTCGATCTTCTAATGACCACGACGATGGTCAATTGCAGCTACTAAGCATCGAACATAACTATACAAATTTAATTCAGCCCAGATTCTCATTGGTCGCAAAAAAAACAAACATTTTATGGCGCAGAAAATTTGAGGAACAAAACAAAATTTTTTCCCTTTTGGGAAATTATATTTTCATTCTTAAAGTTCCAGATTTGGGTAACCAGATTTTTTTTTTCTTTATTTTTGCTTCTTTTTGCAATCATCATTGTCAATGCCTCTTGAGCTAACACTTCTTTCAACCGAAACCCACAAACAAACCTAATTACACAATTAAGGAGTAATATAATGGTATTACCTAACTTGGTTAAGAGATTTTTTTTTGTTTGTTTTGCACCTATTTTGCGTTCTAGACTATATTCAATAAACTTGAAATTTATCCTTCAAGGGGTATTATTCCTACTCCATTTCTTCAATTACTTCGAATATAAATACATTCACTACCCCCTGCCAATGTTTTCTCAAAATTTTAAAACTTTCTCCTTTATAATAATAATAATATATTAATAATTATTATAACTCAACAACATCAGAACCATTCGTTATGAAGATCGATATTGCTACCGGTACTTTAATTTTAGCTGCTATTTCCCAAGTCGCTGCTGCTCCAGCAGCAGATGGCCCAGCTAAAGTCACTTCTTTAACTGTCAGAGAATTAACTTCTGTTAACAATGCCATTGTCGCATTAGAACATTATAATGCTAAGAGAGATTTAATGTCAGCTGAAGAATTACAAAAAAGAGAAGTTCAAATTGTTACTGATGTTTTAGCTGCTATTAAAGATACCAATTTGGCTCCAGCTATTATTAAATATATTATTGATGATCCAACTTTATCTGGTATTGCCACTGATGTCATTGTTTGGGCTATGAAAAGTGGTATTATTAACTTGGATACTTTGTTGAAATCATTGAATGATTCTGGTTTGGCTGTTGATGTTATCAATGATTTAATTCATGATTGTCAATTCTATGCTCAAATTTATAAGATTGTTTTACAACAACTTGCTAACTTGCCAAGTTTGATTGCTTCCATTTTGGGTTTGAACTCTAACGAAGTTGCCAGTTCTAAAGCTGCCACTGCTAATGTCAAGAGAGAATTAATTGAAGCCGGTGCTCAATCTCAAGTTCCAGTTCCAATTTTAGCTAGAGATACTCAAGAAATTTTGACTTCATTGATGGAATCTTTGAAGAATTCTGGTTTGGCTAACCAAGTTGTTGAAGCTTTGGTTGTTGATGATCAATTCTACACCTGGGGTGCTGATTTGATTAAACAATTGTTTGATTCCGGTGCTATTACTTTAAGTGAAGTCATCCTGGCTTTACTTGATTCTGGTTTGATTCCATCAATTATTGAAGCTTTCTTAAACATTGACACTTTAAAGACTGTGATTGTTAATGCCTTAGCTGCTGCTTTCGGAAATTGTCAAAGTGTTACACCAACAACAACTTTCCAAACCTCTGTTACTGCTACTACAACCACTTCTTTTAGTGTTCCAGATAGTTTCACCTTAACTAGTGTTCCAACTGATTCGGCTACTGGAACTGCTACTGGTTCTCCTACTAGTACCGCTCTTTGCAGAAAGAAGAGAAAGAGAAGATCTTACTAAATAAGTTTCTGAAACGTTTTGATTACCCACCAATTTTCATTTCTTTTATTTTATTACATTTTTTTTATTTTTATTTTTATTATTTATACTTTCTTGGGTTCCAATTGATTATTATTTTCGGTTAGATGTTTAAGTATCATCATTAGTTGTGGTTTTTATCTATGAATACCGTTGAGTTTTTAAAATACCATTGAAATTTGATTCGCGGTTAATTTCAATACAATTATATCTTCCTTGAATATTCTTCTTTGTTTTATTCAATAATTCAATTATTATTTTTATCAAAAAAAAAAAAACACATATATATCTACTGCTGGCCAGAATATCATGATGCTACCATGATGTAATTGCCCTATTTCTTTGAGTTACAAATGAAGAAATTCATATTATTATGGAGATTTACAGGATAATAACTTTAATATTTAAAATTCACGGTGATTTAAGATACTATACCCAACGTTTTTCGGATTACTTAAATATCTTTTATTTTATATTGTTTACGTTATGTTTTAGAAATGAAAAATATATAAATTTAGTTTTTAGATTTCTAATGTAGTCTAATGAAGTCCATATTTAAGAGTAACCAGTACGAAACATACTAGATTGCATAGATGCAATATTCAACCACCTCTTATCGACAAGAGTCATGATCGTGAGAGAGTAACAGCATATACAATAGAATGGTTAATTATTTTCTACACGAGTTACAATTCAAAAATAAAGATATACTTATATTAAACAAACATTTAAATGGAGCTAGAATATATTGGAAACGTTAGTAGTGCAGATTATAAGTCCTAGAAAATTATCAAATGCTGCTCTTAAAAGGCACACCCTAACTGGAAACCATATAGCCTGAAAGTTTACATTTTTCTCTTGAATTTTTTTTTTTTTTTTTTTTTTTGAATTCTCTTTTATTGGCTCATTGGTGAACGTGGGTGTAGTCGTGTACCAGTGAAAAAACCATCGACAAAATCAACCGCCCGTGAATTATCAAGATGATGATTAGACAAAGTGGGAAGACGTTTAGTCATGATAATAGACAAAAACGAAAGTTTAAAATTATATCATTACAACATTAACTACATTAGCCATTTTGGCAAATAATAATAAAAAATAACAAAATAAGCTATCAAGTGTATATTACTGAAATAATATATATAAAAATATCTAAGAAATCTCAATTCCAACAAAACAATCAGAATGTAGGAATTGGATTCTTAATGCTAGAATCATATTCATGTTATAAAAGTTAGTAGTTTCTATTTAAAGCATACAATCCTTAATATCAAGGGTAAAAACCTTTACCTACAAAAGGGGTTCATACAAAATCAAAGGCATGAAATGAAAGAACTGGAGTCTATCTAATAGACAATTTGTCACGTAGTAATAGATATTATTACTTAACGTGGACAAAGGCTCTCTTTGAGGAAACGTGGGAATAAAATCTATGACCACGTATTGTAGGTAAGTAGGCAGTTGGTTGACGTTTTTAAGAAACGAGTAATCAGCTGAAGTAGAAATAATTTGTAGTTCTGTGAGATTGGTACATTTGCACGACTTTGATACCAATCGAACGTAAGTAAAGAGGAAAAAGTTTTTCTCTTATATAGCACTTTTATAGGAGTATCGACGTTATAAGAGATATTGTGTTTATTAACTTTGAAGGATTCATTTGACTTAAGTGTATCTATCATCCAGTAATACGACTGTGACAAAGACGATTGCAGAGAATCAAGTAAATTGCGTTTAAATTCATTACATCTTATTATAATAACCAACCACTTATTTTGTATTAAGTGAGTCAATTTCTGTTAGAGTACATCTGTTAGGTGAAGTAACTAGGTGACACAATTCCCAAAGAAAGAAAAGTTATCTTCAATGTTGAATTTTTTATTTCATTATTGTTGTTCTTTTTCACTCTCAAGATTGTGCATAAAGTACACGACTAAACACGTGATGTATGCCGGATTTTTTTTTTTTTTTCAAACTTCATTTTGTAAACAAACCTTTGAAATCAAGAAAGACGCGATATATAATTATTTACTTCTATATTGATTTTACAAACAAACCACTACAAGATACCATGCCGGGAGAAACTATAACTTTACAAGTGGGTCAATGTGGGAATCAAGTAGGATTACAATATTGGCAACAATTATCTTTAGAACATGGAATAAATTCAGATGGATCATCTAATCCATATCCAATAAATACCAATAATAAATTTCAATTTCAGAATTTAACAAGCACTTCAAATAATAATGAAAGTTCTACCAAATATCGAGATGATCATCCTGAATTATTTTTTACCTTGAGTGATTCTAATAGATATACACCAAGATCTATATTGATAGATATGGAACCTTCAGTTATTGGCAAAAGTACATCAACTTTACCCATGTTTAATCCAAGAAATGTGCATCTCAGTGAACAAGGTAATAGTGCTGCTAATAATTGGATAAATGGATATAAATATGGTACTGAAGAAGAAGAAGCATTGATTAATTTAATTGATAGAGAAGCTGATAAATGTAACAATTTATCTAATTTTCAATTATTTCATAGTGTTGCTGGAGGAACAGGTTCTGGTGTTGGAAGTAAAATATTGGAATTAATAAGTGATCGATATGGACATAAGAAATTGTTGAATACTTTTTCGATTTTCCCTTCAAATGAAGATACTTCCGATGTGGTGGTACAACCATATAATACTATTTTAACTTTGAAAAGATTAATTGATTACAGTGATGCCACATTTATTTACCATAATGATTCATTAAACAGAATTGAAAATTTATTGTTTAATAATAATATGCAACTGAATAACAATAACAATGATGATTTATTTCTTGGTGCTAATAAACTCATTGCAAGTGTGACAGCGTCATTATCCAATCCATTGAGATTCCCAGGATATATGTATAGTTCAATTGAATCCATCATTTCAAATTTGGTACCTACTCCAGATTTGAAATTTTTAACAAGTGCAATTGCTCCATTTAGCTCACAGAAACACAATTACATTAATGAATATGACATGATTTTGGAATTATCTAATGATAGATACAAGACAAACCGTGTTAGTAATGAAACAAATTATATAACCATGTTGAATTATTTAATTGGTGATAATCTAGATCAAAGAGAAATTCGTAAAGGAATATTGAAATCACAACAAAGAACACCATTTGTTCCGTGGGCTGCTAGATCAGTTCAAGTGGTACATGGTAAGAAATCTCCTTTTATAAAGTCAAGTAATAATCTAGACGGGGTACAAATTACAAATAATACGTCAATTATCGAAGTTTTTACAAAAATCTTGAAGCAATATGATTTGTTGATTAAAAGAAAAGCATATTTGAATAGATATTACTCGAGTTTAGAGGAAGAAAATGAAGTTATGGAATTGTTTAGTCAATCAAGAGAGGCAGTTAAATCCATCGTCGAAGAATATAAGGCCTGTAAAGAATTGAATTATTTGGATGATGAAGATGACGACGACGGAGACTTTGGTATTAGTGGTGGTGCTGACAACGACGCAATTACTCAAGATCAAGATATGGATATATAGATTATCGGAATGCATATCCTATAATGGTTAATAATCTCTAATAAATGTTTCAAAATAGGAGTAGTGTTGAAAAATATCGCGTGTGCTGATAAGGAGCGGAAAAATTAATCTAATCTCAACACCTACCGGAATTACTAAACAGCAAGCAAAATACTGATTGAAGATATTTCATCTTAACCTGTTGAATACTTTCCAAAACCAATGCCTACTGACCCATCTCATTTAATTTCAAAACGTGCTGCTTCAAGAAGTTCATCTCATTTCACCAATGCACCAGCCGGGGAAGTACCTATCGGATTCAAACCCCACCCAAATCCATTACTCTTATCTTATGGTATGCCAAATCATGGATTTTTCCCAATTGATTCTATAGATGTTAATATTGTTGATTATCCATTTCAAACTACTTTAGACCATGCCAAACCTAACGGTAGTTCAACAAGTGATAAGATCAATGATTTGAAATCATCAGATTCGGAAAATAATCAACATGATTCATTACATACTATTCATATTGAAAGAATTCCCAAAGATCCTAAATTAATGGGATTGAAATCAGGTTTACAGTATGCTGCTGTTGAAGGACACCAACAATTATTACAATTCACTAAAGATTTTATTCAACGTACACATAATCCAAATTATGATAACTGGACATCATTTATAACTAATGGAGCCAGTGATGGATTAAACAAAGCATGTGATGCTTTATTAGATCCCGGTGATGTTATCTTGGTCGAAGAATTCACGTTTAGTCCATTTTTAAGATTTCTGGAAAATTCAGGTGCAATTGCCATTTCTGTTAGACTTAATTTAAATAAGGAGTCCGATGGACTTGATTTAGATCATTTGGTTGGATTATTGGAAAATTGGAAAGAGGAACATCCTGAATTACCTAAACCTAAAGCATTATATACTATTGCTACAGGTCATAATCCAACTGGTTTTACACAATCTTTAGAATTTAGAAAAAAAGTATATGCTTTAGCTGAAAAATATGATTTTGCGATAATTGAAGATGATCCTTATGGTTATTTGACATTACCTACTTATACCAAACCAGATCTTACTAAAAATCCAACTAGAAATAAAAGTGATATCACTGTTGATGATTATTTAAAAAATCATTTGACTCCTTCATATCTTGAATTAGATACTACCGGAAGAGTCATCAGGGTAGAAACATTTTCTAAATTGTTTGCTCCGGGTTTAAGATTAGGTTTTGTCATTGCTCATGTTAAAATCATTGAAGCTATTAAAAACTACAGTGAAGTTATCAATCGAGGAGCGCTGGGATTAACTCAAACTATAGTTAACAACGTCATCCAAGATAATTTCAAAGGAGTTGAAGGATGGTTAGAATGGATTTTGAAAATGAGATCTAACTATGCTTATAGAAAGGATTTATTATTATATTCCATATTTGAAAGTGAAGCCTACAAGAAAGGATATGTTGATGTAATTGATCCAAAAGCTGGTATGTTTGTTACATTTTTAATTAATTTACCTCCTGATGTAGATGTATTAGCAAAAATGAAGTTATTATTATGGAAATTAATTTCCTATGGAGTTCTGGTTGTTCCGGGATATAACATGACTGTTGATCAAGAATATAGTAAAGCAAGAAGTAATTTCTTTAGATTGTGTGTTGCCATTGCTAATAATGAAGATGAGATATTAGAAAGTGGCAAGAGATTAACTGATGGTGTCCTTGAATTCTTCAACAACGGTTTAGAATATTGATTGACTTTGTAAGTTGATACAGTGGTTATTTCGTAAAAGTGTATCTGGATTTAAAAATTGATCTGCACACGCAGTTGTCACAATACACACGACTTTGTAATATTTTAATCTACGATCTCTTTCTCTCTCTCCCTCTCTCTCTCTCTCTCCTTTACTTGTCCTTACAACAATAAAAAGGAGACAGTAAAAAAATTTTTTGCTTTTGTTCTATTCGTTCACTATCACTATCACGAGAAACTCTTATCAGCAACCACCAACCTCGTAAGCATAAATAAGATGTCATTCAACTTTGCTAATTTCACCAAGGATTTGAAATCATTTGGGGATAGAATCTCCACTGAATTCAACAAAGAAGTTGTCCCATATGCCCAAAGAACCTCAAGAATGGTTCAAGAAAAAATGGGTAATATTAAAGAAGATGATATTAGTCAATTACCATCTGAATATATAGAATTGGCTAATAAATGTAACAATATTGAGAAATTATACAAGAATGTTTTGAAAATTACTAATAATTATGAAAATGAAAGTTATGATTATCCATCAAATATTCAAGAAAATTTAAGTGAATTTGGTAAAAATATTACTACTAGAGTTTCAAATGTTGCTAAAGCTACTACTACTGCTGAAGCTCAAGCAGCTTTAGTTAATCCAAATAATGGCGAATTTAAACCTCCAAAAACTTTATATCATGCTTTAAGTAGAGCTACTGATGCGTCTATTTTAACTACTGATAAATCAAATGATCCATTAATTAAAGGATTGGATTTATATTCATCAAATTTAAACAAGATCGCTAATGCAAGATTAGGACAAGATCAATTAATTAAATCTAAATTCAATAAACCTTTGACAACTACTTTACGTTCATTAATTAGTCAATCAAATAGTATTCAAAAGAAAGTTGAAGATAAAAGAATTGATTATGATTTAGCAAGAAGTAATTTGGCTAATTGTACTAATCCTCAAAAAGAACCAAAATTAAGAGTTGATATGGAAAGTGCCGAAGATGAATTTGCTAATACTGTTGAAGATGCCATTAATGTTATGCAAAATGTATTGGAGAATTCTAAACCATTGGAAGAATTTTTGGAATTAATTAAAGCTCAATTGGCCTATCATAAATTAGCTACTGAATTATTGGATGGTATGGTTAAATATTTTGATGAATTGATTGACGAACAACACAAATTGAGTTCAAGTGCAGTTACTAGTGGTAGGGAATCTGGCGATTTTGATATCTAGTTTTCACCTTCTTGAAAAGGAAGACACACCATTTTTTTGCTCATCTTTTCAAATACTATTTATATGTATATTAGTTTATCATTTATTAATTGTTTTCTTAAATAATTCTATCTCTCTTTTTTTATTATTATTATTATTTTTATTATTACTTGATGTTAATAAATAAATTATTCATTTTTAGTCTCCCGAATTGTCTATATTTACCTGGATTCTAATTTTAATGATTCTAAACGGGCATCAATTGCCAGAGAACCTTCAACAGCTGAACCTTCTAACAATTTAGCATGAATTGATTGTAATGCCCTAAGGGTATCTTTTTCATTTATAACAGCACTAATATTAATTTCATTAGCACCTTGACTGATCATTTCAATATTAATTTTTTCATCAGCCAATACTTTAAACATATTACCAGCAATACCAATGAAATTTACCATTTGTTTACCAACCAATGAAACAATGGTCATTTTTTTAGTAACATCAACAGTACCCATTTTTTTCAATTCAATTAATGCATGTTTTAAATGTAATTCTTGATCACTTTGAATTGATAATGCCATTGATACATGAACTTCAGAAGTTGAAATCAAATCAACAACTAATTTATACCTATCTAAAGTAGTGAAAACATTAGCTAAGAAACCATGACTTAATGTTTTTTTATTTGAATGAATATTAATAACAACAATATTTTGTTTTGCAGTGATTGCTGTAGCTGATCTTTTCTTTTGAAGCAAACTCAAATCCAATCTTTCATAAGCAACTGGAGGATGTGGAGGTGTTGCTTCACCACGTCTACCAATATTATCAGGATAAATAATAGTACCATTACCGGTTGGATTTTCAACATTTTTAATTCTAATTGGGATTTTAGCCTTGATGACTTGTTCCATAGTAAATGGATGAATAACTTCAGAACCATAATATGTCAATTCTGCAGCTTCTTCAGGGGTAACACTATCTAATAATCTTGCATTTGGAACTTTTCTTGGATCAGCAGTGAAAATACCATCAACTTCTTTCCAAATTTGTAATTCTTCAGCTTGAACTCCAACTGCTCCTAAAGCAGCACATAAATCAGTATATCCTCTACCAACACCATTCAATAAACCACCTGGAACAACACCAAAATAACCAGTCAATACAGGAATAGCATCCTTTTCATCTTTGAATTCCAAGATTTTCTTTCCAATTTCTTGGGACAAATATGCATAAAATGCATCATCGAATCCTTTATCAAAATCATAATTTAATGGAATAACATCTTGAAGATTAATATATTTAGCATTTAATCCATGATCTTTCATTAATGCAGCCATGAATAAACAAGATAATTTTTCACCAACTGACATAATTGAATCCAATGATCTTGCACTAATTTCACCAATAATCATACATGCATGTAATAATTCTCTAACATGTTCAATTTCTTTTTTAGTATCATTAATTAATTCTTGTTTAATTTCTTCATTTTTTATACGATCTTGAGCATTTTGAACATGATCATCTTCAATAACTTGTAATAATGAAGTATAATCTTGATTATCTTCAGCTAATTCAGCACTTTTCAATAATCTCGAAGTAGTACCTTCACTTTTAGTTTGACTTGATCTAGCTGAACATACAATTGCAACTCTATTAGTTTCAGAATATACTTTAACAATATTATCAACTATATTTTCAGGAAATTTCCCAACTGATGTACCTCCAAATTTTTGGATAATCCATCCACCACAACCATCATTTCCAGAAATTGAACTTGATGATGGGACTTTTTGGAAATCTGTAACGGAATTATAAGATCTTGATGGAAGTCGAGAAGGTGATCTAGACATTATTATTTTTTCTTCTTTATTGGAAAGATCTTAATTTTTTCTTAAATGAAAATAAACGAAACACGAAAGATTCAAACTGATTAGAAATTTTGTGGATTGATAACAACCTTAATCTAAAATCAACAACAAAAAAAAAAAAAAATTAGAAAAGGAAAAAGAAGCAAATTAAAAAAAATAAAACAGTGTTGTTTATTGGTTATTAAAATTCTCCATTTGTTGAAAAGTTGAAAAAAAAAAAAAATTCTTAGACCATATTCTTACGTAATCAATTAGAAAATGAGTCAATCGCACGAGGTACCGGAACAGGGGACAGGTAGTGTCCCGATCATCGGGCTTTATGAAAATTGTATCACAATTACAATTTAAATAATTATCAAGTCACATGACCGAATGTCATGCAGTAAATAGACTAATGGAGTCTACAGACCTGTAACGCAACTAACCAGTCGGTTAAATAAAGGTGGGTTTAAACAACTGATGTGGTTCTTTCTTTTTTTGGTTTGATCTGATTACATCATCTGATAATTATCAGCTCATCTTGCACAGAAAAAAAAAAAAAATTCTTAGTGAAAAATTATTGCCTTGTACGATCAACCGCATCAAGTGATATTTGTATACATTAGTTTCCTGGAATTATCCACACTCTTATTTTTCCTTCTTTTTAGTAGACATATTATCAACCTATTATCATGGCTCCAAGTAAGAGAACTCAAGTTGAAGAAACTAAACCTGTTGCTAAGAAACAAAACACAACATTTAGTAAGAAAGATATTCAATCTTTTTTCACAAAACAAATCTGGGATACTAAATTTCAAGATGATTTGAAAGATCAAATTGCTAATTCAGAACCGTATAAATGGGGTTCAATCACTGATTTAATTGATGATACATTATTAAGAAATGTTAGAAAAGAAGTCTTATCAGAAATTGCATTCACTAAAAAAGAAACAGATATTTATAAAGTTTTCCAACTGGGTGATTTAGCTAATTTATCAGGATTAAATTGGGATGATTTACTGAGATTACCAAGTTTATATAAATTACGTGCTGCTATTTATTCTCAAGAATTTAGAGATGTGATTAGTAAAGTTACCGGATGTGGAAAATTAAGTGGAGTTAAAACTGATATGAGTATTAATACTTATAGAAAAGGATGTCATTTATTAACTCATGATGATGTTATTGGAAGTAGAAGAGTTAGTTTTATTTTATATTTACCTGATCCTGATAAGACTTGGAAACCTGAATTTGGAGGTTCATTAAGATTATTCCCATCTATTGTACCAAATGTTCCAAAAACTGATTTCAGTGCTAAATTTACTCCACAATTTAATCAAATTGCATTTTTCACCGTTCAACCAGGTTTATCTTTCCATGATGTTGAAGAAGTTAGATTTGATAAACATAGATTATCAGTACAAGGATGGTTCCACATTCCACAACCTGGTGAAGATGGTTTCATTCCAGGTGAACAAGAAGCTACTGAAGCCAGATCTACTTTACAACAATTACAAAGTAAAGAATTGCAAGAATTTGATTTCCCTAAACCAATTAGAAATGATTTAGATCTTGAACAAGTTAAATTGATTGAATCAACTACTGAATTGAATGAATCAGAGTGGAAATACCTTAGTGAATTCATTAATCCAGCTTATTTGACTCCAGAAACATTGAAAAGTTTAAATGATAGATTTTTAGAAGAATCAATTGTTGAAATTAATGAAATTTTAAAACCTGAATATGCTGAATCTTTGAGAACTGCCATGAGAGATTTAGAAATTAACACTGCAACCCCACAATTATCTAGTGAAGTTTCACATCCTTGGAAAGTTGCCGTTCCACCACATAAACAAAGATATTTATATATTGATGGTAAAGCACCAATTGAATTAACCGAAGAAGGTATTAATTTTGCTAATAAAATAGGACCTCAAGAATTTCCAAATTATGAACTTTTACAAAAAGCATCATTATCTAGTGAGGTCGATGTTAAATTGGTAACATTAGCTTCATTCTTGAAATCCGTTGCTTTTAAGAAATGGATTAAATTGATCACTTCATTGATTGTTACATCCGACCAAGTTTTAGTCCGTAGATTTAGACCAGGTCATGATTTCATTTTAGCCACCACAACAGATAAGAATCTTGCTCGTAATGACGAAGAAGAAAATGTTTTACTTGAAGCTACTTTAAATTTAACACCAACAGCAACTGTTGCAAAGAATTGGGAATCTGGTGAATTTGGTGGATATGAATTATGTATGGCTGATAAAGAAGAAGATGAAGATGATGATCCAGCTGTTTATAAAGCAAGTGATCCAAACGATGACACTGTTTTGTTCACTAATCAATGTAAATGGAATTCATTGACATTGATGGTTAGAGATCCAAATGTTTTGAAATTTGTCAAATATGTTAGTATTAATGCCAAAGGATCAAGATGGGATATTAGTTGTCAATGGAATGTTAAAAGTGATGACCAAGATGATGACCAAGATGATGACGAAGAGGAGTAAGTAAGCTAGACAGATAGTGTAATGATAGATATTATTATTGTGTTTTTGTATGATTATGAATAAATAAAAGCGTCTTAGCGCAAATATTGTCAAATCTTGTAAGAAACCCCATCTTTTTTTTCATATTAGTTATCGAGGATAGTATTGCTTGATTTGGCTAAATTTCACGAGCAGAGGCAACACAAAATTCCGAGGGTTACTCGTTCCCAGACTTCCGGTCTCGTTGGGTCCTTTTTTGGTTTGTCAATACGAAAAGAAATTTTTTTTGTTTTTTATTTTAATTTTCATGTGGGAAAGAAAAAAAAAAAATTAGAAGAAGAAGAAGTATAAATAAAAATCAGCAGAGATTCTCTTTTTTTTTTTCATAGAAATTTGATTTAGAGTTTCACATTCTTTCCTTTCGTGCTTGTTGTTTACCTTGTCTTGAAAAAGAAGAAGAAGAACGCCATCTTTCTGAATTCATTATCTTTTGGTATTTCCTTTCGTAAACTACATTTATCAAATCCCATGTCTGAACCAATTGTTGAAGCCGCTAGTGAACCAGTTATTGAAGCTGTTACTGAACAAGTTGTTGAACCAGTTCTTGAAGCCGTTGCTAGTTCTGATCCAAACCCTTTGATTGTTTTTGCCACAGTTGCAACTATTATTTCCACATTTATTGTGTTGTACTTCTTTAAACAATCCCAAAAGAATAAACCAGTTTTAAAACCAGATGAATTCCAAAACTTCCCATTGATTGAAAAAACCAAAGTCAGTCACAACTCTGCCATTTACAGATTTGGTTTACCTAAACTGACCGATAGATTGGGCTTACCAATTGGTCAACACATTTCCATTGGTGCTGTCATCAATGGTAAAGAAATTGTTAGATCTTATACTCCAATCTCCACTGATGATCAATTAGGTCATTTCGATTTGTTGATCAAGACTTATGAAAACGGTAACATTTCTAGACATGTTGGTGACAAGAATGTTGGCGAACACGTTCAAATTAGAGGTCCAAAAGGTTTTTTCACTTATACTCCAAATATGGTTAAAAGTTTTGGTATGATTGCCGGTGGTACTGGTATTGCTCCAATGTATCAAATTATCACTGCTATTTTGAAAAATCCAGAAGATAAGACCAAAATCCACTTGGTTTATGCTAATGTTACTGAATCTGACATCTTGTTAAGAGAAGAATTGGACAATTTCGCTACTAGACACGCAGACCAATTCAAGATTCACTATGTTTTGAATGAAGCTCCAGCTAATTGGGAAGGTTCTGTTGGTTTTGTTACTCCAGAGATTATTGATACTCATTTACCAAAAGCTAGTGGTGAAACCAATTTGTTGTTGTGTGGTCCACCACCAATGGTTAGTGCTATGAAGAAAGCCGCTGTCGGATTAGGTTTTGAAAAGGCTAAACCAGTTTCTAAATTGGGTGATCAAGTCTTTGTTTTCTAGATTAATTAATGTCTGTTTGAGTGTATACTAGAGACCTACAATAAACATCTGCAATTTACTAAAAACCGTTTCGTGGTTTTAGTTGATGTATGTACATCGTATAGACCCTTTTCTCTGTCGTCTGATGGTTGTAGTGAGGCTCTGGTTCGTGGTGGGTACGGTCGGGTGTGGATAAGAAAAAAGAAAAAATATTACCTGTCGGTTAGAGGCGTGTCCTCGGTACTAAAAAGACAAAATTCCCTTAGTGTGTGTGGGCGATAACACAAAATAAGACGAAAAAGAAACATTCAACAGCAATTCGTGATTTTCCGTTTCTGATAGTCATTTAAATTTTTTACAACCAATCCTTTATTACATTTTTTTTTTTTTTTGTTGTTGTTGAATCTTTCTTTTCTTTATCAATCAGAAAGCTTTTGTTTGAAATCTGCTTTTTTTTTATTTATTATTCTATAGACAGTTGCTTTATAACAGATTACAGTTTGATTTAGTATTATTTAAGAATATACTCTCATACCCCACAAACACATTCACACATTCACTGAGGAGACAGATATAGATTATATTCCACGTGCATCCATGTATTTGAATCTTTTGGCAGCACTTGTTTTACTACTACCATCTAGTTTGTCGTCAGTATTAGAAGACGAGATCAGACCTTCATATTTTGAAGTGGCAAAGGATAGTTATATCCAGAATGTTCTTCATGATGAATCGAGAGAAATCAAAATCGATAGTATATTGCACGACCCATTATATTATAAAGATTACCCACCAGTGATAAGTTTCCCTAAAGCTTCACAACGTACATTACATCCAGGTGAGATCCCAGATTATGTTATCAAATATGCTCCTTTAGTTTATCTTTATAGTGAGGAACGATATTTCCCTTATGATATTAAGAAATTTGTCACTAATTTCCATGTTCGTTGGAAAAATGGTACCGTTGTTCCAGGCACTGAACACGATATGAACTTGGAAAAATTATCCAAATTACCAAATAGCACTCATTTATTCTTAACCGCCAATTCCGATTTCGACTGTGACCCAGAATGGATCACTGGACTTAAGAATAAACCAAGTTTAATTGATGGCGAAATCAAAGATGCACCAGCTACTTTAATTGTGGTAGATAAAGGGAATGGCTGGGTTGATGCATATTGGTTTTATTTCTATTCTTTTAATTTGGGTCCATATGTTATGGGACAAGGTCCATATGGTAACCACGTGGGAGATTGGGAACATTCATTGGTGAGATATTATAAAGGTAAACCAATTATTGTTTGGATGTCAGCGCATAGTGGAGGAGGTGGCTATTATTATCAAAAGTTGGAAAAATATGCCATGGATCCGAACCATCCTATTATTTTCAGTGCTAGAGGCACTCATGCCAATTATCCAAGTGTAGGTCAACACCCTCATGATTTGCCATACACCATTTTAAGCGATTTCACTGATAGAGGTCCATTGTGGAATCCTTCATTGAATTACTTGGGTTATACCTATGATGGGAAACATGTTTACCCGGGAAACAATTCCAATCCTAAACATGTTGGTAGAGAATGGGATTATGGAAATTGGTTATCATTTAGAGGACACTGGGGAGATGATACTTTACCAGGAAATGATTCTCGTCAAGTTTATTCGTTTATTGGTGGATATAAATACATCGGAGGTCCAACTGGTCCATTGAGTAAGCATTTATTAAGATTAGAACCATGTCAAGATGCCCAATGGTGGAATTTTTGGAAGATTTGTAATGTTAGAAGTGATATTCAATGGGGAGTTGGTGTTGAAAGTGAAGGTTTCAATTGTGCAAGATTGACTACTGGCATTAAACCACATTGGTTAAGAAAAACAATTCAAGGTTTAATGTGGGGTGGTGGAATTTGTTTCATTGCTAATTTATTGGACTAATTCACAAAAGAAGAGAGACAAGGAGATGTGGTTTATTTATTCTTTTTTCTTACGTAGTACGTTATTTTAGTTTATTTCTTATATTAGAGTTTCTTAATGTTAATGATTGGATTTTTATTTTGGTAATTATGATGCAGGGTTTGAGATGACTTTTGTGCCAAAAAAAAAAAAAAAACAATATCTCTTAATAATGGTTGTGATCATCATATCTTTGATGAATATCAATTAAACCCCAGTACCGAGTCATATTATGACAGAGATGACCTTACAAGCGGCTAATCAATGACTTTAATTAATTTCATTACAAATCTCCTTCCATTTGAGTCACTTTATTGTATGCTTACGGCGTTATTATTTCTTTTTTTTTTTCTGATTACCGATAAAATGCAACAACATCTCACGTGAGCAAATACATTTTTTTCTTTCTTTTTTTTTTTGCAACGGCATCTTGAAATTTTTTTTTTTTAGTTCAATCGCCTTACAAATGCATTATATCAAATGCTTCTATAATTCGAGTAGATTCCCGATTACAAAATCTACAATTGATGTTGTATACATACTCATTTCTATCGTGATATAATTTTTTTTTTTTTTTTTGCTTTTCCTTATTACTTTTCTTTTTGTTTTTATTTCAAATTATCCGATACTTTCTTGTTTTAAATCATGTCAAAAAAAGCATTTGATGATGTTACTACAACCATTCCAATAACTGGTTCTTCAACATTAACTAATACTAAATCAGCAACCGCAACCGGATCCGTATCAAAACATCAAACCGAAACTGACTCATCAGTACCTGTTTATACTTCCGGTTCAAAATGGAGAAATTTTGTTGATTCTTTTAAACCAGCTACTGAAACAGAACAATTCACTTCTATTATTCGTGATGATTCAGAAGCAAATTGGGATGATCAAGATGATGAAAAATTAACAGAAATGCAAAAAATTAATCTTAATAGTTCAAAATCTAAACTACAAAGAAAACTTAAAAATAGACATTTACAAATGATTGCTATTGCTAGTTCAATTGGTAGTGGGTTATTAATTGGTACTGGTGGTGCATTAGCTACTGGTGGACCAGGTGGGGTTTTAATTGCTTGGATTTTAAGTGGTATTTCAATTTTATGTACTATTCAAGCAATGGCGGAATTATCTGTTACTTTCCCTGTTGTTGGTGGGTTTAATCAACATTTTAGTCGTTTTATTGATCCAAGTGTTTCATTTGCTGTGGCTTGGAATTATGTTTTACAATATTTGGTATTACTTCCTTTGGAATTAGTTGCTGCTTCAATGACTATACAATATTGGAATACCACTGTTAATCCGGATGTTTGGGTTATTATATTTTATGTTGCTGTTATATCAGTTAATATGTTTGGTGTTAGAATGTATGGAGAAGTTGAATTTGTTCTTAGTTCTTTGAAAGTTATTGCCGTTATTGGTTTTATTATTCTTTCCCTTGTTTTAGCTGCTGGTGGTGCTCCAAATGGAGTTCATCATGGTACCAAATTTTGGCATGATCCAGGTGCTTTTGCAAATGGATTTAAAGGTACAGCTAGTACTTTTATTACCGCTGCTTTTTCTTTTGCCGGTACTGAATTGACTGGGTTAACTGCTGCTGAAGCTGAAAATCCAAGAAAATCTCTTCCAAAAGCATGTAAACAAGTCTTTTGGAGAATTTTATTATTTTACATTGTTAGTATTATTTTAATTACATTTTTGGTTCCTTATGATAATCCAAGATTATTGGGTAGTTCTGATATTTCAGCAAGTCCTTTTGTTATTGCTATTCAAGAAGGTGGAATTAGTGGATTACCATCAGTTATGAATGCCGTTATTTTAATATCTGTTATTTCAGTTGGTTCATCTTCAGTTTATGCAACTTCACGTACTTTGGTTTCACTTGCTGAACAAAATTTGGCACCAAAAATTTTTGCATTTGTTGATCGTGGAGGTCGTCCAATGGTTGCTATTTTACTTACTAATGTATTTGGATTATTAAGTTTTATAGCGGCTAGTGGTAAACAAGAAGAAGTTTTCACTTGGTTATTATCTATTTCTGGGTTATCTAGTATTTTCACCTGGTTAGCAATTTGTGTTTCTCATCTCAGATTTAGAAGAGCAATGACTGTACAAGGAAGATCAATTAGCGAATTGGCCTTTGTATCTCAAACTGGTATAATCGGATCATGGTTTGGTGTAATTTTGAATATTTTAGTTTTAATTGCAGAATTTTGGTTATCTCTTTTCCCATTAGGTGATAAACCAAATGCTAAAGGATTTTTTGAATCTTATTTAGGTTTTGTTATTTTAATTGTCTGGTATATTGGTCATAAAATCTGGAGACGTAATTGGATTTTATTCCATAGAGCTAAAGATATTGATATTGATAGTGGTAGAAAAGAAAGTGATATTGAAGCATTGAAAAGAGAATTAGAAGAAGAAAGGTTTATTATGAGCACCAAACCTTGGTGGTATAGAACTTATAATACTTGGTGTTAGTCTAGATAGAAATACACGTTTATAGATATTTTGATTTCCTCTTTCATCGATATCTTCTCTCTCTCTCTCTCTCTCTACCAGTCCCCCACGGCTAAGCCGACAAGTGGAGGAAAAGTGCGACTCATCTGGTCGTGCCACAAAAAAAAATAAAAAATAATTCGACCCACGCAAAGGACAGTAGTTCTGACTTAGGTCGTTTATTACCGCCGCTTATGTAAGCCACCCAAGCGAGTCAACGAGCCGAAGGAAAAAAAAAATAACTTTAAAGAAAAAAAAAAAAATTAATTAAAGTTAAATTGGAGGAGAAGAAGAAGAAGAAGAAGAAGAATCAACCCAATTTTAAAACAAAACCTTGAAAATTAAAAAAGGTAGAGACTGAAATTATTGCTTGATTTTTGTTTATTTTTTTTTTATTTCATCCACGTTTTGATGTCTACTTATCATCCTAATTTTGGATCCTCTGGTAGTGGAGGTGGTGGACTAGGGAGTGTTTTCAAATCAATCACAAAGACCTTTAAAACTTCATCAACTAGAAATGTCCCAGTTACTATTAATCCAACTGTTGTTGGAGGAGGTCAGGAATTACAACATATCATTCAACAATTAGAAACTACTACATCCAACTCAACTAGACTTTCGGCATTAAATAAATTGACTGATTCTATATACAAATATCTGATTTCTTCAGTTCCTGAAATTTGGTATCTTGTTCATCATTATTGTGAATATAATAATTCTAAATATTCAAGAGATGTTAGAAGAGCAGCATTGAAATTATTAACTGCATGTATTAAAAAAGATGCAAGTTCAGGAATTGGATCTAGAATACGATATTTTAATGATATTAATACCTATTGTATGTTTCAAAATAATCGAACAGATCCGGATTATGATTTATTTTTAGAAGCTTTAATTGCATTAACTAATGATGGGAGAGATATTCATGATTTTATAATTTATGAAGATCGAAATAATTTAAATGTTTTCTTGGAAAATTCCTTAGGTGAATTGATTGAATCACTGAATAAATATCATTATGAATGGGATGAAAAAGTTGAAGATTTAAAATTAAAAGATAAAAATTTTTCAAATATTCTAAGGATAATTGAATTCACTACCAATTGTATCAAGTTTAATTATGCTACGTTTAATGAAACCACTCTTGTTTGGATAATAAGACATCTTATACGAACAGAATCTAATAACAAGCAGATTTTGTCAGCCATTATTGATTGCTTTAATTCCGTGTTGATTTATGGGCATGCTCCTGTAGATTGTATTCCTGATACGCTACGGTTCTTATCAATAATTTACGGATCAAGTATTGATACTGAGTTGAATGATTTGGTTTGGAGATGTGCAAACAACATGTATGCTGAAGATTCTGTTCAAATTGTGATTATGTCTTTATGTGACAACATCGCCAACCCAGAATTGAATCCATATAAAGTTCAATCAAGTGAAGGCAGAAAGATGTTATATGCATGTATTGGATCCATTAGATTGTTACGACAATTCCAAGCAAGAGCATCGTGTCAGAAGCATAATTTATTTGAATTGGCTCTAATTGATGTACTAAGAGCATACAAAGTTGCATTATCAAGTGGGATTTCCTTAATTAATAATGAGATTCTAGACTGTTTTGATAAACTATTTGCTAAAGAAGCTTATCCTGATAATTTTGACATTACATTTAATGGTTCTATGGATAAGGTTTTCCCATTCCATTTATGGTATTCAACTAATTCCATCTATGATTTGTTGAATTTATTGCAAGTCAATAATGATCAAGAGAAAGGTCGTCTTCAAAGTATTTGTTTATCATTGCAATCATTATACGAAAGTCAAGAGTTACCGACACCAAAGGATAAATTAATTGATTTTTTTACGAATTATATTGAATATTTACCCCTTGGAACAATCATATTTGTTTTACAATACTATGATGATGAAAAAATGTGTTCATTGTTGAATCCATTTTGGAAGGAAAACTCAATGAAACTTCTAAGTCATTTTTATTTCAACAAGGGAGTAGAAGTAACAGTAAGAGTTAGATGTCTACAGGTGATTCTCAATGCTTACAGTACTTCACTTGCGGTTTTCAATGATGAAGATATAAAGTACGAAATTGTGATTGAAATATTAAAGCGATCCCTTGATGAAACAAATGATGAAGTCTTGCATTACTTGGTGGATATATTATTTGGAGAAGTTTTATTGAAATGCCCTGGTCTGGTATTTAAACAATTGGTTTCTATAATAATCCCACTATTCCAAGAAGTTCCTGATAAACCATCTCAAATACTGGCTATGGATGCACCTACAATAGCAAGAAGTTTTATTAGTTCAACAAACACCACGACGGTTGCACATGAAGAACAAAATACCAAAATTCAAGAAAGTTTTGCTAAATTATTTTGTACAACATTTATCAAATCTCAACCAAAGAGAGCACAAGAGTGCTATGAGACATTGATTCAAATTGCCAACTTGTCAAAGAATAATAGTATGGTGCTTTTGATTATTGCTAAATGTTTTGTTCGAGTTAGAACAACGACAGAGAACTACATATACTATACAGAACCTAGTGATATGGGTGGTTTAGCTGCTGCTTTCAAGAGGGATACTACTAGTATCCATCAAGGACAATGGTCATACCCAGAAACTGTGGACTATTTACCGCAGAAGTATTTTAATAATCCAAACAGAAGATTGCTATTGAAAGTTACTCGCGATCAAGAGGAGGAGAACGAATGTGACAAATCGTATATTGACATACAAAATTGGCTTCAATTAGCATTATACATTATGGAAAATTTTATTGATTGGGAAGTTTATTCATATGTATGTGCACATTTTGTTGGACAATTATCAAATATGCAATTGTTTTATCATTGTGATGAAGAAATAAGTAGATTAAGATCGGTATTATGTGATCAATTAGCCTTAAAATTCCCACCATCTTTAAGATTCCCAAAGGACAATGAAATCACTAGAGCTGATTTACAAGTTGCATTTGTAAGAAGTTTTTCAGCATTTATTGGATATCATGAAAAATTTACTAAAAATGATCAAGATCATATTATCAATAGTTTATTAATTGGAGCTGGATCTTGGGAAAAAACTGCCATTCCGTGTATTAATATGCTTACAGTTTGTTGTTATGAAAGTCCTTTGTCAATTATGAAATTTTTAAATTCAATCTTGACTAAATTACAAACTAAAATTACTAGTGTTAATGCTGCTGCTCATACGTTGGAATTTTTAATTTCTTTAGCTGAAGTTCCAAAACTTACTGTAAATTTCACAATTGAAGATTTTAAACAAGGATTTGGTATTGCGTTCAAGTATATTCAGTATGCTAAAGATTTGGAGAAAAGAATAAATTCTACATCTCAACAACAACAACAACCACTGTTGATCCAAACTCATGGTGTGGATGCTGAAGTTGAACAAGCACCACTGACAAAGCAACAAGAAATCACACCAGTTTTAGCACAATATATCTTGTTATTATCTTATGATGTGGTAGCAAGTTGGTTTGTTACATTAAAGTTGAACGACAGAAAATTATTACTGGGATTTATTATCAAGAACTTGAAATTATGTAATGAAGACACGGAAAAACTTGATGACTTTACCATTGGACTTCTTGATTTGATTACCAGATTCACATCTACAGATTTGCCATTAGAAATGGGTTACAATGCCAGGAGAATAAGTACCAATAGTACAAGTATGGGTAAATGGATTGTTGATAATTCTGTGGTCTCAATAGAAACAGATTCTATCAAAGGAGATACTGAATTATTGATTAGGAAACCAACTGGCGTTTGTAAATTCAATATAACATTGGATCACCCAGGGATATTGAAGAATTCATCACCTATGGTTATGCCTACTTATTTTCTACTGCAGTTGATTGTTGATGGGAACAGTCAATGTGAACCACAACCAATTCCTGATGATACCGATACAAATCGTGCTATATCAGTTCTTGATCGTATTCCAAGTGTGCAATTTTATAAAGTTGGGATCATATATATTGGTAGACATCAAATCACTGAAAATGAAGTTTTTAATAATAAAATTGGATCACCGGATTATCAAAAATTCTTGCTGGAAATTGGAGATTTGCTTGTTTTGAAAGGTTGCAGAAATGTATATACCGGAGGGTTAGATACTGAGAATAATATGGATGGAGAGTTTACAAGATATTGGAGAGGTAAATTCACGCAAATGGTATTTCATGTGGTAACAATGATGAATAACAGTAATACCATACAGCAGAATGAGAATTTATCAGATATTGAAATTCAAAGATTAATTGATATGAAAAAGAGACATATTGGGAATAATTACGTTAATATTTTCTTTGATGAATCAGGAAATGAGTTTAATTTTAATTTAATTAAAAGTCAATTCAATTTCCTTAGTATTGTTATATCCCCACATACATTATCTAATGATTTTACAATATCAGATCTTCATAAGAAATCCAATTCAAATTCTAAATTTTTCAAAGTTAAAACTTACAGAAGAGGTGGGATTCCTCCATTATTTGGTACTTCACATTACAAACTTATAAGTGAGAATGAATTGGCTACATTTATAAGAACCACAGCAATATTAGCCAATATTTTTGCTAATACATGGCATGGTGGTAGATTAGTATGGGAGCAAAGAGTTAAACAATTAAAATTAATTGAATCTTATAGTAAGAAGAATACATAGATTTTTTTTTTTTTTTTTTAGAGTGGAGTTTTTCCGTTATCTCGAAAAAGGTGGCTTAGTTATCATGTAGGGTAAATTAAAAATCTTATTGTTAATGTTCAGTTTGCGTTGTGTCTGAGTCTGACAGACTTTAATTATTGGTAGCTTACGTGCATGAACTAATGTTGTTTCTTATTGACAAGTTCATAACCATTGAATTGAATTGATCCTCGAAGTGAAGGGGGAAATAAAACGGAGGGTGTTTAATTCATCTAAAGGAATGAATAATGATTACCATGTTTTACATATACATAGATTGGAGCTATTATCAAGAAGAAACACCCTTAACGGAATAATTATTCTAACCAATTACTAATACCAAAGGTACTTTCTCTTCATAAAATATATTATGGCATGAGTTTGAAAAGCCGTGTTTTTATTTTTTCTTAAATTGAGGTTTGTAGTTTATGTGATATTCCGATATCGATAAATAAATTATAATTTAATTACTCAAAAAATGACGAAACTGAATCATAAGCCACGTGATATATTTACACCACAGTTTACTTAATTTTTACATTATGTGAGGAAACAAAGAGAGGAGAAGTAGTGTATAGCCACTGCATGGTTGTAACTACAACTGTATTGACTTGTGATACTTGGTGTTTGATTATGATAATTGTCAAAACTAATCATCGATAAATCCGTTATCCGATGGTAATTCCCGACCCGTGAAATTTTTTATCTCCGATAAGAGAAAAATGGAAATTGCCACACTAAGTACAAACAAGAAATATATTGTATTTGTCATCTCTTAATAAAATAATATGTTCAACGGTTATAGGATCATGTACACGACCAACAAAGGAGAGAGAGAGAGAGAGAGAGAGAGAGAGAGAAAAAGAAATTTCATGGACTTTCAGGTCCACAACCAAGCAACAAGCAACAAGCAACAAGCAGGATGCAAGCAAGAAGCAATGATAATGCATCGTAATACTCCAAATTGCAAATATTGCTCGTTATTCATTTGAGGGAGGAATGGCAAATATGTATTTATATATATATTTATCATTAGTTGATCCTTTTATTCATATTTAAATTGAATATCTAGTGAACAAACCTTTGATAAGTTGTACATTCTAAGACATCCTTGATCGACCCGCGCGTGTGAATCGTTGTTTCAAATTTTGACGGACGCAAAATCTTTTTTATACGGCCTCTGCCCCCCCCCCCCCCGAACGGAACAGAGAGAGATATAAAAACTTGGAACGAGGCACTTTCAAAGAAAAAGAAAAAAATAAAATAAAAGCTATTCCCCCTAATTTTTTATTTTTTTTTTTTTTTTATTTTTCAATTTTTATTCTTATAGAAGAAAGCTCAATAATCTATGGTTTCGAGACAAATATCACCATTAGCTGTTCAAAATGCTATGGATTCAGTTCAAAATACATTAAGATTTGAAAATGATGCTGTTTCAAATTTATCATCACAATATCAAAATGATGAATATTCAATGAATAATTTAATTCAAAGTATTTCAATATTATATAATTCTGTGGTTTCAAATAATGGGAAGATTGTTATCACAGGAGTTGGGAAATCTTATAAATTGGGATTAAAATTAGTAGCTACTTTAAACTCATTATCTATTCATGCTTCTGGCTTACATCCTACTGACGCATTACATGGAGATCTAGGGTTGATTAATCAAGATAAAGATTGTTTAATAATGGTTACCTCAAGTGGTAATACTCCTGAATTAATGGAATTATTACCTCATTTTTCAACTACTTTACCAATCATTTTGTTAACTTGTTCAAGAAAATCAAAACTATCCGAACATAATCAAATTTCAAGTTTAATATTGGCTGAATTATTACCTTGTCATAAAGAAGAATTAATTCATGGTATACCCGCCCCAACTGTTTCTTTCACTTTAAGTTTAGTACTTGCTGATGCTGTCATATTAGCTCTACTGGAATTGATAGAAGCTGATGTTACTAAAAGGAAAAAACTATTTGGTTGTAAACATCCCGGCGGTTCAATTGGTGCCAATCTAAATAATCTTTCAAATATCACCACAACAACAACAGCAACAGTGTCTACAAATTCTTCAATGTTGAGTCTTAATTCAGCCATGTCAAGTTCATCATCATATAATTCATCGGAAGCAAGAGAAGAAGAATCAATTAAGGATATAACATATAAAGATTTACTACAACTTGAAGAATTGGAATTATTAAAATGGATAGTTAAATTTGATACTATAAAATTAATTGAACATGATGGGAAAATTTGTTTTCTTAATTGTGATTTTATTCAAAATTTATATAAACGTTATGATGGTTCAAATTGGGATAAATTTAAATGGGAATTAATACGGAAATTTACATAAATATTGCTTCAACAAAATGTAACATATAGATTTTAACTTTTAGTTTATTAACCAGGTGTTTTTATGTTTGATTTTTAAGTTTATATCAATATATATTATGTGTATGACCGACACAGTTTCAAGACGCGTCGTGTTTGATAATGTAATTTGGTCACTTATGGTGATCATAACCCTATATGAATGACAACTTGATAGTAATTATCAGGAAACGAATGGAACATAAAGTCTACTTAGTTAGTTGTTATCTCAAGACAAGTGATCGAAACTAGCGCAAGGTGAATTCTAAATGTAAATATACTACCTTAACATGATTCTTGTCTTCATTCGTGCTAATATTCCACACCATCTCTTCCACGAATATTTATCATGAATATCAGTTTTTTGATCTGTATATACTTGTTCACTAACAACAGAGTGATTTGGTTATCTCATATATATATTCAACCAGTAGTTAAGTAAATACCAAACCAGAGAATTCTAAAAAAAAGTTCAATATTTATTACATTTGAAATCTACAGTTATATTAAATAACAATAAAGATAATCTTTCATATATTAAAATTGATCAAGTATGATTTAGATGCTAGAAATTTGATGTAACGTTAGTAGACATCCATAATAAAAAAATTACAATATAACATTATTTCCCTCCGGGTTACAACTCAAGAACAAAAGAAAATGGAATAATCTTATCATCTTTTGAAGAAGAAAAAGAGAAATATAAATGTAGGCCAAAAAAAATTTCCATACATACCTTCTCGTTCCTTTTTATAGTTGGCGATTTGGTTTCTCACTCAAGGTCGTGTAAAATTGCACAACCCCCTGTTGACCACCCCCTTATTTACAGTTCATCGAATCAGACATGGACATCGAACATCAACAATTATATCTTATTGATGGATAAGTCACAACAAAACAAGGTCAACTGCTCAGCTACAAGTATCTACAAAATGAAAATGCTAATAAATATTAACTATAATAATTTAAAAACTCTTATATATTAAATATGTATACAAAAAGCAATCACAACGTTGAATCCATGTTGACAATACATTATCAACAAGAATACCAGAACGCCATGAGCTGTGCTAGATCGATTAAGATAAGGTTAGTAGCTTCCAAAAAAATCAACACACACAATTTCTAAGTGAGACAACAGGCAGGAGATAAAAGATACAACTCAAATCTAATTAACACTAATTGAGTCACTACTTCCACTTCTTCTGTTCTTATGAGTTGAATTTATTTTTTTTTTTTTTTTTTTTTTTTTTGTCTTTCTCCTTCTCCTCTCTCTCTTTCTCAGTCCACAATTGAATGTGACGTTTTACACGACCTTGTTACACTTAAATTGACTAACTAGATAATCGCAAACATGCCAACCTGTCTAACAGAAGTTTCGTTCAATTCATTTGAATTGATATTTCTTATTATAAATATAACAAATATTGATATAGTTGATTGCAATTAAAATAATAATCCGGTCTAACTCGTATTACTTATAGTTGTTGCAAATATACGTCTATAGCCTCAGATTCAACTTTACCAGAGTATATCATTCTTTCCATCCGAAGACAAGTCAAACCAGAGTTTGAATGACAGATCGGATACCTTATGTTAATTTATAAGAATATTCTACAATAGAACTACTTTAAATCGTCGTTTTAAATGAAATTATAACGTTTATAAAATGTTAAGACAACTAAGATAAAATATATACTCACAGATACTATAATCAAATATAATACTGGAAACCGAAACTAATGAAAATGTTAACCGAAAACTAGAAATAAAAAATGATAATGCAAATAATAATAAGGTGCTCAAAAGAATATATGCAACAAAAAAGAATATAATAAACCTGAAGGAAAATCAAAATCAAAAAAAAAGATATAATATGGCAACCAATGTAAGTCCTAGAACACTAGACTCTAAACGATGACAGACAATAATGTGAAAATAATAACCATAAATGAAGAAATTTGAGTAAATGAGGCAGTACCTTCATAAGTTGGAACTGTTAATGGGTTGGACTCAGATGCAGATGCTTGTGGAATGGATACAGAAGAAACTAGTGGAATGGATACAGAGACTTGTGGAATACCAGAACCATTACTAGTACTTGTAACCATGGTGGATGGAATAGGTGGGTTAGCGACATTAGTAGTTTCAGTGCTGACACTGGTTGAAATTGGAGCATCATCACCGACAGTCTTGGAAACAAAGTCACTTGCTGGGATGGAATTGTAAGGTTGTTGACCACCATGACCAGTAGAAACACTAGAAGTGGATGTAGAAGCAGCAACACCATCTGATTTGGAGGAACCAGAGCCAGACCCAGAAACAGAGTCAGAGTCAGAGCTTGAGACAGAACCAGAGACTGATTCAGAACCAGAGACAGCACCAGATGGTTGGGAAACAGTTGCAGGTGGAACACCATTCGTTTGAGTAACATTCTCAGAAGTGGTATCACTTGCAGACTCATCACCAGAATGAGAACCGCCAGTAGGTTGTTGACCAGAAGCAGATCCAGAACCATTGCCACCAGTAGATGCGGTAGAGACAGAAGGAATGATGTTACCTTGCTCTGGGACACTTGATGATTGAGATGGAACATTGTTGCCTTCAGAAGTCGGGAATGGAACAACAGTAGTCTCTGTGGTTTGGGAAGTAACAGTTGTGACAACACCATTTGGCTGAGAATTAGGACTATCGATACTTTCTTGCTCTGGAACACCTTGAGATTGAACTGGAGTATAACCAACTTCAGTTGATGACACTTCTGGAGAAACAGTAGAGTCGGTTGAAACTTCATTACCATCTTCACTTGATTCTTGTGGAACAGCTTGAGACTTAGTTGAGATTTCACTACCCCCTTCAGATGCAACTGGCACTTCGTTCCCAGAACTAGTTGGGAAAGGAACAACAGTAGTCTCAGTAGTTTGAGAAGTAATAGTTGTGACAAAACCAGCTGATAAAGAAGAAGAACCATCAATACTTTCTTGCTCTGGAACCCCATGAGATTCAGTTGGAATGTCACCAACTTCAGAACTTGAGTGTGGAACAAAAGTAGTTTCAGTGGATTGGGAGGTGCCACTACTGGAGAAACCTTCGACTTCAGATTTAATTTCATCACTGGTAGAAGATGCTTGTTGTTGTGAACTACCTTGAGATTCAGTTGATTGAATCGAACTGGATTGGGATTCAGCGACTTGAGAAGTAACACTTCTGGAGAAACTTTCTGCTTGACTTGTAGATTTGACATTGGAAGTAGATGATTGATATTGAGAACTACCTTGAGATCTGGATGAAATATTGCCATCTTGAGAAGATTGAATTGAACTGGATTGTGATTCAAACGAAGTATTGTCATTAGAAGTAGATGATTGCTCTTGTGAAACACATTGGGATTGAGATGGAACATTGGAACCCTCAGAAGTTAGGAAAGTAACAACAGTAGTCTCAGTAGTTTGAGAAATAACAGTTGTGACAACAGCATCTGATAAAGAAGAAGCACCTTCGATACTATCTTGATCTGGAACAGCGTGAGATTCAGAGGCAACTTCGCCACCATGAATTACCGGAATTGGAACAATAGTAGTTCTAGTGGATTCGGAGGTGACAGTAATGGTGACACCTTCTGTATGAGAAGTAGTATCATAACCGCTGGAAGATGATTGTTCTTCTGGAGAACCTTGAGATTCGATTGAAAATTTGTTCACTTGAGATGACAAAGATGGAACAATTGTGGATTCGGTGGTTTCGGAAATGAATGTAACAGTGGATTCTTTGGATACTGATGAATAATAAACAGAATTAATAGACAGTGAAGCTATTGATGATTCGGTTTCAATACTGACAAGCGACTGAGAACTAGCTTGTATGTCACTACTAGTTTTGGCATTAGAAGCAACGTTTTGTTCACTAACCTCCGATGAAACATATGAACTAACATATTGATCAACTTTTGATTCTTCCACAATTGACGATGTATCTAATGTAGAAACCAGTGCACTTGAAGACAGAATATCCATAACTGGTGAGTCCATACTAGTCAAACTTGGAACAGGTATACTCTGAGCAGAATATTCAACATCAGCACTAGAATAAACAGAAGACGAGGATACCACAGTAGTATTATAATAGTGTGGACCACTGCTACTTGGTAAAACAGGAACAACGGAAGAAAATGGTTGAATAACTAAAACAGTGTCAGTCTCACCAGCTGGGTTGGTGTATGTGATGGTAGTAGCCTCTGAGACAGAACCGAATTCAGTGGTAGTCACAGTTGGGTTAACTGGTTCGATAACCAAAACAGTGTCAGTTTCATCTGGTTTATTAATATAGGTTATGGTGGTAGCCAACGAGACAGAACCAAGTTCAGTGGTAGTTACAGTTGGGTTTGCTGGGGCAATAATCAAAACAGTATCTCGAGCACCACGTTCTTTACAGAATGTGAAAGTAACACACTCAGTAACAGAACCAAATTCCGTAGTGGTTACAGTTGGATTTGCGGGAGCAACAATTAAAATAGAATCAGTATCACCCGGTTGATTCGTGTAAGTGATCGTGGTAGCCTCTAATACAGAACCAAATTCTGTAGTGGTGACAGTAGGATTAGATGGATCGTAAACAATAACAGTATCCGTTTCACCTGGCTGGTTGGTGTACGTAATCGTAGTTTGAACAGAAACAGATCCGAATTCAGTAGTAGTCACAGTTGGGTTAACTGGTTCGATAACCAAAACAGTGTCGGTTTCGCCTGGCTGGTTGGTGTATGTCACAGTGGTAGCCAAGGAGACAGATCCGAATTCAGTGGTGGTAACAGTTGGATTGGATGGATCGTAAACAATAACAGTGTCGGTTTCGCCTGGCTGGTTGGTGTATGTGATGGTAGTAGCCTCTGAGACAGATCCGAATTCAGTGGTGGTAACAGTAGGATTGGATGGATCGTAAACAATAACAGTATCCGTTTCACCTGGCTGGTTGGTGTACGTAATCGTAGTTGGTGCAGAAACAGATCCGAATTCAGTGGTGGTAACAGTAGGATTAGATGGATCGTAAACAATAACAGTGTCGGTTTCGCCTGGCTGGTTGGTGTACGTGATCGTAGTTTGAACAGAAACAGATCCGAATTCAGTGGTAGTCACAGTTGGGTTAACTGGTTCGATAACCAAAACAGTGTCAGTTTCATCTGGCTTATTAATGTGGGTTATGGTGGTAGCCAACGAGACAGAACCAAGTTCAGTGGTAGTTACAGTTGGGTTTGCTGGGGCAATAATCAAAACAGTATCTCGAGCACCACGTTCTTTACAGAATGTGAAAGTAACACACTCAGTAACAGAACCAAATTCCGTAGTGGTTACAGTTGGATTTGCGGGAGCAACAATTAAAATAGAATCAGTTTCACCCGGTTGATTCGTGTAAGTGATCGTGGTAGCCTCTAATACAGAACCAAATTCTGTAGTGGTGACAGTAGGATTAGATGGATCGTAAACAATAACAGTATCCGTTTCACCTGGCTGGTTGGTGTACGTAATCGTAGTTGGTGCAGAAACAGATCCGAATTTAGTGGTGGTAACAGTAGGATTGGATGGATCGTAAACAATAACAGTGTCGGTTTCGCCTGGCTGGTTGGTGTACGTAATCGTAGTTGGTGCAGAAACAGATCCGAATTCAGTGGTGGTAACAGTTGGATTAGATGGATCGTAAACAATAACAGTGTCGGTTTCGCCTGGCTGGTTGGTGTACGTAATCGTAGTTGGTGCAGAAACAGATCCGAATTCAGTGGTGGTAACAGTAGGATTGGATGGATCGTAAACAATAACAGTGTCGGTTTCGCCTGGCTGGTTGGTGTACGTGATCGTAGTTTGAACAGAAACAGATCCGAATTCAGTGGTAGTCACAGTTGGGTTAACTGGTTCGATAACCAAAACAGTGTCAGTTTCATCTGGCTTATTAATGTGGGTTATGGTGGTAGCCAACGAGACAGAACCAAGTTCAGTGGTAGTTACAGTTGGGTTTGCTGGGGCAATAATCAAAACAGTATCTCGAGCACCACGTTCTTTACAGAATGTGAAAGTAACACACTCAGTAACAGAACCAAATTCCGTAGTGGTTACAGTTGGATTTGCGGGAGCACAATTAAAATAGAATCAGTTTCACCCGGTTGATTCGTGTAAGTGATCGTGGTAGCCTCTAATACAGAACCAAATTCTGTAGTGGTGACAGTAGGATTAGATGGATCGTAAACAATAACAGTATCCGTTTCGCCTGGCTGGTTGGTGTACGTAATCGTAGTTGGTGCAGAAACAGATCCGAATTCTGTAGTGGTGACAGTAGGATTAGATGGATCGTAAACAATAACAGTGTCGGTTTCGCCTGGCTGGTTGGTGTACGTAATCGTAGTTGGTGCAGAAACAGATCCGAATTTAGTGGTGGTAACAGTTGGATTGGATGGATCGTAAACAATAACAGTGTCGGTTTCACCTGGCTGGTTGGTGTACGTAATCGTAGTTGGTGCAGAAACAGATCCGAATTCAGTGGTGGTAACAGTTGGGTTAACTGGTTCAATGATGTGAACAGTATCAGTACCACCGTGAGTAGCCGTTTCAGTGTAGGTAGTAGCAGCTGATACATCTTCGTATTCAGTGGTGGTGACTGTATGATTTGGCACTGGAGTTTCAACAAAAACAGTGTCAATTGAATCAGTGGAAGCAGTGATGGTGTGTGAAGTGGTTCCCACTCCAGTCCAAGATGTATAAACAGTAGTTGTGGAATGATATGGTTCATCAACAATAACAGTAGCAGTTCCACCAACAGTGCCTGAGATTGTACTATAAGAAGTTGTGATACCAAGGTATGAAGTAGTGATTGTTGTTGTTGGAATTGGTTCAATAACTTCAATTGTTTTAGTATGGTCTTGACTTGGATCGAATGGCAAAGTGGTAACAGCAGTAGTAGTTTGTGTTCCTGTTCTGGTGGTTATAACCAAAACAACACCGCTACAGCCAGTATTACTGTTCGTATAAGGACTGAAAATTCTTCTGTCAGTTTCAGCAACCGTATCACCATTTTTACAAGTATACTCGTAATGATAATCAACAGTTAATTTTGCATTGCCAGTTGTTGTAAGGAATGAGTCCATGAATGGTCTATAACCAGCTGCAATATCAGTGAATGAAACAATAAACTCAGTTGCTGAACAGCTTTTAGTGTAAGAAAATGATTCAGAATTCATTGGTTGATTCCAATCATTGAGTTCATTAGTAATACCAATATGAACTGAAGAGCAATCCATAACAGCAGTATTATCTTTAATAATTATACTCATATATCCACTACCATAGCCACTTGGACAATCTTTTGCAATAGAGATTTGTTGCAATTTTCCAATCGACGGAACAGATCTAACTGAAATAATTTCATCTGATACTGAAGCAGTGGTTTTGTCAAAAACGGCATTGATCGAGAGTTCGTTATCACCATCTTTGAAAGTAACAGTATTGGTACCAGCAGTAAAACAAGTGGCATCTTCTAAATCAACGGACGAACCAGAACCACCAACATTAAATGAGAATGGAATACTAACAGCACCTAAAGCTTGAGTAGTAGAAGTTAAAGCACTACTAACAACACAAGACATACTAGAAAATGTAGTAAATTCTTCCCCGTTATTCAAATTACAAGTAGCATAACTTACTCCATCAACAGTTAAGTCCACTGATGTTTCTGAACTAGTAAACTTGAAAACACAAGGCATAATCAAGGTGAATGAGTCACCAGGAGAGGCAACAGAACCATCTAAAGACCAACCTAAAGTTGCAATCCATGTTGGATATCCCGGGCATTGAGCACCATAATTAGCTGCATCATTATAAGTTAAGGAATTAAAACTTGTAAATACTCCAGTGATTTCTTTGGGTGTTACTATTGTGATGAGGGACGACAATAACAAAATAAATGTAATTAGGTTCATATATGTGAATGTGTGCTAGATTTTTGAATTGTTCAAATGGCAAATTCGTCCTAAACCGGGGAAATTAGATACCCTATTTATATAATGTTCTTCAACACGATGAAATTATTTTCAATAAACCAAATTAACTAGCAGGAGCTTAAATTTGCTCTGCTTTCATATTGCAATGCAAAAGTGGAAAGATGTGAAATATTAGAAAGGGTAACATTGGTAAATACTAAAAGACAAACTTTAGGAAAAGATTCCAAATAGATAATGCATAACACGTAATGATATTTTGTGAACGAATTATCAAACTGATATTAAGTAAAGAAGTTGGTTTGTTGATATCGGCCTTAATTAAAACTTTAAGAGAAAAAAAAAATAAAAAAAAAACGAAACACAAATAAAATTGCGAGAAAAAGTACGATCAGTGAATTCATTGCTCGCTACCAATAAGGATTATTTTCTTTGGTTACTATGCGATGTACACCGTATGGAATGGCTCTAGATACTACACTCAATAAAGTATTCATTCAGAATAGCGGAATTATCAGTACTTGAAACTGAATTTGAATGTTGAAAGTATTCTAATAATTAGTGGAAGAATATGAATTTTTTTTTTTATAAGTTCCCAAAAATTGTGTTTTAGACACTTGTGTGAAACTGTTTAGTTTAAGACAGGGTTAGCAACTAATCGGACTATCTGCCTTTGCTCATGTTTGTAATACCCAACTTTAACCAAAACCTACACAGTTTTAGTAATGTTTACCAATTTATGAAGGAGTCCTAAACATCCAATATGGGATCAGGGTTTGAGCAAGATTAGGTATGATTGCTAAACACTAACCTGAGTCACCAAGATGTAGATCAACAGAACATCTGGTAGGGCATTTCTCCAGGATATTGTTATTTTGTTTGTTTAATTATATTCCACTATTGTATTCAACGTATCATCTTGATGGTCATTGTCATCTACTGTCATTGAAAGTTCACGAGACACAGCAATCTGTTGACGCCGAACTGGGTATTTTCTCTTAACCATGCATGAAAAAAATCTGATATATGGTCATTGCAAATCAATTTCCCTTGATTTTTAGAGCGATATTTAATTTATTAAAACTATTCTAGTTTAGTATCCACTATTATTATATAATAAGCCTCTTCTGCCTCCCGTTCGTCTCTAGTATCAAGTAATAAATCAAATAAAAAAAGTGCTCATAGTATTTCCTTACTAATTCTCCATGGTAATAAATATTGATTAGTACGGGTGGTGGTAGGTGTGCTCGATTATTCGAATGGTTTTCGCAATCAAATCTAATTCCTATCTTACTAATTATACTGTAAATTGCTTATTTTCCGAACAATCGTTCCCACCAAGTAGTATGAGTAAAATATTCAAGGGAAAGAAAAATTTAATCGAGCATTATGGCGGCATCTATCATCCACCCATTTAACTTACTCTGATTCTTCGTTTGTTTAAATTTGAAACCATACAGATTTTGTGAATAAACTATTTTCACGTTAGTCACTGGTCTAAAGTAATTCGAACCGCGGGTGCTCAACTTAGCTTTTGCTTTTTCTTACTACCCCTAAATCCCCTACTTGCTAATAATAGAAATAAATGACTAATACAAAACCAAAAAGGAGAGCCCTGAGATCTCCATACGTTATACACAATAATGAATATATATATATATATATATAGTGGAACGAAAGACCTGAGATGTGCGGACTGTGATGCATCCTCCCCATCACGTCAGTTACGACTAGTACAGATACATTCCGATCTCAGAGATACGATGAGCATTCGGTTATATTTCATCTCTTACCATGAGATCTTTCTTGGTTTTTATTTTTGCTATCAGAACATCATACTACATGAAGCTAAAATGTGGAATTAACTGTTCCGTTTTGGATTCCAGAGGCGGACAGTTTGGATATCAACAAATCCTGTTGTTTCTAATTCATTGAACAAAAGTGAAAAAGAAATTCTACTCTATATGTGTCTAATTTAATGTACGAACCATTTGAAAATTAATTGAATGGCATTTTCTTTTTCTTTCAATTTTCAAGGGCGTATAAATGTTACAAGAACTAGTTCATATCGAAATGTAGTTCAAACTAATGTGGAACCCAAATTTTAAAACACTAGAAAGTTTGCATAATATGCTCAAATATGTAGTTCATGTATTACTCCCTTGCAAACTATAATAAATTAGGCGAGACCTTATACCCGCCGGTTAACTTTCAACGGTGTATCGTGACGCCCTGAATAATAAGTCGGCAGAACAAGAAACTTCAAATTTAATCCACCACATCAAGGATCCATTCATTAATTATGGCGGGCTAGTTAGGGTATTTTTTTGAATGTGTGTTTATTTCCTTCTTGATTGAATATAAGGTGCAACATTCAAACTCTCCTGTATTTGTTAGAGGTCTTGTCGATCGATATTGTGAATCCTTCACAATCCACTGCTTGTATCGGTTGAAAATACGAAGTTTATTGTACTTTTTATTCCCGATCTTAAAAACAAATTCTGTGTTGATGGCTATTGTTAATATGCGAAATACAGCATCAACTATTTTTGTGTCCGATGCACTTTTTATTTTTTATTTTTTTTTTTTGATCCTAACCGTAGGCGTAAACAATCCTCTTTTCGTTATAAAATCACCACAATAGTAATGCTTTTGAACATCACCCATCAATATCAAACATTAAATCTATTACTCACCCCGTTAACCGATTATCGAGGATGTTATGCATTGTTATAGTTCATGCACTTTACTGATTAAAAACAAAAAAGAAATTTTCTACAGGTTGGGCGTGGCGTGCCCTTGTGTCCTCAAGGTAAACTCGTATTAGCAATTTTTATCGCATTATGCTAGTCTTTATTTTCATCTCAATGTAAATGTAAAACTTCTATATTTTGGTGGTAGAGTATCTGTATTATGCTGATTAACTGAGTGGACAATTATGTTCACCTTGAAATCACTTCATTTTTTTTGTAGTTGTTTTTGATACTTTTTTGAAGATTCTTTAATTTGTTTTGGTTTTCGTAAATATTTCAAAGTAAAATTTCCCCTATGCTTCAATAGTATTACAATGTTCATTAATACAATCGATATTTCACTTTTACAAATTTTTTTTTAAAGATACGATACACACGAATGTCAATTCATGTGACGATGTACTATCGATACAAAGAACAAATTACGAACCTCCTATGTAGATCTTTAATTAACTCTATCTACACAATCACCACCTTCCAAAACTTTAGTAATATTTTCTAATGCTTTAATAGCAGTATAATCGAAATTTTCAACAGTTGAAGCACCAATATGAGGTGTCAATATAACATCTTCCCTGTTTATCAATTCCGGATTTATGCTTGGTTCATTTTCATAAACATCCAATCCTGCAAACAATACTTTCCCAGATTTCAACCCTTTAATTAATGCCTCTTCATCAATCACTGTACCTCTCCCAATATTGATTATTCTAAATGGATTGGATATCGAGTTTATCACATTGGAATTTATCAAATGATGGGTTTCTGGAGTTGCTGGACATGCAATAACAATCAAATCTAAATTCTTCACATCAGTTACCTTTTCATGGTAAGTTACAGGATAACCTAATGATAATTCTTGATGAGGTAATAACTTACTTCTTTTAACATAGTTTATTTTCATACCAATATCATGAAGTTTCTTACCTATAGTTTGACCAATTTTACCAAATCCTATAATTGCAACATTATGACCTCTAGGAGATAAATTAGGTCTTTTATTTAAATAATGTCCAAATTCATATCCATTACCTTCAGATCTAACAACTTTACCTTCATCATGATCAAATTCATTTTTGGATAATTGATATCTAATATCAAGTGTATTAGGAATATTTTGAACTGTTTTATTATACATTTGAAATTGTCTGAAACTTGAAATTGCTAAATATAATGCCAAATCAGCCACAGGTTCAGCAGCTCCATCACTAGGAACATTAGTCATTATAATATCATGTTGTTTCATTATTTCAGCATCTTCATGATCATATCCAACTGAACAAAATGCAATTATTTTTAATGATTTAGGTGCATGTTCAATTATTGATCTGAATCCTCCAATTTCAAGAAACCATAACCATAACCAAGCTCCATAAATAGCGACAATGTCATTATATTTAGTTTGTAAATCTTTAACAAGTTGTTCTTTAGTTGTTAATTCAGTGAATATACATTCATATTTAGTTTGAAAATGTTTAAATTGACGAAGGGATTGATTTAATTCTCCAATGAATAATACTTTTGGTTTGCCCATATTTTTCTGTTGTCTGGTGTGGTATGAAAAATTACTCGTGTTGCCATTATCGGAAGAATTGGGTTGTTTTAAATATTACGATTGCTTTTTGTCGCAATTTTTGCATGAAATCGACGTAGCGGATACCGTACGCCGCTTTTAAATTAGGAACGAGTAATCTATTTGGATCTTTCGTTTGATAGGTCCTAAACAAAGAATGGAAGCAAGGCTTAAACATTACTAAAGTATCTATTGTTCATATTTTTGTCCTCTATCACACTTTTTTTAATGATCGATATTTAACCTGGGGGGGGGGGTTGCAAAACTCGACGAATGTTTTGAAATCAATAAAAAGTCGTGCAACACATCTTATAAAACACGTAGGGCAAAAAAAAAAAAAAACAATTAGGAAAAAAAAAAAAAAAAAAAAACTCACATTCATTACAACAAATCATCATCAATCTAACAAATTAGTCAACCATTATCCAATCATATAAAACCATGGAACAAATTCAAGAACTAGTAGAATTCCCAGTAACAATTCCAAATCAAAGAAAAGTTCATCAAATAATTCAAATAGCATCTATAGTTAATATTATTTCATCATTAAGCATAGGTATTATTACTGATTCCCTTAAATATTTAAGTTATTCATTTGCTATACAATTTGTAATTTTAATTTTATTAGTAGCTCCTAATTGGCTATTCAAATCTGAGCCATCTTTAGAATGGATAAATATTAAGATGTGAGATAATGTGTGAACTTATACAGGTGATTAAGTTTAAACGAATTGAAATACACGAATTTATCTAAATGATATGTTGCAATAAAGAACATGATAATGTATATTTGAATCCAGTATCAAATTGAATCGACTGTACCTAAGACCGTATGTGTAAGTAATACCGTGTGGATATGTGGTAATTAATCCGGAATCTCGTTTGGGGTTTTTTATTTTATTGCGTCGTGGGACTGACCGCTAGCTCCACCCCCCCAAAAAAATAATAGACGAATGCGTTCGGAAGCAATTGCTTTTGCGTCGGAGTAATTATTTTAGTTTCCCATGGAGCAACTAAAAAAAAAAAAGAATATTTAAATATGGGGGAAAAAATGGCAAGATGGGTGGTGTGTCGATAATTTTTCATTATATAAATTTGCTATAATTTTTCTTATTTCTAGTTCTTTCTAATTCTTTTCCTTTTTCTTTAATATTTATTACATTCATTCTACTACAATGACTACTGATTATTCTGAAAACGACAAATTATTCTTAGGTCTTGATTTATCCACTCAACAATTGAAAATCATAGTTACTAATGAAGATTTAATCCCTTTGAAAACCTACCACGTTGAATTTGATGCTGAATTCAAAGAAAAATACAACATCACTAAAGGTGTGGTTAATGGAGAAGATGGTGAAGTTATAAGTCCTGTTGGTATGTGGTTGGACTCTATGAATTATGTATTTAATTCTATGAAGAAGGACAAATTCCCATTTGATAAAGTTGTTGGTATTAGTGGATCAGCACAACAACATGGTTCAGTTTATTGGAGTCATGAAGCTAATGAACTTTTATCTGATTTAAAACCAGAAGAAGATTTATCAGAACAATTAAAGGATGCATTTTCTTGGGAATATTCACCAAATTGGCAAGATCATTCAACTTTAAAAGAAGCTGAAGCATTCCATGAAGCTATTGGTAAAGAAAATTTAGCTAAAATTACCGGATCTAGAGCTCATTTAAGATTTACTGGATTACAAATTAGAAAATTTGCTACTAGATCTCACGTTGAAGAATATGCTAAAACTTCAAGAATTTCTTTAGTTTCTTCATTCCTTACAAGTGTTTTAATTGGGAAAGTTACTGGTTTGGAAGAAAGTGATGCTTGTGGTATGAATCTTTATGATATCACCAAAAGTCAATATAATGAAGAATTATTAGCTTTAGGTGCTGGTGTTCATCCAAAGATTGACGGTGTTGATAAGAATGACGAAAAATACCAAAAATCCATTGATGAACTTAAACAGAAATTGGGTGATATCACACCAATTACATATGAATCATCTGGTGATATTTCTCCATATTTTGTTGATACTTATGGATTTAACAAAGATGTTAAAATTTACTCATTTACTGGTGATAATTTGGCAACTATTTTATCCTTACCATTACAACCAAATGATTGTTTGATCTCATTAGGTACTTCCACTACAGTTTTGATTATTACTGAAAATTATCAACCTTCTTCTCAATATCATCTTTTCAAACACCCAACAATGCCAGATAGTTACATGGGTATGCTTTGTTATTGTAATGGATCCTTAGCCAGAGAAAAGGCAAGAGATGAAGTTAATAAACAAAACAAAGTATCTGATTCCAAAAGTTGGGATAAATTTGATGAGATTTTGGACAATAGTAAACACTTCAATCATAAATTAGGTATTTATTTCCCACTTGGTGAAATCATTCCTCAAGCTCCTGCTCAAACCATTAGAGCTGTTTTAGAAGATGGTAAGATTATTCCTTGTGAATTAAATACTCATGGATTTAGTATTGATGATGATGCAAATGCTATTGTTGAATCTCAAACTTTAAGTTGTAGATTAAGGGCAGGTCCAATGTTGAGTAATTCTGGTGATAGTTCAAGTGATGATGAATCACCTGAATCTACTAAAGAATTAGAGAATATTTATAAAGATTTGACAAGTAAATTTGGTGAATTGTATACTGATGGTAAGAAACAAACATTTGAATCATTAACTGCTAGACCAAATAGATGTTATTATGTTGGAGGAGCATCAAATAATCCAAGTATTATTAAGAAAATGGGATCAATTTTTGGTCCAGTTAATGGTAATTATAAAGTTGAAATTCCAAATGCTTGTGCATTAGGTGGTGCTTACAAAGCAAGTTGGTCTTTTGCTTGTGAAGAAAAGGGTAAAATGATTAGTTATGCTGATTATATTACTAAATTATTTGACACAAATGATGAATTGGATCAATTTCAAGTTGAAGATAAATGGGTTGAATATTTTGAAGGTGTTGGTATGTTAGCTAAGATGGAAGAGACTTTATTAAAACAATAATTAGACAACTTATATATATATATACGTACATAGAAATGATAAATTTGATTGATTTACTTTTAATTTTGCAATTTGTATCCATTGAGTGAGCGGTAGCGGTCGGGAGAAGAAAAGAAAAATTTTCCACCTCCGCAATAATTCCCATTTTCAGGGTATCATCATCACCATTGCCCCTTAACAAATGATTAGAGCCAGAAGCATAATCTTGAGAAGTCATAGACAATTCTCTACATTATTATCAAAGAAACCAGAATCTTTAATAATTGAAGATTTAACAAATCCATCAATAAATCAAGAGGATGAAGAAGGAAGAATAAAATTAATTGAATCATTATTAAATTCCCAAAATTCAAATATACCATTATTATATAATCATTTAATACCTAATTTTTCATATTATTTTAAAATTCCTAAACATTCTATCAAAGGAGAAATTTTAAGAAGATTAATTAATGTTAATCCTGGTAGAGTTCATAGTACTTTTGATTTATATAATTTACATCGTGAAGAAATCGATGAACATATAATTAATGATGTATTGAAAAAACTTATTATTGAACCAGTTGAAGAAGGTGAAGAAAGAAATATGGAAAATATATTTAATATAATTAAAGATTTTGAACATTTAGAATTTGATCATGTTTTAAGTGAATTATTTTACAAGTTTGTTAATCAAGACGATTACAAACTGATTAATGAATTGATCAACGAAGGTGTTTTAAATAATAAAAATATATTGAAAGAACTTACTAATGATTTATCATCTATAGTTAAAAAATTTGCATATTTGGAAGTATTCCATAGATTGTTTAATACTTCTCGTGATGAAATAACCGCTGATCAATATACTATTGCTTTAAATTTGTTAAATTTCAATAATGCACAACTTCATGAGTTATTCAACAAAACTAATCAATTGTCATTTATACAATTGACAAATGAAATCTTGGAATATATTGAAACATCCAAAATTGATGAATTACCAGATTCAATTGAATTACGTCAATCAATAATTGAAGTATACGGAATAAGTCAAGATAATACCGAAATGGCACTTAAGAAATATCATTATTATGAAAGCCATGTTAAATTAGATATAAACAAAATCAGATTTGAAATGATTAAATTATTTAGTTATCAAGCAATTAAACAAAATAGTGATATTTGGAATCAAGTTGCACAAACATTTATCCCACCACAATTTACTATTGAAACATTACAAATGTTGATTGTATTGAAAAGTTATTTCAATATTAATGAAGCATTAGAAATTTACAATTCATATATTAATGAAGTTTCCGGGAATATTAATGAAATTTCCAAGAAATCACCAAAGGGAGTAATGACAGAATCAATAATTTTAGGATTTTTATTGAACAATGACCGTCAATTTGCCTTTTTGATATTTGAGAAAGCAGTTGAGAACAAGATCATGACTGATGAGTTGGAAATCAGTCAAGTTAAAAAGATGTTTAAGAAATATAGTGATTCATTTGTTGATAATGAAGAATGGGAAAACAATGCTCAATTGAAAATGAAACAAGTTGCATTGGAGTATATAGTTAATATAGGTGGTATCAAATATTAATAAACAATATTCTACAATGAACAATAATCCATACGGCATGATTACTATTGGTGTATTATTTTTTTTTTGCAATTCCTCGGTGTGTATACACTTCTGGCTAAGATTCCAATTTAGGAAAATTTGCCGCAAGTATGAGAAATGAGTAATCTTCCATGTGCGTGTACAAGAGTGAAAAAATTTTTTGCAGTGAGTCAAACTACGCGGCAAATTTATTTACTCCATAAAAAAACAAAAAACTTTTCATCCTTCTTTGTGTGATGCCACCAGATAGTGAGTGAGTGGGTGTGTGTCATTATCGCGGTGTGTGAGCCTGGCGGGCGATGTGACGACTGAGTAAGTGAGCGAGCGAGCGATAACGCACACACACCCAAAATGACCAAAATGGGAAAAATTTCAATGAGCAAAAACTATAAATTAACCCTGAATTTTCCACTTTCTTCTTTTTCATTTTTCATTTTTCATTTTGTTTATTAATTATTATTATTATTATTATTTTATCAATAGTTATTACTATTATTTATTATTCCAACATATTATTAACAATGCCAAATACTCCTGTTACCCTTCATTTAAGAGCCGAAACCAAACCATTGGAACATAGAGCCGCTTTAACCCCAACCACAACTAAAAAATTAATCGATGCCGGTTTTAAAGTTTATGTTGAACAATCATCTCAATCTATTTTTAATATTAAAGAATATGAAGATGCAGGTGCCATTATCGTACCTGAAGGTTCTTGGAAAACCGCTCCAAAAGACCGTATGATTATTGGTTTAAAAGAATTGCCAGAAAATGAAACTTTCCCATTAGTTCATGAACATATTCAATTTGCTCATTGTTATAAAGATCAAGCTGGTTGGCAAGATGTTTTAAAAAGATTCCCTGAAGGTAATGGTATTTTATATGATTTGGAATTTTTAGAAAATGATCAAGGTAGAAGAGTTGCTGCTTTTGGTTATTATGCTGGTTTTGCTGGTGCTGCCATTGGTGTTTTAGATTGGTGTTTTAAACAATTGAATTCTGATACTAAAAACTTGCCTGGTGTTTCTCCTTATCCAAATGAAGATGCTTTAATTAAAGATGTTAAAGCTGAATTGGAAAAAGCTTTAACTAAAACAAATGGCGTTTATCCAAAATGTCTTGTTATTGGTGCTTTGGGTAGATGTGGTTCCGGTGCTGTTGATTTGTTTAAAAAAGTTGGTATTCCAGATAATCAAATTGCTAAATGGGATATGGCTGAAACAGCTAAAGGTGGTCCATTCCAAGAAATTGTTGATCTGGATATTTTTGTCAACTGTATTTATTTATCAAAACCAATTGCTCCATTTATTAACAAACAACTTTTGAACCAAGATAGTAGAAAATTAAGAACAATTGTTGATGTTTCTGCTGATACTACTAATCCACATAATCCAATTCCAGTTTATAAAATTGCTACTGTTTTCAATGATCCAACTGTTGTTGTTGATCTTGAAAAAGGTCCAAAATTATCTGTTTGTTCTATTGATCATTTACCTTCTTTATTACCAAGAGAAGCTTCTGAATTTTTCTCACGTGATTTATTGCCATCATTATTGGAATTACCAGAAAGAGATACTGCTCCAGTTTGGGTCAGAGCTAAAAATTTGTTTGACAAACACGTTGCTAGATTAAGCAAATTGTAAAGTTGACGAACAAATATACTTGTATATTAATTACTTATTTTTTTTTTTACTTCTACCTGGTTTTATTCCTTTGTATATGATTATTCTAATGTTACAGTGACTTTTCTTTTTTTACTATTATTCTTTTTACCTTTCTTCTTACCCTTTTTAGTGGCACCAGTCATGATTTTCTTAATTTCTTCACCATCAGTTTCATATTCAGATTCACTTGGAATATCATTTTCATTATTTTCACCAGTAATATCACCTAATGAAGTAAATCTTCTTTTCATAGTTTCAGTTTTTTCAATAGTTTCAGGACATGTAGATACACAATTTAATCTTTCTCCAGCATCATAAACAGCAACTTGATCTTTTAATGTTAAATTCCAAACAACAATTTTACCATCTGATGAAACAGATATTAATAATGGTATACCTTGAGTTTCTTGTTTATCTTGAAGGAAAGAAATACCTTTAATACGATTAGTATGACCTCTTAATGTAAACTTGGCTTCTAATTCTTCTGGCTTAGAATCCCATACTTTATCTTCTTCTTCTTCTTTTTCTTCATCATCAGCATCATTTTGTTTTCCTAATCCCAGTAATACTTGATCTTTGAATTCATACAATTCAATTGCTCCATTACCCAAACCAGCAACTAACCATTCTTTATTATCAAATTTTAAAATATCCATAGCCATTAAAGTAGTTTTAATTTTAATCTTTTTAACAATTTTAGCAGTTGAAGTTTTATAAATTAAAATTTGATTCAACATACCAACCAAGAAATAATTTCCCTTTGGAGACCATCTAACAAAATCACCAGATTGTCCAAGATGATCTCTACCTTTAATCTTTAAAATCGCTGCTTTTTTAGCAGTCATTAAATTCCATAATCTAATAGTTTTATCTTGTGATACCAGTATAGCAACTCTACCACTTGGATGAATTGATAAATCATTAATTTTATCAGTATGTCCTTTTAAAATTCCAAATGTTTCCCAATCTTTAGTTCTCCAAATTATAATTTTCCCATCTTCTGATCCTGATAATAACCATTTTCCAGATTTAGTAGTTGATTCAATTTCTTTTTCTTGTTTATTAGTATCTACTTCTGTAGAAAATTTTAAACTTGTAATTGTACCAGTATGACTTAATAAAGTACCCAATTCTTTTCTTTTTTGTAAATCATAAATTCTAATATGTTCATCATTTGATCCTGTAACTAAATATCTTTTAGCTAAATCCATAGATTTAATAGATAATGCATGTGCTTGGAAATGGAAAATTGGTTGGAATACTGGTTCTTTATTATTTGATGGATCTAAAATGACTGATAAACATAATAAATTATGTTCATAAGAACCAACAAAAATACGGAATTGAATTGGTTTACTTGTGACAGTGGTGGTTGTAGTAGTAGTAGTTGAGGTACTGCCTTTTAAAGCAGACTTGATCACCTTTGTTTCAGACATTGATATTTGGTTGTTTAAAGGTCGATGAGATGTAATGAAAATTATTATTTTGGTAGTGAATTTTTTTTTTCTCGCTTCTCCTTCTCTTTCCCTTTTGTAGATGAGCGATGTCATTCTCATGCGGCTTGTCAAAATTTTACCTGATTTGGATGCAATAAAAAAAAAACAGACAAACAAAAGAAAACAAAAAAAAATTTGGTTGGAAAAAAAAAAAACAATTCTTTAGATCAACAATAATTCTTTGCAACACTTGGAAATATCATTACCATATCAACAATGGTTCAGAATCAAAAGACTCCAACGGAGCATAATTCCACGTTGTATATCTCACCAATGATGAATAAGAAAAATGATTTATTATATGTAACACCACCTAATCCTACTACATCAACAAATAAATTATTAGAAACCCCAGGGTCAAATAAATCAACGTCACTGTTTTTCAATTTTGATAAAACTTCTCAACATAATGCTCCACATCATCATAATCATGATTATTCATTGGATGATCCATTAACACCAGTTGATAAATTAAGATTATGGAGACATGATGCAATTATGCAACATCAGTATAAAACAGCTGAATTTATAGGTGATAAAATTTTGGAACTTACATCTGATCCAAATGATGCATTTTGGTTAGCACAAGTTTATTTTAATCAAGGGAATTATCTAAGATGTAAGAATCTTATAAGTAATAATGCAGACTATAATAATTCAATAAGTTGTCGATATTTGGCAGGTTATAGTTTGATTAAATTAGAAATGTGGGATGAAGCATTGGATTTAATTGGTGAAACAAATCCTTTTAAAAATAGCAACAACCACAACAATAATAATAATAATAATAATAATTCAACGAGGATTTATCAAGATGATGGAGGAATTAAATTAGAAGCATCAATGTGTTATTTACGAGGGTTGATTTATGCTAACCAGAATAATTTTGAACGCGCGAAAGAATGTTATAAAGAAGCGTGTGTGGTTGATGTGAAATGTTATGAAGCATTTAATGAATTAATTGATAATAATCTAATGACACCTACTGAAGAATGGGATTTTGTAATGACACAATTGAATTATCGTGATAATTTGGATAATAATGATGAATTGATCAAATTGTTGTATACGACCAAACTAAGCAAATATTTGAATACCAATAAATTTGAAGAAAGTGAACATATTTTAAAAGAGGAGTATGATTTGAGGGATAATTGTGATTTAATGTTGAGTCGAGCAGATTATTTATATATTCAATGTAATTTTGATGAATGCTTGAATATTTGTGAGAAAATACTAAACAAAGATCAATATAATTTTGATGTTATACCGAATTATTTGAGTTGTTTGTATGAATTGGGAGGGAAAAATAAATTATTTCTTAAAGCACATCAATTAGCAGAATTACATCCTACTAATCCAATGACATGGTTAGCTATTGGTACTTATTATTTATCTATTAACAAAGTAGTTGAAGCTAGGAAATTTTTCAGTAAAGCTACTTTGTTGAATCCCAATTTTGGACAAGCATGGATTGGATTTGCCCATACATTTGCCGCGGAAGGAGAACATGAACAGGCTATTAGTGCTTATGCTTATGCAGCTAGATTATTCCCAGGAACTCATTTACCTAATTTATTTCTTGGAATGCAACATTTACAAATGAATAATTTGAATTTACTGGAAGAGTATTTATTAGCATCGTATCATATATGTAATAGTGATCCATTGTTATTGAATGAATTGGGGGTGATTAATTTCCATAAAAATCAATTTGATAAAGCAGAAATATACTTACAAGAAGCATTGACTGCTGCAAAGAATCTAAACTCGGATTCCAAGACATGGATATCAATTCATGCTAACTTGGGACACGTGTATCGTCGTGCGAATCAACCTTATAAAGCATTGGAATGTTTTAATCAAGTTTTGAAAATAAGTAACAAGAATGATGCTAACATATTATCAGCCATTGGATTAATCCATTTGAGGTTAGGTAATATATTCAAGTCAATTGATATATTACATGATGCATTGGCTATATCACCATTGGATCCAGTAGCTAGTGATTTACTTAAAAGAGCATTGGAAGCAAATAAAGAAAATCAAGAAATATTTAAAACTACCGAGAAATTGATTCAATTGGATTTACCAAATGATGGTGGAAGATTAAGGAAAAGAGGAGGGAAATCAAAACCAAGTATTGAGAAGTCAAAAGATGATATTAATAAAGATGCTAATAAGTTATTAGGAACACCATTACTTTCTAAGACGAGAAATCTTGAACCAGTTAATATTGAAGAATCGAAGAATGAATATGATGACGTCACATTATTAGCCCAAGATTTGCAACAAGGAGAAGAATCAAGTGATGATGATGATGACGATGATGGTATGGATATAGTAAGTGATTAAACTTGATAGTTTGTACAATATTCTTTCCTTTTTGCAACCTTTTTTGTTCTCTTTTGATGATGATGATGATTGTGTTTTTTCGTGTATTTCGTATATATAAATAGAAGTACTGGCAAAGAAAAAAGAGAGAATTGTTTTTGTTTCAATGTTTTTGTTTACACCGAATTTTATTGTTTATTTTTAGATGCCAAATTTTACACGAACAAAAAAAAAAAAAATTATTTTAAAATCAGTATAACAACCTCATATTATTCTAAAGAATTGTCATCTGATATACCCCACGTGATTCACTATATTGTTAATATTGTTCCTCTATATATCTCCCCATGTGCATTGTTAGTCACTGTTTTTTTTTTAGATGAATCGAGGTGGTAATTCTCATACCTAAAGGTTGTATTTGTATGATGAATATGATTTGTATTGAATTTGATAAGCAAAGTTTGTGTAATTGTGTAAACTCGTTCTTTTCATTTAGTTTTCCCCCTTTTAACACAAAATGTATAAATGATACCAATTAGGAAATTTTTTTATTTATTTGTTCACAGTACTTAAGGTAATGAAATTTTGTGTATTTAAAGGATTTTGTACATACACCACATACAAATGAGAGTTATTCTATACTGTAAGATGGAGAGAGTGATAAATTGTATTAATAATTCTTATGGAGACGAGACGATGCAAAATTATTAATGAAATTTCAAGTTTGTTGATCTTATTTCAGTGGTGATGATTTGATTCTATTTAATAGATTATTTTTATTTTTATTATTCAATTGAATGGAAGCAAAGGATTATAATGGTTGTAGTTTTAATATCAGGGGTAATATTGAAACGTAGTAGCTTTTTATTTCTTTTTACCATGACAAGTATAATTGGAATAATAATGATGATGATGATGAGAATCAAAGAATCTGGTAGGTAATTAATGATTAAAACACACAGAAACCAGTTGAATACGTAAATCCACATAAATAAATTAAAAAATAAAAAACACGAAAATTAAAACAAAAACAATTAAATATTTCAAGACTCAAAATTTAAAATTCTACTTTAGCAACTTACATGATGGCAACCACAAGCATTTCAATTGAAATTCAGGAGTAAACATAGTTGGAAAAAAAGATAAAAAGATAAAAAGAATTATAACAAATATTTATATAACGATCAGCGGTTGTATTATTCTTATTCTTGTTGTTTGTCGGCAAAAATATTCCTCGATGAGAATGAAATGAAATCAAATCAAATCAAATCACTATTGAACAATAGGTTTCATATAGATATTTGATTAAATATTAAATGAGAACAGTTCAAATCAGTTAAAACTGATGAAATTAAACGAACCGACTCAAATCAAAAAGAAACATTTTTAATACCCATAATAGTAATAAATAAAAAAAAAATTACGATAATGTAACACCAACTGCACATGTATATGTGATGCATGTGTATAATTGAATATATATATAAATATATATAAGGAACAATAGTCGTCCAATAAATTAACTTTTTTTTTATTTATTATTATTATTATTATCCCCTTCCAATCTATTGTTAATTAATTTTCAATTTATTATCCCAAATAGAAGCTGTAATTGACAGATCCATTCAAGAATATATAAATACAGATTGGTTTTTCCTCTTTGATATAAAACATAAAAATTTGGGATACAAGTAGTGCATTAACCAAAACACGCTAAATAAATAAAGAAAGTAAAAAAAAAAAAGGAGATTCAGATTTACATATTATTTTTTATTATTTTTTGTATTGGTTTCAATTTACAACCCATTTACTCCACCTTCTTCTTCATCATCATCTTTAAGATCAATTCACTTGATCCTATTTAATTGTCATCTAACAAGTTGGAATTCAAATAACTATTAGTACTAGTACTACTCCACCTCATCAACTTCAACTTCAACATCAACATTAACATCAACATTAGAAGTACATCTGCATTTTAGTTTTTAGACAATTTCCCAAATTTTGTTGTTTAATCTTTCTTTCCCAAAACAGATTTGTTTGATCTCAAACAAACCAAACCAAAACAAACCAAAACAAAGACAAAGACAAAAAAAAAGAGTGCACGCAATTTTTATTTCGTACAAAAGAAAGAGAAAAGGACAAAACAACGCATCATACAAAAAAAATTAAAAAACCGAGTGACAGTGAGAGACAGTGAGATTTTCCTGTTTATTAATTTCCTATCAATCACTTTCTTTTTTTATTTTCATTAACCACATCAACTAATACTTATAACAGACTAACAGTACTACTGTCACCCCCCATTGTATCTAATAATGGCTACAACTATCATATCATCATCATCCTCTACCACTACCACTACCACTACCACTACCACTACCACTACTAATAATAATAATAATACTTCACCTCCATCCTCAAACACAACGTTATCAGCCACAACAAATAATAATAAGAATAAGAATAATACCCCAAATCAAATAAAATCATCTACATCTACCACTGCCACAACAACAACAACAACAACAACAAAATCTATACCACATATATTATGTATGAATTTTAACCAGGATCAAGGCTGTTTTGCTATAAGTCATGAACAAGGTTTCCTCGTTTATAACACAAACCCTATCGAGTTACGTGTTAAACGGAATTTCACACCTCCTCCTCCAGCACCAGCACCTCATTCATCATCATCTACAGCATCAACAGTCGCAACAACTACAACTACAACTACAACTACAACTACAACTACAACTACAACGCAGAATAATAGAAATAATAGTACAGGAAGTACCGATTCCACATCATCTATTGCATCACACAATAGCATTAACAATACATCTACACATCATAATGCATATAAATCCGGATCGGGTATTTCTCATATAACCATGTTGCATAGAACTAATTATCTAGCATTGGTAGGAGGTGGAGAAAAACCAAAATTCCCTCCAAATAAATTAATAATATGGGATGATTTGAAAAGAAAGACAAGTTTACTGTTGGATTTTGATTCTCCAGTGTTGAATGTTTTATTATCAAGAGTAAGAATAATTGTCGTTTTAATTGATCAAATTTTGGTTTATGGATTTGCCGTACCTCCAAAGAAATTCCATACTTATAATACAATTAATAATCCTTATGGTATTGCTGATTTATCAGTCAATAGTAATAGTAACACTAATATCACATCAACCGCATCATCATCCACAATTGACAATACAAAAAGAAGCATTTCCCCACCACATTCATCAAGTTCTTCCAATAATTCATTAAAAGAAATCCCAACCAGCAGCAGCAACAACAATAACAACACATCATCATCTTATCAAACATTAGCATTTCCTGGAAGATCAGTAGGACAAATCCAAATTGTTGATGTGGGGAATAATAATAATCATAATGAAAAAAATTCCATGAATATAATTAAAGCTCACAAGCTGAACATTCGTTGTTTATGTCTCAATAAATCAGGAACTTTGGTTGCCAGTGCTTCAATTACTGGTACTTTGATAAGAATCCACTCTACCAGAACAACAACATTATTGTATGAATTTAGAAGAGGTATTGACAAGGCAGTTATCACTTCAATGAAATTTAGCCATGATGATTCAAAATTGGCCGTGTTATCTGATAAGCATACTTTACATGTATATAATATAGATGAAGTTCATGGAGGTGGAATGAATCGTCATCATGTTTTAAACAATTTACCTTATTTACCAAATTATTTTAAAAGTACATGGAGTTTTTGTTCTGTTAATACGAATAAATATCATGAAATTGATAATCATCCAATCGGTATTGATAGCAAATCAAATGAAATAGATGAAGGTACTATTGGATGGTCAGGAGATGATAGTATTATAATCATTTGGAAATTGAAGAAAATTTGGGAAAAATATATCATTGTTGAAACTGAAAATCATAATTATGAATTAATTCGTTCAAGTTGGAAGAAACTTGATAATACTGAATAAGAAGATTATTCACCAGACTTAGCATACTTTTTTTTCTTAATGGTGTTTTTGTTCTTTGCATTATAATTCTATAAGTGTTATATTTATATTTATACTTATAATTATAATTATAATTATATAGTTCTATGTACATCAAATATTTCAATGGTAATTTTTATATTCTTTATAGTTTTTCACATAATAAAGGTTGATAAAATATGGTTTCTTTATGACGTTTGTTACTTTTTCCTTGTAAATAATCCCATTTTCTACCATGATAATTCCTAATAAATCTATTTGCATCTTTAAAATTATTAAATTCCAATAATACTGTTCTTTTTTCATTTGTAACATCAGATACAACATCAATTATATTAATTAAATCATAATTCCATAATAATCTAAAAACACTAGATTCATTTAATCCAAATGGCCAATTTCTAACAATAACATAATTCTCTCTTTTATCAACATTTAACCAATTTTTCAATACTTCAAAATTATCAAATTTAATATTACTCATCAAATCTTTGTCATCTTCATCTACTCCTACTACCTTTTCATTTAAATTTAAAATTTCATTGATTTTATTAAAATCACTAATTTTTTTAAAATTCATAGATTCTAATATTTTTTTATTTAATTCAATAAATTCAAAATTTAATTTAATTCCATTAATTAATTTTCCTTCAGTTTCTTTAATATAAACACAAGCATTTAATTGATTTTCAAAAATTAAATAATATTCATTCATGAAATCTAATTGATTATTTCTTTTTTTAATAATTTCAAATGTTGGATTTAATTTTAAATTATATTTACAATTTCTTTCATTTGGTATTAATTTCCAAAAATCATATTTAGTTATATATGAATTAGGACATTTAAATTGTAAAATATTTGATCTGAAATTAGGCCATAATGATAATAATGCATTTTCGGATGGTATTTTAAGTTTAGAACTAATATTATCAAATGTCATTGGTATATTTGATGTTGATGGTATTGTTGTTGTGGGTTCTTGATCATAATACAACATTCGTGAAATCTTTGGCGTTGTAACATCTGATATTATGGATTTGCTAGCTGATATCTGCGATGTGGTTGATGAATATAGTAGATTCATTAACTTTTTGGTAGCTTCTGTAGTTGGTTTCGACATGGTTGTATAGATCAATGAAAAAGAGTTGATAGTAGTTATTGACAAAACAAAAAAAAATAAAAATCTCTGCTGCTTATATAAAGAAAAATTTAAAATCTATATGAATACTTCCAAACCCCCAGTCGGTCACGTGTGCGGATGTATTTCGCCGAACACGATATCTAAAATGATACTCCCAGAAGTTAGAGAACAATGCCAACTGATTATATAACAGATCATTTCCTATTCATGAATAGCAGAAACAAACAGAGTTGTTGAATTAGACAACCCGGTGGCAGCACGATAATCGCCGAGTTGAGGACCCGAGTTTGGCATCCGAGATTTGATTTTCTACTACCAAACGAGCCAACGTGTAGTGTATCTCTGGCGAAAGAAAACGGAAAGAAAAAGAGAAAAAAAATTTTAACTTTACTTTACTTTTTTTTCTGACTTTTCATATCCCACACACTCAGACAACCCATTTACCACATATCATTTTAATCTTCATCAATCCATTCCAATCCAACCCATCTTTTTTTTTTCTTCTTTAATTACTTGTACATATTATTTCAACCGAATCCTTGTATTTATCAAACAAACCACGTTTCTGTAAATAGTCAACCTTGTATCTAAAGAGTTACCATCTTCCCCCCCCACATAGTATTTTCGTTTTTGGTTTAATAAATTTTTTTTTTTTGTTTCAAACACCTTTCTGTCTTTTAATTTGGTCCATTTTTTGTAAATTTTTGGTTGCCATTATTAAAAGGAAGAAGAAAAAAACAGCAGAAAGCAGAAAGCAGAAAGCAGAAAGACAGGAAAAAGAGAACTCAAGAGGGAAAAAGGAAAAGGAAAAAAATTGAAAAAGAAAAAAAAAAATTCCAAATAGGCAAAATCCATTTCAAAATAACCACATTCATAACTTATCCATTTTCCCACGTTCTATATATTTTCCCCTTTTTTTTCATTTATTTATCTTATTGGTTGGTTTTAGTGGATTTTATCTCAACTAATATATCCCACTAGTAATTAGAACATAAAGAGACTTTATTGTTAAATAAAAAGTCCCTATTTATCTTCCGCCTCCCACAAAATTAAGATCAAATAAATGCAGTCGGAAACAATTTGGTCAAGTGGGCATAATTCCCCTATTCAAGCTCACCCACTGTTGAATTCATCATCAACAACAACAACTACAACAGCAACAGCTACAGGTTCTCAATATAAATCAGTTATTGATCAAGTTGATCCTGAAGTTGTTCGTTTATTTGCAAGTTCAAACTCTTTTGATCCATTATCTTCAGCCACTACGGAAAGAAGATTATCATTTAATGATGGAAGTGATATTTTAGAAAATGATTTTTTTGGTTTTAAAAGAGGTGCTTTATCTGCCATTACTGCTCCTGTTGTTAGTACTAATAATCATGTAACTAATAAACAATTTGGTACTGCTTCAATCAGTGGCGGGATTGCTAATAGACATCCTCCTCAAGATAGTTTTTTACAAAAATTTGCCAGTGTTGCGGATGCAACTAGAGAAATTGAATTGGGTAGATTAACATTAGATGATAGAAGTGTCACTGGTGAAAGTCTTAAAGTTGTTACTACCAGTGCATTTACTTCTCCACATGGTTCTTTAAATGAAAATTTGAATATGCCTGTTCCTCAAAGAGGATCAAGACATCAATCTATTAGTGAAAAAATTGATAATTACAACAATAATTCTCCAATTCAAGCAAGTTCTGCTTTATCTATTAGTTCTGATTTGAATTCTGATCATGGTGGTAATGTTGCAACAAGTGGTCCAAGTCATAATTTTTGGAATCCTGCCACTGCAACTTCTTTCACTCCTGCTGGAGCTGTCAATCCTCAAAATTATTTCATGGATATGAATGGGATGCCAATTCCTCCACCTTTACCTCCTCAAGGGTTTTATCCTCCAAGAGGTGTCAACTCTTCTTCGGCCACTGCTAGTGCTACTGCTTCTGGTGGTATGACCGCTGGTAATGGTCCACCTCCAAATCAAAATGGTGCTACTCCAAATATGCCAATTAATTCACCACCACCTTTTATGATTCCTTCTCCACCACCTTTTATGGATCCAAGTTTATATGGTATGATGTATGGTGGCTTCCCACCTCCACCGCCACCTCCTCCACAGCAATCACCAGGAGCTAAACAACATTCTGATGAAAAGCTGACATCACACGCCAGTTCAGAATCTGGTGATGAGAATAAAACTGAATCCGATGATAAGGATGGAGCAAATGATAAAAGGAAGGAACAATATGGTCCAGGTCCAATTGGAGGTGTTGGTCTTATGAATCGTCAATTCTCACCAGCTTCATTTATGTTTCACCCATTTAATCCTTATTCAATGTATCAACAATCACCACCATTGATGGCACATGAAGCTGCCTTACGTGGAATGACTCCACCTCCAGGTATGGGAATGCCACCTCCACCATCACAAATGGATAATTCTCCTACTTATAACAACACTGGTGCTTCACAAGGACAACAACAACAACAACAACAACAACAGCCACAATCGCAACAACAGCCACAATCGCAACAACAGCCCCCTCAACAACCATCAACCTTAAAAGGTGATAATGCCAAGCATGAAGGTGCTGGTTCAAAAAAAAAATCTAACCATAAAGGTAAGAATGGTAATGGTGGAAATCACATTTATCGTTCCCCATTATTGGAAGATGTTCGTGCCAATCCAAAAGCCTTCAGCTTGAAAGATATCTATGGACATGCGGTTGAATTTACTAAGGATCAACATGGATCTCGTTTTATTCAACAAAAATTACCTGAAGCCAGTGATGAAGAAAAGCAAACTATTTTCAATGAAATTTGGGAGATTTCTTATGATTTAATGACTGATGTTTTTGGTAATTATGTTATTCAAAAATATTTTGAACATGGTAATAGTACTCAAAAACAAGTGTTATTGGAAAGTATGATTGGTCATATTCATGAATTATCTTTACAAATGTATGGTTGTCGTGTTGTTCAAAGAGCATTGGAAGCCATTGAAACAGAAGGTCAATTGCGTATTATCGAAGAATTAAAGGATCATATTTTGGTTTGTTGTAAGGATCAAAATGGTAATCATGTTATTCAAAAATCCATTGAAAAAATCAAGCCATTTTCCAAAATTAGATTTATTTTAACCAGTTTAGATACTCAAATTTACCATTTATCTACTCATCCATATGGTTGCAGAGTGATTCAAAGATTGCTTGAATTCTCCGATGAAGATGATCAAAAAATGATTCTCACTCAATTGAATAATTTCCTTTATTATTTGATTTTAGATCAATATGGTAATTATGTTATTCAACATATTTTAGAAAATGGTACACCAGAAGAGAAAGAACCAATTTTAGAAATTGTTTTAGGATCTGTGGTTCAATTTTCTAAACATAAGTTTGCATCAAATGTTATTGAAAAATGTATTAAATTTGGGGATCTCAATCAAAGAAAAAGAATTTTACATGAAGTTATGTTGGGTAATGAAGATATTAATGATGATTCAGAAATTGGTGATGATTCTCCATTAGCTTTGATGGTTAAAGATCAATTTGGTAATTATGTTATTCAAAAATTAGTTGAAGCATTTGATGGAGAAGAAAGAAGATTATTAATTGTTAAAATTAAGAAATGTTTAAGTTTATCAGGTAATAATTTGGCCAGTATTAGAAACATTAGAAATATCATTGATCATGTTTCTGAAAATGAATTTAAATAAGGGAATGATACACCCCCAGCCATGAGTCAGTATTGATGTTCTTTTTCTTTTTCAGTTAAATAATGTTGTATTGGTTGTTTTTTTTTTTTGTTAATATTGGTTTTTTATTTTTATTTTTATTATTATTATTATTAATTATTGTGTATAGTTTCTTTCCTAAACAACCATTATCAACATTAGAAAAGATAAAGAAGATTACATAAAACATTCTGTTTATATTACTTATATATAGTTATTATTTTTTTTTTTAGGATTTGATTAAAGTATAAATTGTTTATATATCGTTAATTATGTTTGGACTGACACATTTCCGTGTAAACTCCGGAAATGGTAACAATTATTGTGCAAGTGTGCACGACCTATGCAAATTTCACATAGCAACCCAAGATTTATTTTGCAGCAAAAGAATCTAACAATGAATAACATTGTATTAATTCAACGGTTGTTTAACATTGTTGAATTTGACAAAAAAAACCAGATCGCTACAGATATAAATCAATCACTTTTAATAAATTTCAACCAATTGTATGAATAACCGAGATTCAAGCTATTGCCATATCTCCAACTGACTTCATAACCACAGCAGTTGATAACCTACCATGTTTATATTTAAAAGAAAGAAGGAAAGGATGAGTTAAATTGTGGCGATTTGAGTTAATTTTTTGCTTATTGTTGTGGTTTTGAATGTAATTGTTTTAATATCGCCTTGTATTACCTTTAGTGGATCGATCAATCAATCAATTTGAAACCGCGTATACTTTTGCCTCGTCAATTCATTCTCTCTTTCCCCTTCCCCCGCTCGGCGAAAAATGAAAAATGACAAATTTGAAATTGGAAACCAAAAAAAAAAATCGTTGTATTTAAAGTTGGAAAAAAAATCCATGTCCCTTCTGGATTAACTAAAACCAAAAATTTTTCAACTCCATAATAAACAAGACGAAAGATAAAAACATGGTCAAACCAAAAGTATTATTCATTGGAGAATTGAATCAATCCCTTCATCAATTTAAACATTTTCAAACTAAATATGAATGTATATTCACTGAATTACCAACACGTGAACAATTTATTAAAGATTTACAAACTAAATATTCAGAAATTGTAGCTATTTATGCTGCTTGGTTAGGATTTATTCCAATTGGAGGATTTAAAACTGTTATTGAACATGCACCTAAATCATTAAAAATAATTGCATTTTGTTCAGTTGGATATGATCATAAAGATGCTGAAATAATGAAACAACATGATATTATAATGACTAATGTTCCTAGTGATGGAGCTGCTGAACCTGTGGCTGATTTGGCATTATATTTAGCAATTTCAAGTTTCAGACAATTCCAAATGTATAATAAAACAGTTCAAAATATTCCTAATACACTTGATATTAGATATCAATTATCCAAAAATGAATTTGATCATAATGAAGGTAAAGTTGTTAGATCTGAAGGTAATGGATATGAATTTGGACATTATTTAAATAAAAGACCTAATTTATCTCCTAGAGGTCATAATGTTGCAATTATAGGATTTGGTAAAATTGGTCAAACTATAGGTAAGAAACTTCATGATATTGGTATGAAAATAAACTATGTTAAAAGAAGTAAGTTATTACCTCATCAAGAATTATCATTAGGTTATCCTGTAACTTACCATGAAAAGGTAACTGATGTGAAGAATTTAGATTTGATTGTTATTGCATGTCCAGCAACTCCAGAAACCCATCATTTGATAAATTCCAATGTGATAAACTCGATATCCAATCCATTTAGAATAATCAATATTGGGAGAGGTACAGTGATTGATGAAGAGGCATTAATTAAAGGGTTGAAATCTGGGAAAGTATTGTTTGCAGGATTGGATGTTTATGAAAATGAACCAAGCATAAATCCGGAATTGATAAACAGGGAAGATGTTATATTGACACCTCATATTGGTGCTTCAACTGTTGAAAATTTCGATTATACTGCTATTAAAGCATTAGAAAATATTACTAAAGTTTTGGAAGGTGGTGATTGTGTAGATAGAGTTAACTAGAATTGTTGGTATAGTGCTATCTTTCAACGACCTTGTAAATAAACATTAACTCATGATATATGGATTGTAAACTGTAGTTGAATAAGTAGTTGATTGTGTATAGTGGAAACTTTCAATCGGAATGATATTTTTTTCAAAAATTTACTTTGAAATTATTGCAAAAATCAACAAAAATATAATAATCGACAACAAAAAAAAGAAAAAAGAGATCTGATCTCACAGTGGAGATAATCATCCACTCAATTGATCACTACGAGATGAACATTTAATTATTTAACTATAACTGGTAGATTTACATTCCGATGAAAATTCAAGACTATAGTAATGGAAAAATAATGTTGATGCCACAGTTAGGACACCAGTACACGCCTCTATTGAAAATTATTTCTTTTTTTTTATTTATTTTTAATTACTTGCATGAGATATCATAATAATATTATTCTGGAATGGGTTGTGCTTGGACAACCAATGGAAACCATGTTTGACATCATTGATTGAGTGATGTCGAATATATATATCTACCCTATATACTGCTACATGCTAGTTTCATAAGCAGAAGAGGAATGTTATGCTGGCGGTTAGAAGAGGAAAAAACATGCATGAGACACAGAATCATTTGATGATGTTATGCAATATGTTCTTTAAATAGCAATCAACAAAGAGTTCAATTTTAGAATTGGGAAGATAAAAAAAAGTACAAACCAGATCGTATTTTATATCAATATAAGAGATGAATTATTGTTGGAATGGCAACATTGATCGACACAACTATATACGAATATGAGCAAGTTTGTGACCTGCTACATATTCAATCAAGTGTGAAAAAAAAACATGAATTCAGAGAACTACCCACGATAAAAGATTGATGTTCGTTATAGTGATTTGGCTAAATTTGGGAGGTTATTGTTATCCTAAATGCTTCGTCAGACGTCATCATACGCACAACAAATGGATTAGGCGGGGATAGAGTAGGGACCCCAATTTAGCATAGTTTGAAAGGAGGACAATAGTTTCATTCTAAAAAAAAAATATATTCTTCTAGACTTCTCAATGCGCTTAAATTAGTTTGAACATGAACTAAACATGAAATATTCTTGTAATAATTGTACACCTTTCAAAATGACTGCAATGTCTGTCTTTCTGTTATTTTGTTTTTTAATGAATTTCAGATGCACAATTTTGGACATTAAATTAGACATATGATAGTACTGCATCGAATTTCTTTTTCACTTTTGTCCATTGAATTAGAAACTACTCTCACTCATTTCCAAACTATCCGCCCTTATAATCCAAAAACAGTAATTCCACAATTTAGTTTCATGTAATATGTTACCCAAAGAAAAGACGACGGCAAAACAGGTTTCATGACAAGTAATTAAGCAAACCCCATATATTATCAGTTTATAATTGTCGTATCTTTGGGATCGGAATGAAATTATACTAAGTGAAACTACTATAGGGTGCGAAGTGGAAGTACAATTATCAATTGGCTCAAAATACGCTTATCTTATATAAATATTGAATAACTTGTATGTTAACAATAATACAGGGTCCTCTTTATTCCATTCTCAATTAAGTGTAAGTTGGGACTTAGAAGTTATCAAGGGAGAGGAGCCCCAACCAATCATTATTGTCGTGAACACAAATTTGTTTTAGATTAGTGGCTAATGTAGAACATGAAATGAGTACAAAATTCAACTGCTGTTAATTTTAGAATCATCAAAATGTTTGTAGCAAGCTTTGAGTTGGTGGAAAATAGAATCCGCCATGACGTGAATGTCTCATATTGCTTGATACTTTTTTTTACTCATGTTGCCTTATCGAATCTATTATTCCTGAAGATAATTTACTATCTGTATCATTTACTTGAGATTAATTAAATCCAATTATCATACCAGTTCGATCAATCCAGGACATGAAGCACTATCTGTTTCAGCTAGTGTACAATAAATGGAAAGCAAATCCAGTTTGAAAAAACTGTCTCAACTTTATTATTATTTAGGTGCTAGAGGCGGATGTGTGTTATGATGTCATGAAAGTGGATGCTTATCCATAATAGTTTTAAATAACTAATTGCAGCTCTAAAAAAATTGTAGAAAACTTCATAGTTCATTTTTGGCTTCCCTGTTCATGCGTAGTGAAGAACTAATGCCAAGTGTTGAGTCAACATATTTTTTTGTGTCTCATGATTTCTCATTAACCACAGATGATGAGTATCAAGATAATACATCGTAAATAATGATAAAAAAACGTTCAGAAATAACAATACATCGTTGAGAAATGTCCTGGTAGTTGTCTTGTCGATCTATATCTTGAACATTACGAATAAACTTAACGATCATGTCTATTACTCTGGCACAGTGACTTTGATGGATCGATATATAATCCCCCAAATTTGAATAATACTTAGTCCAACTTATCTATTACTAAACTATGTTTTCGCGGATAAGCCCAAATTTTTGCTAACCCTGTGTTGAACTAAACTGTTTCATGTGGGCGTCTAAATTATAATTTTTAGTACTCGTGGAAACATTCATACTTTTCTATTTATTATTAGGGTCTCTTAAACATAAAAGTCCCATTCCCAATATTGCTGATTTTGATACTATAAAGGTAAGGTTCAGCTAGTATGATCTCCTGGGTATTTTCAAAGGCATTCTTAGGGTGTCTGCTGTAGAATAGTAATAAAAGTAAATCTCTTTATTGGGAGCCAGCAATGAATTCACTGCTCGTACTTTTTTCTCGCAATTTTATTTGTGTCTCCTTTTTTTTATTTTTTTTTTTTTTTTTTAGTTTGCTCACTTCCAATTAAAGTGATATCAACAAACACATTTTATTTTCACTTTCATTTTCATTTTACATCAATTTAACATTCTATTCACAAAATACCATTATGAATTATGCATTATCTAATTGAATCCCTTTTCTAGAATTGTTCTTTTTTTATGTTTGCCAATGTGACACTTTCTAATATTTCACGCATTTCCACTTTTGCATTGCAATATGAAAGAACAGCAAAATTATGCTTTTGTTAGTTAATTTGATTTATTGAAGATGATTTCATCATATTCAGGAATTTTCTATAAATAGTGGATGTATTCCCACCAATTTAGAATGAATTTACCATTCGAATTATCTCAACAACCTATCACACACTCACCGATATGAAGTTTATTACATTTGGTTTGTTATTGCTGTCTTTGCTTACCTTGGTGACACCGAAAGAAGTTACTGGTATTTTCACTTCTTTTGATTCATTAACATGGAACGAACAAACTACCCCTTTTAGTAGTCCTGCTAGTCCAACCTGGAGAGCAACTTTAGGTTGGTCATTGGATGGTACTAAACTCAACCAAGGTGATACTTTCACTTTAACAATGCCTTGTGTCTTCAAGTTCATCACTGATCAAACTACCATTGATTTAATGGCAAATGGTGTAAGCTATGCTACCTGTACTTTTCATGCTGGTGAAGAATTTACCACTTTCTCAACTGTTGCCTGTGTCGTCAATGACGCTTTGAAATCAAATATGCAAGTTACTGGTTCTGTTACAATTCCATTTACTTTTAATGTTGGTGGTACTGGTACTTCAGTTAGTTTAGAGGATTCCACTTGCTATACCGCTGGTAAGAACACTGTTATTTTCAAGGATGGTGATAACGAGCTTTCAACCATAGCAAACTTTGAACCTACAGATGCATCCAGAACTGAATTAATTACTAATGCTAGATCGATTCCTTCAATTAAAAGAACCAGTCATGTTATTATTGCTCCAGATTGTCCTAGCGGTTACAAGAGTGGTACTATAACTTTTGACACAAATAATGGTGCTGACATTGACTGTGGTCAGACTCACGTTGGTATGACGAATTTTATCAATCCATGGAACTACCCAACTAATTCAGAACAAAATTTTTCAAAGCAACCAACATGTACTAAAGGAAAATATACTCTTTCATTTCAAGATGTTCCTGCTGGATATAGACCATTCTTCGATGTTTTGGTGAAGCCTACTGGTAAAATGACGTTTTATTACAACTCGGATCTTGTCTGTGCCGACGGTACAACCTATAAAAAGGGTCTTGCATGGGATTGGGGTTCGTATCAGAATGATGTTGCTGATAGCAGTGGTGATGTTATAGTAATAACTACAAGAACAGGAACACAAACTACAACTGCTGTTACCACTTTGCCATTCGATCCAAGTAAAGACCATACTAAAACAATTGAAGTTATTGAACCAATTCCAACAACAACAATCACTACTTCATACCTTGGTATCACAACTTCTTATACTACAATCTCAGGCACTGTTGGTGGAACTGCTACTGTTATCGTTGATGAACCATATCATTCCACAACTACTGTTTATACATCTTGGACTGGAGTGGGAACCACTTCATACACCATCACTGCTTCCACTGATTCAATTGACACTGTTTTTGTTGAAACTCCAGTACCAAATCATACCGTCACTACCACTGAATACGAAGACGTCTCAGCTGCTACTACCTATACTGAAACTGCCACCCACGGTGGTACCGACACCGTTCACGTCATTGATCCATTAAACCCAACTGTTACTACCACTGAATACGAAGATGTATCAGCTGCTACTACCTACACTGAAACTGCTACTCACGGTGGTACTGATACTGTTCATGTTGTCGAACCAGTTAACCCAACTGTTACCACCACTGAATATGAAGACGTTTCAGCTGCTACTACTTACACTGAAACAGCTACTCACGGTGGTACCGATACTGTTCACATCATTGAACCAATCAACCCAACTGTTACTACCACTGAATACGAAGATGTTTCAGCTGCTACTACCTACACTGAAACTGCTACTCACGGTGGTACTGATACTGTTCACGTCATTGAACCAGTCAACCCAACTGTCACTGTCACTGAATTCGGCTCTGTTTCTGCTGCCACCACTACCACTTTCACCAACCCAGCCGGTGAAACTGATACTGTTTTGGTTATTGAACCAATCAACCCAACTGTTACCACTACTGAATTTGGTTCTGTTTCAGTTGCCACCACTACCACTTTCACCAACCCAGCCGGTGAAACTGATACTGTTTTGGTTATTGAACCAATCAATCCAACTGTCACCACCACTGAATTCGGATCTGTCTCAGAGGCTACTACCATCACATACACCAACCCAGCCGGTGAAACTGACACTGTTTTGGTTATTGAACCAATCAATCCAACTGTCACCACCACTGAATTCGGATCTGTCTCAGAGGCTACTACCATCACATACACCAACCCAGCCGGTGAAACTGACACTGTTTTGGTTATTGATCCATTGAACCCAACTGTCACCACTACTGAATATGGATCTGTTTCTGCTGCTACCACTACCACTTTCACCAACCCAGCAGGTGAAACTGATACTGTTTTGGTTATTGAACCAATCAACCCAACTGTTACCACTACTGAATTTGGTTCTGTTTCAGTTGCCACCACTACCACTTTCACTAACCCAGCCGGTGAAACTGACACTGTTTTGGTTATTGATCCATTGAACCCTACTGTTACCACCACTGAATTCGGATCTGTTTCTGCTCCAACCACCATCACATACACCAACCCAGCCGGTGAAACTGATACTGTTTTGGTTATTGAACCAGTTAACCCAACTGTTACCACCACTGAATTCGGTTCTGTTTCTGCTCCAACTACCATCACATACACCAACCCAGCCGGTGAAACTGATATTGTTTTGGTTATTCAACCATTTTCTTCCGTTGTTCCTGTTTTACCACATAGCAGTGGTCCACATTATTATAATACTAGTATAGGATCCTCGTCTGATGTTTATTCTAGTGCTGATGGTGGATATGTTGCGGATGATTTTCCTATTCCAAGCTTGACTAGTATGGACTCACCAGTTATGGATATTCTGTCTTCAAGTGCACTGGTTTCTACATTAGATACATCGTCAATTGTGGAAGAATCAAAAGTTGATCAATATGTTAGTTCATATGTTTCATCGGAGGTTAGTGAACAAAACTTTGCTTCTAATGCCAAAACTAGTAGTGACATACAAGCTAGTTCTCAGTCGCTTGTCAGTATTGAAACCGAATCATCAATAGCTTCACTGTCTATTAATTCTGTTTATTATTCATCAGTATCCAAAGAATCCACTGTTACATTCATTTCCGAAACCACTGAATCTACAATTGTTCCACATTTGTCATCTCAAGTGAACGAAGGTTCAATCGAATCTCAAGGTTCTCCTGAAGAACAATCATCTTCCAGCGGTTATGATACTACTTCTCATACAGAAGGTGTCACCATTACTGTCACCTCCGAATCCACTAGAACTACTGTTGTTCCACTCTCAAGTTCTGAAGTTGGTGACATTCCAACCGAATCTCACGCTGTTCCAGATCAAGATAGTATCGAAGGTGCTTCTTCTTTATCAGATGCTGTTGTCACAACTGTTACTTCTCAAACTACTGAGACTACTGTTGTTACTTTCCTAACTTCTGAGGGTTCCAATGTTCCATCTCAATCCCAAGGTGTTTCACAAGAGCAATCATCTACTTCTAATGACAATACTTCTTTTGAATCACAATCCAGTTCAATTCAATCTTCTCAAGATGGCAATATTTCATCCAGATCTCAAGGTAGTTCTCAATATCAATCATCTACTTCCAATGTCAAATCTACAAGTCAAGCAGAAAGTTTCTCCAGAAGTGTTACTTCTCAAGTCGCTGAATCCCAATCCAGTTCGATTCAATCAACTGAATCTCAAGGTAGTTCACAACAACAAGCATCTTCTACCAGTGATGAAATTAAATCTGAAGTCGAAGGTTTCTCCAGTAGTGGCACCTCCCAATCCACTGAAACTACTTTTGTTCCACACTCAAGTTCTGAAGTTGGTGACATTCCAACTGAATCTCATGGGGTTCCAGAGCAAGAAAGTATTGATGGTTCTTCTTCTTTATCAGCTGGTTTTGTCACAACTATTACTTCTCAAACTACTGAGACTACTGTTGTTCCTTTCCCAACTAGTTCTGGGAACGATGTGCCAGTTGCATCTGAAGGGGGTAGTGAAATCTCAACTAAGTCTCAAGCTGTTCCACAAGAATCAACTGAAGATGGTAATGAAGTTTCAACTGACTCTACTGTTTCTCCAGAAGTGTCATCAACTGAAGTTGGTTATACTCCAGTTCAATCTCAAGGTGTTCCAGAGCAAGAAAGTATCGATAGTCCTAATTCTCAGCCAAATGGTGTTGTCACAACTGTTACTTCCCAAATCACAGAGACTACTGTTGTTCCATTCCCGACTTCTGAAGGCAACAATGTTCCATCTCAATCATCAAGTGTCCCAGAGCAAGGTAACATCATTCCTTCTGTCTCTACCGCATCTACTGGTGGCAATGGTTCTGGATCTGCTTCTGGTCAACAACCTACTGGCGGTTCTCATTCTGGGGATGAGTCTGCAAGTGATACCACTTCTGAGAATGTTACTCAAACGAATGGTGTTCCACCTGCAACTGTTTCCCAACCATCTGGTGCTGTCTCTGGTTCTGTCTCAAGCTCTGACTCTGACTCTGTTTCTGGGTCTGGCTCTGGTTCCTCCAAATCAGATGGTGTTGCTGCTTCTACATCCACTTCTAGTGTTTCTACTGGTCATGGTGGTCAACAAACTTCCAATTCCATCCCAGCCAGTGACTTTGTTTCCAAGACTGTCGGTGATGATGCTGCAATTTCAACCAGTGCCAACACTGAAACTACTAATGTCGCTAACCCACCTATTCCATCCACCATGGTTACAAGTACTAGTAATGGTTCTGGTATTCCACAAGTCTCTGTATCCATTCCACTAGTTTCTTCTGTATCCATTCCACAAGCATCTGCATCTGAGTCCAACCCATTAACAGTTCCAACTTATGAAGGTTCTGCCTCATTTACTCAAATTTCTTCATTTATGGTTATTATTTTCACTTTATTGTCTGTCATCGTTTAGAGTCTAGTGTTCTAGGACTTACATTGGTTGCCATATTATATCTTTTTTTTTGATTTTGATTTTCCTTCAGGTTTATTATATTCTTTTTTGTTGCATATATTCTTTTGAGTACCTTATTATTATTTGCATTATCATTTTTTATTTCTAGTTTTCGGTTAACATTTTCATTAGTTTCGGTTTCCAGTATTATATTTGATTATAGTATCTGTGAGTATATATTTTATCTTAGTTGTCTTAACATTTTATAAACGTTATAATTTCATTTAAAACGACGATTTAAAGTAGTTCTATTGTAGTATAGTCTTATAAATTAACATAAGGTATCCGATCTGTTATTCAAACTCTGGTTTGACTTGTCTTCGGATGGAAAGAATGATATACTCTGGTAAAGTTGAATCTGAGGCTATAGACGTATATTTGCAACAACTATAAGTAATACGAGTTAGACCGGATTATTATTTTAATTGCAATCAACTATATCAATATTTGTTATATTTATAATAAGAAATATCAATTCAAATGAATTGAACGAAACTTCTGTTAGACAGGTTGGCATGTTTGCGATTATCTAGTTAGTCAATTTAAGTGTAACAAGGTCGTGTAAAACGTCACATTCAATTGTGGACTGAGAAAGAGAGAGAAGCGAAAGAGAAAGAGAAGGAGAAGGAGTCAGAGGAAAAAAAAACCAATTCAAATCAGGTGAACAGAAGAAGTAGAAGTCGTGATTTAATTAGTGTTAATTAGATTTGAGTTGTGTCTTTTATCTGCTGCCTGTTGTCTCAATTAGAAATTATGTGTGTTGATTTTTTTGGAAGCTACTAACCTTATCTTAATCGATCTAGCACAGCTCATGGCGTTCTGGTATTCTTGTTGATAATGTATTGTCAACATTGATTCAACGTTGTGTTTGCTTTTTGTATACATATTTAATATATAAGAGTTTTTAAATTATTATTGTTAATATTTATTTATCATTATCATTTTGTAGATACTTGTAGATGAACAGTTGACCTTGTTTTGTTGTGACTTATCCATCAGTAAGATATAATTGTTGATGTTCGATGTCCATGTCTGATTCGATGAACTGTAAATAAGGGGGTGGTCAACAGGGGGTTGTGCAATTTTACACGACCTTGAGTGAGAAACCAAATCTCCAACTATAAAAAGGAACGAGAAGATACGTATGGACATTTTTTTTTGGCCTACATTTATATCTCTCTTTTTCTTCTTCAAAAGATAAAATTCCTTAATTTTCTATTATTGAATTCTCTACCGTTATCAGTTTGAAAGTTCTGATGTGTCCGTATCTGCATATACATCTACTAACGTTACATCAAATATCTAGCATCTAATCATGTTTAGTTGATATTAATATATATACATTATTTTGGTTCCTATATAATATAAATGTAGATTAGATATATATTATCATTAATTAATTATCGAACTCATTCACTTAACCATTAGCTGACCATTAAGAGAAGATATCTGAATTTGATTCTATTGAAGTTCAATGCATCACAAAGTCAACTTCAATAAGTATTGAATTGACTGTGGCTTATATAATTTTAGTGACAGTGTATGATAATTCACTTTATTGTCGTGATATACTCTAAAAATGATTGGTGGTACTGATCTTGCTAGTCATTCCAAATTAATAATCTATATTGTTCTAAACCCCAATGACTTTATAAATTAATATTGTCAATAACATTTAAACGGTGCGGGGTTCACAACTCATGTGATGTATACCCACGTGACTATGCTGTAATTGTCACATTTTGCACTACTTGCATTGTAATCAGTTGACAGAGAAAAAAAAAATAATACGGCATCTGTGATAACCACCAAGGTGATTGCAACCATGTGTGTGTGTGTGAAAGTGGGAGCTCTCTATTAATATATTTTTTTTTTGTTTTAGTAAGTGAATGTTTGTTAATTCTTCATGGGTTTGCATGCAGAAAACAAAGTTAAGTTTACTTGTGTACATTAATTAAAGTTATTAGTTTATTAGGCTTATTGACTCAACCACAAGAACAACAACAACAACTACAACTACAACAACGTTAATTAATTGCAAGGTTCAACTAAATTCATCAATATAGAAAATTTTTCTTTCTAAATTTTTTTTTTTTTTTATTTTATTTTTATATAACCAATCGATATTGAATTTTTTGTTTTTTTTTTATTTATTTTCTGTATTTTAATTTTTTTTTGAATTTTTTATTTTATTGTTAATTTATATTGGGAGATTAATTGTTGTATCTGTTATATAAAATTAGATAATTAAATTCAAGATCATCAATCATGGGAGAAGATTTGTCACCAGTCACACCTTTAGTGACAACTACATCTACAACATCGAACAAACAATTACTCGATCTTAGAGGGCAACCATCCACGGCTAGCAATACTCCCACTCCACCGGCATCTCTGTCATTTCAAATACCCTCTTCATTAGTTAAAGATTTGGCAAGTATTGATGGTAAAGTGATAACACATGGTTATGTTCATGGTCACATCCATAAACACAAAGATCATACTCACATTCATGGGCATATACATAATCATGATCATCTTGACTATAATAAATTAAACAACATGAGAAATCCACAAGAAATCCAATCAACAGATTTACAACAAAACTTTGATTGTCATGAATTTGAGAATTTAGATTTTTGTAAAGATGTATTTTGTGATGAACTAGACGATTGTTTCTTCTTAAATTGTGATGATAGCAAATACTCCAATAGTTGTGATTTAAATTGTTGTAATTCATCTAATAGTGTTGATGAAATTTGCTGTACTGACGCTAGTTGTTTTGGTGAAACAAAAGATCAATCACAATCTCCTACAGATTGTTGCAATAATCCTGAATGTAATTCATATTCGGTTTGTCATGCTATTGAACGACTGAATTCCAGTGTTTGTACAGATCCTGGTTGTGGTGAAATAGATGCTTGCTGTGTACCCACGGAAAAACAGCACAGTCATTCACAACATATTGATAACAACTTGTGCGAATTACAACTATCAAAGAAACCTATATTTGAAGATTTGATTAGTAATATCCATTCATCTTATAAATATCAAAATCGTAATGACAATCCATCACAACAACCACAACCACCGAAGAAAAAACCACGTACACATAATGATTTTCAAATACATTTTCCTCATGAATGTCATCCTGAAGATAAATCAAAACCAGTAGATACTCATCAAGTTCATCAATCATGCTTTCATACAACCATTCCTGATTCAGGAAATGTCACTCCAACAGAGTTTGATCAGAAATTGATGTCTGATTTTGATTTTGTCATCCAGTTTAATAATTTTAATAAGTTTTTAAACGAAATGTCAACTCAACAACTTGATGCTACGACAAATCTGATGGACAATTCCAACAATATGGACAGTTCTGCTATTCCTACAAGCACATCCAATATGGGTACCCCGACTACCAGTAACATATTAGAGCAACCACAACAAATTAAGACAGAGGATTCATCGACAACAACGGCAGAAAATTCATTACTGTATTCATGTCAATGGGAAAAATGTTTCAAAAGAGTTAATGATGATACTTTTTTAACTCATGTTGTCCACGATCACTTGGATCACGAGAAAGATGCAGGGAAATCCACTGATAATTCTACATTCCAGTGTGAATGGATTAATTGTAATTTTATGAATAATGATTATAATTCTTTACTTGATCATTTAAAATCTCACCAACCTTCAAAATATATCCTTCCTACCCAAGCTTCTTCCGCAAATGCATTAACTCCGTTATCGTGTTCAATTTCTAATGCTGCATCTCCAGCAGTATTGCAACAACCAGCATCCACACAGCCAACAATCAATGAACTCAATATAACTTCAATGAAAATCATGCCAAAAACTAGAAAGAAACAAACTGAACAAGACCCTGAGTTTAGATGCCATTGGCAAGTAGGAACAGATGATGAGGGTAATCCAATATCTTGTGATTTAAAACACGAAAATGAAGGAGATTTACAAAATCATATACTCGAACATCATATTGGATCAGGGAAATCAAAATACAGTTGTGGATGGATTGGTTGTGAGCGTCATAATGGGAAAATTTTCACACAACGTCAAAAACTTATTCGTCATATTCATATTCATACAAATTATAAACCTTGTAAATGTGATATTTGTGGAGCTTGTTTTGCTGTGAAATCAATGTTGGAACAGCATTTAAGAATTCATTCTGGAGAGAAGCCATTCCAATGTTCTATATGTGGGAAGAAGTTTGCCACAAGTTCATCATTATCAATACATAACAGGGTTCACACTGGAGAAAGACCTTTAGTTTGTACTTGGCCTGGTTGCAATAAAAGGTTTAGTGAAAGTTCTAATTTAACTAAACATATGAAAATTCACACAAAAACCTATGATTGTGAGATTTGTGGTGAAAGCTTTGATAAGAAGGCTGCTTTTACAAGACATGTGTCAGGACACTCAAAAGAAGAAAAGAACATACTAAAACAAGAAAAGACTTTAGTTTAAGTAGAGATTTTCTATACTATAATGTAATTTGGTTTATCGTAATTTGACTTTTTTTAATATATAAGAATGTAAAAGATAATTGAAGATTGATATTTCATCTCACTAAAATTTTTAACCCGTAGTGCATTCACAGAAAAACTATCTCCGATGGCCCTCAATGGCGGTGAGCAGGAACGCTCGGTTCGCCCACAGAAGAGTCAAACGAACGGCCAGATATCTACTGGCAACACACATGACCATGATTTCTACTTTTCTTTTGACACTTGGTAAAGAGTACTTTTTTCATCTTTGTCACATTTACAGTCGGTTGAAGATGGGGCTGTATATTACCGAGATATTATTGGTATATATATATACATATGCCACCATGTAACAACAAGAAAGTCATTCATTCATTCATTCGTGTCTCGGCAACTTGGGCGCAGCTACTGTCTCTATGATTTGTGCATTGTTGCACTACCCCCGTTAAGATTGTTCGGAACAAAACGAAAAATAAAAAAAAAAATGTTGAATCGGAAACCAAAAGCAATTTGAGTAAGAAGAAGAAAAAAAAAAAAGAATCAAACTCATAAGTTATCCAACACCTGTTTTTTTTTTTGTTCTTCATTTTCGATTGATTGATTAACTGATTGATTGTGAATTTCTTGCATTTGATTTGTTTCAAGACTAACTAGTTTTTTAAATATATCATGGCCATTGTTAAAAGAGGTGGTCGTAACAAGGCTAAACAACAACAAGCTCCAGCCAGAGCAAATGGTGGCAGTGGAGGTATTAAAAAAGCCGAATTTGATATTACGAAAAAGAAAGAAGTTGGGGTTTCTGATTTAACCCTTTTATCCAAAATTACTGATGAAGCAATTAATGAGAATTTACAAAAAAGATTCATGAATGATACTATTTATACATATATTGGACATGTGTTGATTTCAGTTAATCCTTTTAGAGATTTAGGAATTTACACTATGGACAATTTAAATAAATATAAAGGAAGAAATAGATTGGAAGTTCCCCCTCATGTTTTTGCAATTGCTGAATCAATGTATTATAATTTGAAATCTTATGGTGAAAATCAATGTGTTATTATTTCCGGAGAATCAGGTGCTGGTAAAACTGAAGCAGCTAAACAAATTATGCAATATATTGCTAATGTTTCAGTTGATGCACAAAATGCAGAAATTTCCAAAATTAAAGATATGGTTTTAGCAACAAATCCATTATTGGAATCCTTTGGATGTGCTAAAACTTTAAGAAATAATAATTCTAGTAGACACGGTAAGTATCTTGAAATTATGTTTAATGAAACTTATCAGCCAGTTGCTGCTCATATTACAAATTATTTATTGGAAAAGCAAAGAGTTGTTTCACAAATTACAAATGAACGTAATTTCCATATTTTCTATCAATTTACCAAAAATTGTCCACCACAATATCGAGAAAGTTTTGGTATTCAAGGTCCAGAAACTTATATTTATACTTCAGCAGCAAAATGTATTAACGTTGATGGGGTTGATGATACTAAAGATTTCCAAGATACTTTAAATGCCATGCAAATCATTGGATTAAGTCAAGATGAACAAGATCAAATTTTTAGAATGTTGGCATCTATCTTATGGGTAGGTAACATTTCATTTGTTGAAGATGAAAATGGTAATGCTGCCATTAGAGATGAAAGTGTCACCAATTTTGTGGCATATTTATTGGGTGTGAATACTGAAATTTTGAAAAAAGCCATTATTGAAAGAACCATTGAAACAAGTCATGGTATGAGAAGAGGTTCTACTTATCATTCGCCTTTGAATATTGTTCAGGCTACTGCTGTACGTGATGCATTAGCTAAAGGGATTTATAATAATCTTTTTGAATGGATCGTTGAAAGAGTCAACAAGTCATTACAAGGTCATCAACAACAATCTGCCAGATCTATTGGTATTCTTGATATTTATGGGTTTGAAATTTTTGAACATAATTCGTTTGAACAAATTTGTATTAATTATGTTAATGAAAAATTACAACAAATTTTCATTCAATTGACATTGAAAGCAGAACAAGATGAATATGTTCAAGAGCAAATTAAATGGACTCCAATTGACTATTTCAATAATAAAGTCGTGTGTGATTTGATTGAAGCCACTAGACCACAACCAGGGTTATTTGCTGCCTTGAATGATTCTATTAAAACAGCACATGCTGATTCTGATGCTGCTGATCAAGTTTTTGCCCAAAGATTAAGTATGGTTGGTGCAAGTAACAAACATTTCGAGGATCGTAGAGGTAAATTTATCATTAAACATTATGCTGGTGATGTTACTTATGATGTTGCTGGTATGACTGATAAGAACAAAGATGCCATGTTGCGTGATTTATTGGAATTATTAGGAACTTCAAACCAATCATTCATTACTCAAGTTTTATTCCCACCAGAATTATTATCTACTTTAACTGATTCCAAAAAGAGACCTGAAACAGCATCTGATAAGATTAAAAGAAGTGCTAATCTTTTGGTTGACACTTTATCCCAATGTGCTCCATCGTATATCAGAACCATCAAACCTAATCAAACCAAAAAACCCCGTGATTATGACAACCAACAAGTTTTGCATCAAATTAAATATTTGGGTTTGAAAGAGAATGTTCGTATTAGACGTGCGGGTTTTGCTTATCGTTCAACATTTGAAAGATTTGTTCAAAGATTTTATTTGTTGTCTCCAGTCACAGGTTATGCTGGTGATTATATCTGGCAAGGAGATGATATTTCTGCCGTTAAAGAAATCTTGAAGGCATGTTTTATCCCAGCAAGTGAATACCAATTGGGTACCACTAAAGTTTTCATTAAAACTCCGGAAACTTTGTTTGCATTGGAAGATATGAGAGATAAATATTGGCATAATATGGCTGCTAGAATTCAAAGAGCATGGAGAAGATATGTCAAGAGAAAGGAAGATGCAGCTAAAGTGATTCAAAATGCCTGGAGAATGAAGACCCATGGGAACCAATTTGAACAATTTAGAGATTATGGTAATGGATTATTGCAAGGAAGAAAAGAACGTCGTAGATTTTCCATGTTGGGTAGTCGTGCATATATGGGAGATTATTTGGGATGTAACTACAAGAGTGGATATGGTAGATTTGTCGTTAGTCAAGCTGGTATAAATGATCATGTTGTTTTCTCATGTAAAGGGGAAATTTTACTTTCCAAATTTGGTAGATCATCCAAGAGATTACCAAGAGTGTTTATTTTGACCAAGAGCACTTTATATATTGTTGCTGAAATGTTGGTTGAAAAGAGATTACAATTATCTAAAGAATTTTCCATCCCTGTTAGTGGAATTAACTATGTTGGTTTATCTAATTTACAAGATAATTGGATAGGTGTTTCATTACATTCTCCAACTCCAACCACACCTGATGTTTTTATAAACACTGATTTCAAGACTGAATTAGTAGCACAATTGAAGAAATTGAATGCAGGTTTGACCATTAAGATTGCCCCAACTGTTGAATATCAAAAGAAACCAGGTAAATACCATTCAGTTAAATTTATTCATAGTTCAGGTCCAGAGGTTCCAGTTAATGGTGATCACTATAAATCTGGTACCGTTAGTGTTAGACAAGGGTTACCAGCAAACAGCCGTAATCCAAAGAGACCAAGAGGTGTTAGTGGTAAAGTTGATTATAGTAAGTATTATAATAGAGGTGCTGCCAGAAGAACAGCTGCACCAAGTTATAATCAACCTAAACCAGTTGCTAATTCTGGATACCTGGCCCAACCTTCCTATCCGCAACAGCAGCAACAGCAGCAACAGCAACAACCACAACAACCACAACAAGTCCAACAGCCACCAAGATCGCCAGTTCAACATCAACAACCACAACAACGTGTTGTGTCACCAAAAACTCAAAGAAAAGCTCCTCCACCAGCTCCAAGTCTACAAGTTGCTGCTGCACAAGCTGCCCTTGGTAAATCTCCACAACATCCTCAACCTCAACAACATCATGCTCAACCACAACCGCAACACCATCAAGAAGTATCATCTCCAACGAAACCAAAAGCTCCAAGTAGACCAGTTAAAAGGACTGCACCTGCTCCACCAGTTAAAAAATCACCAGCACCTCCACCACCTCCGCCATCGTTATCTAAACCTAAATTCCCAACTTATAAAGCAATGTATGATTATGATGGATCTGTTGCTGGTTCTATTCCATTGGTTAAGGATACTGTTTATTATGTTTCACAAATTAATGGCAAATGGGGTTTAGTTAAAACTATGGATGAAACCAAAGAAGGATGGTCTCCAATTGATTATTTACAAGAAGTTTCACCTCATAGTGGTACTAAATCTCCACCACCAGCCCCACCAATGCAACAGCAACAACAGCAACAACAACAACCAGCTGTTAGTCAACAAACCAACTCTAATGCTGGAAGTGCTACTAGTTCCAATACTACATTTACTCAGAGTACAAATGCTACCCTGGTTAATGGAGGGAGGCAGTTTAGGAAATAATTTAGCTGATGCATTAAAAGCCAAAAAACAAGAAGAAACATCATTAGCTGGATCATTAGCTGATGCTTTGAAGAAAAGACAAGGTGCAACTAGAGATAGTGATGATGAAGATGAAGAAGACGATGAAGAATGGTAATTTTCAATGATCTTGATTCATTTATGTACAGTATCTTAATAAATAATACTCATAATAAGAATAAATTTCGTGTGTTTATATGTGTTCCTGAAAAAAAAAAGTACTGTAGTTAAAAGTCTACATTGAATAGTTTTAAATGTAAGATAACCTGGTATATATTAAGTAAAAATAAAGAATATAATAATGAATTGCTAGATAGATATTAAAAAGTAAGTAGATGGAAAACTCGCCTGTATTTCCATAATCAGTTTTCATTAGCTAAATTAAAAAATAAACCCATGAACTCTCCAAAACTGTATATCTTGAAACACTACCCTAATTTAATATAATCTTTAAAAAAAAAAAAAAAGAAAGAAAGATGGGAGGAATTTCAATCATATCTGTCTCTCTCTTTCACACTCTTTTTATACTTTTGATTATTTTTGAACCCCTCGTTGATCGATTCCATTTAGGTTAACAGGAACAATTAATTGTAATATTCTTCTCCGTATATATCCGATTTTTACTTTAACGTTTAAATATGATGAATAATAATAATGATATACATAAGGATGGTTTAATAATCTACATTGATTGTCTATCATTAGACAAATCATATCTTTAAAAATATTTATAGATATTGTTGGAGATGAGAAGATATGTATAATTTTGAAGAAATAGGTAATTGAAATCTCACCAAATTGTTCAATATGCTAGAAAGTAGCATAAACTTCAGCTGGGAAATTAGTAGGAGAATAAGCCTCTGCAAAGTATGATCCTTGTAGTAACTCTTGCTTTGTTTAACATATGCTTATAGATAAGGAGGACCAAACTGGGAATATTCTTACTGTATATCGTATTTCTTCTTTTTCTGGAAGAAATGATTCTCTTGATCTTCTTTTATAGTTTTATTATTCTATAACTAGATTATAGAAATTGTATGTTTAATTATTATCATCAATTTATTATCAACAAATATTACAGATTCTTACCTTCCTAATGACTTTGATGATTGTTGCGTTATTTACTTTACATCCTTAAAAAAATTCATTTCAATTAGTCTTAAATGATAAATCGTTAAATCAATGGTAATGCTAATTAATTGACTTTGTCAAAGTATAGATCTAATATTTTACTTTTAATGAAATAGAATATCTACAATAACTTGAACTTTAATAACAAATAATAATTAATGTATATATATTAATAAAAAAAATACAAATCATGCTAGAATGAATTATTGGTATCGGTTAGTAGATCTGTGGAAATAATGGCGAATTCAATTCAAACCATTTCACAAATGTTCTGTATGCTTTAATACAAGATGAAGTCAATATTCAAACCAAAATCTTTTAGGATTAACGAAGCTGTCAAACAGAATCCAAAATGAAAGAAATTCTTTTTTCTTCTTTTTTTTTTTCTTTCTGCCTCTCACTGTGATGTTCATTCCCATCCATCAACATCATTCCAATTTTTGAGCTCATGTACACGAATATATGTATTTTTTTTTTTGAACACGTGTACACTAATGATTCTATAATACAGTCGTTGCAGTTTTATTTCGCGCTAGTTTGAGCATAATTTTCAGATCAGTGAGTCAAAATTATTCGCACTATTTGCAAAGAAAAGTTCATATTAAGGCGGTCAATATTTTTGATACTAGTGCGCAAAAAATGTTCATATTACATGACCTCTATTTGTTCATACTGAAAATGTATGATATATGGTATGAACAAAAAAGGGCAGCTAGTTTGAAAGTATTATTTCCGCTGGTGTGAACATTTTGAATTCATTTACTATGAACAATTAATCTCCTTTACTATGAATTAAATTGTCACACTAGTATTAATAATTTCTTTGAACTTGGTACGAACTGAAAGTAGAAACACTGTACTTACATGATAACAAATGTGATGTACCAATGTTATTCACCGTTTGTTTGTTTAATATTTCTAAATTCAAGTTTGAAATATTATCCAGAGAGAGTACAACATCTACGTTATGTCCTTTTATACAATAAATACAATCAATACATATATATTTTTGATCTCTATGTAAATCATGCTAGAATGAATTAATAGTATCAGTTAGTAGATATGACATTGTTTGTCAAAATAATGGCTGTTTTACTTGCCGAAAACTTGGTATCGCAGCTTTGAATGCCCGTATAAAAGATAATAATAGAAAAGAAAAAGAATATAAAATCAACTTGAATATTTTTTTTTATTTTTTTTTGGATCTTCTTTTGTAGCTGAGGTTGTTCATTTGTCATCCAATTTTTGAGCATGTGGACACGCCTTTTTGAGCATTGTACACGTACATTTATATATTTGTATATTAGTCAGCATCAACTGTTATATTACAACTAGATATATTTTAATTAAACAAATGAATCTTGTTTATTTGCATAAGCTTTTAAATCTTGTAAAGATGGTTGATCCATTATAATACCTTGACCTAATCCACCAAATCTATTATCTATTTCAAATTTAATTGATTGAACAATTATAGGATCAATTCCAGGATAGAATAAATTATTTAATCTTTTCTGATGATTACATCCTTTAATTGGACTTAACCCTTTAAATCTATTAGTAATCCATGTGATTGCTGCTGGAGTACCTATTAAACCTTCCATTAAATGACCATTTGTTAAATCTTCAGCAAATTCTAATGACTTAATATTAGATTGACACCATTGTTTATAGATATCATTGGAATTTTGAATAGGAACCACTTCATCAATACTTCCATGATATATAAATACTGGTATATCTGGCATATACTGTGGTTGTTTCAATAAACTATTTGACTCAAGAACACTTGAAGCAGGATCACTATTTGCTAAATCCCAACCTTTTGGGAAAATTTTAAATGGACCTGCAAAAAATTGAGTAAATGGGAATTTCAGTACTGTTTCTACTGAACAATACATACTAAATTCATTAAATCTAGTAAATTTAGAATTATCTTTTAAATATTTTTCAAATTCAGGATATTCTTTCATTAATCCACCAATTCCAGCAGCAATCAATCCAGAAAATGGACCACCATCGATATTTTTAACAACTGCTTTAATATCAGTTACAAATCCACCAACAGCAACACCAACTAAATTCTCTTTTAATTCAGGTGCATAAATAGGTTGTAATGAAGCCGCCCATCCTGAAGCAAAACTACCACCCGAAAACCCCCATAATGCAACTTCGGCATTTTTATCAATATTGGTAATATTCCCAGAATTTAAAACAATACCTCTTATAGAATCAAGAATTGCGTGACCAGCTTGATGTCCTGCTAAAAACGCCAGTTTAGGTCCTTCATAATCAGGAATTATAACATAATATCCTTGACTTAATAATAAATTTATATCAGAAACACCAGTGAAATTGTTTCCTAATAAATTAACTGATGGAGCACATTCTATTTTAGCAGCATCTTCAGGAATTTGATATGAAACTATTCTTGATGAATTCCCATTGGTTGGTTCAAGAAGTGAAGTGACTATGATGTTTGAATTCCCAAATGAATCTTGTGAAGATATATTGAATTGCCAACTGTTTTTAAGGTTTTCAAAATTGGTAAATTTTGGATTTGTGTAAGACACGATTGTTCCAGGAATACTCAGTGAGACAACCAATGGAATCAACACAACAAAACAAAACAACAACATTATTGGTTTGGTATTTCAATGATTTTTAATTCGATGGTGTGGAATTATTGGTGAGTATTTATAGTTCAGGATTGAGATCAAACAAGCCGTTCATAGATCAAATACAAACCAAACGGCCACGTTTTAAAATAGATCTTCAATAGTTTTGGTCTACGTTTCCCCCCGGAAACGGATAATGAAATGTATCACAACGCTATCCATTGGCACTATAACTATTTGATTCAAGAAAAGAAATATTCGTCAAATTCACATGAGTTGTAGATCTTTGGTAGATAAGAAATAAAAAATTCCGTTAGGGTTGGAAATGTAGTGATGAAGAATTTTAAGTCAATTTCGATCTGCTTTATATTATCTCAAAGGAGGCTTCTTGCTTTAACCATCTCATCGGGATCTTACTCATCTGTGAATGAATACTTGTAACTACCTGCAACCAATATATAATCACTGATTATCATTTGACACACATTTCTTACCAACGATCATCTCATCATAAATGTGGTTTAAAAATGAGGCAAAAAAACAGTTGCAATTTACTGTTAAACCGTTGATTCTATCGTAATTGCAATGATACCGCCTCAATTAACTTTGTCAAATCACATGCATTATTTTTTTTGATAATTATCTAACTTTAATAAGAATGTTAGTCTAAATATGTTTAGTTGTTAAGTCCTTCCATGTTGATGATTTTCATTCTATGAATGGAAAGTTGTCAGAGAAAACGTAAGAAATGAAAAAAAAAAACTGGTAGACACATAGAATTATCTAAAATGTTGATAGATTTGATATGATGAAAATTTTCAACCATGGAAGGGGAATCATCATAAATTGAAAGCGATTTCCTTTTCATCGTCAAGAGAATTTTTTTGCATCAGATTTTACTTACATTTCTGCACAAAATTTTGCAGATAAAATTTAACAAAACAGTAACGAATTACATATTTCCTTCAGGGAGACGCGTATGTACATATTACACGTTACGGTTTTTCTTTAAACCTGAAATTTTCATTTATATTACCGGCAGTTAATTAATCGACAGTGCTCGTTATCATGTTGACTCCCCTGCTCGTCAAATTTTTCGTTATTTTTTTCTTTTCTTTTCTTTGGTTACTGAAGTAAATATTCCGTATCACACATGAAATTTCTCAAGCAAGATTGGTTAATTGTCTATATAATGTGACTTAGGCTAAGTTTGTTTTTAACTTGGAACGGACTCTTTGGCGAATTTGAAAATTTCAAAGTATATGAGCTTAAATTGACATGTTTTGATTTGTTGAAATGGAATGCCAGTAAAAGCAAAAAATAATAAACTTCATAGCCACAAGTATGTCATGAGAATGAAGAAGAAACACTTTTCATTCCTTTATTGCGGTCATGTCATGTCAGATTGTCACCACATTTCAAAATAAACCAAATGAAATCACAGAGATATTATTATTATCAAAAATAATTGATTACATTCAAATGCAAGGATCAACTGTTCATAAAAATTCGAGAGATTCAAAACCTTTTAGTACGAATATTAACTAAAGATAATTAAAGGGTTTATCCGATTCTCCAAACGGATATTATGTACACCATGCATGAACTACTTTTTGTCTTTTTTCCCTCCAAAACACCGAATAGTTAAAAATGTATCTCCTATAAACAATCTGGCTTAACCCATTTAATTGCTTACTAATCTTTATCTTATTAACTATGTAGCTTTTTGGTTTTTCTATTTTTCTAGTTATACTGTTAATGTACATGTGGGTGACTGTAAATGCAAGATCTGCGGAGCATTTTATCCACATGTTTTTTTGTTCCATTTTTGGATATCTGCAGAAGTGACACAAAACCTACAATTTCTGTGTGTGTGTGTGTTCGTTCTATTTTAGGAAAGATTCTTACCCAATTCTTTTGTATTATCCTATTTTATTTCGCTCGTTTTGGTTTTGTAAATATTCGTCCCGATTAAGAAAGACATTGTCCTATCTTAGCCCCTTCCTTATATCTTTCTTTCCACACACAAATCATCTGATTACAGAATGTTTCTACATCCTTCTTTCAAGAGAAGAAATTCAATTGCTTCGGTAGGGTACAAACTCATGGAGTTAATCTCAATGTCCAGTTAGTCATGAGATAAACTATTTCAAATGCAGTTAGTTACTCTGTTTTTTTTTTTTTTAAAAAATGCTCATGTGTAGTTGAACAATAGCTGCCCCCATCATGCGTTGTATTTATTATTACAATCTCTTCATTAACGAGTCAGAAAATCATTTCACAATTAAGAATTTCATTCTAATAATCACGCAAAGACAACAAGATTCCCGTCCAAAGGGGCTCTCATAGTTTTGGTTAATTTCTTTGCCCGTTTAACTGGTTGTGAGTGTGTATGAAATATCAAATACATCATTATATGTAAATGTATGTACCAAATGTCATCACTCAAGTGACATCTTCATTAATCAATTGCATTTCCGTTCTGTTCTCACGTGGTCATACGTACAACAACCAATAAATACTCATCCCCATCCTCCACACGAGGGAGTAACTTGAGATTTCCCCACAGTCTTAAAGGCTTACCATTATTTTGAAGCAGGGATAATAATTATCCAATAAAACAACAAGTGTGATTTTTCTCTCCATGTGTAATCTAATTAGTTTCCATTACTATAACCAGCTCATACACCGTGCGTATAACCCCCCTACTAGACCCGTATCAAATATCAATTCAATTTTTTTTTTTTACCTTCGTTCGTGCATCTCTTTTAATAGTTTACACAACATCAAAGACACACAGAATCAGTAATATCTACTCACAATCTGTAATTCATGAATACTTTCCTACCTTACTTCAAAATGTATTACATATCGATACATGAATCAGGTTGCTTTTTATGGTTCTCATTACTTGAGCATATTTCCTTTTGCTCCTTAAATGATTATTCATTATACATTTTTTGTTTTTGAAATTACTCAGAATGGTGAAAAAGACCGGTACGTACATGAATATATTACTGCTTTCTTTTATTTATTTATTTATTTATTTTATGTTGAGTTCCTATTTTCGGATTTCTTCCTCGAATTGTTCTTGCACTTGCACTTCCCCCCAACATTATCTAAAATGAAAAATTAGGCAAGTTTAAGAGAGTTTTTCAAGAAATAACAAGAGAATGTTAACCATCGATACATAAAATTAAGGTTAATTGCGGAAATGAAAGACAAAAAGACAAAAGAAAGAAAGAAAGAAAGTGTTGATAACGATTGTTATAATAAGAACCTTCTTTATTCCGAAGCCAAGTTTAAAAGTTATTTATCTACTGATTAAACAAAGTGTAGATGAAATTGTGTCATCGTTTAACTAAGCATCTAAAATTGTTCATAAATTGTGGTATAAGGCGTACCTGTACAGTATTTGTTCAACTATGTGTAATGTAAAGATAAGGTACCACAAAAAATATCAATGAGGATAGTGTACATGTTTGCCTACTCTGGGTAGAAAGCAACCCAATTAGGGAAGTTCCCAGATTATTATACACACACACACACATCAACATTATCAACACATCAACTAGCAATCTTAGATTACATTAACAATGCAAAACTCAAGAATTATTTTGTCTCAATTTCATTGTAAGAATTATCTTGAAGAAAGAAAGAAAGTGTACATATGGGTTCTCAGGTTCTTTTTCTATTCTTAGTATTGTGGGATTGTAATATTCTGCATATTTTCTAATAAGTTCATGCACCTTGATCGAACTCTCCCATGCCTATGCAACAATGTGTTGGTTTTTTTTTTTTTATTTTAATTTTAGGGAACAATGGTTTTTAGGTTTTGCATTCATTTTTTTTAGTTGATATTTACTTTACTCAAAACCACTGGAACTGCATAATTAGTAAATTCATTTGATTTAAATTTCCCATGTTATTGTTTGAATCTTTCCGAATTAACCAAAAATAATAGAAAAATACAAAAAAAGAACCATGGCTTCAATCCCTGAATGAATACACATATGTACTATATATATATATATATATAACCATCAACCGTACCTAGCAACTCTTGTCCTGTTCTTTTTTTTGCTTGTTTTTTGTTTTTGTATATTCAATTCTTCAACTTTGTTAATATTAATCAATATCAGATATCATGCTTTTTAAAAAACGAAAATCTAACCAATCTGGTCCTGCAACTCCCTCACCACCAAAGATGAAGAAATCAAGAAGTGCTCGAGATTTGTTTCATAAATTATCCAAAACTCCTAAACTAACACCACCATCATCATCATCAACAGCAGCAGCAGCAATTCATGATCCAATTCCATTAACTCCTAAACAACAAACAGTTGAAGAAGTGTTATTAACAAATATAATTAATGGTCGTACTCCAAGACCAGCTCCACCACCTCCAACACGTTCAGCATTACCTTATTCAATTAATGATTTTCGACAAAGTTTTCTGCCTCGTTCATCACGTAATATGAGACCAAGAATATTGGATTTTGAAATAGATTCATTGGCAACTTCTACACCTAGAGGATCTAATTTTTTAAGACGTGATGGAGTTAGTGAATATACTACTGATTCAATTTTTGATTTTGCTTATAAAAGTGAAAATTTTCATGATGCTGGTGATTTTATTGATGATAAAGCAAAAGATGATGTACTACAAGAAGAAGAAGAAGAAGAAGTTGATGATGTTGAAGAAGAAGAAGAAGATGACGATTTTATGGATTTAGATGATTATAAAGCAGCATCTGATTCTTACTCAATTACTGATACTAATATTCAAATATTTAAAAAATATAATCATGAACGAAAATCCCAACAATTACAAGAAACAAATACAGATACAAGTCTAATAGATAATCTTTTAAATGATTATGAATTTGACCAAACAGTTGAAGAAGTTAAACAAGTTAAACAAGTTAAAGAAAATAAAGATAATTTAGATCAAGCTGGTCTTGAATCTAATGATGAATATATTAAAAATTTAGAAATGATATTAATTCAAGAAAAGCAAAATTATAAAATTAAACAACAACAAAGGGAAATTAAACATTTACAAACATTATTAGATTTTCAAAATGATTTAAATCAACATTTATTAAAACGATTAAATATCAAAGATAATCATAGTCATCATCATCATCATCATCATTCTAGAGATCAAAGATTATTACCTCCATTTCATGTGATGAGAAGAAGTAATTCTCAAAAGGAAGATCAAGACGAAAATATTTCTTTAGTTTCAAGTGATTCTTTTATAATGAGTGAACAATTTACAAGTTCGAGATCAACTAGTATTGAACAACTACGTACTTAAATATAATTGTTTAGAGTTTTAGCACACAATGGTCAGGTATTTACGACTCATTGTTTTTAATGATCATATAATATAATATAGTATAATATAATATAGTATAGTATACAAATCTACAGGTATTCTGTTCTTTATTTTTTTTGTCTTTTTTTCGTATTTATTCAATTACAGGATTATTTATGTATATATATATAGATATCTAAACTTACTGTTGAAGTTCTTTAATGTCATTTTCATCAGCAACTAATCCCATAACAACCAAATACATATTCAAATTATTCAATAAATTCTGTTTCTTGTATAAATTATTATAATCAGAATTATCAATCTTCTTGGCCCTATTCATAACTCCAAAAATTTCATCTCTTACTTCATCAACAATAATTCTTTGATGACTTAATTTACCTCCTAATGACAATGTAGCCAAAAATTGCCAAATATAATTTTCTCTACTTGATCCATCATCCAATTCTTCGAAATTTGGTGGGAAAATAGCTTGGATTCTTGATTCCAATGAAGTAAACAATTCATCATAACATGAAGACCATTCAGATAAATCAGTAGCTGATATCGTACCTTCACCAATAATCAATTCAGCTCTTGATAACAATGTAGTCAATATAGATAAACCAATCTTTGTGGTAGAAACAAATGAAACATTGTTATGTTCAATCAAAATAACCAACAACCCAATAATTTCATTGAACTTGAATTCCAATACTGCATTCATCAATATTTTGGAAAATGTTAAACTATAAGAATCAACCAATTTCACAATCTTTTCCGGTAATTTCTTATCTGGATAAGTAGTATAAGAACCGTTCTTAATAACCAACAAGTTTTCTAAATTAGACATAATCAAAGTAACAATAGTCAACACTTGTTCTCTGTTTAAAAATTTGAAAAGTCTTGGTAAGATCTTCAACATCTTGTTGTAGTTCAAACACTGAATAAATGGGTTAACTTCATTTTCTTCATCACCTGAACTGGATGGTTGTTCTAAAATCTTTAAAGAATCCCACAATTTTGAGGTATCAACATCTTGCTTAGTTCTTGACTCACTTTCAACATTCATCAATTCACAAATAATGTTTTCTAAAATACTCAAAATATCCTTCTTGCTATAACTCTTGGTGCCTTCTTTTCTTTCAACTTTTTGATCTTGCAGTTGTTCTCTTTCAGCAGCTTTACTAACAATAACCAATTGCTGTCTTGGGTTCTTACCACCACCAACAGAAATCTTACCCAAAGCACCTTCTTTAGCATATTGGGTTAATTTAGGTCGTTCCTTAGCAACTGCAACAGCTTTTTGAACTTGTTGTTGCATTCTTTGTAAAGCAACATCAGCCCTCTTGTAACGACCACCCAATCTATGACCACTGTGATCCAAGTAAGCTTGAGCAATAGAGTTGCTTTCATGTTGATGTTGTTGTTGAACACCATTGGTAGTTTTTGGATGAATAACCTTAAAAACCTGAGCATAGAAATCTTCATTATAAGGATCTTCAGTAACAATTTGTGATAATTGGAATCTGGTGACAAAATCCTTATCCTTTGGATTCATAATACCTGAATACTTCATAATTCTGGAAACTTTTTCTTGTCTCTTGGCTGCCTTTTCTTGTTGCTCAGGAGTCAATTCTTCCAGTGGTTGACGGTAATGACCATGTCCACCATAATATTGTTGCTGTTGCTGTTGATGATGATGTTGTTGCTGTTGATAATTATGGTTATGGTATTGATTTTGATGGTGTTGTTGGTTTTGTTGTTGTTGACTTTGTTGTTGTTGCTGTTGCTGAGCCTCTTTAGAACCCAATACTGGGAACTGAGATAAATCAACCTTTTGCGGTTTCTTTGTGGTTGTGCAGGTGAAGGAGAACTCTTACCTTGTTCACCAACTTGAGGTGCTTGTTGTTGTTGAACTTGCAGTTGTTGAACTTGTTGTTGTTGAGGTGCTGGTGGAACTTGTTGACCTTGACCTTGTTGTTGCTGAGGTGGCATTGGTGGCATTTGTTGTGGAATCATACCTGGGTAACCATACTGCGGTGGAATGAACCCTGGTGCCATCATGTAACCAAATTGAGGTGGAGGTGGCATCATACCTGGCATTCCATAAGGTTGAGGTGGAAATTGTTGCTGTTGTTGAGGAGGTGGAATTGCTTGTTGTGGTTGTTGTTGAGATTGATCAATTGCAGTTAATTGAGCTTCAATTTCTTCTAATGATAAAATCTTCTTTTCATTTTTACCATTACCAGCATTTTCTTGTTGTTGCTTGCCTGGGGCATTAGATGATCCCCATAAATCTTCCATAAATTCATCATCATTACCTGGTTGTGCGGCTGCTTGAGCATAACTGATTCCTTGAGGAATGGTAGAAACAGGAGCATTACTGGCTTGAGGAGTAGGTTCTTTAGAGTTACCATGACCAAAATCAAAATCTTTTCTAATTTCTTGAGTACTAGTACCAAAAGTTTCTGAATTTAAAGCATCATCTTCTTCCAATTCACCTAAACCATCATAGGTATTTTCAAAATCATAAACTTCATCCTTCTTTTGCCCACCTTGTTGTTGTTGTTGCTGCTGCTGTGGAGGAGCAGTAGGATCAAACCCAAAAAATGACATCGTGATGACTTAATATAATGGCTTGTTGCTTACTGATGAATGGTTACACTGTTCGCTGAAGAAAATTTTTTCTTTGATCTTTTTTTTGTTGTTGTCGACGAACCAAACCACACACACAGCAAAAAAAAAAATAAAAAATAAAAAATTGTTCGGTTGTTGGAACGATCCACGTGAGAAGGTAGTACATATCCGAGTAGTGAAATTCTATTTACAGATTTTATTAATATTTACGTTATAATTTCTATTTAAATGCTTGTAATGCACTGGGTTAATTTCAAGACCATTTCGTCCCATTCCCCTTCTTGATCACTTAATACTGTTATCGCACCACCAGCACCAATTCTATAAAGTTTGTTCCGATCATTGTTTTCTTTATCATCGTTATAATGGAAAACTGATCTGATTATTACAGACCAATCAGAATCATCAGTAATTGACCAATACCCAACAACACCACTATATATACCTCTTCTTCCACCAACAAAATTCTCTTGCATTGCTTCAATATCCTGTAACAATTCCACTGATCTTTTCTTTGGTGCACCAGTCATGGAACCCGGTGGTAAGGATCTATGTAAAAGATCAATGCCATGATATCCTTGCTTGTATAATTTACCTTGAATCACACTAACCAATTGGAATACAGTCGTATACTCTTCAACTGTCATCAATTGAGAAACTTTCACATTGTCTGTAAATTGGTACAAATCGTGCCTGATCAAATCAACAATCATAAGATTTTCTCCCATTTCTTTTGGTGTTTTAAGTATTTTTGTAGCCAATTCCATAGTGACATCGTCAGTGTTTTTAACAGTTCCCTTGATTGGTCTTAACTCGACTATTTTATTACCTTCACTGTCATCTTTCCAAGATAAGAATCTTTCTGGAGACGAAGATATCAAACAACAATCATCAAATTCCATAAAGCATGAAAATGGGGAAGGATTCTTGCGAAGTGTCAACACTTTATATATATCCCATGGTTTGATATAACCAGGTAAGTGAATCTTCAGTTGGGTAGTAAGACACAACTCATAGGAATCCCCAGAATGAAGATATTCCTGACACTTGTCAAATTGTTGCTTGTATGTATCTTGGCTAGGGAATTCAAATCTGATCAAGTTCAGATCTTCATCTTTAGCCAAATTCTTGACTGAATTTGGAATACTATCCAAATTGATTTTATCTACGTTCTTGAGTAACTTCAAAGTATCATCACCCCAAGTTGTGGAATCATTGATACTAACAACATAATAGTTCTTGTTAACATGATCAAAGGCAATGAATCTTGAAACAAATACCAACTTCAAATCCGGTGTGGATTTTTTACAAATTGATGAAAGTTTTTCAAGAAGAATATGTTGTCCTTCTTCATATGAAATCAATCCCATAAACCCTCCGAAAAATGGCAATTCACGATCTCCATAGTTGTCAATTTTCAGTTTAATATCTTCACGAGAAATATACGTGTCATTCATTCTCTGAGCAACATATTCCCAAACTGTGGAATCCTCTGATATGGTTTTAACTTCATGTTGGTTTCTGCCAAACTTGGACAAATAGATATTTTGTGGGTCGTCAATTGAGTGGGTAATGATTTCACTTTCTCCCGGTGTAGGAAAACCAATAATTGACCATTCACCAGGAATAGAAGCAGAATTTAACAAAACAAAGTTACATTTATCACCATCTTGCTTGTAAAAATAATCACAAATATCAATCGGGGTAATTGAGTCATTTTCAGGACGTGCCATCTTGAAAAAGACATTTGACAATTCATTAGAAGTGAATTTCCCATTTTGAATCAAATATTCTTCATGTACAGCATGATGACCCAACCAATCAACATTTTTCTTTTCATTAAACACAAAGGGTCTATGTTTTTCATTATACAGTCTGGCAATACTTGTGAAATTTTTAACTAAATCAGATCCTTTATCAGAACAAATTGATTCAGGATGATATTGTACCCCATAAAATGGGAACTTGTTATGTCTCATAGCCATTAATATCTTCTTATCATCTTCATAGCAGTAGGCCAAAGGTATAATCCCACCGTTGAGTTTATCATCACCAACAAATAAAGAATGATATCTTACACTTCCAAAAGGTTTTATATCTGGAAATAAATCACTCTCATCAATTGGATGTATATCATAGATTTGTCCATGTCTAACTTGTTTCAATCTTGAAACATCATTTCCAAATTCATAACACAAACTTTGAAATCCTAAACAAATACCCAAAGTTGGAACAATTTTAGAAAGATCTGTTTCTTTTTGAAATCTTTTTATTAACCAACTAATTATACCAACATCAGATTCAATTGATGGATGTCCTGGACCAGGGCCAATAACAATATAATGAAATAATGGAAGATATTTCTCATAAAATGATTCATATTCTTCAGGTTTGAAAGAATCGTTATGAATAGTTAAAACTTCTTGATTCGTGTTTTCTTTTAATAAATGAGCCAAATTATTCGTGAATGAATCATACGAGTCGATTAATAATATCATTACGAAATGGTCCAGTTCAAAAACAGGGGGTTAAATAATAATACGGCCAAGAATGTAACAAGAATTGAACAAGGGGGGGGTGGTGGTGGTTGATTTGGTTTTGTTTGTGGGTGGGAATATTTTTCACAATTTCAATTCCAATCGCAATGAAGTTTATTTGTCTTTTGAGAAATTTTTTTCCAAATCCCGCTAAATTCTTGATCATCACTAAAAAAAAATTATGTATGCACCGATTATTCTACCTACATTAACCGTTAATCACCTCGCCGAACCGAACAGAGTCAAATCGATGCAGATTATGAAAGAACAACAACAGATATCTAAACTTTTATTGTATTATAAACTATTTACAATGACTATTCTTCATCCTCTTCATCTTCGTCATCTTCATCCGAATCATCTTCATCTGACTCTTCATCACTTGAGACATCTTCTCCTAACGACTTTAATTTCTTCTTGTATGCTTTATTCTTCTCATCCAAATCGGACATTAACAACATCAAATCATCAAGATCAGATTTCGGAACATATTTGTTGAGTTTATCCTTGAGTTTCTTAATTTCAAGTTCATACTTTTCAGAAGACGACTTGCTGGATTCTTCAATTGACTTGAGTTGTTTAACTGACTCTTCATTTGCACTCTTTTCCTTCTCGAGTTCCTTGGAAATATCATCTTTCTCTTTTTCAACCACTTCTAACTTGCTTTCAGTATCTTTTTGACATTTCTGCAAGTTGGCAAATTCAGCCTCAACTTTTTCCTTTTCTGAAATTTGAGTTTTAGCTATTTCATGCTCAGATTTAACTTTAGCTAATTCATCTTCCAACAAAGCCACTTTTTTACGAGCCTCATCAAGATCGGATTGAACTTTAGCTGAGTCCGAGGAGTTAACTTCCACCAGTTTAACCAATTCAGAATGTTTCTTCTCGACAGAAGCAAGCTCTTCCTCAACCTTTGACTTTGCTGCAGAAAGCTGTTCAACCTTTTCACTAGCAGATTTCAATTCTAGTTCGGACTCACTTAATTTAGCAGCTGTGGTGTCCAACTCTTTCTTATAAACCAACGCGCCCTCTAATTCTTTCTTTAAGTCATCTAGTTGTGATTGTAATTTATCCTTACTCTCACCTAGAGTTTTTACTTCAGATTCCTTTTCCTTGAGTTTATTGTCCAAATCGGCATAGTTTTCAAGAGATACTTTCTTTTCTTTAATTTCTGACTCTAATAATTTGACAGTTTCTTGCAATTTGGAAATAGTACTTGATTTCTCTTTATTAGCATCAGATTGTTGACTTTTCAACAGGTTTATCTGGTCATTCAATTTTGCAATTTCATTAGTCTTGGATTCGACAGTATCACTAACCTCGGAATGTTTTGCATTGACAGTTTCCAATTCTTTTTCAAGAGCCTTCAATTTTGATGCAGTATCCGAATGCATCTTCTTCGTTGATTCCAACTCTGAATGTTTTAATTCAAGTTTCTTGGTCAACTCGTCAAATTTACCAGACAATTCCGTATGTTTAGTGACTTGATCATCAAAATCTTTTGTTTTAATTTCTAATGAAGAGCTTAACTCACTCTTTTCATTAGAAAGATTTTTAATCTCTTTCTTCAATTCATTCAATTCAGTGCTTGTAGACGAACTAGTTGATTTTAAAGTATCCAATTCTGCAGTCAATTCATCTTTCAATTTACCAACTTCAGCAAGACTTGCCTTAGCATCTTCCAATTTTTTGACAGTTTCATTCAACTCATTAGTATTGTTGGTGAGTTTCTTTTCAAAAACAGACTTTTCAACAGATAATTTCTTATAATCAGCTTCAGACTTTCTAATTTCCTCTTCCTTTACGGAAATATCTGACTTCAATGTTTTCACTTCTGAAGACAACTCATCAATTTTCTTTTCCTTCTCATCAACAGCTTCTTTGGCTGTGTCGACTGTTTTCTTAAGCTCGGCTTTAAATTTATTCAATTCCTGTTCCTTTTCTTCCAAACTACTCTTAGTTGAATCGTGTTCCAGAGTTAACTTTTCTATACTGCTCTTCAAAGTTGATTTTTCTTCATTATGCTTTGAAGTATCCTTAGAATGTGTCTCTTTTAATGATTTGATCTTTTCTTCCAAAGATTTAATCTTGTCACCATATTCTTTGATTACAGTTTCGGAATTTTCACTAAGCATAGCTCTTTCTTTCTCAACTTCCAGAATTCTATCTTTTAATTCTGTTGATAAACTGGAAATTTCTTTTTCTTTTTCAGAAATCCTTTCATTCAAAGTAGCAGTTTCCTTCTTGTACTTGTTCTGCAACTCCTTCAATTCACTCTTCGTTGATTTCAAATTAGATTCAAGATCTGATTTCTCTTTTTCCAAAGACACTACCAACGCCGATTTCTTGTCAATAACAGACTTAGCTTTGGTTACTTCTTCTGAAAGCAGTTTACGTTCATCTTGAACTTTAGTCAACTCCAGTTTAACAGAAACCAAGTCATTGGATAACTTACTCAACTCATCTTTCGTTAATTGCAATTCCTTGTCTTTGCTATCCAATTCATTAGATTTCTTATCTACTTCTTCTGATAATATTTTGACCTTTTCATCAATTTCCTTCTTGGCCTCTTTTTCTTTGGCAATTTGTTTCTTTAAATCGTCAATTTCTGTTTTCAAGGAAGAAATAGTTTTCGAAGTAGAATTATCAATTTCTTCCTTCTCTGCAAGTGCAATATCAAATTTAGCTTGAATTCCCTTCAATTCGTCTTCTTTAGTAGATAACTTGGTCTTCAATTCTCTAACTTCAATCTCGTTCGCATCTTGCAATTCTTTGAGTTTACCATTCATCTCCTTCGTTATATTCTCGGTCGATAATTTTGCAGTTGCAAGATCTTTCATCAATTTTTCAACCTCTTTAGCCTTCTCGTTTTGGAGTTCTTTCATTTTGTTAATTTCACTATCTTTTTCTTCCTGAAGATTCTTTAATTCTTTGTTTACTTCTTCAATTTTCCTTTCAGCAGTAGAAACTTCGGTTGATTTAGCTTCCAATGAGTCAACGTGATCTTTAATAGTCTTTTCCAAATCAATTTTTTCTTTCTTTAAGTCTTCAATATCTTGTATTAAACGCTTAGACTTTTCTTTAGAAATTTCCACCGTAGTTTCCAAATCTTCAATTTTGGATTCATGATTTTTAAGGGTATCACTTAATTCATCGTGTCTTTGGTTAACACTAGACAAGTTCTTCTCTGATTGCTTCAATTCTTTAGTAACATTTTCCAAGTTTGTAGAAACCTCCTTATGTTTCTCTTCAAGTTGAGCTTTCTCCTTTTGATGTTCCTCTTTCAAATGTAAGATATGCTTAAGCTTACTTTCTAATTCAGATGCAACCTTCAGGTGTTCCTCTGTTTTAGCAGACAATTTCTCATTCAAAGAAGTCTTAGTTGATTCATACTCGGTCTTTAATTTATCAAGTGCATCTGAAAGTGATGAATGCAAATCCTTTGTAGAAGAGTGTGAATCTTCAGATTCTTTAAGTTTAGCTTCCAAATCTTGAATTTTGGAGTTAAGATCATCAATCTTCGATTTTGATTCTTCTTCAGCCGAGGCAAGTTTTTTATCTTTTGCATCAACTTCTTGTTTCAACTTTTCCAACTCCTCAACAAGTTTTGATTTTTCTGAAGAAATTTCTTTACTAGATTTCTTGATGGACTCTAATTCACTTTCCAAACTCTTAATCTTTTCGCTTGTACTGTTTTCCAAATTGGCCAATTTGTCTTTCAACTGGGTCTTTTCTAGTTGCACATCATCTAATGATTTTTGCAACTCTTCAATTTTACCATTGACCTCCTCCAATTGTTTCTTAGTCTGTGCGGTTTCTTCTTCAGAATCTAATTTGCTTTGTTTCAATTCGTTGAATGCAACTGATGCAGATCTCAACTTATCCATTAAGTGTTCATTATTTTCTTCTGCATCTCTAATTTTTTCCTCAAGCTCTTGAACAGTAGATTCTTTGTCTTTGAGAACACCATCTAATTGAGAATTCAATTCCTGGATCTTCCGCTTGAAGTCATCATTAGCCGATTGTATATTTTTTATTTGATTTTCATAGTTCTGCTTTGTCCTTTCCAATTCATTATTAAATTTCTTCAATTCACCTTCAAGGTGTTTGATTTTTTGTTCCCCTTCATTTTTTTGTTTCTTGAATTGAAACAAATCTCTCGTCATATTGTTAATACCATCTTCTAATTTCTTCTTAGCTTGTTCAGTTGTGTCAAGTTTCTCTTTCAACTGCTTAGATAAATCACTCGATGAACTGCCTTTCTTTAAAGCTTCTTGGAGTTCTTTGTGATATTTTTGTGACAATGTTTCAAACTCTTTCTTGGAAGTTTCCATTGTTGACAAATTTTGAGTTGTGGTTGATAACTTCTCGGATACATATGCATGATCTTCTTTAACCTTGGCTAACTCCTTTTGGTTATCTTCAAGTTTTAATTCCAATTTGTTAGAAAGGTCGGACAATTCAGAAATCTTTTCATTCAAAGTTTTGTCATTGTTAACAGCTTTTTCCTTTTCCAGTTTCAATTCTTTAGTCAAATCGGAAACTTTGCTATCCAATTCTTCAAATAACTCATATGAGATTTTACCACGAGGTTCTCCTAACGGGTCATGGGTTAATGCACGCTTAATACGTAAGAAGTTTTCTTTGATCAAATCGACATAATTGGTAGTAAAATACACATTTGGAAGACCAGTATCATCCTGTGTAAATGTAAGCAGCAGTGCTTGTTCAAAGTCTTTGAAAACTGGGTTAGCTTTGAATTGCTTAATTTTTAAAGCATAATTATCCTTACCAAGACTTTTAACTAAAAGTGCGTGTAACTCAGCTCTTGGGAGTGGTGAATCAGCTGATGAGAATTCGTATGCTACCCCTAACAATATTGTTGCCATTCCTTGAACCAACACATTCTGATCAGAAGTATTGTTAGATAGTGATGCTAAAATAGATTTCACAGTTGATTGGTCACTTAAGAAGTCATTAACAGCATTGAAATCTTCATAAAGCCAGATAGTTAACAACATCAAATACCCCATGGCAATTCTTTGATCCATATTTTCAAGGGTAGTGAGTAACAATCCAGACATGGCTTGAATTGAGTTCATAACTTCTTCACCGGCTTCTTCATCACCGGTTTTAACTTCACGTGCAATTTCTTTATTCTCAATGTCTTCAACAAATAAGTATACTAAAATTGTTGATGCAAACCAAACGGTGTATGGATTCAATTTCATATCAGCATCATAATCCATCAAAGTTTTGAAAATATTCCCAAAAGGTGTTGGAATACTGTTTCCATTAACGGCTGGTAATTCATCCTTCGGGAGATCTTCATAGTAGTTTGGATTGGTATATGCTTTAATTTGATCATTTAAAAATGCAAGTTTTGATTCGTTATTGTCTTTGAAATAAGAATTTAAACAAAATGCTGCACTAACACGGATATCAAATGCATGAACAGAGTTTATGAATAAACACCAATTAAGTAATGCAAGTGGAACAGAAATTGGTCTATCGTATGTTTGAATCTGGGATGGCAATGATGGATCCATATACGGAACATCAACTTTGGAAAATTCAAGCTGGATATTGGCATTACCGCTAATTGCATCACCAGTTGTAAGCAATGCAACTGATCTTACTAGATTTTCTGTCAATGGGGAAAAAACAAGTTTAAGCAAAATGTAATGGATACCAGCTTGGAATAATTTATCTTGATTTTGTAATACCAATTCATTATCTTCAGAAACCAATAATCTACAAATTTCTAATGCGATAATCATATTTTGAATTCTTTGATCAGTCCAAACTATTGGAGGCGGAGCAATTGGAAACCCATCCTCATCCAATAATTCTGGATCACCAGTTTCATCTATTGGTTCACCCAACAAACCTGCCAATTTAGGAACACATTGAGTTTCTAAGAAAAATTTTTGGTTGGATGCGTTAAATTGCAAAAGATTGGTAATTAATGTAAGACAATCTTGAACCAAAATTGATCCTCTAATACCACCTTCTTCTTCAATGATATCAAATAAAGTCTCAAATGTATTTTCAAATGCTACTAATTTTTGAATATTAAAATTATCATTAACCAATGCCATGAGCAACAAGATTGCTTCATTTCTGACTGGTTCATTTGAATCATTCAATAACAGACATATGGTAGACATAGCAGTTGGAATAGTCAATAATGTTTCTTTTGTTCTAGATCCTCGACTGGCAGTTAATGACTCCAATAATTGGATAGTATACAATTTGGTATGATAATCACTGGCTTCTGAAAGATTCTCTATAAGCTGAACAAGTGTATCATGATCTTGAATTAATGCATCGGCAATCCATAATGACAATTGATCTAATGATACATCTTCCATGAGTAATGGTGAAGGATATTTCCCATTTTGAAGACGGGATTGTTGTGAGATCCATCCTCTAGTTTGATCTTCATCAGATTCACCACGAATAAACAATATAAGTAAGGTCTCTAAGAGTGGTTTAATAATCTGTGGATTATCTATATCTTTCTTGAATGTGGCTATCAAAGGTCTCAATCCATGTTCCACAACTGATTCTCTATATTGTCTACTGAAGCTTTTCAATCCAAGAACAGCAGATCGTCTATCTGAAGACATAGTTGCATGTTGCAAACGGTTACATAAAGTTGGAATTGCCTCTTCAACCAGTTGAACTTGGTTCAGTTGACCCAATATGTTGTTCAAGTATTCCATGGTGTGGTAATGGTATCTCTTTGTGCTGGTGTCAATGTTTATTGAAGTGGTAGTTTTCCTTCTGTTGAGTTGTTAAGATTTTGACCTCTTGTGCACACACACACACACACACGACCAAGAAGATGAAAAAAAAAAAAGAAAATTACGCCAACAGACACGCACACAAACACAGTCCCACTCACACACACGCGCCCATACAAATTTGTATCGTATCGCGTCGATCATCACCATTTACAAGTTAGGTATGCAGAACAGCTAACCAATATGGCTTATTATGATAGTAAATATGATGTTGATGAAGAGACAGCAAAGTTACCAAGCACAGTGGAGTTTTTCCCTAGTATGATTGATTTTGAGTTTGAAGAAGATCAATGTGAGCCTACAATAATTCCAGCAGAGATCAAGAGTGATTGGGCTAGACGAAAACTAGGGACATTGCAATCAGAACTAGATAAGAAACAATATGCTAGAGAAGCTAACCATTTTGGATCTAAATATAACAATAAAAAATTTTCTAAGACAATTTTATATGGACTTGCAAATAAAGTGTTTGGATTTGATGGCTGGTCTACATCATTAGAAAGTTGTTTTGTAGAAGAACTACCTGTGGAAGAGGAAGGTAAACATTCAACGCGTTGTTCAATTGAAATTAAACTAATATTAAAAGATGGTAGTTTTATAATTGCTTTTGGAATAGGAGATTCAACAAATATGCCGCATAAATATATGTCGTATCAAACAGCAAAGAAGAAGGCAGTAACAGAAGCAATGAAGAGTGCTATAACTGGAATGCCATACTTGTGTATTGAAAATGGTGATTCCGAAGAAACCAATTTTGATAAATTAGAGACGGAATTAAAAGTAAAATACGGTATTTAATAATAATAATAGTAATATAAACAAATAATAATTACAGAACTACTAATAATCCAATGTGTTGAATTTAGGGAATTCTTGAACTTTAGGTTTTGGAATTTCATCAATGAGATAAACTTCACCATTATCATCAATTCTTTCACGATCTTTTTCACTCATATTGTGAATTTCATCAATATTTTCTTTAATGAAATCTATCAACTCAACCCAGTTCTTTTGTATTTGATAAGCTTGTTCTCTCATCTTTCTTCTAAGAAGACCTTCAATTAACTTGATAGCATCTGGTTGGGTTTGCTCAAGTCTTTCTAACAAACGACCAACTGATTTGATAAGATATTCTTCTTCATAAATAGTACCTTTTCTACCCTTAGCTCTCTTACGTTCTTCTCTCTTTTTATTCTTAGAAGTTCTTCTAGATGCACCAGTCTTGGCAGTACCAGCAGTTTTACCAGTATATCTTGTAAAGAATGATGGAGTGGTTGATGTTTCAGAAGCAGCAACTGAAACATTATCTGGAGTATCCAAATCATCAGGAACACCATAAAATGCAAATGGATCTTCTTGTTTCTTAAGTCTCAATTCACGAAGTCTCTTCAATTGAGAATGCATTTGACCTTTACAATCGGCTAATAATTCAGCAATAACACCAAAACCTTCACCAATTTGAACATCAACAATAGATTCAATCAATTCAGGTTTCTTAGTCTTTTCTGCTAACAAAATAGCTTGATCATACCAATATTGTTTACAGTATAATTTAACAGCAGCTTCAACATTACCCAAGAATTGGTATTCAATTTCAGCAGCATCACTATATTTATGATCTTCAGTTAAGGATTCAACCAATTTCTCAGCAGTTTCCTCTAGTTTTTCAGAAAGTTGTGGTTTAGAAGCTAATGATAATGCTTGCTTCCATTTCTTGGCAGTGATATAACATTCCAACGCATTTTCCAAATCATCCAAATATTCAAAAGTAACACCAGCTTCACCAAATTCCTTCAGTTCTCTCAAGTGTTCAGCAAATAATTTCATGATGACACTAGTTCTTGCTTTGTCATATACATAAATATTCAATGCTGCTTTGTACAAGTCGTGTTGGACAACATAATCGTCAAACTCTTCATATGATTCTTCACCTTGTTCATGTAACCAATTCAATGCTAACTCGTAATTCTTCAAGTGATCATCAATCAAGAATTTTCTCTTGAGTTCAGGTTGAACATGCAAGTTTTGTAAGAATGGTAAATATTCTTTTGGATCCATTTGGGATTGTTGAGCAATAACTAAAGTTAACTTAACATCATATAATCCCAAACAAGTCTTGTATAATTTATTGACATCTTGTAAGAAACATAAATGGGTAACGGCAGTTTCTCTTTGTTCTTGGTCCTTCATGGATCCAATCAATTGAAGAGCTTCAACCAAGTTAGCTGGTTTCTCACATGCATATGCAGTAAGAATAGTTTGCAAGTATTTGTCAAAATATTCTGGTTTCAACAACACAGCTAAAATGGATTCACAAATTCTATTGACTTTAGAGTCGGAGAATTTAGTGAATGTTTCTTCCTTTTTACGGAAAGTTTTCTTGAAAGCTGGTTGAAGAGTATCACCTTCTTTCTTGATTTCTTCTTGAGTGATACCAGCATCATTAATGGTTTCTCTATATTTGGTAACTGTAGCATCTTCCTCATGTAAACAAGATACGAAAAGATCCAAGTATTCAACTTTTTCAATTTGCTTAACAAACAACTCGACATTGTTAAAGAATAATTCAGGATCATAATCATGTAAAATATCCAAATCAATTCTATGGGTACGACATGCAATAAAAGCATCTTTATAGTTCTTTTGGGTAATGAATTTTCTAATAGCTGACAAAACCATAATTCTAGGACAAATAGTTTCCAAATTACCTCTTGGTGCTTCCAAAACTACAGAATACTTGGTTGGCATAGCATTGATCAAAATAGAACCTCTTTCAATTTGTCTGATTCTTTCATCAACAATGTTTTCATTGGTCAAGTTTTGGAACACTTCATAGTTTTCTTGCGATGAGTTCAAATGGATAAAACATAATTTGGATTGAACAGTGGTAAACAACAAATGTGATTCAGTAATCTTTAATGAAGTAACACCACTAACAACTTGAGTTTCGTTACGGAACAATTTACCGTTTCTTGAAATACCAAATGCTTCGTGTTGTTCAGTAGATTCATCATAGGAAACTTCAATATCACGGCATAATTGTGGGAAAGTGACAATTTCTTTCATATCAAGGTTACTATTCAATTCCATGACTCTGCAATCAACCAATTCAATAATAGCAGTGTTGAAGTCAGATCTTGATTTTAACAAAACAATCTTTGGAACAACATCAATTGTTTCATTTAAGATTGGTTCACGGATATTATCAACTTCAATAAGGACTACACGAGAGCCAATTGAAGAATCCAAGGCAATTACAAGAAACAGGTCCTTGATGAATGCAATTTGTTTGGCAACTTCTGATGGATCACTGGTATATTGTTCTCTTTTGATGGTACTTAAAACATGGGGATGTTTGCCTTGTTTCATATCCGCCAATGACAACTCTGACAAGTAGATTTCACCCTGACTTGCAAGAGCAGCATATTTCTCGTTGGACTTACTTACAGCAACATCATTAATACAACCAAGGACATCAAGTTCACGGAAACTAATTGGTGGAGGGACATTGGCAATTGAAAGTGGAGTGATTTTGGCACAGTAACCATCAGTTACTAAAGTCATACCAACGTCATTACCCAATTGTGTTGGACCAGTAACGATCTTGTAAGTTAAATCAACAACTTGAATACCAGTAGGAGTACCAATCATCAAGTTTAATGGTTTTTCCGGGTGAAATTTGGCAAAAATAATTCCTTCAGCAAACAATTCTTGCTTTAAATACCAATGATAGTTTTTAGTAGTCCATAATTGAATTCTATCTTTCAATTGGAACAATAAAGTTTCACTATCAGATGACCACGTAAGATTGTCGATAATTTCTGTTTCTGGGTTCATTCTAGTGTTAAATTGGCCATGTCTTAAACCGTTTCTTTCATAAAAGACTAAATCAAGAACTTCTTCACCGTCTTCATCGTCAATATGTCTTTGGGTAGATGCAATCAAAGCTCCTTGTGGTTTCCAACTCAAATTATGCTCTAATCCATCAACTGCCTCATTGACACTATCTAATTCACCTTCTCTGTTGAAAACTCTAATGACTCTTCTATCATACATATCACCAGTATCTTCAACAATGACTGGTTCAATGGTACTGACGGAAAAATATTCACAATCACCTCTCCAACTAATTTTTACTGATTGGTTATCATATTGAGATAAAGTACCCCTTTCTACTTCATTAACGGTTGGATCGCGTAATTGGGTAGCATTATCATCTAACCCAGCATGTTTCAAAGCTTCTCTTTCTCTTTCCAATGCTTTAAACCCTTTACCTTTGAATTGAGTTTCTTTTTTACCCCAACCAACAGAAACATGTTTGGAATCAGAAATCTTAATATCATTGGAATCAAGTACTTTTTCACAAATTGGTTCAAAAATACGGGAAAGTAATAATAATTTGTTTTCATTAGTTACAATAGCTAATGTTTCTTCATCAACGGACCATTCGGCTGCGGTAATACCCACATCAATAGATCCAACAATTTCAATCAAAGTACTATCAAGATCAGCATGAGGCTCATAAGTTGCATTAACAATATCCCCATTGGCAAATACAAATACTAATTGGGAAGTGTCAACAAAGTGAATAAAATTTAATAATTTGGAATTTACTGGGAAACTGGCCAATACAGTTATTTGCCCTGATTTGTTGAATTGCTGTACTTCTATTAATTCTGATTCTTCGGATGATAAAACAAAAGTGATTGAATCTGAAATAGTATCAAAAACGGAGTCTATAACCTGTAAGTCTGGATATGTTCTTGACTCTGGAGTAATAATACCCCTATTTAGAACTACCAAGTTTCTCATAATAGCAACTTAGATATGGAATAATCAGTCTAAATGGTTAGAAGGAAGGGGAGCTTATATGTAAAAGAGAAAGAAAAATTTTTTGGAACCATTTGCACACACACGCTTTAATTTTTTATTTTTCGTGAGAAGAAGATGATGAGCAACAATGTCGTTAGTGCGACATGTCGTTTCGTTGGTGTTGTATATGGTAGCTCAGAACGATGTTCATCTTTAATATATTTACAATTACCTATAATACTGTTCTATACATCTCAAGCTCTTGTTTCTTTTCTGTATGCTTCGATTGTATCTTTCATTATAAGGTTAGGATATAATTGGTCTTCAGTTAATTCTTGTCTAGTTATTGGATCAAATTTTCCTCTGTTTTTTAAATGGTCAAGAAGGTGTGATTTTTCATAGGTAATACCACTAGGAGTAATTACTGGGTCGGTGAATAATTCAAATGATATAGGGTCTAACAAGTATTCCGGAGCCTCTTCATCATCATCTAATTCTAATGATGATCTTTCTGTTTCCTGAACAGATGCTGCGAGTGATGGATTCGAGGAGAAAACGGAGTTGCTTCGAGAAGATTTTGAAATTTTGTAATTCATTAAGTTATCTTCATACAATGAATGAACATAATTATTCTGGAAAGTATCCAATAAATTACTGTACTCTTCTAGATGTCTTTTTAGTAATGTGAACAAATTGGCATAGTACTCCTCGAGATGTTTTTGCTTATGGGTTTTTTCTATATGTTGCTTTTCATTGATGTGGTTTGATTCCATTAGTTGGAATAATTTATTAAATAAAGGGTGTCTTTGGTATTTCTTAAGTAATATTTTAGTTTGATTAATATCATTCTCAACATATGGTACCAACATTTTGTAGTCTCCTTTAACTTGTTGGCCTCTTGGGGCTAATTTTGGTTGTTGTGGTGCGCTGTGGAATACGTTTTTAAATTGTGAGAACATTACTTTGTACGTGACGAAGAATTGAAGTGTTAATGAATGAACAAAAGAAGAAGAACGAAAAAAAAATACGCTACAAAGTAGAAACACGTTATTATATTATATATTTATACCAACGGGTGGGAAAATAAAACTTGACGGGCGGATATTGCTTACAGGGAATTTCTTTTAGTTTCTACATAATCTAAAAAAGAAAAGGCGAAAAGTACATAGTCAAGAAAGTAAAATACCCATGGAGGAGCAAAGACAAAACCCTGATATTAGTGTAACACTACAATGACAAAAAAGAAAAAAAAAAAAAATAAAAAATTAAAAATTCCATTAATTACGTAATAGTTCGTCATTCCCGTGTAATTATGCAACTGACACTTCTTATCCATCAACCGTGTTTATTTGTTTGTTTGTTTGTTTGACGAACAGCTAGGAATGTTGATCGTGTAATCAAAGAAAAATAAGAACATTCTACAAATCTTTGGAAAAGACAAAAGTTCTTTGATTCTTACAATTTAAAGAAAAGCCCCTTTTTAGTGTATATGGCTAAATAGAACATCTTGACTATTTGTAAGTAAAATTCTTATTAATGACCTGAAAAATATGCATATAGTGTAATGATCCTGATCTTAGCTTTGCAGAGGTGGCTTTCTATCAATCATGAACTCTCTTGAAAATGATGATGTTGAAATGTTGTATGGGTGGTTTTAAGGAGTTATGCTTCGTGAACTAAATTTAGAGAGTATACCGGTTTGAACGATCCAGGAGAACCTGCTAGTCCGTTTAGCAAAGATAATATGACCTTAGAGCTTATTTAAGCCTCTTAACTCCGCAATCAACCTTAACATTAATATACATTGCTTGATTTGATCCTATTAAACCCGATATTGATGACATCACTTTAATATGCCCATTCTGATTAAACAAATGGTTCACTAATAGGATTCTTTTTAATTGCAATCCTAAATAGGAACAATACAATTTAAAGATTGCAATATTACATCACAATATACGCCCGAGGATTATATGCAGGAATTTATTTTGTGGCAATAGATCGATACTTCATCGGACCAATAAAGAACAGTAGTTTGTTAAACAGCAATATTATACGTGTCTGAAAAGGATTGGTTGTTAATCAGGGTTTGCTATTTATAGACATGATGATAATTAGTGTATAGTAGTTGTTGGTATTTCTTGCCAATTTGGTAAAAATTCCGGTTTAAAAGTTACATACCCGAAATGAACAAAAGATATTATGTGTTTTACAAATAGATAATAGAAGCTATACCTATCAATTTACTGTTTAAATACTGTTATTGTTTTTTTGAAAGCAACTATTTAAGTTGACAATTGTGAGTATAGTTGATGATGTCACTAGCATCATATAAGATCATATCCACTGGCACTACAATGGCTCTCTGAATTTCAATTTGGTGATTTATTCCATCGAATATAGCACCGGTGGTAATGGGTAACGTTACATATATATAATAGCCTTTGACTTATATTTAGATATTGGAAAGATATAATTTCCTCCTCTGTATATTAATAAACTTGTGAATCACACGACTATTTTGAAAGGTGAGTTCCAATTGAAACACAAAAGGTTTTGACATCACCTTTACTTTCATTATCAATGTGCCAATTGTAATTATCCAACTACACAAGAGCTCACAATTAATACAATACCCCTAGAACTTGGTGTTTTTAGAGAGCTGTCTCCCGGAAGCAGTATTCTTGCTCTACCGCTTTATCAATCCTGGGATTCACACGCCTACGCAGCAAACCAATTAGTAATAACAATGAATATCTTGCTTATAATATATGAATATATTAAAGCTCAGCTGAGACGACTACTATCGTTCTTCAGATTTTTGAAATCTCAAGATCTTGAAGAAAAAAGGGTTGCTTATTGAAATTGGCTACAAATAAGTCGTGTACCTTTATCCAATCTAATTTATTTATTTTCTTTGTTCGCTCGTTCACTTTTTCACCAAACATTGAGACAAGCACACACCAACAGACTATGAAGAAAAAAAAAAAATTATATTATCTCAATTTCACATCACCAGTCACTTTTTTTTCTTTCTTTCTTCCAATTAAAGAAATAAAACCATTCTAGTCATTACTACAGGTCCTTTCCAATTAGTTATTTGATTGAAAAAAAAAATGTCTGAAAAGGAAGAAGCTGTATTCCGTTCTGCGGATATGTCTTTGGTCCAACTTTATGTTCCTACTGAAGTTGCTAGAGATATTATCTACAAAGTTGGACAATTGGATATTATTCAATTTAGAGATTTAAATTCAAAAGTTAATGAATTCCAACGTTCTTTTGTTAAGGAATTGAGAAAATTAGATAATGTCGAAAGACAATTCAATTTATTCAAACGTGAATTGGATTTTAGAGATATTCCAATCAAGCTATTCCCTTATGATTTTGAGAAAGCTCCACCACAAACTGAAATTGATGAATTAATTGAAGGTTCTCAATTGTTAGAAGACAGAGTTGTTCAATTACGTGAATCTGTTGAAACTTTGTACGCCAAGGAAGTTCACTTGAAACAGTTCAAATACACCATTCAAGCAGTCAACAAGTTTTTTGCCGTACAAGGTGAAGATGTCATTGATAATGAAGAAGCCGCCTTATTGTCCCAATTAGAAAGTGGTGGTGCTGCTCATGGTGATGCCCGTTCAGGATCTGGTTTCATTTCTGGTGTTATTAGCCGTGACAAGGTTGGTACTTTACAACAAATTTTGTGGAGAGTTTTAAGAGGTAATTTGTACTACCATAGTGAAGAGTTACCAGAAGAAATTTTTGAATTCAAAAGCAACTCTTATGTTGCTAAGAATTCTTTCATCATTTTTGCCCACGGTTCTCTTATTCATGAAAGAATTAAGAAAATCTGTGAATCTCTTGATGCTGAATTGTACGATGTTGATGGTACTTCTGAAGCTAGAAAGGAACAATTACATGATGTGACTACCAAATCATCAGACTTGTCTGTTGTCTTGGGTGAATCAGAAAATGCATTGAACTCTGAGTTGATTGCCATTTCTCGTGATTTGGCCAAATGGTGGGAAATCATTGCTAGAGAAAAAGCTGTTTACAAAGCCATGAACTGTTGTGATTATGATGGTTCAAGAAAAACTTTAGTTGCTGAAGGTTGGACTCCTACTGATTCCATCACTGAATTGACTACCACCATTCAAGAGTATGATGCCTCTCAATCCGTTCCAACTATTATTAATGTTTTGGACACAAACAAGACTCCACCTACTTTCACTCGTACCAACAAATTCACCTATGCCTTCCAATCTATTTGTGATGCATATGGTGTTCCAAAATACAAGGAAATCAACCCTGGTTTACCAACTATTGTTACTTTCCCATTCATGTTTGCCATTATGTTTGGTGATTTGGGTCATGGTTTTATTGTTGCATTAGCTGCTGGTGCTCTTGTCTTGAATGAAAAGAAATTGGGTGGTATGAAGAAGGATGAAATTTTTGATATGGCCTACACTGGTCGTTATGTTTTGTTGCTTATGGGTGTTTTCTCCATGTACACTGGTTTCATCTACAATGATGTTTTCTCAAGATCTATGTCTTTATTCAAAAGTGGTTGGGAATGGCCAGAAAATTTTGCCATTGGAGAAACCCTTTTTGCTAAAAAAGTTGGTACTTATGCCATTGGTTTAGATCCAGCTTGGCATGGTGCCGAAAATGCCTTGTTGTTTTCCAACTCTTATAAGATGAAGTTGTCTATTTTGATGGGTTACATTCATATGACTTATTCATACATGTTTTCCCTTGCCAATTATACTTATTTCAACAGTATGATTGATATTATTGGTAACTTTATTCCAGGGTTATTCTTTATGCAAGGTATTTTTGGTTACTTGTCCTTGTGTATTGTTTACAAATGGAGTGTTGACTGGTTTGCCACCGGTAGACAACCACCAGGTTTGTTAAACATGTTGATCAACATGTTTTTAGCCCCAGGAGATGTTCCAGAACCATTATATTCTGGTCAATCTCAAATCCAAGTTTTCCTTTTACTTATTGCATTGATTTGTGTTCCATGGTTGCTTTTAGTTAAACCATTGTACTTGAAGAGACAATTAGACAGAGAAGCCAAGGAACATGCTCAATATGCTCAATTGCCAAACGACGACGAAGAAGCTGGTTTAATTGAAGGAAATTCACACCATGAAGAACAAGATGATGATGAAGATCATGAAGAACATGGTTTTGGTGATATCATGATCCATCAAGTTATTCATACTATTGAATTCTGTCTTAACTGTGTTAGTCATACTGCATCTTACTTGAGATTGTGGGCTCTTTCATTGGCACATGCTCAATTGTCTACTGTTTTGTGGTCTATGACCATTGGAAATGCATTTGGTCCAACTGGTATTGTTGGTACTATCATGGTTGTTTTCTTATTTGCCATGTGGTTCACTTTATCTGTCTGTATCTTGGTTGTTATGGAAGGTACATCTGCTATGCTTCATTCCTTGAGATTGCATTGGGTTGAAAGTATGTCTAAATACTTTGAAGGTGGTGGTTCTGCTTTTGAACCATTTGGATTCAAAGGTTTATTGGACACTGTTTTCTAAATAGAGTCCTAACAAAATAACATAGATAGTAGGAGATGCTTAGCAGAATGTTATCATTCTTTTCTCTTTCCACTTCATCATTTGTAAGACCATTCCATTTCATTACAAACCTTTTATAAAAAAAAATAGACAAACTTGAATTTTTTTTGTTTTTCAATTCGCAGCTCATCTCTCTTCTCTCTCTTCAATCACACTGAAAAAAAAAATACAAAAAAAAAAAAAATAATTCACAGATATCAGTCATTCTATTATTAACACCATTATCAACCATGTCCATCAATATTGTTTTGGAGGAGATTAAAGGTACTCCTACTTCGATAATTCCAATTTTAAGTCTTCTTCATAATGACAAACAAATATTGTCAAATATTTCTAAACCAAATTTGAATCATCTTATTTCTCGTACTTTGAATTTAGTTAGATCACCACAACCATATAACAAATGGTGTGGTATTAATTTGATTAGGGTTATTGTTGAAGATTATACCATATTAGCAAGTGAAGGTAATAATTTGTTAACTAATTTAGTTAAAGTTTTAGAAAATTATAATAATACTATTGATATTAAAATTTTAACAAGTACTATTGATACAATTAATTTTATGTGTGATTCAATAAGAGGTAAACCAACATTAACAAGAGAGATATTAACACCTAAATTAAGTTCAATAATTAGTTATTATTTTGAATATTTACATTTTTCACCATGTTTAATTTTAAAATCATTACAAAAAATTTTGAAATTTCATCCAACTACTTTTAGACCATTTGGTAATAAATTAAATAATAAATTAATTGGATTAATGAATACTTTTGAATTTATTAATTTTCCAAATGATTTAAAACAAGCAATTTATGATACTATTGCAATGCTTCCAGTTATTGAAAAAAATGAACCTGAAAGTAAATGGAATAATGATGTTATTTCAATTATTGGAGAAATTGGTGAATTGATTCAAATTTATCAAGAATTTTTAAATTTTAAAGATGATCAAACATTAATTGATTTAAGTAAAAAATTACCAAAATCAAATAGTAAATTATTATCTGATTTATCTATTGATTTTAATAAACCAGGATCAATTTTGAAAATTTCTAATAATTTGAATATCCTTGTTGGATTATTAAAAAGTTATATGTCAGCTGAAACTCCATTTACTGTTAAAATTCCATTAGGTTTGATTTTAATTACTTGTGAAGTTGTTGCTTCTATTAATGTTAAATTCTTAGCATTTAAAAGTGATGTAAGAGATGAAGAAATTAAAAAATTGATTAAATTAAGTCTTGTTGAAAATTATAGATCAATCATTGGGTTATTATCACAATTGACAATTTTCCATGGTTCTTTAATTCCTCATATTTCCACCATTTGGTCATTCTTGGAAACACTTATTCCATATAAGAATAAAAGAATTGTTAATGATGATATTTTAGATTGTGAAATATTATATGTCGATGTTTTAAACTGTATGGTTGATTATTTATCTTTAATTGGTTATGTTTCTGATAATACTCAATTATTAAGATTTGTTGACTTAGCATTGGTTTTAATTGAACCAAGAATTAAAAAACAAGATACTACTACAACAAACAACAAGAACACTATTCAACAACATCAACATAATAAGAAACAAAAGAAAAAGAAGAATACTTCATCAGTTCCATTATCAGATATCTTATCACATGAACATCTTTTCACTGAAACTATTCCTTCTAGTACTGTTAAATCAGTTAGATCATTCATTAGTCAAATTATAACTAAATGTACTCTTCCACCAACTCAACATTATAAAATTATGAGATATTTAATAATTGAATCAGTTTATGCAAAATATTATAATTTACAACATTCAACACCTAAAGAATTACAAGATTTATTAATCAATGCTGTATTATATCCAGGTTATGAAAAAATTAGTATCTTACCAATTGTAACCTCAATTTTAGGTGGTCAAAGTAAAGTATTGAGTGTTTTTAATAACCCAAGATTTCCACCATTACCAAAATATATCAATTCTGTTGATCAAGTATTGGATGATGAGGTAGAAGAAGAAGATGACGAGGAAGAAGAAGCAGAAGAAGAACAAGAAGTAAAGGAAAAAGTTGAACCAAAGAGACAAGCTGAAGATAATGAATTCGTTGAGGAAAATCCAACCAAGAAGAGAAAAGTTGATGAAGACCTTGTGATTGAACGTTCTACAGATGAACAACAAGTGGAAATTCCTGTTGAAGATAAACCAAAACTTTTCTCAAAAGAAAATATGCAAGCTCAAGAACAGGTTGTTGAAGAAGTTGTTGTCGTTGAGGAAAAAGTAGAAATTGTTGAAAATATTAAAATTGCTACTGTTCAACCAGAAGTTCCTGTGCAAGTTGAAGAAAGTCAAGATGAAGGGTCTGACTTTGAAATGCCTGAAATCAACATTGATGATGATTCAGATGATGAATAGATCTATAGAATATATACATTGAGGCAGAACAAACGACAATAAATTTCGTACAAGCAGTAAGCGCTACATAGGCAATCGTTAAAGACAAAGTAACCCTAAGAGGGGAACTATTAGTAGAAATACCAACATATAAGTTGAAAACTCGCAATTTGGTAAATTTGACATTGATCGAAATATGAATTTTCTACTTGGCAACACAACACCCGTAAATGAATGCTGGTCAAGTTTTGTTTGTTGTGGGTAATCGACATCTGTTATACGTTCATCAACACCTACTAAGACAGTTTCATGAACAACATTTGGTGATGTTTGTGCAACTGTAGAATTATAGGCAATTGAAGAATTTCGCAATTGACTTGACTCTGGAATGGTGCTGCTACCATTAGATGATCTTGATTTTCTAGTCCTGAATCTCGGAAAACTAAACTTTTTTGACTTTGTTTCTTTATTTGTGGGTGTATTACTAGTCGCAGATTTTACAGCGGTAGGCACTTGAGGAGTGATTTCAATCCATCGGGTAGTGGTTGTAGTGGTAGGTACTATAACCTCAGAAATGATGTGAATTTTAGTTACATCTGTCAATAGGGTTTCTTTCATAGTGGTTTTTGAGCGACTGGGCTGCACATACAGTTTTGATGAATAACTTGTCGATGTATGGTAAGAGATGGGTTCGTTACTAAAGCTGCTTGCCAGCCAACTTGTTGAGGGTTTACTAGTTAAAGGACTGGTTGAGGACAAAGATACAACAGATTCTGTATCAATTGACTCATCATTGAGATAGCCATCGCCATCATCCATCAATGATGTTTGTACATCAGAGCTGCTCCATAAACCCAGACTTTGTTCAACTTCATCATCAATCCAGGATGTAGACCCAAAATCAGACCAGGATAATGATTCAACTTCCCCGGTACTACTAACATATGTGGGACTCTCTGTTGTTTTGGTTTTTGATCTTGGTCGTCTTCGTTTGGTTCTTAATGGGCGAGCAAGTCGTATACTTGAGTAACGGAGGGAGGTACTGGACTCAATAGGATATCCCAGATATATTGTACTTCCTTCAATTGGTAATACAGAATATTCACCAGAAATCAAAGTTCTAATAAACCTAATAGGGAAAGTAATATCGTCGATATCGTTACCATTTGTAGGATAGTATATGACAGAATTTGTGATATGTGGAACAACATGTGTTAAAGTAGCTTCTGGTGTGAATGATTCAGAAGTGATGGGAATATAATTTGTTGGAACACGTTCAATAAGTTTCAAGGATGAAGTACCTCTCTGTGGACGAGTTTTCGATGATTGCAAACCAAAATGTACCGTTCCAGTATCTTGTTGAATTGGTAATGGTTTGACAGTTGGCATTGCAACATATTTGGTAATAGACTTTGTAACAGTCACTCTTCTATTGATGAAGTTATCATTTTTCTTAAAAGCACCTCCACCTGTTCTATGGAATTTCCTAAATGGCCGTCTATATGATTTTCCAGGTTTAGAAGTGTGTATTCCCCATTGTAATTTCTTCACCGGCTCCAAAGCTGAATGGAAAAACCCTTTATTTGCTGCATTTTCAAAATAATCATTGGGGCGTGGATAATGCCCATAACTTGTTGTTGTAGTTGTTATTGTTGTAGTAACGGTATATCCATGTACAAATACTCGATCATCTTCACTATCACTATCATTGTCAGTGGAATCACATGAATCACAAGTTGATCCAGTATCATCAGTATTTTGACCTTCAAACTCTCCATCTTCGTCAGTACTACCATCAGATGAATCAGATAAATAAACTTCATTTAGTTTAACAAACGATGAATTATTATCATGCAAGTCGTATTCAGTAGTAGTTAAATTTGGATCAATTGTACTTGTTTCAAGAACAATTGAATTATTGATTGTAGTAGTCACAATAGTCACTGTTGGTTGAATAAATGTATTGGTTGATAACAATAACAATGATGTCAAATAATTCATCCTCTTCTTTGCATGTTCATTTTACTATCGTATTTCTCTGTGTAGTTTTTCCTTTTTTTTTGGTTGCAACTTTTTTATTTTTGCTCACTCTCGTTACTGTTTGAGTATAATCTTGAGACTAGCCCCTTCTTGACATCATCGATTATGCGGATTATCAAATTAATTTCCTACTTGGAATTTACATATAAGATAACTTATTTGAGAGTATCTTAAAAAAAAAAAAACAAGACTCGACAAGAAAGTGGATGATCTTAGCCTTGTTCAGTGCTAATGATTTCCGTTTTGAAGACTACAAGGGGGAATAATAACGATGTTCATAATCGTAGGATAATATTACCAACAAAGACACGTTGCTCAGTGAGAATAGAGATAATTCATCCCCTGAATAAGATCAACTGACTTTCAAGGTTTTCTAAACCATAATTGAAATGCTCATCATAATCAGAGTCTCGATGTCGGAGCAAACAAGGTTCTGAGCAATGAAACTTGTTGAGATGGCAAGTATAACCCCGAGGAACAATACATGGTAGTGTTCATGACAAAATACAACCATAAATAAGAAAAAGGTTAATTAGATTTGTTATTCATCACAATAATACCATCCTGAACTCCCGAAGCTTAAAATTCATGTGTAAGTAATTCATGCTCCTTATACCATCCGACGTTCCGATTTTTCATCTAAACATTGAATTTAACAAGCGGTAAGAATAATGTTCCTTATCCAAGTTAAACTTGCAATTATTGCCTGAATGAGAAAAAGACCTCTCCTCTTTGAAGACATGGACAGTTTCATAATTCTGTCAAGAATATTTAAGCTATGAAATATACTTGTCATAAAGTACTTTACTAATGAAATAACAATACTATCAAAAAAGATTATGCCGTTACAACGTAAGCAAGTAACTTCTAGAACCAATAGAAGATGACACACACAATAAACAATAGACGCGTTGGATTGACATTTAAACTATTTCTTATTCAACTCAATTGTTGACAATATAAATAATAAATAAAATAACTTACTATTAAAAGTGAGTGTCAAACTATATGTCCGATACTAGCATTGTTAATTATATTTTTGTATGTGGCACAGAGTAACCTGTAAAAATGACGAATCCAGTAAATCATTCTAATAAAGAGTAGACTTTACAACCAGTTGTTTCGTGTATGACCCAGGTAATCACCGTAATGAACGAAACATGCGATGTTATGTATAACAGATCAAGAAAACTCCCAAAGTAAAAACAGAAAATTGAAAGTGGGAAAACCAGGAGAATTTCAAGGCTCTGGTAAAATATTCATTTTCCCTTGGTTCCTCCTCTTATTCAAATCCCCACAATTTAAATTATATATTATTTTTGGGTAACAAATTAATAAACAAAAATCACAGACACAAAAGAAAAGATACAAAAGAAGAACATTTAGGTCCTCTCTTCTAGCCCCTTTCTCTTCCCTGTAGTAATTAATTAACGACCAATATTATATAACACAAGTTCAACCATATGTTTTATTATTTTATTTATCTCGTAAAATCAATTTTAAATAATTAGCGGGAATTGAAAAACTGGAAAAAGAAAAATTTGTGTCACATGATTAGATGATTTAATGCTCGTCTAAACTTGGGGAAGGAATATTGTTTTGTAACCAGATAATCCGAAACAATTTAAATTGCAAATCTTTTTAACTTCTTTGTTAGAATATCCACTCCAGTTTGTCTTCGTGTGTTGTTTTCGTAGAATTCACTTGGTGATTAGGGATCAACTGGGAATGAACGGGACGATCACCTTGATTTCAAGGATGTTCAAAGCTCTGGAAAAACTTCTACGATGAAATTTCGAGAGTGGATAAAAAAAAAATCCCTCATGTAGGGGGGCAATGGACAGATTTTTTTAACTCGATTTGGAAGATATGTGTGTCGATAATCATTAAAACCACGAGAGAATGTAACAAGACGTGTCAGTACTGGTTGATGAAATACAACTGATGGAGCACCCCCCAGTGTTACATTTTCATATTTTACCTCTAGTGTGTCAAAGCCATAAAATTCTATACCGTATTACAAGTAATAAAATATTCCCGCAGTTATTTTTTATTCTGTATTATATTTTATCCATTTTTGGAGCATTTCTGGGTGTTGAGATACATTTGTAATATTAGTATTTTTGCAACTGTACTGCCTAGGCATAATATACAACAAGGTGATTGGAAATTAATCACCTACATGTGTACTGAAATTCGTTTCGTTTTTCTGTATATTTGTTTATGTTTTAATTTTGACGACGGTTAACAATTAGTTTTCACAAAAGCTGGCAAACCAGGCACAAGGAGAACAACAGCAGAAAAAAAAAAGACTTCTCCTCGTTTGTTCCTGGGAACACGCGCACTACCTCTTCATCTTCCTCCTCCTGTTGCTGCTGCTGCTGCTGCTGCTGCTCCCCTTAATTTCAATCAGAATCTAGCCAGCCTGCACGCACTAATAACCACAAACAACAACTAAAACATTCACCACCAAAGAAAAATTAAGAAAAACGACTGTCTGAGATCTGCGATAAGAAATCCCTCTTGATATTTTATTGAACCGTGTAGTAAAGCAAGAACATTACATCATACCGCCTTCTACATGTTGGAATGAAGACAATTCAGCGTATCCTTATTCGTTACACATCAAATAACCGCGCTTTCCTCTCATACACACTCTCTTCACTGTTTTCATTGGCTCTTTGTTCTCTACCGTTTAACGGTACTATTATTCAAAATAAATAAAGGAAGCATGAAACGAAAGTATCAAATGTGAATGTTTCGCTTACTTTTCTTCCATTGCACCCTTCAACTATAGAATGGCTTATATTCATTGTTGATTTTTATCAATGCTTAATTTCGTTTATGAATAGATGTGACGTGTAACACGTCTTCTTGATCAAGCACACCAATTCAAATGATAGAGAAACATCTTACAAAAATTAAAAAAAAAAGACGATCAATTAGGTGTGTTTGGGTTATCTGATATGAGATAAACTTTTCCTTTTTTTTTGTTTCCATGTTTGAATTATATTGTTTTTGGATTGATAATTGTAATATAGTTTATGGTTTTCCTTCTTGAAATATAACAGACTAGAAGGGGGTGTAATCAAGAATATTGTGACAGAGATCACATGATAAGATGGTGTAGTATAGAGATGAGCAAACAATAGGGGAAAATAGCAAGAAAGTATATTTGAATTTAACTCAATTTAGAAGATGGTACATAATCTAAAATAATTATCTGTGCATTATTATTATTTGCAAGTAGATTATGGTTTTTTTTATTTTTTTTTTTTGTTGTTTTATTATTTTACAAGTTGCAGATTAATCTACATGAAAGACAGAGAGTAAGAAAATAAAACTTTACTCGTCACATCTGACTATTTCTGCATTATGTAAGTCAATTATATTGGGTCAATTGTTTTTTTTTTTTTTGTTGTTTAATTTAAATTAATTTTGCTTTTTTGGGATTTTTATTTTTCAAGTAATATATAAAGCAATATATATTTCCATCCTGTCATTTACATCATAATTTGAATATCTTGGAGTTTTTTTTTTTTTTTCCTTTTCGTTTGTTTCTATTTCTTTTACCAAGTTTAGTTTCTTATACTTTCAAGTAATTGTGGGGGGCTTTTCTTTTTTTCAAGTTTAATTTTTAGCAATCATTTTTTTTTATTTTTTCCTAGTACCTGTATTTGAAACTACCAAATGACACAATCTCCATCTTCTTCATCAAGTGAAACCCTTTGCCTAATATCATCAGCACAGGGTATAATTCCCATGTCATGTTTGTTATCATCAAGCTCCACCTCAAGTTCCAATGCATCTATTATTGCTGAAAACACAAACATTAGTAGTAGTAATAGCAACAGCCAGCATAATACCACTAGTCCGAGCACATCCATATCTTCTGCTTCAAGCATTCTAAGTAATGTCTACTCCACATATAATGCAAGTTCCCCAGATTTACAATATATGCAATTCTCCAATGCCAGCTCTACAAATTACACTTCAAATTTGAGAAAGTCATCATCATCTTCTCACCAAGATTTCCAAGAAATTTGGTTTAATAAATTCAACTCAACTTTACCTAAACGAGATGGAGTTTATGTTATCAATACCACTGAAAAATTCAACCAATTATTAAATTTCTACTATCAAACGAAATCTAGATTTAATCAAAACTATTCCAACCAATTATTTCCCTATTTGCATGACTTGTCCACCAGAGGTCATGAGGATAATTTTACTGAAAGCTACAATCATATGAAGGATATCTTGCATATTATAGATAGCATGCATTTAAACAATTTGATGTTTATCAAAAGTGATGATGAAGAAATTGATTCCATTACTCCAGATTTAATCAACTCCGTCAAGCTAGACCAAATTCTTGATAGACACTACAATGAATGGGAAAAATTATCAGTATACCCACATCAATATGATGAACATGATATGAAAATGAATTGCAGGAATTTTGGCCGTCAATTAAAACTCATGGCTCCATTGTCTCATTTTGTTGTATATAATTATACCAATTCCGATAATGCTAATGTGTTGTCAATGTTAAGAAAAGTAGTTAATCCAGAAAAATATATCTATTCAGTTGAGTTGGATAAAGATTGGTGGAGCACAATAGAACCAAATTATTTTGATAATGATACAGATGAAGATCCAGTTTATAACAATTCATTCTTGAGTAAATTTTATCCATCTGAGGAAGAGTTCACGTCACAAGGAGAACATTTTGTATCCAGGTATCACAGGTATGAACAAAATGTGATTTGGAGAATGAGTGGTAATAGAAGAACTTGGTTGTTTGATAATAAAATATGCGTGGGTAATATCCTTGATTATAATGAATTGGTTAAAGCACTCGACAATGAGTTCAAGTTGATTATCTATTGTGATGATGATATTCAGTCGTGTAATTTCCCACCGATTGAGACTCTTCAATGGATTTACCATGATTATAGCCAGGGGGGTGCAAATTCATACTGTTTGAAGATTCCTCAACTTGGAGGTAATAAAGATATTGATTTAGTTGGTGTTTTGAATGTGTTGAAATTGATTGTCAAACTCTCCAAAGTCAACAAAGTTTTCATTGGCAGTCATGATGGTTTTACAAGTTCTACTATTTGGTTAGTTTTGTTAACCCAATTATTAAACAGACTTACCATTGAAGAATCCATATTGTATTTGGCTAAACAAGAGATTAAGTTATTTTTCTTTGATAATGATTATTCCTTGTTGCAAGATTTAGAGATCTTTGTTGATTATTTAAACAAACATTTATTGCTGGAGTTTCCTACAATTATTTTACCCAGCACTTTAGATTTAAATTCTATTGATAGATTTTATTTTATGAACCCAATAGTTAAACCACAACCTTATGATTGGTTTGCTGATTGTCAAGGTCAATTAAATTTACCATCCAAAGTCTACCCTCATCTATATCTCGGAAGTCTTTTGCATTCCAGTTCAAATACAATTTTAGAAACCTTTGGAATATCAAATATCATCTCTATTGATGAATTACCAAGTTGGTGGAACCAAATGTTTTCTAAATATATTCAATTTGATTATGAACAGAGACTTGCTGCTCCTGTTGTTCTTAAACCAATTTACAAATATGATAATATCAAGATTTATGAAGTTAATTTTGAGCAACTTCATCATTTCATTCCATATAAAGTTCAAGCAACACTCCCATCATCACTCAATTCCTTAATCTACATACATAATTTCAAAGATGATGGTAAAGATTCCATTTTACCCATGTTATTAGATGCCCCGCCATTCATCCATGATAAGATTCTTCTTGGTCAATCTCCTAAAAAGTCTACTTTGATTCATTGTAAAGTCGGTGTTAGTAGAAGTGCTACATTGGTTATTGCTAGTATTATGAAACATTTTAGAATTGGGTTGGTACAGGCGTATTTCATGTTAAGAATAATTCGGTTCAATATTATAATTCAACCTAATTTAAAATTATTTTATGAATTATTCTTGTATGAGGAATATTTGGGATTGCCAGACCAACTTCAAGATGGCAAGAAGGTGGTTAAAAAATGGAATTGGGAGTTTATTGCTGATGAGATTCATAGATTGAATCAGATTTACACATCGTCATCATCGTCATAAAGGTTACATTTCTAGTGTTTTTTATTTATTTATTTATTTCTTTCAGTTCGTGTTACGGTTTTTCATTTTGATGTCTTAGTTATTTTTTTTTTTATTTTTTATTTATTCTTATAGTGTATTATTCTTTTATTAATTTGTGTGTATAATTTAATTTTGATAAATTTGTTTATTATTATTAATGTATGATCAAGCCGATTTATTTTAATTTATTTTATTATTATTAATAAGATATTGGACAAATGGTTAACATGGAGGAGATCAGGGGGTGTATATTCCATTTTGTTGAACTTCAGTCTAACCGAAGATTATATTTACATGAGACACCGCTTGAATGGGTTTATGTATGTATAAAATTAATGTGATATTATTATCAACATTGTATTATTGTCACCACCACATAGCCTATTTTTACATGACCTACGTTGTTGGATATACAACGGGTCTCGTCAGGGTTTTTAACTTTGTTACGTTATTGTTTACCGCCATTGTTATTGAATTGTTTCATAAACCCATGCTTCTATATTATTTTATTTTGCTTTCGATTACTCAGAGAGATTAAGTTCAAACAAAGACGCAACTCATGACGTGTGTATTTATAAATACATAAACAAAAAAGAATGGGCCGTTTGTATTATCTATCCTTACATTTAATTGGCACTAAAGAAAACAATTACAAAATAATAGAAAAAAAACGATCAAGTAAAACATAGCCCTATAAACTTAACAATGTGTATAGCGGGTAGTCGTTGTGGGGCTATAAAGTCCGATAATTACAAAAAAAAAAATAGTAGTGAAAACTGCATTAGAAAATGCCAATAAAAACATATGGTAGTATTGGAGGCAAAAAGGTACATAACAATTGAGAATCGGTTGAATAGAAAACTTCGAATCTGTTGAGTAAAGTTTCTTGTAAAATGTCATACGTCATATATACCCACGGTAAGAAATTAATCTCTTAATTCGTTACTGATAAGAGTACTTAAACATTAAGAAAATAAGTAAATTTAATGGTTGTGAGAACTACTACCAACCTCCATTTAAGCGAAACATGGGGAGTGATAGGCAGTCATTCATTTGACGTGTTGTATTATTAATATAAAATACTGTGGCACACACATACACACACACACAATTAAACAGCCGGTGCTAATTATAATTTCGCATCCATTGATAATAAACCATAAAACTCTAATAATTACATCTTAGTTTGTATTTTTGTTGGTTTGATAGCTTAATATTGAAGCTCAAATGACCTCACGTCAATTTTTATTTGGTGATATCTATTGGTGAACACACGTTTTGTTATCGTTAACCAATACTAATGGTCGAAATAGGAAACACTATTCGTGTGTTAAACCTTAAGGCTAAAAAAAAAAATCTCGGCCGACGCCTAGTACCAAAAGCTTAAAGAAAAAAAAAAAAATAAAAAAAATTTGCCTTGCGGTATAAACCATCAATAATTAAAACAGCATCATCATAAAACAATGTCAAAAAACTCGATCCAAAAAGTTGTCAACGCAAGTATGTATTCATCCCATACATTGCCACGTTACTATCAATAATATAAAGTCAATTTATACTAACCTGTACTTTTTTTTTTCTTCTTGCAGTTCAAAAATTTTATCCAATTGCTTTGGCCGATAAATCTTGGGATAATACCGGATTATTAGTTGAATCAAGTAATGCCCACGAGGTTCCAAAAATCCTTTTGACCATTGATTTAACTCAATCAGTTGCTGATGAAGCGATTTCTAAAAATGTCAATTTCATAATAGCTTATCATCCATTTATTTTCCGTGGCTTAAAATCAATCACTTCTAATGATCCACAACAAAGATCTTTGATCAAATTGATTCAAAATAATATTAATGTTTATTGCCCACATACTGCTGTGGATAGTGCCAAAGGTGGTGTCAATGATTTCTTGGTTGATGGAATAACTAAAGGTTATAAAGTCGAATCATCCACACCAATTGAACAAGATTCAAATGAACCAGATTGTGGTATGGGTAGATTAGTTAAATTACAAAACCCTGTTGGATTACAAGAGTTAGTAGCAAATGTCAAGTCCCTGTTAGGATTAAAATACGTTCAAGTGGCAACTAGCGATAAACAAAAACAAATCAGTTCAATTGCCGTTTGTGCTGGATCTGGTGGTGGTGTTTTCAAAACTGTCAAGGCTGATTTGTACTACACTGGTGAGTTATCCCATCATGAAGCTTTATATTTCAAAGAACTGGGTTCTGCTGTTATCTGCTGTAATCATTCAAACACCGAAAGAGCATTTTTAAAAGTTATTCAACAACAATTAAGAGACGAATTACAAGTTGAAGACCAGCAAGTATTGATCAGTGAAACTGATAAAGATCCTCTCGAAACTTGGTAATGAATACACGACTTTTATTTTTTGTTTGTCTTTTTTCTTCTGCAGGGAAAAAGAGAAAAATTGTGTTGCTGAATTTTTCTTATTTTATTTTTAGGCAACCCGATAAACGATCTCTTCATCTTTGGTATCTCTATCACGTTTTAGCAAGACTGTCGATATTATCTAACAACAACAACAACAACAACAATCAATACACGCATACATTCAACATCGTTACTCTTTTGGAAATGGCGGAAAAGCACCAGCCGTCAATGAAAACCTTTGATTTGAAAGGTTCAATTCCGTCTTACAATGTCAAATCTGCTATTGTCGCATGTACAGGAACTCCATATGTTTTCTTGTATGGAGGGTTTGATCAAGATGATGAGTTAGACAGTAATGTATATCTATTGGATACTTCAACCATGACTTGGGAAATAGATAATAAAGTAGAAGGGTTATTTAGAGAAGGACATCTGGCTATATGTATTGGAAATGGAAATGTGTTAGTATTTGGGGGATTGCCATTTGAAGATGAAGTTCCAACTACAGCAAGTGCCACTGGAGAAGTGAAAAATGATAGTCTTATGATGATTTATAACATTTATGAAAAAAAATGGATTGGTCCACCATTGTTTGCCCTTGAAAATAGTCCTAGTCCAAGATCAAGACACGCGTGTTGTTTAAGTGAAGATGGAACTAAGATGTATATTAGTGGTGGATTAGTGAAATCAAGTCCATTGAATGATTTGTATATTTATGATTTGGTGACTGGAATTTGGCTGGGTCCAATTGAGTTTGTACACAGATTTGACCATACTATTTTGGTTTATAAAGATCGAATTTTTTCATTTGGTGGATTGGACAAGGATATGAACCATGTTCGATCCATTGTATACTATTCTTTAAGAACAGGTAGCATTGGTGAAATTTACTTGCATTCAAATGATGCCATTGGGGCTCTCAACGAAGTTTCTGTGTTGTCTAGCAATATTAACCCAAGTCTTTGTTTGAAAGTGAATCTCCCATCATGGAATAGTCCAAAAGATCTGCTTAAGATTTCTTGTTTCAATCTTGATAATTTTGATACAATAGAGTTGTTGAACCAGAAAACTATAGACTATTATTTTCATGATATGGATACCATGAAATGCAGCTGGAAATCGGTGTTTGTGAATCACAATGGTAAGTTGTATTTTTTGGGGAAACGAAATGGCAAACTTGCCAACTCATTTGGTGGGTATCTAAGCACAGAAGACCAACAAGACAAAGATGTGGATGAAGATGAAACTACCAATTTCCCTAACGAAGAACTGCTAATACAAAGATTGAATTTTATGTTACAAATAAACATGAATGATTTCGGTATTTCCAATACTATAGATGATTCACTATCTAAGGACTTTTTAAAACTATTAATACAGCAGGAATTTACAGATTTTGAAATAATTTGCTTGGAAAACGAAGAAGCAAAACGGGTGTATGAGAGTCAACCGCAGCAACTACCGTATTCTACGAAGGAAATACCGGTGCACAAAACCATCTTGATTGCACGATGGCCACATTTCCATACAATGTTATCATCGGGTATGAATGAATCTATTGAAAACAAATTGTTTCTCCCCGAACCGTATATTCGAATCAAGGCTTTAATTTATTACTTATATCTGGGCTCCATTGAATTTGATAGTAAATATCTTGAAGACATCACAATGGTTGATTATACTGGGTTACTTGTATTGGCAAACATGTATGCACTACGAGATTTAGCAAGTTTGGTGACAAAGAAATTATTCCATTTATTTCATACTTTTCAATTTGAATTCAATGATGAGACCGAAGATGACGTTACTGTGTTGCTTAAAATATGGAAAGAACTAGCTCTTTCAGACGAAAGAATATTTTTATCTCCTGTAATTGATTTAATTAAGAAAAAATGGTCTATAATTACAAGATCTAATTCATTTTTAAATTTAACAAAAGATGAAATTGTCAAATTATGTCAGGATTCTACTGATGAAAGAAGTAATTCAACTCATAAATCTCCTTATAGTTCGATTCATTCTGTTGATACAACTGATTTAATTACAATGACTCCTACAAGACAAACTCATTCACCATTTGTTATTGATTCACCAGCTAATCATTCTACGATGTTTAACGACCTCTAAATTATTATTCTTTTCAATAAATACACAAATTAATTATATATCTTGAGTATCAGAATATATCGTCTATAAGATTGTGAAAAGCATCGCCAATTGCTTCTACACCATCCCCAATTCCGTCCATTATATCACCCATGATGTCACCAAAACCTTGGTGGATTTTTGAGGTTGTCAGCGTGGTTAAAGTATTTCCTGTTTCAGTCGAAATAAAATCAGTAGGTTTAGGTAATTTTTCAGGTGTCAATGAAGTTATTGTCGATTCTTCAGATTTCATATCCTCCAAAGGATGATCATTTGTAGGAATTTCCTTCTCTCCTCCTTCTTCTTCTGCTTCTTGATATTTTCCTTTTCTCCAGAGTGAATCATAAGTGGCATTATTTCTTACAATATGTTCAATTTCAAATGGTAAATTAGGGAAACTCAAACTATCTAACCAACCATCATCCAATTCATTTGCCCAGATTTCATGAATTTGAGTACCGTTATTAGGAGCAGGGATAATATCTAAAGTATCACAAACCAAATTATAAACTTGAGTATTTTGGAAAGGTTCAACTTTAAGTGGTTTATTCTTGAAATATGGACCAAATCCTAAAAATATAGCCCTCATTAATAAATGTGTATTGTTGTATCCATGAACTCCCTTTGGTTTGTAATCAAAATTATTATCTTTCATTTGTTGATGGGTTGTGATTGAATACCCAACATTTGGGAAAATCCAAATCGGTGCTAATCTATAATTAAACTTGTGATCAGTAAGATTACCACCAAATTGGAATTCTTTTGGAACATCTTCTACTTTATAAATCTCATAATTTGACGTGATTTCTGATCCCATCTTGTTAAATTTCTCCTGAAGTTCATTGTATATTTCATCAACAGAAAACTCTTCCTTTGGTCTCAATCCAAATAATGGCCAACCATCAATATGCTCGATCTTGTCAAGATCAATCAAATCATCAAGATAGAGCAACCTATCATTTGATGTAGGTGCCATTCCATGGTCACTGACAATAATCACATTTACAATATCATCAAGATTTCTTTTGTGTAATTCTTGTTTCAATAAATCAAGGAAATTATCCACATAAGTTAAAGCATCAGTTAAGTTTTGTCCTGAAATTCCAAACTTGTGTCCAAATTGATCAATTGTTGGTACATATGTAAGAATCAATTCTGGTCTGTTATCAATAGAATCTCTATCTAACCATCCCATTACTCTATCGACTTTACTTGACAACAATTCTGATCCATTATATCTATCAAAATCATCTTCCGGTCCAATATGTGGAACTTCAGATCCTGGCCACATATGAACTGCGGTTTTGATATTTTGTTTCTTTGCAGTTTTCCAAATAGGTTCCCCACCTTGCCAAAAATCAGGGTCCAATCCTCCAATCTTTGGATTGGTATTTATGAATTGTTTCTTGAGTAAAGGGTCATAGAATGTATTACCGACAATACCATGTTCTGATGGATATAACCCAGTGATTAAAGTCCAATGATTTGGGAATGTCAGAGATGGGAAACTCGGTATCATATATGGTGCACCATAATCATTCTTCATTATATTATGCATGGTAGGAGTATCCAAGGGATTGATATAATGGGGATGGAATCCATCAAGTGATATTAAAATAGTAGTTTGATGGAAATTATGAGTTGAATTGGTGTAAATTCTACGAGTATTACCACCACTCAGTTGAATCCCCAAATGACCATTATTTCTATTGAAGAATAAAATAAACGTTAAAATACCAACTGTAAACAATACTACACTTCCGATGATGGTTCTATTTTTGACCTGCTTCTCTAGTAACTTTATTCTATAATCTCTAATATCAAGAGGAGGCTCTCTTGATTCATCATATTCTCCATCAGTTTCACTGGGAGTATCGATATCAAAACGCAGTACCATTTCATAATCACTAGCACTTGATGGTTGAGAATTTGTCAAAAATGATTTAAATTTGGAAAATATACCTGGTCCATTTTGTCCCTGTTGTGAAGAAGCGGTGTTTTCATAATCTAACGTATCTAAAAACGTGCTTGGTCTTGTATGTGTGTTGTCATGTGCTTGTTCAGCAAATATGATATCATCCTCTGGATCATCCATATCTGTGATAGGAACATCAACAGCATGAGGTTGGGGATGCGACATTGTTGGGTTGGTGGTTTGAAATTAGTAGTAATACTGATAATAAATAACAAAAATTGAATAAATTCTAATCGGAATTATTATTCGCAAAAAGGAGGGATGAAATCTCGCTAGGAAAATTTTTTTGATTATTTGAAACTGAGATTACACATCAGTTGGTTTGTTCCCGGTTCGAATCCTGTCTTGGTCTCTTTTTCTGTTGATTGAATATTTTTTCCTGTCATGATTTGGGTTCTTCGGTATCAAATTAAAAAAAAAAAAGTATGGAAACTACTATACTATAATTATTCTCGTAACACCACCAAGTTTACATTAACCAATGACTGAGTTTATCAAATACAAAGGTTTTGATCATGTCTGGCAGTACTCAGGACCATGGTTGTACTATTTAATTGGGGTTTATCTTTGTTTACCTATTATTGCCTATCTGGTTTTACCATGGTTTTTCCATAAAAGAAAATCTAGTCAACGTAAAATGATTTCAATATTCGTATTAGGAGATTTAGGTCATTCGCCACGAATGTGTTATCATGCTATGACATTTAGTAAATTAGATTATTTTGTTAATTTGTGTGGATACATAGAAACCGAACCATCCCCTGAAGTTCTTGATGATGTTAGTATTGATATTATTCCCATTGATGTTATTAAAAATACTAATGATTTACCATTTGCTTTATTTGCATTATACAAAATTTCCACTCAATGTAAACAAATTTGGAAAATATTATGGAATACAAGAGGTACCGATTATATCATGATTCAAAACCCACCAAGTATACCTATATTACTTGTGATTATTGTTTTCATCAAATTTTTCAGTCGTGAAACAGAATTGATTATAGATTGGCACAATTTGAATTATACGATTTTAAATTTAAGATACAATAATTTAAACCATCCATTTGTTAGAATTGTTAAATTTTATGAACATATTTTGGGTCATTTTGCAAATTTGAATATAACCGTTACGAAAAATATGAGGAAATTTTTAAACACAGAGTTTGGATTGAAAAAGAATAGAATTGTAACATTATATGATAGACCGGGAGATCAATTTCAACCAATCACAGATAAACTGGAATTTACTTCTAAACACGAGTTATTTAAAGACATTGATACTCAAAAGTATAAAATATTAATTAGTTCAACATCTTTCACTCCCGATGAAGATTTCAATATTCTTTTAGATGCGTTAAAAGAATACGAGGGAATTTCCAATACTCCACCAGTGTGTTTAATAGTTACAGGAAAAGGACCATTAAAAGAGAAGTTTTTGACAACTGTTGAAGAATTGAAATTTTCTCCAAAAGTTATAGTTAAAACCGCATGGTTATCTGCTGAAGATTATCCTAAAGTATTAGCATGTGCAGATTTGGGTATTTCTTTGCACACTTCCTCTAGTGGTATTGATTTACCAATGAAAATTGTTGATTTTTTTGGATGTGGAGTTCCTGTTATTTCCTTAAACTTCCCAGCTATTGATGAGTTGGTTAAAGATGGTGTTAATGGATTAATCACCAAGGATAAATCACAAACTAAAGAATCTAAACAAGTCTGCCATTTAATAAATGAAGTATTTACAGATGAAAAATTATTATCCACGATTAAAAATGGTGCAATGGAAGAAAGTAAACTTAGATGGGACGAGAATTGGTTTAGTGTATTGGGTTCTAAATTTGATACTAAACAAATAAAGGGTAGATAGGTTCGATTTTTATAGAGACAATAAATACGTTTTTATTTCATTCAAGTACTCTTTGGTATTTTCATCCTTCATCTTACCATATGATGAGTTCTTTTCTGTCCAGAATTGAAACCCATCTTTTTCATAAGCATCTAGCTCTTTATGGTCCGGTATTATATCCCATTGTTCTGTATCTGTCAATTGTAGTACCTTTCCCGTGATATATGTCCAGCATTTTGCTGTTTCAGTGTGATTATAGCCACCTCCTCCAAGAATCATCACTGGCGTCTTATCAAACCTCTCTAATATTGTATCAATACTATTTGCATAACCTTTAATACTCATATTCCATTCTTTGTGTTCATCTGTTGATAAACCATCACAACCGGCTTGGATAACAATACTTTTTGGACCAAACTTTTCAATTAAAGGTATAACAACTTCATCAATGATCCAACTCATACTTTTATCATTTAATCCTTTTCGTGTAGGTATATTAAATGTATTCGTAGCAGAACTTTTTAAACTTCCAGTTCCTGGAAATATTCCAATATCATATCTATGAATTGAACAAGTTGATATTTTCTTGGAGAATTTAAATGCATTTTCAACACCATCACCATGATGTAAATCTAAATCAAGATAAAATACAGAACCTAAATATTTTCGAAGAATATTAATTGATAATACTATATCATTAATATAACAAAATCCAGATGCTTGAGATTTATGACAATGATGTCTTCCTCCATACCAATTAATTCCAATGATTTGTTTTGTAGATGATTTTTGTTGGGATATAATTGTCTTTGCTGTAAGAATACTTGATCCAGCTGTGAGTCGTATATATTGATCCATTGATGGGAAATAATAACAATCATAAACAAGTCCAAATTTCTTATCTAATTTATTCAACTCATATGACTCGTCTTCTTTTGGGTGATCTTCATTATCACGAGTGTGTAGTATATGGTTGACAAATTCTTCACTATGATACATAGTTAATTCTTTCGCCAGACAGGCAAGAATTTCTATAGTATCATCACAAATCTGATCAAGATTATAGGCTTTGATTAGTCCATAAACTAATGATTGTCGTCCTTTGTTAGACGGAAGCAAATCACATATTTTAGTTGCATTGTCTGATAGTGCTAGATGGACGTGTCGTTGTTTCATCACTGTTCGTTGTGCTACTCGCAGAGATGATTTCTTGTTGTATAATATTTTTTTTTTGATTTTTTCGTTGAAATAAATTGCAAAAACTATTTAAAAATGTATACAAATTAATATACTATAGATGTGATATTTCGTTTCTTACAATATTCCACAATTAATGGTTCTATTTGATTATCCAATTGACTATTCCAATCATCAATACCTTCCTGTTTAAACAATCTATCTTCTTCAGTCAATTCCTGCAACGACATTATACTTTTCTGGTACACCAATTTCAGTTTGATTTGTTTAATTAATATCAAAACCCTGTTCAACTGATTTTGATGTAACAACTCACTAATAAACCCTGCAAATAGTTTCATATCTTCCTCATGAGGACCGGCTTGGTCTAATGATGAACTAACCCAATCATCAATTCTTTTACTTAAATCTCGTGTAGATAATCTTTGATTTAAAAACAAAGGATCATCAACTAGTTTCTCCTGTTGGTTTATCCAAGAATCAGTAATCTCAGTGACTTTTACCTTTGTTTCATCTATCTTTCTCACTAGTTTATCCTTCATGGGTGCTAGATCAAATTTCTTGATTTTCTTTCTATATTCCATATCTTTTAAAACAGATTCTTTAATGGATGATGGTAATTCATTGAGAACAGACGAATCATATGATTGTGATTCTTGATACATAGGTTGTGGTTTTTGCTTTTGTTTTGGTTTTACCGGCAGCGGCGTAGAAGATTTCCTTTTACGGGGAGAAGTTGTGGCCTTCTTTGGAGGAGAATCGACAACACGTATATATTTGGGAGCACTACCCGCTTGGGTTGGTAGCAATTGTTGGCGATAGACTTTTCCCTTTGTGGGACTTGTTTCTGGTATTAAACCACGTCTTCTTAATTCTCCTTTCAACTCCAATTTAATATCATATGGTAAAGCATCAAGTACTTCCCAATCAAAGTTTTCAATGTCAAATGATGGATCAGATGTCGAGATCTTGCTGCTTTTATTTTCTGACATATTCTTCTTGAAGAACAATCTTTCCGGTGTCTTTGGTTTCCCAGGAGATGCATCTTTGGCTATTCTTTTCAACTCATCATTAATTTGCAATTTATCTTTCGCCTTGGCAAATGGCAATCTCATTTGACGGCTGTTCTTCACAGATTCAGTATCCTTCAATTTAGCCATTGTGATAGATACACCACGTAATTCACTAACCTGGATGTTCACTGAACGATAAAGCAGTTTGACTTCATTTCCAATAATACCCCAGTCATTTGTGGGCACCCCTAATCTTGAAGATTTGTTCACATAATCACAATACCCCATTCCTAGAAACTTTGGTGGGTTCACTGGGGCACCGGCAGCTCGCTTAGCCAACCTCAATGATAAACTTGATCCACAAATACCCAACGTTACAAGTCTCTGATATAGCTCTTTGGATAATCGGACAAGAAAATCATCCAATTCTTCAACGGTGTCAAATCTAATACCAAAGTTTACATCAACTGATACTGATTTTCTTCCTAGCATAGCTTCAGGATTCTTTGTATCTATCTCAATTTTGGTTTCATCGATACCTCTGCAATATTCATATAACTTACAACCCGTCTTTTCACCTAGCAGTTCAATCAATGCAGCTTTCAGGAGATGGAGTATATCCTTAATTTCTGGATTCGTTGCACTAGTGTGATTTTGTAGCTTTTCCATAATACCTCTACCAAATCCAGGCAAATCGCGTATTGAAATTGTCTGCAAGAACGACTCCACGTTATCAAATAATTGAAATTGTCCATTTGGCTTTGCTTTTCTGAGAGCTAATTTTGCCAATAATACATTTGTTGATGCTCCTACACTCACAGAACACTTTGTCAATGTGAACACATCCTGACGAATTCTTGATGACAATTCTTCTACTACTGTGTGTATACCCCCAATCTGACTATTACAATATGTCGTTGCATCAACCAATACTTCATCAATCAGAACCGGAAAAATTGAATCAAAGTACTTGCTGGATAACAAATAATTATAAAACTCACTTGAGTATTTCTCATAGCTGTCAAAATCATAGGGTAGTGTTATCAAGTTTGGACACATTTTTTTGGCCAGGCCGAGCCACATACCATTCTTGAGACCAAAACTTCTTGCAACATAGTTACAACTTGCAATGTCAGATGTTCTCCCTCCATGAGTAACAGCAATTGGATGTTTGTTGATATCCAAATCAGGTCGAAGTAAACACGACGCCGTAGCAAAGAAACAATCAAAATCAATATGCATAATAACTTTTTCTTTTACAGAATCAAGAAACGGGTTATCCAATTTGGACTGAGATTGATGTAATTCTTCTTTCACTATTCTTCGTAAAAATTTTAATCTTAAATCTGATTTCCACATACTTAGATGATGTAATCGAGAGTTTTTGAAAAAATTTGGAAGAAAATCTGGATGTCTTGCATCTAATACAAGCTTGTTTCTGACCTTATGAACACCCTTTTGGTCCTCAGTTATTTCTCCTTCGAATACCGAAAGTTCAATATCATCATCCTCATTCTCTACTTTATCAGTAGTTGAAATCACCTGTTCGAGTTCCTGCAGTTTCCTGAAAAACTCATTATTATCATCATCATCATCATCCTCCTGGAGTAACCCATCTCCATCTTCATCTTGGTCTTCGTCAGCTTCGTGGATTGGGTTTTGTTTAATAAAATCCAAACGTTTTTGATTGTATGCCACTTCAGCAATTAATCTATACTCTTTCCAATCTAGCAATTCTTGCTTTGCTACTGAATCCACGATCCATTGAGCTTTAACAACTCGACAATTTTTATACTCAATACTTTTCCTCGGAGTGAGTCTATCACATACAATATGTGTTGCACTTGATTTATTAACTAAATAACTGATGAACTTACCACCATGTAGAATAACTAATCGATGTATTTCATTAATAGATGGATCAGTATGCCCATTGACATAAATAGAACAGCCTTGAAATATCTGTTTGGGTTCGGAATCCAAATTTTGCAACTTCCGTCTTTTCAAGTCCCATTTCACATATTCTTCATCTTGTCTTTGTTGTTTTAGATGTTTTGAACGAAAATAGGTACCATAATCACCAAATTTGTGTAGTTCCCCAACAGATTTCTCAGCCTCATTTTCTTCAGACTCATTTTCAATATCGGCCCGAACCTCTGTGGTCTTACTACCACCAATATTCATTATTTCATCATCCAAACCATCATTAAACGGATCCGAACTAATGTTGCTATTAAAAGACGCGTTTTTTCTTGGAGTGGACACTTCTTGAAAGGAAGGATGAAAGGAAGGATGATGATGATGTAATTCTTGTTGTTTCCCAATATTCTGAACATGAGAAATGAGTTTATCATCATCAAGTGACATTAAAAAGTCTTGATACTGAGATGTCTCAGTAACATCAGCATTAGTAATATCCTCACTATTTGCATTATCCATTAACTAACAGAAGTGAATCAAAGGTGTTAAACAAAGAAACGGTTGGAGAAATAAATACGAAAACTAAAAATATCTTATGGTCGTGTCTGTGCGGTGTTTTCTAAGTGAGAATTTCAAATGACAACAAATGGATCACTGATTACATTTTGTACAAAGTGTTTGATACATTTTCATTTTTTTTTTTTTCGTAGTTTTTTTTTTATTATTTTCAAACTTTTGCTTTTTCTATTTCACAAACTACAATTACTAGATTCTAGATAGGATTTAACGGATTATATTTAAGAATGGTATGTACAGTATTAGATTGTTGCATCTAGGAAACATTGGATCATTGGTGAACTACTACCAGTTGTTTTGATGAGAGGAAGAATAATAATAATATAGACGAAAATGAAGAGGAGGAGGAAGAAAAAAAAAAGAAAAATTAGTCTGGTATTAAAGTTGCTGTGTTTCAGGTACATGAAATAGTAAAGTTGTTACTAACACAATTGTCGTTCCTTATAGGCTGAAAAATTATCTGAACAACAAATTGCTGAATTCAAAGAAGCTTTCTCTTTGTTTGACAAAGATAGCGATGGCAAAATCACCACCAAAGAATTAGGTACAGTCATGAGATCTTTGGGTCAAAACCCATCTGAAAGTGAGTTGACTGATATGATCAACGAAGTTGATGTCAATTCCGATGGTTCCATTGATTTCCCAGAATTCTTGACCATGATGGCTAGAAAAATGAAAGATACCGACTCTGAAGCTGAAATTGCTGAAGCTTTCAAAGTTTTTGACAGAAATGGTGATGGTAAAATCAGTGCTGCTGAATTGAGACACGTTTTGACTTCAATTGGTGAAAAATTATCTGATGCTGATGTTGATCAAATGATCAAAGAAGCTGACACCAATAATGATGGTGAAATTGATATCCAAGAATTCACCCTGTTGTTAGCTGCCAAATAAACGAATTAACTGAACGAATTTTGTTTGATTTATACAAGTTTTTATCTTCTTTCATTATATTTTTTATTTTTATTTAATACCAGGTGTCTTTTCTTTTGTGGTTAACTGTCTATTCGGTAGTTGCTCTTGAATAAAAAGAGCGAATTCTTTCTTGTTGATGAAAACCTCAGCAGAGCACTACTGGAAATAACTAAGCGGAAACAATATCGGCTATCTTTCAATAGCGTTCTCCTATGTATCTATATAGTCTCTATTGAACACTGTTTCATTTTGTTTTATTTTTTTCCTAATGGTCCTAATGGTCCTAGTTGTTATTACTGTAGACTGGAATCAGTGTGCATCAACTTTAACTCAAGGCATGATCTCAAGTTCTGGTAGCCAAAGGAGGAAAAAAAAAAATCTCGAACTCACAGACAACCAGATCGAATTCCATTATGGAATCAACAAACAATATAGCCCTAGCTATTTATCAATTCAATGGATACAAATCCTCCCAAGTCCAAATCATCTTTACGAAGAGGTAACTTTCTGAGAAAATATGTTCCTCCACACAAGGCCAAATCACGTAATCCAAGCAAGGAAGTTCAAGGGACAACAACATTTGATTCAAGTGTCAATTTAGATGCCGAGGAAAGGGAAAAGGCTAGAAAAAGACTTGCGAGGTTTTCTAAACCAAAGACACCACCAAAACCAGAGTATGGGCTTTTAAGTAGAGGAGATGACACAAGACTTCGGGATAATGAGCATGACCGACTAGAGTTTTACTCACGAATATTATATCGATTCATCCATTTTTGTTCAAACAATACCCCGGGAAGTTTGCAAGACAGTTTAACAAGACTTCTAAGTGAAGATGAATTTAAAACGGCTGATTCACTGGAGATGTTGGATGAGAACAACAATGAAGAAGTTACTATGGATTCAATTCTCATGTCACTCCGAAAACTTCGCGAAGCACTATTAAGAAACGCACCCAGCCCATTTCACAAGAAAGTTTTCATGTTTTCGGTGAGGATTTCTACACTGTTTGGTCATTATCAAACTTATGTGCCTAGTATAAACTATTTGATTCGACATAAGGATGCCCTTGGGCTCTCTGAACAAGAGTTTGAGGAAGTAGTAACCATACTAATTCTACATCTTGTTCATGTCAATGAGGATGTGTCGCATGCTATAAATTTATATTTCAAGTATATTCCTCAGAGATGGGAAATATTAAAAATAATCCAAAGTTGGATTCACAAGAATTACTGTCAATGGATTAAGATTTACAATGAAGAACGTAATGATTCGGTGTTATCAATGATGAGGCTTGGATATGATAAAATGGTTTTGAATCTAATTTCAGGAGTCAATTGTTTATATTACACACTTCCAAAAGCAGACTTGGAGGAGAGTTTCTTGCCGCATGAACTTAAGTTTGAAGATCTCTCAACCAAGTACGATGTAGGCTGGAGGCTTGATGATGATGGTCAAACTGTGATAATCAGAGAAAGAAGAAAACGAACTACTGTGTAGATGCAATATAATTCACAAATAGATATACTCTCTTGAGGATATAAAGCCATACACCCAGTAATTGAACCCTTTAACCAAGTTTTGAAATACATATACGAATAACACAGTAGGAGAAAAAACTCGGTCGGTGCCAACTGAAACAATGAAACAAGAAGGGGAAGAACAACAACAACAACAACAACGGCAGCAGCAGCAGCAGAAAAAAAAATATAATAATAAAAGGTGACAAAAAAAATTTATACTCTGTTAAGGAAAAAGAAAAATCTTGAGGGGATTCAGATAAGCATTCAACTGTAACCACTTCTTTCTATATAACAAACCCACATATTATTCAATCTTCAATAGAAAATCACAATGGCCAGTATAAACCTGTCTAATGAATCACACTCAAAACTTCCTGATATAATAAAGATAGATGATATTACCTCGGGAAAAATAGATCCACAGTTGATATATGATGAAATAGACCGATTAAAAGCAGAGATTAATATATTAAGAAATGATATGTCCCTTTTCCTCAAGGCTTTGGCCACCATTCCAGCTAATCAATCACAACTGGAATATTACAAATTGGTGGTTTCACGATTGAAAACTGTCCAAGCAAGCATCCGAGAATACTGTGAAAAGTATAATAAATTATTACCTATAATCAACCTTGCTCAGATTAAACTAGGTCATGAGGTAGAAGCTCCGCCGCCGAATAAGGTTAAGTCAGAAGCATCTACTACAAATAACACTCCAAATTTGGGTAACAAGACAACTCCAATAATGGGTCATAGCTCGGCTCCAATGAACAACAATTCTAATAATGCAGGAAACTACCAGAGTCTGAACACCACATCGGGAAAAGCATCCAAAAAGACATCCAAGAAAGCTTCTGTAAGTAAACAAGGTATGGGATCTAGTGCATCACAGCCGATTGTTATCTGATGCCGTGTTATTTGATTTTGAAAGTTTGAAAGAAACAGAGATCGTCATTTTCGTCCGCCCGTCAGACTACTATAGTATATTTTTTTTGTATTAATCAAGTGAATTCGTAATATATACACCAGAATTTGTCATAATTGAACACTACTTGGTCTCTGCATACCGTTTCATAACTCATTTTCTACGACGCCTCTATGAATTATGTTGTCACATTACATCTACTTACACTGCGCCATTACTTCATAATATTGAAATGCGCACGACTTTAATAGAATTGCTATTTTCATTATTTTTATTCTTCGAATTGTACGATCGAGTGAAAGAGAAAAAGGCGTCCAATACCGCGACGGAATAAAATTGTGCAACCCCCCCCCCAAAGGCTTACAAAAAAAAAAAGATAAAAAGATAAAAAAGACTACTTTAGTTACTCTTATTCAAGTTGACAGTTTTTTATCATTTATCAATCAACAAATTGCATTTAATTATAGATATATCCCAATAATTCTTAACCAATGTTTGAATCACTTGTGGCAAATTTGCTAAATCGGGTGTTGGGATCATATATAGAAAATTTTGATCCCAACCAATTGAATATTGGAATATGGAGTGGTGATGTCAAGTTGAAGAATTTACGATTGAAAAAAGAAAGTCTTGATAAGTTCAGATTACCAATCGATGTTAAATTTGGTCATTTGGGTGAATTGACTTTACAAATCCCATGGTCAAATTTAAAAGGCAAACCAGTTAAAATCATTGTGGAAGATTTATATTTGCTTGCCTCACCTATTATTTTACAAGATTATGATATAGAAGAAGAAAAAAAGAGAGAATTCACCCTTAAGAAGGAGAAACTAGATGAATTGGAAACTTTCTTAGAAGCAAAGAGTCAGGAATTGGGTACTGATCTAGAAAATGAAACATTTGTCGAATCTTTGCTCACTAAAATCGTGGACAATTTGCAAGTCACAATTAAGAATATTCATGTCAGATACGAGGATGATTCATTGTTGACAGAATCGCCTTATTCCATTGGATTTTCCTTGGAAGAATTATCAGCTGTGTCGACGGATGAAGATTGGGTTCCTTCTTTCATTAACATAACTCAGGTGCTTACAAGAAAGTTGCTCACATTGAAGGATCTTTCTTGTTATATGGACACTCAAGACACTAAATTGTATTCCCATCTTAGTCGTGACGAAGTATTGACTGCATTCCAACAGACTATGACTGATGTTGAATATTTGCTTAAGCCGGTTACTGGTAACGGTAAAGTAACTGTACACAAATTAGGAACAACCGAGAAAATCCCCCACATAGACTCGGATTTGTACTTTGAAGAGTTTGGGGTTGAATTGAACTCTCAGCAATATCAAGATTTATTGTGGACAGCATCCAAGTTCCATTGGTTTATGAAGACAGAAAAATTTAGAAAATTCAGACCAAAGTTACCTCCAAGCGAAGCACCAAAGGCATGGTTTAAGTATGCAGCCGAGTCTGTTTTGAATGAAATCCATGAACGAAACTACAAGTGGAGTTGGGCCTATTTTGAAAAACGTAGAGATCAAAGAATCCAATATATTCAATTGTGGAAACTGAAGCTCAAGGGTGAATTAACTACGGAAAAGCAAACCGAATTGGAAGACTTGGAAAAGGAGTTGCCTTACGATGATATTAAATTATACCGATCTTTGACTAGAAGTGAATTGAAGAAATCCAACCAACAAGTTTCATTGTATGATACCCCTGCTAAGAAGCAAGCATCAAATCAATCTAGCGGTGGCTGGTTTTCCAGTTGGTGGGGAGGAGGAAACAATACCCAAAAACAAGTGGTGGCGGATGGCAACAGCAACAACAGCAACAACAATGACGACAACAACAAGGAATCAGATGAAAACAAGCAAATTGATTTGTCATTGACTGACGCTCAAAGAAAAGTACTTTATGATGCCATTGATTACGACGAAAACTCTGCAGTATGTGTCGATCTTCCAAAAGAATGGGTGAAATTAAAAGTATCAGCTCGATTAGATAAAGGTGGTTTGACTATTAAAAGTGATAAATCAACAAATTTGGCTGAAATTGTGTTTGAAGGATGTCTGGCCCAATTCTTGGAGCGTCCTGACTCATTTCTCTCCAAATTTCAAATGGATGAATTTAGAGTTGAAGATGGAACGGGGACTACACTCTATAAGCATATTGTGAAGGTTCAAGAAGGTGAAGGAACTAAAAATGATACCTCAGATGATCCCTTCTTACTGTTGGCATTTGAGAAAAACCCGCTTGACCAATCTGCAGATTCCAGTTTGACTGGGAAATTAAAATCTATGACTATTTACTATAACCCCAAGTTTATTGAAGAGATTGTGAAATTTTTCACGCCTCCTAAAATCCATCTCGATACAGTTGGTGCTTTGATGAATGCTGCTGAATCTACTGTGGAAGGTTTGACTTCTCAAACAAGAATTGGATTAGAGTATGCGTTGGAAGAACATAAAACAATGAACGTAAAATTGGATTTGCAGACTCCGTTGTTGATTCTTCCACTTGATCCATCAAGTAATAAATCCCCAGTTGCTATCTTGGATGCTGGTCATATTAGTGTCACCAGTGATTTGGTCGATAAGTCAATAATCAAAGAATACAAAGAGAAGGAACAATATTCAAAAGAAGATTGGGAAACATTAAGAGAATTAATGTATGATAAGTTTCATGTGAATTTGGAGGATGCTAGATTTTTGGTTGGTAACAACATTCAATCAACCATGTATCAGTTGTCGTCGAATTCTAATGTTAGATCTGATTATATTCTAGACACGTTTAGTGTTGGATTACTTTTACAGATCTCTATTCTTCCTGAGGCACAAAATTTATCTAAAATAAGACTTGGTGGAAAAGTGCCCAAAGTTGCATTGTCTTTGAATGATGTTCAGTATAAAACATTGATGCAGATTATTGACGCAGCTGTTCCAAATACTGAATTAGATACTTCAGATGACTCCAGTGTATTCAAAGCATTTGGTAATGGGGAACCATCTGGAGAGTTTGACATCGAAGAGAGCACTCGAATTTCAAACATTCCAAAACAATCAACAAATAGTGACCAACACCAGTTTGAGTTTGACTTTAATGTTGAACTTATCCAAATATCACTTTCAAGATGCATTGATCCGATTACATTAGAAGCAGAGCCAGTGGCTGATATTATTGGAGAATCTTTCAATTTGAATGTTGCCAAAACATTAACTGATATGTTCGTTACATTGAATGTTTTTGATATTAGCCTTTTGGATCATATTGAAAAGTCGGGTATTCCGGAATTCCAGAAACTTATTTCATCAAGCAATGAGAATGAGTCCAAAAATTTACTTGAATTGAAATATAGCAAGAAGCAAAGACTAGTAAATTTCAATAATAAGAGAATTGAAGCATTTGACCAGGATGTAGATTTGCAAATTGCGGTGGTGAAATTTGTTGTCACAAGAAAGTCATACTTGAGTATGTTGAATTATATTTTGAACACATTTACTGATCCGAATGCAGCCCCAACTCCAGCTGATGAATTGAATCACAACTCGGAGAATGAAGCTGCATCTCCTCAAAAGATTAATGTGAATGTTGGTTTAGAAAGTATTATATTGGTTTTAAACGAAGATGGTATAAAATTGGCTACGTTTCAATTAAGTGAAGCGCAGATCAACGTGCATTTATTACCAGAATACATGGATGTTCAAGGTAAATTAGGAGGGTTTTCCTTACATGATGAAGTTAACATAGGTTCACCAAGAGATTCAGGAATGAGAAACCTCATAAGAATTGATGGAGATAACTTGGCTAAGTTTTCGTATAAAACTTATGATTGTGCAACTGAAACCAAACCTTCTGTTGTCGAGTTTGAAACAGGTGCCATGACTATTAACTTTATTGAAAGCTCGTTCAACAGAATTTTGTCGTACTTGAGCCAGTTCCTCAAAATGAAAGCGGTTTATGATAGGGCTCGAGAAGCGGCGATAAACCAGGCTGCTCAAATTCCTGCAAAATTGTTGTTTAATGTCTTGGTTCATGCTCCGACTATAGTATTCCCATTGTATGGTGAGAATACTAACAAAATGATTGCTGACCTTGGTGAAATTTATGCCCATAATAAATATTCTGGGGATATCAATGTGATAGATTTTGGTATAAGAAATGTAAGTCTTTCATCTGATTTGGAATTTGGAGACGAAATTAAACAGCATCTGCATATTGTTGATGATTTGGATTTGGGATTCAAAATTGATTATTCTGAGGACTATGTCAAAGGAACACCAACGTTTGTTGTCAAAGGGGAATTGCCAGAGCTTGATATGCATTTGACAGAAGTGCAATTTAATCTTTTAACCAAACTTTCTGATTCCATAAGTAGAGCATTCAGTTTTGAAGAATCAGAGGCAAGTCTTGAAGCTGTTGAAGAAGATGCTGCTTTTGCTAATGAAGTTCTTAAACATAATACCAGATTAATACAAGGTGAAGGTAATACATCAACTAGAACACAGGTTCAATCTACAGAGAATGCATCTGAACAGCAGCAAAATACACAACCGCAACCGAACTCGCAGGATATTCCTGCTGATCATCAAATGGTTGACTTGGAGTTTGATATCCCACGTGTTGCCTTAACGATATATAATCGAACTGAAGGTGTTTGTCTGTTGGGCGAGTGTCCATTGTCAACATTTGCTATGAATCAATTGGTGTGCAAATTTTCCATGACTCAAGATACACATTTTGAACTGAAGTTGAAAATTAAGTCATTTGTCGTGCAAGATGTTCGAAAGAATACTGAAAGTAAGTTCCCAATTATCATTCCAGCCGTTGAAGGCGTTGAAGATCAATTTGATATAATGGTTAGTTCAGATGGTCCAAAGGACAATAGAAACATAACTGTGATGTTAACTGTAGAGAAACCAAGAACAATTCTAGCACTTGATTATTTATTTGAGTTACAAGTATTTTTCAACAAGGCTACAGAAACAGGTACAAGCGTTGTTCCAGCAACACAGCATCAAAGAAGAAAATCACGTGCTTCACTCACATCCAATTCTGCAAGAATTGAAAATACATCTAGTGACGAACACAACCCACATGAACCTTCCAAGTTGGGATTCTCCATTAATATCGTGGATCCATCGGTTATTTTACTTGCAGATGATTCTAACGAAAGCACGGAAGCTGTGGTTTTCAAAGTTGGACAAATTTTAATTACTCAACAGAATGTTTTATCGTTGGCCACAAGTAATATTGGAATGTATTTAATGAGTATGAACGAACCAAATAACTCGAGTTATAGAATAATTGATGATTTTTCCATTTCCTTTGCATTGGATTCACGTGGATCAACACCAACTGACTTTTTAACTAGTATTCAAGCTTCAGTTGATCCATTACTTATCAGAGTTTCACTTAGAGATATTAGATTGGCGTTTGGAATTTTCAACAGAGCTAATCAGTTGTACATCAAACATCAAGGATTAAGCGATACAGGCAAAGATGAATTTAATGAGTATGAACTTTCTAAAGATATCAAGAGAAGATTATCCCTGTATGCACCAAGTATAATCTCAACTATATCCGACGAATTGCACATTGATCCAGTTAATGAGTTACCTGAAGGGGTAGCGATTGTCAAGGGAGAAGAATTCAATGCTAGTTTTGGTGGATTAAGATTTGTTTTGATTGGTGAAGTTTCCGATTTACCTGTAGTAGATTGGAATGTCAAACCATTTGAAGTAAGGGCTATCAACTGGTCAACAGATTTGAATGCTGAGGTTCATTTCGAACAATACATAAATGTATTTAGTTATTCTAAATCTGCTTGGGAACCATTAGTTGAGCCATGGCCAATTGCCATTTATGCATCCCAAACAAAGCACCCAAAGCCACAATTGCTAGTTGAAATTATATCCCGAGAACTTGCACAAGTCACACTTACATCGAGATCAATTGTTTTGCTCTCCCAAGTATCCGATTTGATTACATCTGATGTCAAATTGAAACCAAGAGGTGAGGATTATCCATACCTTTTGGTAAATGAAACAGGATTTGATTTAGAAGTTTGGTCCAGTTCAAAGGAGGATACTTCAAAAACTCCAATCAAGTCGGGGTCTTCTATCCCTTGGAGCTTTGAAGATTGGAGAGAAATTCGTGAAAATTTAGATGCAGATATTGCCAGTTCGTTAGATATTCGTTTTGTTGATTCTCAGTTTCAAGATGTTCTGGGAATTACAGCATCGAGTGTGGGAGAAGAGTTGTATGTTATCAAACCACCTGTTGATGGTATCCATAACAGATTGTCCGTTGATATCGTGTTACGTGAAGATTATGTCAAAGTAATTAAATTGAGATCAACTGTGGTATTAGAAAATGACGCAGATATCCCGATCATCGTAAAAGTTAATGATCCAAATATGGAAGAAACTGAATTAGTCATTGATTCAAAACAATCTAAAGCTATCCCTATAAGTTCTGTTTATCAAGGTAGAGTAAGAGTTAAACCTAAGTTATATACACCTTATGGATGGTCAGAGCAGCAATTATACTGGAAAGATGCTGCAAGAGGTTGTATCTCGTTAAGCTGTCCAGCAGAGACTCGTGGAGATAAATCGATATATCATTTCCAAGTGGAAGCTAATTATAACAAAGATGAGCCGTTAGCACGTGTATACCCTCACATGAAGATTGTTATATCCGCACCATTAGAAATCGAGAATTTGTTACCGTTTGATTTTAACTACAGGTTGTACAACCAAAAGACTAAGAAAGAGTGGACTGGTTCTGTTTCTAAAGGTGTAAAGAGCTATGTACATGTTGTTGGTTTGGATAGCGTTTTACTACTCAGTGTTGAGCCAACCAGTAGACAATGGGAGAAATCTGAGTTTGCCATCATAAATCAACCAAAGAAAGATGATTTCGAAAGGGAAAATACATTATTATTACGTGATGTGCATAATCGACTTTTGCATTTGAAAATATACTACCCAAGAAAGCAGTCAGATAGTACCAGTTTGAAAGTTGTGATATACTCACCATATGTCATTTTGAACAGAACCAGTTTGAATTTGGTGATCAATGATCGTGGAAGCCAAGTTGAGCTGTTGGCAAGAACCAATAACGGAGCTAGAAATGTAGCTCCTTTTATGTTTTCCTTTGATAAAGATGATGATACCAAAAGCCGTGCAACTATTAAAACTGATGATACGGCATGGTCACAGCCAATGAGTTTCAAAGCTCTTGGCCAGGCAAATGAAATAAAGTTACAGGTTCTTGGCAAACAAAGGGAAGTCAATCTCGGTATTTCTATTTCAGAAGGTGAAGGTAAATATAACTTAACAAAAGTTGTAACTATTGCGCCTCGATATGTTTTTATCAATAAGTTGAAGGAAGAGTTGCATATTACAGAAGTTGGTACTACTAAGCAAATACCTGTTGAAGCTGGAGGTTTGGTTCCACTCTATGGATTGCGTTGTATGGAGAAGAAAAGTGTTACAATGAAATTTGCACAAGGTACTGGTTCAATGTCTTGGTCACAGCCATTCTGCATAGATGATGTTGGACAGTTGTTTATTAAAGTTCTCAAGAAAGATGTGGGTCAAATTTTAGTGAAATGTACTATCATGTTAGAAGACGCTACTATTTTCATTTATGTTGAAGATGGAAATGATCAGTGGCCATATTCGATTAGAAATTTCACGAATGAAGAGTTTTATATTTACCAGAATGATCCTAATATCAATGCCAATGGTGAAGTGATTAAAAGTGAAACTCCATATAAGCCTATTTACTACAAGATTCCACCGAAAAGTGTCATGCCATATGCGTATGATTATCCAAATGCTATTATCAAGGAGATCATTGTGAGATCTCATGGTAGAGAACGTGCTATTAGTCTTGCTGAGATTGGTAATTTAAAACCTTTTAGGCTTCCAACCACACAAGATCGTCAACAATGTATTGTTGATCTCAATGTTGTTGCTGATGGGCCTACACAATCATTGATAATCAGTAATTATGATGCATCAACTAGTCTTTATCAATTGAAGGGTCATGTTTCCTCGTCATCAACTTCGGTGGCAACTTCTAATGCCGCTGGTCAATTTGAAGTTATTGAAAATGATGAAAACTATCACACAAAGATTGTAACAAAGTTTGAAGGTTTTGGATTTTCGTTGATTAACACCAGAGATCAAGAATTGTGTTATATCACATTGAAGGGATTGGAATTTAGATATAATGAGTCTAATTTGTATCAAACATTTAGTGCCAAGTTGAAGTGGATTCAAATAGATAATCAATTATATGGTGGTATTTTCCCGTTAATTTTGTATCCAACAGTTATTCCAAAGACTGGTAAGGAATTGAATAGTCACCCAGCATTATCAGGATCAGTTTGTTTATCAAAAGACGATACTCATGGTGTTTTGTTTATCAAGTATGCAACTTTATTGTTACAAGAGATGACACTTGAGATTGACGAGGATTTCTTGTATGCCTTGTTAGATTTCTCCAAGTTCCCTGGTGCATCATGGAATAAGGAACATGTTGATAGGTTATGTGATGACACTTTGAATATCCCTGAACCTTCCAAACTTGGTGATACAAGTGATGTTTATTTTGAAGCGTTGCATCTTCAACCTATCCAAGCCAATTTGTCATTTGTTAGAACTGAACGAGTCAATGCTGAAGATAAGATTGCTTCTCAAAGTACTGTTATGTTTTTTGTTAATGTATTGACCATGGCTATTGGTAATATTAATGATGCTCCTATCAAATTGAATTCATTGTTCCTTGAGAATGTGAGAGTTCCAACACCAATATTGATTGATTCTGTTCAGACTCACTATAGACAGGCGTTTTTCTATCAACTTCATAATATTATTGGTTCTGCTGACTTTTTAGGAAATCCAGTCGGTTTGTTTAATTTGCTTTCTTCTGGTGTTATTGATATTTTCTATGAACCATATCAGGGGTTTATAATGAATGATCGTCCTCAAGAACTTGGTATTGGTTTAGCAAAAGGTGGATTAAGTTTTGTGAAGAAATCAGTGTTTGGATTTTCAGATTCTGTAGCCAAGGTGACTGGTTCTATTGCTAAAGGTTTGTCGGTTGCTACAATGGATAAAGCGTTCCAGGAACGTCGTCGTTTGAACACAAGAAGAAATAAACCTAAACATGCATTGTATGGATTTGCTAGTGGAGCAAACTCGTTTTTTGATTCGTTTTCCTCGGGAATTACTGGTTTAGCTACTGCTCCAATTGAAGGTGCAGATTCGGAAGGTGCTGCAGGATTTTTCAGGGGATTGGGTAAAGGTCTTATTGGATTGCCTACAAAGACCGCGATTGGTATTTTCGATTTGGCTTCTAATGTCAGTGAAGGAATTAGAAATACTACAACGGTGTTTGATGGTGAAGGCTTGGATAAGGTTAGATTGCCAAGATATATTAATCCTAAAGGTATTATTAAACCATTCTCACAAAGAGAAGCACAAGGTCAATTTTGGTTAAACAATATTGATGGTGGTATTTACTATAACCAAGAGTATATTGCTCATATACTATTACCTGGAGAAGAAATGGCTGTATTACTTACCTACAAGTTGCTTATATTATTTGATATTAATACTTTGGTGTCGAAATGGGTGATTCATTTTGAACAAATCAAATCTATTTCTGTTGAACCTACCGGAATCATTATTGATTTACACACAAAGAAAGGTCCATTTGTTCCAATCCCAGATAGATCCAATAGAGTTTTCTTATCTAAAAAATTACAAGTTGCTATTGAGGAATACAACAAGCACTGTCAAATTACACTTTAGTGGGAGGAGATGGAGTTTTTCTCTTTTTGTTGTATATACAAGATTTTGTGTATATTAATGTAATACTACGATTTAGTTTATAAATTGTTTGGGGGTATTTCCAACTTTCCTGTTGTATGAACCTATAAACAGTTCAGGGCTTTCCTCACTTTGTGCTTGCATTTTAATTGATTCTGCAAGGACATAACCTTCTTTAGCTTTAACAATTAATCCTTTTTCACCCAAAGTAAAATCTCCTGGATTTACAAGTGTATTAACTGAATCATCATGATTTATCAACTCACTCACCTTTGAAAGAATAACTCTTTGTTTTTCCATGAATGGTTTTCTCTTTTTGATAAGATTGACACTTATAAATGTATAAATTGGACCTAATGCATCGTAAACTCTTTTAATTTCCCTTGCAGTTAATTCACTCCATAAAGCTTGTGATTTTGATTTATTTATCTTTGGTGCTAATGAAAATTGATAATTGTTTTTAACTGGTGTTGGATTAACAAATAATCCTTGGTGTAATGTATCAACTAACAAATCTCCACCAATCTGGCCAAATTTATTTAATAAAGAAGAAATATTATCGTTGTCTTCTATAGAAACTTCATTTGATTGAAGTAATATATCACCATGATCGAATTTAGTTGGATGTAGTGTTTGTACGGTACATCCAGTAAATTTATCATCATTCAATAATGCAAATTGTAAAGGTGAAGAACCAGAATATTTAGGTAATAAAGATGGATGAACATTCAAACCTCCATATTTACAACTAGAAATAAATTCTGCAGGAATCAAACGACCATACGATACTGCAATTGCTAAATTAAAATGATGACTATTCAAAATATCAAGGATTTCAGATGATGTATCTGCTCTCAAAATAGGAATATTTGATTCTTGAGCTTCAATTCCAATGGGTAGATCTATAAGATTTTTCAAATTTCTACCTGTTGGTTTAATACTTCTAGTGATAACATGGATATTGTCAATTTTTTGTGGATGAGTTGATTGATATTGAGTTAGTTTTAAAAGACTGGCAACACTGAATGTATCACTTCCAAAAAAGGCAATTTTTAATGGATCATAACTTTTGGCATTCCTAGTAGTCAAACTTCTTTTAAAAACCAAAATATGTGCTCGAATCAGTGAAAATTGAATAAAGGATAATCCCATGATAAGATAATTTCATATTCCTGTAACCTGAAAAATTTCACTCCTTGAGCTTACGTTTGTTTTTTTTTAAAAACTTCCTACAATTTTGCCTATTCACACGACTCTCTTTTCCCCTCGGAAATAGTATCGGCTCAAGAATTGATGCAAATTCAAATTTTCAAATTTCTTTTAAAAATTCGGATGTTAAACCAATAGAACCATGAAAACAGAATTTAACAAAAAGTGGAGATGCATATCACTTTAGATAAAATTAAAAAGTAAAGAAATAAAAAATTAAAATAAAAAAAACCTGTTTCTTTGAGGGGCTAATGGAAGAGGCACAACAAGTTAAGAAAAGTTCATTACGAAAAATCAATAAAAAGCCTTCTTTTTATCTTGTCTAGGGGTAAATAGTATAATTAGACCAGAATTATTTTTGATATAATTGTAGAACAGGTAGTTTTGGAGATTAATTTCTAAGAGTGGTTTGAAATAATGGGATTTAGTATTTTGGAGATATTTGAAATAGTTGAAGAAAGGAAAAAATGAAAACTTGAAATGTACTAATGAAGATAGGAAGGGCAGGGGCGGAGATGTGTGAATGGGTCCCGGTTAATCAAGTACTGGTGCATAAATTTGTCTAAATCATATGATACCGTTTAGTTTAATTGTTCCGTTAAGTGCTTTTTCTATTTGCTTACCAATTTTTGTGAATTTTAATTTAAACTAAAAGAATTAAAAGTTAAAAAAAACTGTATTATTAAATGGGAATACATGAACCTAGAATGTGCATATTTTATTTAACAAGGAGTATCCTTCATGGAGGCTTTGATTTTGTTGGTATTCCAAACCAAATAGATTGTTACTATTGGCTGATACGTGAAAAATTATGTAAAATTGCAAAGCCGAACTGGCATGTTTAGTTATGATATTCCGCGTTCATAATTTGTGGAAAAAAATTTAGCAAGTTTAAATACAACCATAACCATGTAACATTGATGTAAGAAATTAATAGGCAATATCAATGGAGTTCTTCTAGATGTCAAAAGAAGAAACACAACACGAACTTGTGTCAATATTCTAAGATTAGTAAGATCTTTAATGGAAAAACGTTGACATATTCCGAGTGCCAAGAAATCGTGTTTTTTTTTTTCTAAGAATTTTTATTTTTCCAGAGAGATACGGGCAAGACGATTATTCCAGATCTCACTTGGAAGCGATGAAGGATGGTTTTTTTGTGTTAATTCTTTCTTTGGTTTACTACACAGATAAAGCAATGAATCACAAAGGTATCATGGAAGTCGATATCTTAATTTACCGATATGTTCTTATAGTTTTTGTGTAGATGTAGGCTATTCAAGAAACACGGTTATAAAGTAAAGGCATTTTTTTAATCAATTCAATCAACCAAGGTTCACGCCCATTCTCCTAACACGTTGATTATGATTAAAATCTTTGTTTCTTTTTTTGGATTCTGAATATCCAATATAATACAAACAAGAACAATGGTATTGTTCACAATCTGTAGCCCGTACCCCTCTCTTTTTCTCCCTTCTACTTTTATGTCCCAGTATAATAATAATAATAATAATAATAATAATAATTAGTTGCATATGTATTATACAATTTTAACTACCGTTAGCAATCAAGTGTTGGGCATTTCTCCCATTGTTTCACAAAACAATTCCTCAGTATCCTATTGGCTTGAACTAAAGGATCGACCTAATTTACCCAATCTTACATCTCTCCGTTCCCAACTGTTAGAACAATAAACAGATGTATTCAGTACATTGGGTCAATCAAAGCATGGCTATCTCTTATTATAATTAACGAATATTTCAAGGCTTAAATATTTGAGTTTTAAAAGAGTAGTTTCATTCCCAAAGTTTAATAGATTCATCAGATAAATAAAAATAAAATAAAAAAAATTATTTACAGGAACTCCTCCTTACTGATTAATCAGATAAATTGTGGTGACAAATAGAATTGCCGTGGAATAGAAATAAAATGCGTGTGTGCCTGGACTTGTACACTTCAATTTTTGCGTCTTGCGTGGTTTTACCACTTTTCTTTTTTTGACATCAAAAGTTATGATACCTATCCAATTTAACAACTTGATTTGTAAGACCATAGGGGATTGCCTCGTGTATATTACTAAATACTATTGAATTGTCGTATTGGTTTCATCTATTAAAGTTCTGATTTGGTCACAAAAGAATTGAAAGTTGAATTAAAAGGGAAAAAGAGGTATCTTTCCAGGAATTTTTGACTATTGTTTCTGCTAAGCCGATATGCATATGTACAATGTATATGATCGTCTATGACTACATATCTTTATGCATGCATAGCTATATGTGACTCTGTATCATCGATCTATCCTAACTACAAAACGCCTATCCTCTCTCATCTGAATCTAGATGTGAGTATAATATGTGCTATTATCCTCCCCTTTCTAGATGTGTTTGTAGTATCAGAACAAAAATTTTTGCATTAACCAAACAGTGAATCATTTCAAAGGAAGATAAGAAAATGGTAGCAATTAATTCCATTGTACTTTTAGTATTTATTTTTATCACATCGACTCAAGCTGTTGGCGACTTTCATATCTACCATTATAGTGAATTTTCAGTTCAAGCATGTTCAGGATATCTTGGTAAATTGGTTACTCTCTTCAACTCCACCACTGATAAAGCTGGTTTCTGTAATGTTAAGAATCAACCTGCATTGGGTACCATGGCTGAATGTATTGAATTGATGCCACGTGAAGATGCCAGAGCAGAATTTTTGAAACTGTGTAAAAAATATAATTTAACTGAAGAAGCTTATTTGGCTGCTTTACAAAATGCTACCGAGTTTGGATTTTATAATACAAGTGCTGATAAAGATTTCAACAAAAAGAAAGTCTTCAACAAACCAATTCTTTTAACAAAAAAGAATGTCCATAAAGCTTTTGATGCAGTCTCCAGTAGATATATCAATTATAATTATTCCCAATGGTTTGGTATTGCGTTATTTTCCTATTGGTTTGGTGTTATGTTTATTGCTGGTATTTGCAATTTGACATATTTTCTTTTCCCAGGCTTCATCAAATCACTTAAAGGTAAGGCTGTTAATTCTTTTAGAAGATATATCACTTTACCTGCATTGTTCAGAAAGACTCATGCTCATCATAGAACAGTGTTAAGATACATTTCTTTTGTTTTCCCAACAAGATTAGAAGCTATTTTGATGTTTGGTTGGTTCACCATGGCTGTTATTATGGTTTGTACAAACTATGTTCGTGTTAAACCAAATTATATCTGGCCACAAAGATGGAATGAATTGGGAAGAAAGATTGCTGATAGAACTGGTCAAATTTCTTTATGGATTATTCCTCCTTTAGTTATGTTTGCTGGTAGAAATAATATGTTGCAATGGATTTCTGGTTGGCAATATTCTAGATTTATTTTCATTCATAAATGGATGAGTCGTATTGTTACCTTGTTGGGAATCACACATTCTGTTGGTATGACATTCAATGGACGTGGTATTGGTAAATATCATGATCGTAATACTAGAGGTTATGTCAGATGTGGGTATGTGGCTATTATTTCCATGGGTTTAATGTGTTTCCAAGGTATGATGTATTTCAGAAGAAGAAACTATGAACTTTTCATTGCCATTCATTTTGTTCTTGCTGCAATTGCAGTCGCTTGTATTTGGGTTCACACAGCTGATAATGGATTCCAAATGTGGATGTTTGGTGCTGTTGGTGTTTGGGGATTTGACCGTTTGATAAGAGTATGCAGATTGTTCTTTTTTGGTATCAAGACTGCTAAAGTGCAATTGATTGCAAATGAAACTTTAAGGGTTTCTGTATCTAGACCAAGTTGGTGGAAACCATTTCCAGGGTGTCATGCATTTATTTATTTTATGAGACCATCTTGTTTCTGGCAATCACATCCATTTACTATTGTTGATTCTGCTCTTGAAGCCAATACTATTACTTTTTACATCAAAGTTAAAGGTGGTATGACTCATGGTTTATACCAATACTTGTCTCAACAACCTGGACAAGCTGCTCAAATTAAGGTTTCTATTGAAGGTCCATATGGTATTAGAATGCCAATTGATAGATTTGAAAATGAACTTTTCATCGCTGGTGGTAATGGTATTCCAGGTATTTATTATGAAGCTGTGGAAATTGCTAGAAGATTTGGAAGTAAACGTAATATTAAATTCTACTGGGTTGTTCGTCATTATCGTTCATTAGAATGGTTCTATCCGGAATTACTCAAGTTGAAAGAATTAAACATCAACCCTACTATTTATGTTACTCAACCACATGTGGGATTAACTGAACCAATAGCTACTGATATAACTGATGATGAAGAAGCTCAAGAACAAGAACAAGAAAAGAAAAGTGATAATGAAGAGAGCATGGATTATGTTTTACAATTGAAAAAGAGCTTGTCATTCATTGAATTTATTGAACATAAACCGGATTTCTATCAAATTGTTGCCAAAGAAATTACTCAACTGCCAGGGCCTTTAGCTATTGCTTCTTGTGCTCATGGTAGTATGGTTGATGATGTGAGAAAATCCGTTGTTGATAACTTGGATGCTAGTCCTTACAGAGTTGAATTGTTTGAACAAATGCAAAGTTGGTAATATCGTTAATAATTAATAACCTAGTAAGTAGATAAAAGAATATATTCATATTATATATCAATCGCCTCTTTAATAATAATAATAATAATAGTAATACTAAAAACCAACATGTTGTCTGCTGTAAAATATCCTCGTGGTCTATTGTCACGTGGGAAATTATTGTGAGCAATTAACATTATGATTCAAACCCCTTAGAGAAAATTATTTATTGCCTGTTTCAGAATATCATTTAAAAAATTTTGAGTAACAAACAAAAATGTTCAATAACAAGAAAATCCTAAAAAAATAAGTTGATGACATCCCTTTCGTTGTCGAAGTGAAAGAGCAATTCCGATGTTAGTGATTGCCCACCTCTTCATTGCCATGTCTTCGTATCAATGATTGGCCAGGATTCAACACTGTTATGAAATTCTTTTAATGAGAGGTTAGACTCCTGTATGTTTGATTGAAAGGGTTTTCCTTTTTTTGACTTGGAGTATTGTGTGCAGCTTATGTAATGGCGCGCGTACTAAAATAATACGTGGTGTGTAATTATTTATTTACAATTTAATTTTTCAACATCAGAATGGAATGTTAAGAAATTAGAAATTGTTCTTCTTCCACCACTTCTATTTAAGTAAATAATAAAAAGAGAACAACTTGTATAAATACTTCCACAATATTCCAAGTTTTGACACCTGATAGAACTTTTTTTTTTATTCAGTACTATTATCATTATTTTCATCATTATCATTTTCCATAATGCCACATAATAAAACCGCAACTTCCGTAACAAAATCACTTATATCGTCGTCTACTTCATCTGCATCTGCATCTCCGTCGTCGTCGGAATCACCAATAGTTAAAAGCATGTTGGGAATAAATGAAGAATACACAGGTTTGGTTATATTCTTTGCTTTATGTTGTATGTTTGTCATATTGACAATTTTCTATTTCCAAGAGAAGGATAACACATTATTGAATTATCAAGTATTGAAACAAACTGAAGATAAAGATTTAGAAGCTCAACAAATACAAGAAGACGAAACTGTTCAAGCCCATCGATGATGTGATTTTTGTAGGTATGATTATTAGAGTTATTTTACACGGTTTCCCCTTTTTTTGATTTCATTTATGTTTATTGTTTAGTATATTGCATTATTTACGGCGTTTGGTTTTTTTTTGTTTTTTGTTTTTTCTATATTTCAGTTTAACAAGGTTTATTTGATTTTTATTTATTGTTTTTGTTTATGTATTCAGTTCTGATTTCACTTTTTATTACTATTTGTATACCCATCTATACGGAAATTAAAATGCGAGTTTATTATTAGTAGTAGTAGTATTATACACGTTCTACTTTAATTTCTACTGGTTTCTCCTTGCTGAAACTTTCCATTGGTTTCATGCCCCATTTCTCTAACATTGCTTTATCTTCATCCCAACCGTTACACATGGTAGTTAACATCTTTTCCCCAGTGAAAATTGCATTACACCCACTCATGAAACATAAGAATTGTTCATGTTCTTTCATGGTGTATCTACCAGCGGCCAATCTAATAATAGAATCAGGCATAATTAATCTAGCAGTAGCAATGGTTCTCAAAATGGAGTCAAATTTCAATTGTCTTTCCTTAGGTGCCTTGTTTAAAACATCAACTATTGGAGTACCTTTAATTGGAACCAATCTATTAATTGGTAAAGATTCTGGATGAGGAGACATGTTTGATAAAGTATGCAAGAATCCAATATGATCATCAGTGGTTTCACCTAAACCTAAGATACCACCAGTACATGCTTTAATTCCAGCATTTTGAACATTCTTGATAGTTTTCAATCTATCATCATAGGTACGAGTAGTGATCACATTTGGATAATGTTCTCTTGAAGTATCAATATTATGATTATAAGCAGTTAATCCACTATCTTTTAAAATCTTGGCTTGTTCTTCATCAATCATACCCAAAGTAACACAAGTTTCCATACCTAATTCATTATTGATTTGTTTAACCATATCACTAATTCTATTCAAAGCCGATTTTCTACCTTTCATTTCTCTAAATGCAGCACCCATACAAAATCTAGTTGAACCATTTTGTTTTGCAATTCTAGCCTTTTCCATAACTTCATCAATATTGACCATCTTTTGAGCTTGGACATCAGTTTCAGAATGACTTTGTGATTGACTACAATAAGAACAATTTTCAGTACAACCACCAGTTTTAATTGATAAAAGGGTACATAACTGAACTTCTGAAGGGTTATGAAACTTTCTATGTTTGATTTGTGCTTGATGAATCAATTCCATTAATGGTGTATGATAAATCTCATTGATTTGTTCTTTAGTCCAATCAGATCTTGGTTGAGATGAAATGGCTAAATCAAATGCATTTGTTGGTGTAGGTGTACTAGTTTCAGCAAAAGATGATGGAATGCTAGCAGTCGAGGAAGACACAGTGGAAGCAACATTGGCACTACCAGAAGCTAAACTTCTTAATGAAGTACTTAATAATCTTCTTGAAATCATTGGATTAGTGATTGATATAAACGAAGGAGATACGATGAATAAAAGTAATTTAACAAAAAATAAAATAAAAAAAAAAAGAAAAAGTTTAATATAACCAACTCCTTTTTATCTTATAGGTGTTGCTCAATATCTCATTATTGGGATAGGGAGGTTATGCTCAACAAAAATTGAATTAAATTGACTTTTGCAGTATGACTCGTGACTCAATTGTAACACAAATTCAAAATTAAATCCTACCAATAAATTAATGCGAAAAAGTAAGATAAAAGTTCTAGGGCTGTAGCCCTAATGGCTCACGTGAGATGATTCGGAGTCATGATTGTCTGTTCGCACTTTTTGATATCCCACACGACTAATAGAAAGAGATGTGTTGTTCTATGCTTCGCGCACTGTACGACTGCAATTCGAATAAAAGAAAAATAAAAATATCAAAAGTGAAAAATTTACTTCTGTTACTATTTTCCTTATCCAACTCCAATATAATCAAAAATGGCTCCAATTGTATGTATTATATGTTTAAAATAACTACTTCATCAATTATAGTTTAGATAAGCAACAAAACGAGGATGAGTTTTACTCTTCCCTGGTTGTTATTCTAGGTGTATTTTTTTTTTTGATTTTTTTTTTCCACCAATTCTAGGTATAAGACTTCTAGTACAAAATATTACCCTTAAAACAAATTAGGGGAATGCTTTGCTGTCTTACGGGAAAAAAATATGTTTCTTATTTCTTACTATTTATATTGTGAAGATAGAGAACACATTTTTTCAACCAATGTGCGGTAGGCTAACCTTTTTCTAATATTTAGACCACTAAGAAATCCAAAGCTGCTAAGAAATTTGTCGTTGACACTTCTGCTCCAGTTGAAAACGGTGTTTTTGACCAAGAAGGTTACGTCAAATACTTGGTTGAACACATCAAAGTTGAAGGTATCGTTGGTAACTTGGGTGATGAAATCTCTGTTACTGCTGAAGGTAACAAGGTTGTTGTTGTTTCTAACACCAAATTCTCCGGTAAATACTTGAAATACTTAACCAAGAGATACTTGAAGAAAAACCAAATCAGAGATTGGATCAGATTTGTTGCTGTTAAACAAAACCAATACCAATTGCAATTCTACTCCGTCGCTGAAGATGAAGAAGAAGAAGACGAAGAATAAATTAGTCACTAGTTTATTATCGGTTTTTTTCATTTCATTTCAGTTTACATCAAAGGATTTTTTTTTTTGATTTGTTTAATAGGGTAATTTGTATTTAGGATTTTCTTTTATTATAATGTAATTTTAATATCTGCTTTAGAAAACAAACAAGAAAATACTTTAATAATATTGTTTTAACATTGTAGTCTTATTGATGAGATATAGAGATGCTCATCAGGAGGGGAATGTGTGAATTCTCGTGTGCTGATTGTTCATTGGCGGTAGATTTTAACCACCATTTCCCCTCATTGGAGTGAATATTACGTCGATTCAGGTGATTTTCACCGCCATGGAAATTCATCATCCATTGTAATGTTTTCCCCGGGAGTTATACAAACAAAGTAACTATCACAAAACGAATGTTAGTTTCCAGAATTCTTCTTGAATTTCCTAATTCCGCAAATCTCTGTTTCTGAACATATGTCAACTACACGTGTATGGAAACCAATTGTTTGTATTTGGTCTTGTCCTTGTGGTTTTCAGTGTAAACCCATTTCGTCTTTTTTAAATCGAAATCATTAAATCATTGATGATCTCTAAATTACTGTTGTTAAAACGTATTTCTTGTTGTACAGCAGTTACTAACTACAATAAATAATTGTTATTAATTAAACTCCATCCCCCCAATGTGGGGTATAGTACGGTAGTATGTTACAGCAATCTATAAAACTCTCAAACAAAGCTTGTTGTAAAGCACCAAGTGGAATCAACTGCAAAATAACTTAAACCGTTTATAATAAAATATGACATGTTCATGAGCAATACTACTGCTACTACAACAACAACGAAAAAACGTGATAATCTTTAGAATGAACTAAAATCTAGTGGTTTACGAATCACTATGTGCAAGAGGTGTGGAGAAGTAGGTTAAAAATAAAGTATCAACAACAACAGTTAACGTTTGCTATTAGCAAAAAAAAAAAAGCAATGTTTGATATTTACATTTGATGTCATCTCATCTCTCATGTAATTATATGTTTCATCTCAATGATGGCAATGTTTATTCTACATAGTTCCGATTGAAATGATCTTGTTGATGATCAACCTGAAATGAAACCAAAGTAATGAATAAAAAAAAAGGAAAATGAATGCAAATGTGGGGAAACTGAGAAAATCCAAGTTGCACTAAAACCAAAAAAAAAACAATGTATCACAAAAATTGAGCACTAGACAATTTCCGGAACACACTACAACTGTAGATTTTTCCCATTCCACACCAACAACAAGTATTTCGATGGTGTTCATCTCCTGGGTGGTAATTGTGATAATAGAAACTGAATAATGTATATGTATTAACTTTTTGAAGCGATACTATATACATAACTTATAACATCAACTCGATTACCCCCGTAAAAGCAAGAAAAAAAAAACTGCAAAAAACAAAAAAATATAAAAAACAAACAATAACCAAATAAATAAATAATGCAACTATAATTTTTATTTTATATAAATCTTTCTCCCCATCTAATTCTCTTTGTCAAAAAGGAACAAGGGAATGAATCACCAACTCATCTCTGTTAAACAAACAAGTACTTTTTTATCCCTGTGTGTAAGGACATAACGAATCAATTTATGTTGTTGTATAATTTATGTCTGAAAGAACAGGAAACGATATTGTATTTATGTATGCAATTATTAACAAATTCAACAATTAAATCAATAAACAAGATCATAAATAGCACAATGTTCATCATATAATATATAAACAAATCTAATAATCCATATGCATTTTCAGTTAAAGTGTCATTGGTTTTGGTTTTGGTCGATGTTTCGCTGGAAGAACCATTCAGTTCAGTATAATCTTCTAATTTCTTAGTTAATGTAGTTAATACAGACATATTAAATCAAATAAACTTATAGTAGTAATGAATGTGATGATGATAATAAAACAAGTGAAAACAAAAATGTCAAATCATTAACTATTCCTTCCTTCCCAAAATAAAAGAAAAAAAAATTGCAGACGAATTGTGTATGTATTTATATTTGACTATTTTTTTTTTTGGTTTTTATGTTTTGGAACCAACTGGAGAGTGTGTTACAATGTGTTTCTGTTTCAGGCAGTAGCAGGTTTCTTGTTCAGTTTCATGCATATAAAGTATAGTAGAAAAGTATAACCGTTGATGCGTTTTAGTCGGAATTATCCAGAAACTCCGTGACTATATCATTGTAAGATAGTCGTGTACTTTGGATTTTAACTTTTGACTAATTTCATTTATTTTTCCTTAAACTGTCATTACGTAATAATACTAGAAACACTAACCAAAGATATGTGGAATTCATAACCTTTACCCCCCTTTTTTCCACTTAGTAACTGTTTATTACTTATTTTTGTTGATTTTGATGTTCATTAGCAATCAAAGGTTGGCTTGTTTTTGGGTTCTGATATTTATTCAGAAATGAGTGGATATCATTTGAAAAAAAAAAAAGGTGTTTGTTTATCAGAGTATCGAAGCCGTTTGCCACATTTTCTTAACTTTTTTGAGTTGTCATTATGAAATAAAAGTAAGATAAGAACTTTAAACACTTGTTAAACATCTAAATTATCAGATGCCATTATAGTAGTATGGTAAAGATTTGCATACTTACTATCGTGTAACAACTGAGTCTCAAACACCACAATCACCACATTGTGGTGTATATGAGTGTTTTCTCTTACACAAACAATGATGAACAAGTGGCGCTTGTAACAACTGATAACCATCACACATTCTACCGCTTCTAGACTCTTGTTTAGGGTTATATTTGCACAACGGATAAATCTTTATCATGGAGTTAATATGCATGCTGTACACAACGTTGTTGATCTTATTCCATATTGTTCGTAGTTGCAAATTATCTGCAGTTCATCAAAGAAAAAAAAAAAATCATATGCAACCGTTAGACACAGTATTTTTTTGGTTTTGTTTGCACGACCCAGGATAGACGGCTGCGCTTATATTCTCTATTCCTATTTCTTACAAACTATACTAAAATTTAGTGCTTGTTATCTATTAATGTTTTACAATCTATTTGTTGTATGTATAATACACTCCCTGTTCTACTGTTGCTCTTTCTTCAATTCACTCTTAACCCAGCTTTCTAAACCTCCTTTAACAATAATGTCTTGTAAATTAGTACCCAATTCACCAACTTTTTGTTGCAATACAACATCACCATTGGAATCAGTAACAGTAACTTGAGCTTTAGTGACATCCCATTTCAAAAACCATCCGGTTCTTAAAGTTAATTCTTGACTATCAGCATATTTTTCTCTTAATTTATTAATCAAATCTGGGATTTCTAATGTTAACAATGCATTATTAATAGCATTTCTACCGAAAATATTACCAAATGAACCAGCAACAACTAATTTCATTCCACGTGCCAAGATACAAGTAGCAGCTTGTTCTCTAGAAGAACCAGTACCAAAATTGAAACCGGAAATAATAATATCACCTTCTTTAGTTTTAGTTTTAAATTCTGGATCATAATTTTCCATACAAACTTCAGCCATTTTAGATTTTGGAATATCATCTTGATAAGTGTATTTACCTGGATAGATACCATCAGTGTTGATATTATCGGCATCACACAAGATTAATTCACCTTCAATAGATTGTGGGAATCCAGGCAAGATCTCTACAGATCCAGAAGCATCTTCTTCGGCAGCAGATTCTTTGGGTTGAGTAATTTCAATAGATTTGATGATTTCTGGTGAGTCAGCAACTGGTTTGCCAGCTAGTTCTTCAACACCACCAATTTTACCCAATACAGCAGAAGCAGCAACAACTTCTGGTGATGCCAAGTACGCTAAAGCATCTTTAGATCCCATTCTACCTTTGAAATTTCTGTTGGTGGCAGAAATACCAACTTCTCCATCTTTCAATAACCCATTACCTAAACCAATACATGGACCACAACCAGCTGGTAATGGAATCGCACCAGCATCAATGATGGTTTGCCAAGCACCGATTTGTTCAGCATCTTTTTGGACCAATGAAGAGGCAGCAGCAACGTAAAATTCAACATTTGGATGAACTTTGTGACCTTTAATAATATCAGCAGCAGCTTGAATATCAGATAATCTGGAGTTTGTACAAGAGACCAAGTAAGCTTTGTTAATGGCAATGTTTTGTTTGGATAAATCAGAAAGAGAGTTGGAGACCTTGACAGAGTTTGGTCCAGAAACATATGGTGATAATGAAGATAAATCGATTTGTAAATGTTTTGCATAAACAGCATCTTCATCACTACTGACCTTGTTGTTGATTAAATTGTCAATGGTTTGTTGGTTGATTCTTGGATGGTTTGGATTGTTGATTTTATTCATTCTTTGTTTATAGAAATTAATCAAAGTATCATCAATTGGGAAAAGACCAGACAAGGCACCCCATTCAGTAGTCATATTAGCAATGGTTAAACGGTAATCAATAGATAATTTAGAAATGGCTTCATCGCCGACAAATTCAATAGCATGATTCAAAACTTCATCATTATTGAAAATCCCACATAAACTAACAATAATATCTTTACCAGTAACACCTTTAGGTAATTCACCAACAAATTCAACTTTAGCAACTGGTGGAATCTGCCACCAAGTTTGGCCAGTGGCCCAAATAGATGCAGCATCAGTTCTAACAATTGGAGTACCCAAACTACCGATACCACCATATGTATTAGAATGTGAATCTGAAGCAACAGTTAAGTTCAATGGGAAGGCATAACCTTCTTCAATCATAATTTGATGACCAATACCTCTACCAGCAGGGTAAAAGTCAATACCTTGTTTTTTAGCGAAATTTTCAATATTTTTATATTTTTCTAAATTCTTTTCAGATTTATTTTGCACATCATGATCTAAAGTATTGACAATTTGTCGATTATCTTTAACTTTAGTAGCTCCCAATCCCATGAATTTAGTCGCTACGGGCCAAGAATTGTCATGGGACATACAATGTGCTGGTTTGATGGTAACATAATCTCCACTGAATACTTTTTTATTAGTACCAACGGCATATTTTTGAACAATTTTTTCAGTAAGGTTTTGACCACGAAGTAAACGTGTTGTGGTTGAGAAGGATCTATATCTTAACATAATAGTTGGGTTAAATGTGTGATGATAAAGAAAATGAATATATAAGAAAAGAAAGTATTTTTTTTTCTAGATTGGAGTGGTTTCCTAAATGAAAAATTTTTCAAAGAGTCTGTGTGGTGATTCATAAAAAAAAGAAAATAGAATCAAAAATGGGGTTGATAACAATTGACTCGTGCGCCGATAAAGGAAGAACCGAAAAAAAAAAAAAAAAAATTAAAAAAAAAAATTTTCTTTGTGTAATTTCAATTCACGCCGCGAATGAGTCAGAAAATTTATTTCTAACTTCATTGGTGCGCTTAGTGAAGCATAGGGAAAGAAGTATTGACAATTGCGATGGAGGAAGTGATTGTCTGCCGTAAAAAAACACTCACTGCAGTTGTCATAGCAAGAGTGCTAAAGGAATAGATATGTATGGAGAATAATCATTTGAGATTGTATATTTATATTTCATTGAAATTTTGTAAGAAAATTTGACTAATTTTAAGTAATATATTATTATAACCATGTTTCCTTTTCTAATTGCGCCACTCCCATGAGCTCTCTGTCTTAAGGAATGTATTAACCAACTATCAAGTAACTAGAAATAGACTCACATCTTAATTACTAGTAATTTGGTTAATCTGTTGGATGGATTAGCACCTTATTGGTTCGTGTATACTATGTATATAGTCACATACGCCATAATAGGAGACTCTGATGGACCGATTGCGTTTATTGGATGCAACTTTTCTAATCTTAAGACATATAAATTGAAGAGCACTATAACATTACGGTAATTCTAAATAATAGGACGTCTATGGATAGTTTGATATGGGTGGGTTCACTAGTTATACTTATACGAATTCTTCATTTTTCTTCTTCTTTGCAACAATAGCTTTCATATGAATAATAAAAGATGGAATAGAACCTAGTACAGGACAAATTTGCAACCACAACGTTGGACTGACGGCCAAAAATAACCTGTAGTTAATTACAATCATTATTAGCATTCCAAATATAGAAAATGCTGTGCAGATAGCCTTTCTAATGGATATTTGTTTTATGGTGATAACAAAAATAATTAAACCAGCAATAAATCCTGGGATTTGTATAACTAAAGCAATAAAGTAGGTAACGAAACAGACAGAGTCAAGGCTTTCACTAGGAGGCAAGAGAATTTTAAAAACTTGAATTAAAATTAATTCAAACACTGCTGTAAAAAGAATAGCACCAATAAAGTACCATAATCTAATTGGTCTAATGCCCGAAGCAGGAGTATCATCAAGTTGATGTTCCTTTTCAAGTAATGTATTTGCAGCTGACATTGTATGTGGAGGAAAAAGATATTGGGTAATACTGCTGTGTCCGTTTTTATTTTTCTTGGACGCAATTTCTCTTACCTTACTTATACTGTGTGTCTTATTTTTTCTTTTGAAGTCGTGCACTTTGTGACCCTAAATGAATTATATGAATCCAATCTGCTAGAACTTCAAGCTGGTTATAATCACAAACTATGAATAAATTAACTCTTATCATTATTCCATAATGAATACGACGCAAACATTGCACAGTATTAATAGACAATTAGAGTATTGTGATTCAACAGGGTTCACTAATGTCTCGTGGAGACAATTTATGTACCCAAAAAAGTACACAATCCATTGCTTTGTAGGAAGTAAGTCTATGAAAGACTCGTCTTTAAACTATGATGACAACATATCATTATACTATTATTTAACATTTGAAAGTTTTACTTCCATTTTATACACACTTGACATTTATATATTAGGAACCGTAAGAAATTACAACTCTTTACAATTGAAAGCACTATAAAAATCAGTCAAACTCTAAATAATAGGACGTTTATTGATTATATGATATGGATTCACGAGCTATACTTCGACCTTTTCTTCATCCTTCTTCTTTTCTTTTGTAATAGCTTCCATATACATACAAAAAGATGCCAAAGAACTTAAAACAGGACAAACCAATTGCCAAGCAGAAGGACTAAAAGACAATAAAAACCTATAATTCATTACAATCATTGTAAATAATACAAGTATAGTAAATGCCGTGTATATAGCCTTTCCAACAGATATTTGTCTTATGGTGAATGCAAAAACAGTTATAACAATAGGGAAAAATGAAAGAAGTATACATGATATCATGGTGTATGTTGTATAACAAAGAGCGTCAGCGTAGACACCAGACAAGAAACTCTTAAATCCTTGAACTAGCATCAATTCGACAACTGCTATAAAGATGATAGCACGTGTGAAGAGAAATGCATTGATTGGTTTTATATCTAAAGCAGATGAATCATTAGGTTGGTTTTCCTTTTCAAGTATTGGATTTGCAGCTGGCATTGTATGTTTGTGGAGGAAAAAGATTGTGGGTAATATTGCTGTGTCCATTTTTATTTTTCTTGGACGCAATTTTTCTTACCTTACTTATACTGTGTGTCTTACTTTTTCTTTTAAAGTCGTGCACTTTGTGACCCTAAATGAATTACATGAATCCGATTTGTTAGAACTTCAAGCGGGTTATAATCATATATATATTATCCTATAATAATTCGTCAAGCTTATCAGAAGATTTCTTTAATTTGAATATTTGTTTTGCCTGCAAGATTGCAAATATACCAGCAACAATGAAAGGATAATATTTATAATTACTAGTAGAATCTATTTCAAGAAGTAAACTGTAATTACACACCACTACTAGTATCAACATCAATTGAGCAACAATATTGGCAATAATCTCAAGTAAATACATTTGTTTGAAACAAGTGACTAAAAGAATGATCAGATGCACTAGTATTTGCATAGTTATAGTCGCCACGATAATATACATGGCGTATTCAATGGTGGAAATAAATCCACTTTTGGAGAAGAAATATTCTAATCCCACACCAGTCATAACTTCACATAGTAGAACAGTAGTTGCGTAAAGATACACTGGAATCATATCCATTGGTTTAATAGGTGATTGAATAATATTGATATAATTACTTTGCTGACATTTTTCATTAATCATTGTTTAGTGGGGACTTAGTTATATCGTGTGTAAAATATTCAACAAGATATGCTTTTTTTTTGTTTTGCTGCGATTATTGTTTTTCTGTGTTGAATCCAGATCTTGTATCTCAGGACAATTATGTATTGAAACAATGTGGATATCTGGGAAATTTTTTAATTCAACCAGAAGCATTAATAGCTCAGTTGGTTTTACAATGGTCCCTTGGCCCAGTTGGTTAAGGCGTGGTGCTAATAACGCCAAGATCAGCAGTTCGATCCTGCTAGGGACCATTTCTTTTTTTTGCTGCGATTTGCTTCTACAATTTCAACATGAGATTAGTCATCAAACGTATGATACAGCCGATATATTATCAAACTATATATCCAAAACTATATTTTTTCTCATAAGCCTATTAATAAAACTCGGATTTTTTGCAAGAAGTAACTTTTTCTTTTTCATCATCAAAAATACTTGAAGTTGGAAGCAAACTTGAAAAATCACCATCAATCAACGTGTGTCTAACATAACTGATTTCACCATTTGCTGCCATTGGTACGGTATGTGTAGTACAACCACAAGCACTACAAAAGTATTTCTTTTTAGGTTTACCACTTTGAGTTTTATTAATGATATATTCTGTTAATAAATTATCTTTATCATTAATTTTAAGATTTTTTGAATTATATTGAGCTAATATTTGACCTAAATGACCACTTCCTTTACGACAATCAGGACAATAACAAACTAAACATGCTTCTGGTTCACCTTCTAAAGTGAACTTAACTTGACCACATACACATGAGCCTGAATATGACATTTCTTAAATTGTTGTTAATTAATGATGTTGTAATTTGCAAGTAAACAGAAGAAGATGAAGAAGAAGAGATAATGACTATTTATATAAATGAACACTTTTGGTTTCCCCACAATATCGGTGTTAAGAAATTTGTAATTAATCAAGAAAAATAATAATAATACACCTTTGGTGAGTACGAAGTTTGATGCCAATTATAATTGAAAAAAAATGCTTTCAAATTGTTTTGCTGAACATGAATAGATAATGATCTACATGAAATTAACGTCGACTTAATCTGTACATTACTAAGCCCTAACAGTAATCCAACACCGACGGATATTTGAAACAACGGAGTAATTCCGGTGTTTAAGAACTAATTTCGCTTGTCGGACTATAGTGATCCTTTAGTGAATTAGATTTGCCCTTCATTTTTAGATCTTGTAAAAACCTAATATCGGGGTTAATAGACAAATATTTTTTGGAATTTAAATATATTGTGGAAATAAAAACTAACATAAACTGAATGTATTACATCTGGACGTGGTATCATTCATATTAAAGTTGAAGGAATTAATAACCAAAGTAAATTAACTGAGATGAGCTTATATTTCCCTAAATTGAAATAATCATGAAAGTATTCAATAATCCAAAGAAATATTTTCTTTGATTACTTGCAATTTCCTAACTAGTGCAATATATAACTATGATAATATGTTCCATTAAAAAAAAAAACTGCAAAATCAAAAAGAAAAATATGAAAAGCCATTAGTTGTTCTATTTTATTTTTTATGATTTTAGATCTCGATATGAATCCAATAAAATCATTTGATTCAGAAACAGAAGTTCAATCTTCTACATGGGATATACTTGGAGTTGCTATTGAGTATCCAATAAAAGAAAGTTCAGATAATTATGAAGATTTAATTGATTTTTACTTTACGGATAACGAAGAAGAAGAGAATATCAATTCTATACAAGATCAAATATCTTTACCACGTAATAACAAAAGAAAAGACCAAACACAAGATATAACCGATAATTTACATAAAAGTTCTATTCATAAACGTCGGAGAACCGACACTGGTTCAAAATCAAAAGAATTGAATATTCCTGACTTTGCGGAAATCCAAACAACTACAAATATATCTAAAAAAGTTGCAAACCATGAATATCCAGATGATTTACAAGTACTCACCAAGGAAACAAAAGTTGAAGAATGGATAGCTTATGCAAGAAATATTATACACAAGAAGTAACCGACAGACAAGGAAGTAGTAGATTACTTAAATGAATATACAAATATATGTATCAATAATGAATTATGCGCACGGAAATTATGACAACTTTTCCGGTTTTTTTATCTAATTCATCGGAAATTGCAAAAAATCAAGAGGGGACACAACTTGATATTAGTTCTTTCATTTTGCAAAACAATGATTCTTATTCTTATTGGGGGGGGTCAGTCCGTTACCCAACCGAAAGAAAGAGATGAATAACCGTGTCACATTGTATAAACTTAGATATCTTCGGAATTGTTTTTTACCGGAAAAGTCATTGTTAAAATTTTATTTTTTGACTTTTATGTCCGGGGGAATATATATATATATATTGATGTAAAGTTGAATATCGATTCGAGGAGAAGATGTAACGTCTCTGTATTGTCTAGTTTACTGACCATATACAACCAAATCATGACTGTTTCGTTTGATATTATTATTTGTGGAGGTGGATTAGCTGGTCTTGCATGTGCTATAGGATTGGTTAGAGCCGGTCACAGAGTTACAGTATTGGAATCAACTAGAGAATTGAGTGAAGTAGGTGCTGGAATTCAAGTACCTCCAAATTCTGTTCGAATCTTGAAAGAATATGGAATTTATGACAAATTCACCAACGTAGTAACAAGACCAGAAAGTATAGTTATTAAAAGGTATGAAAATGGTCAAACATTGAACTCTACTCCATTGGATCCAGAAATGACTGAAAAATATGGAAATCCCTATTTGTTAATTCATAGAGCTGATTACCTTAAGATTCTCTACGAACTGGCTGTTGAAGCCGGAGTTGTAATCAAGAAAAACTCACGTGTTGTTGAAGTTGATGGAAATATTCGGACGGTGACTCTTAAAAATGGAGATACTTATACTGGAGATTTGATTATTGGTGCTGATGGTATTAAATCAAACGTTAGAGATAGTGCTGTTGTCACTGAAGAAACAGTTTTACCATTACCTTCATCCTATTGTGCTTATCGGGTGACCATTCCTGGAGAAGTCATGGCTGCTGATCCAGTGATTAGTCATTTAATGACGGAAATCAAGTCTACTTGTTGGATTGGATATCGAAGACACATCATGGCCTACCCCATTAGAGATGGTACTTTGTATAATATGGTAATGATCCATCCCGGTCAGGCAGCAGTTGGCGTATGGAATGAACCAGCTGATTTAGAAGAAATGAGAAATCATTTTAAAGATTGGGACCCTGTTGTTTGTCAATTATTGAGTCATGTGGATAAAAGTTTGAAATGAGTATTAGCAGATATGCCACGATTACCAAGATGGGTTAAAGGAAGAGTTGCATTGATAGGTGATGCTGCACATTCCATGTTACCATTTTTGGCACAAGGCGCAGCCCAAGGTATTGAAGATGGTGCTACTTTGGTCAATGAATTGGAAAAAATCAGTAAAGTTGAAGAAATCGACCAAGCATTAGTGAGATATGAAAAGAGAAGAATGCGTCGTGTTCATACGATCCAAGCTGGTGCTAGGAGTATAGGAGAAACTTGGCATCTACCAGATGGAGATGATCAAGTAGAGAGAGATATTAAAATGAAAGCTAAAGAAGACCATAATCCAAACAAATGGTCAGATAACGAGTTCCAACATTGGTTATTTGGTTGGAATGCATTCACAGATTGACTTTGTAGTAGATATGTACCTTTGTGTTGAATGAAAAAAACATAACAATATAACCTAGCCTCTGGAGAGATTATGTGAACATTTTTATAGTAATTACATGTCAAACAAGCCAGATTTATTTGAGGTCAATGATACTGGCTTGTTGATTTTTTGCTTGGGTGCTTAATTATGGGGGGATCATTGATATATTACACAAAATCAAAAAAGGAACAAGTAATAAAAAAAAGGGGCAAGATTTTGTTGAACAATAAAAGAACACAAATGAAATACATACTTTATTTTTTTTGCCAGGTGAAACAATTAAAAAAGAAAACGTATTTTGCACAAAGAAATTGCATATCAACTGACATCAATGTAAACATTCCGTGCCAAATATACAATAGCAAAGGGAGGAAAGAAAGTAGGCTACGTGGCTTAATTCCCACTAGGTCAATCTACCGGTTGTCGCGGAAGAAGAAGAAGAAGAAGAAGAAGAAATAGAACATAGGAAAAAAAAGGGTATATGACTTCGTGTATCAACCATAATAGATGGTGAAATATTCATATGTTCTACCGACACAACTAACGAAAAGTAAAAAGTGGCTTGCAAAATAACGATATGAAATTCAATTTATTATAGGCATTTCAACATTCTTCTTCCATAAACTCGTTTCATTACTTTGCCAAAAATAGAATTTTTTTTTTTTCTTTTTCGTTTCTTTTTTGTCAAATAAACCTTAGTCGTGTGTTTTGGTCGATAACACAAAATCGTAGTGGATGGGAGCAAATGGTTTTGAGTAACCACGACGTGATGGCGTCAGCTTGTGGTGCTAATGAGGAGTCGTCTGTGGGCGTAATTACTCGCCTTAATGGTGCACTCCAGTTCCATTCACAGGTCGAGACCTTTTTCTGATTTGTTTGTGATTTATTCTTATTGGGTGAAATTGCACAGCAACATTAGCTTCACAATTTGTTTTGTTGGTGCCTGAACACTTAATTTCGCCAAACATTCTTTAATTCATATTCTCATTGTAACCGAAGGGAGTGCTTTAAATATTGTTCATGCAAGTCAAGAAACAGAGAATAAGTTGACGATGCTACTTTGATTTTTGCTTCCTTTTTTTGTTTTATCTTTTATATTCTGTTCATTAAATTAGATCCGAAGAAGAAAGCAATCAATCAAATCTTACATCTAGAAAAAAGAACTTCGAATCTTTGATTTTAAATCTTTTCCACTTCTTCTTCTTCTTCTTTTTCTTCTTCTTTATTTCTGTTTGATACAACTATCTTTTTCTTGATAAAAGTTCTTTTATTAAAGTCACTCGCTAATACAAATCTGAATCCTCGTTAGAGTATATATACTATTTTCACAGGAGGAACTATTATTATTATTATTATATTATTATCTACCAAGACAGAAACCCCTTGGATAAGATTATATTGAATAACGAAAAAGCGTTTATTTTTAAACCTACCACAGCAAAAAATAAAAAAAAAACTTTCTCATCCGGAAGGAAAAATAATCTTTACATTTCTTGGCTGTGTCGATTTTTCCTGATTTTTTTTTATTCTTTTTCTTTTCCACTTTCAAACCCACATCAAAGTGTTTACTATTATTTACTAGTACCAACTATTAAAGAATATATTCACAACGTTAGATCCTACTAAGTTATCATTATCATGGCAGATTCTCAATCTTTGGCAGTAGGGTTAGCTGTCGGTATACCATCCTTTATCGTCTTGGTGGTAGTAGCGTTGTTTTGGTATAGAAATCAGAACAAGCAAAAGAAGGAAGACTTGCGAGATAACGAGTTTGATATCGGTTTACAAGATGATCATTCTTTCAGTCAGTTCCAAGAAGAATTACACATGCATAAGGAAAAGAATGACTTTATCCAGACAAAGGAACATGAAAGACTAGCAGGAGACTCTTCTGAAACAAGTGGTAGTAATGATGGACAACAACATTCCACTTCAACCATAAGTAGATGCCTACAAAACCCTTATGAACGTCCGGCAATAACTAAACCACAATCAAGTTATGATTTCTACGAGACATTTATCCCTGTGTTACTTACTACAAACCAACATCCAACACCATCAGAACCTGGTTCTACGGCTGATATCAGCGACTCGAATATTAACACAGCTGCTGGTAGCACAACGTCATTGGTCAATTACCATAAGCATTCATCATCAAATGATTTAGACACATTAGCAAAGCAATTAAACAACCCAGCATTTTTTGAAAAACTACCTAGCAGAGCCGCAACCGCCAAATATTCCGTCAAACCAAGACAAGTAATTGGTAGTCCAACTAATGGTAATTCTTATAATAATTCGAGTAGCGATTTGATCAACAATTACTTGGTTGGAGAAACTCATGCTATAAATGATCATTTTGTATATGAAGCACCAAAAGTTGAAGTAACCCAGGTACAACCAAAAGAAAAACAAACACCACTCGAGCAACATGAAGAATCATCAGAAGCCGATGCTACAGAAAGTAGTACGAGCACAACTCCATTTAACGATAAGCATAATATAGCACACTAATTTGTCCGCTGAGAGATTGTCATAACCAATGGGGGACAAATCACACATAAATTAGATGCATTGCTGAGATAGAAGCTGTTATACCTATTATTTTTTGCATGGGCTGGGTAACCTTGTATAGTATAGAACAAAAGGATCGTCTTTTTAGATATATACATATTTAATTCTGTAGTTTATTATTATTATTATTATTTTTTAATATTAATGCTTGTATTTTAGTTGCAATAAGAATCTAGAAAAATCGACCACCATATATACAACTGAGTTTGCCTGTCTACGTGCGCGCACGCACGCACGCACGCAAATGATCAACTCAACTCCATCAAAAACTAAAATCAATCCTCCAAGTTATCCATCATCAATTAGCATCTCACACCAACTAATGTTCAGAACTAGATTATTCTTCCGTCCTTGGTTGAAAAGAACCTATGCAACTTACAAGAGGTTTGACAATACCACCTCATCGTTCACTACTTCGTATGCTCATATTTTAACCAGTAGGAAAACTTTATACGTTGGAGGAGGCTTATTGGGATTCTATATTTATAACCTACATGCAGCTCCCTTCACTGGTCGTCGTCGATTCATCTGGGTTCCATACTGGTTAGAAAACAAAATTGGAGATTATTCATACTATCAAATTTACAACCAATACAAACTGATGATATTGCCTCATTCAAATCCATTATATACTCGTGTATCCAACATCATGAATAAGTTATTAAGTGTTGCTTTGACGGATAATATCAATGATGATATAAGCCAAAGATTTTTAAAGCATTTGAAAAGTTTGAATTGGGAAATTAATATCATTCAGAATAATAACTTGCCACCAAATGCATTTATCCTACCAAATGGGAAAATCTTCATCTTTAGTTCAATTTTACCAATTTGTGAAAATGATGATGGGTTGGCTACAGTCTTAGCGCATGAATTATCTCATCAATTAGCTCAACATTCAAGTGAACAATTACTGAAACAACCTATATACTTGGTCTTGTCAACTATATTATATAGTATAACAGGTATTTCATGGTTTAATGATTTATTAATTAATGGGGTATTGACTATGCCAGCATCAAGAGAAATGGAATCCGAAGCTGATCATATTGGTTGTGAATTATTAGCGAAAGCTTGTTTCCATCCTGAACAAGCCATCAATTTCTGGCAAAGAATGAGTCAAGCTGAAAAGAGATTAACTGGTAGAACTGTTGCTGGAATGGAATCAATCCAAACTTGGGAATTTTTTTCTACACATCCTGCTACAAGTAAAAGAATTGCTGATATTCAAAAATGGATGCCTCGCTTGTTACAAATTAGAGAATCATCTGGATGTTATGAATATGGGAAATTCCATAATTTCAATCAAAGTTATTTTAAACGTTTCTAGATTTATCTATGTACAAGAATATATTATTCTTAACCTATTTATTATATATATCACTTTTCATTATCTCAGTTGTCCCCGGAATTTCACTTATATATACAGATTTTGGTCTAAACCAAGATAATGGTGTAATTTCAATACCTATTTTATAATCAGTGAAATCAGTCTTGTCAACATTCTCCGAGGGTATTTCCAATAAATACACCAGTACAACACCTAATCTTTTTCTAGTTTCCACGGTCTTTGAATCATAATAAGGTACACTAAACTTAATAAACCTCAGTAATTCATCTGATCCTTCAAGTTTAACATTTGTAGTTATCCAACTTTCAATTTCTTGTTCGGGAATATTTATATTAAACTGATCATTTTCCAGTACAAAACCTTTGGACAATATTTCATTATCAATATTATCTCCGTTTGAACCATTTTGGAAAATATATTCAATTATACGTTGTTCAACTAATTGAATAGTTTGTCTTCTAATAGAATCATACAGATTATCTATTCCAACTAATACATTTTCAATAGATGATTCATCGTATTTAGCAATTCTAATCATCTCGGATTTTTCCCATTTAGTTATACCCAATCTTTTCACAGCTTGATCATATTGATATTTTCTATATTTAACATATCCAAAATATCCTAAAAGACCCAATGGTGGACCAATGGTAACATAATATTTAGGATGATAATTTATGAAAGTCAAAATACCAGCACCTATAACAGTGGTGATTTTTAATGGTTGTGGGATAAGATTATTCCAGATTAATTGTGGATATGTTTTATTAACAATATAGGATGATCTTGGTGTGTTTGTATACTGTTTAAAAAGTGTTCTTTTAAATACAAGTGATCGTAGCATTGTTGATGAACAAATCATAAAGTTGTGAAATTTTTCATACTGCAGAATTTTCTTTTAAACTCAAAAAAAATTGGCTTACTTGTAGAGGCAACAGACATGGGTATGTGAAGACATCACAAATTCCAAGCAACAGGTCCTATAGTATAGTTGGTTAGTACACAAGGTTTTGATCCTTGCAACTTCGGTTCGAATCCGGATAGGACCTTTCTTTTTTACCCACAGTATTATATTTTTTAATTTACTTGTGTGCCACTCTAAACTACTCACTACATAATATAAAGTTGGAATAGACCATATCGTTCAAGATAAGATGGTTAATTCTGTATTCTGCAAGTGGGTTTTCTATTTTTTTTGAATGGAGAATTAAACTTGGTCTGCGTTGAAGGTAATAATTTTTTTTTTATCAAGAAAACTTTATTCCGAAACGCATTTTCTACTTTTCTTCTGCCAAACAACATAATAATCATGATACGAACATCACGTACAAGACAGATTCTAGTAATATTAACAATTGCTATATTATGTCTTTTGATTCTTTCAAATATTAGTCTATACTATAAGAAGTATTATTCATTTATGAATCTAGATGATGATGATGACGGCGACGACGAAGATGATTATGAAGGAGATTCACAACAAGAAATGAACCCTCTGACCAAGGCACCAGAAAAGGAAGAAAGTTTATTTGATAAATACATAGGAGGTACTAAACAGATGTCCCCCGATGAAGTAGAAGCATCTGTTGAACAAATAGAAGAAACTACTAAATCGAAGTTGGGTGTACCTGTTTTTGGTGAATTTGAACCTGTTACCATTGAACAACCACCAATCCCACATATTCCTACAGATTTTAAAAATATTAAACCATTGAATTTTAGAATATATTCACATAACATTAAAAATGGTGGGAATCATGAATTACTGCCAGGAGAACAAGAATGGACAGCTAGATTAGTTCCCCTTGCTGCATCAATGAGATTCAATACATTAGTACAAAACTCCATAATTACATTACAAGAAGTTTATAAATATCAAATGTTAGATATAATGAATGAACTTAATCGTCATGAACCAGGAAAATGGGAATATTATGGTCGTGGAAGAATCGATGGTGATGAAGTTGGAGAATTTGTTCCGATTCTTTGGAAAGCAAAAGAATGGGGATTGGTTTATAGTGATACTATATGGTTAAATGAAAAGGATCCAAGAACATCAGTACAAGGATGGGATGCGGTATATGTTAGAATTGCATCATTTGTGACTTTAAAACATAAGGAAACTAATACCTATCTAAATGTATTCAATTCACATTTTGATCATATTGGAGTAGAAGCTCAACTTGGATCAACGGAGTTAATCTTGGACAAGATGAAAGAAATAAACCAATGGCCAAGTTTCTTCTGTGGTGATCTTAATTTGGAACCAAACCTGAAACCACATAAAAAATTAACTAGTGAATTGGTTAGTTCGGTAGAATTGGTCACTCCATACAATAGATATGGTCATTCATGGAGTTCTGTCACTGGATTCCAAGGACAAGTTTTAAAAGAAGGCGGTCAAAATATTGATTACATTTTTGCTCCCAAATACGCCCAGTCCATTGATAAAGAGACCGAGTGTAGTGGAAATCTGGTGTTTGACAATATTGACTTAAGGTTATACCAATATGGTATGTTACATTCAAAGTTTAATGGTAGATACATTAGTGACCATAGACCAATTGTAGCTGATTACGTAATGAGTAGTAAATGTGTTTAGATTAATGTAATGGTTTGTACCTGAAATCACGTGTTAGATCATCCCCTTACGCACGACTTTGCATACAAAACAGAAAGTAAGAAAAGAAAAAAAAAATAAATAAATAAATAAGTTTGGTAAGAATGATGTCAGCGTGTGTGTATGACAGAGAGTAAAGCGTGAGTGATTAAATCCGCATTATTCTTAGTATGTTTGTTTGTTGTTCACTGGCAATATATTTCTCTTTTCCCAGTATCTTGTTTTTTTTTTTTTTTTTCATATTTGTTTTTTGTTTTTTATTCAAACAACTATTAGACTATAGAACACATATATTAGAATATTGAACATGTCAGAGTCACTAGATTCTACACTTCATAGTAGAAGTAATGTACTACATGATTATCATGAAAAAATTCACACACAGCCGATAAAACCATTAATAACTGAAGAAGACAAGAAAAGTTATTATTTCCGATTGATCAATTATGAATACCACAGTCTTCAATCTGATTCAGAGATTCGTCAAAAGTCTTTATTTCAACTAATGGATTATTGCGAATTGCAATATGAAAATTCAAATACACAGACACAATCTGGATCACATCAAAAGGGAATCAAATCATATATTCGTGGATATCTTGTTTTCAATTATTTGATCAATGGATTTATTATGCATCACTTTAATGGATTTGATGAATTTATTGCCACTAATGAAACCGATTTTATTATTTACTTGAACATTTATGCATTTTACAATACCGATGTGTATTTTTCAAATGGAAATTATTCTGTATTTGCAACTGATTTAAGGAATTACATGAAAGATTATCTTGTCAAAAACAATATACTAAGTTTTGACATAAATGAATTATTCAAATGGTTAAACGAATATATTTCGTATTTGAAAGACAAAGATAGAAATGGTTCAACACTTCCCGATAACGAATCATCAACCCCATCTCCACCTTCATCGCCATCTTCAACAGCATCATCATTTTCATTCATTGAAACATACAAGACTCCTGATTTGCAATACGAAGAAGACTTTAAAGTACGATATCCATCAGTTAACTCATACAATACATACAAAACAAGTTCAAAAACACATCAATCATCACATCATACCAGACCACCAATTCCTACTCAGGTACCTCCTTCCCCTCCACAGAATGATTTCCCACGACTTCCTGATGAGAGTCCAACACACTTGTCGCCATTGCGTTTACTGCAACTGTCACCATCACTGCCACTGCCACTGTTGAAACTTCTTGCGTCATCTCCACCACCAATTCCACCGCCTCACAAATATCCGACCAAGGAATACCCCACCGCCCCTTCTGTATTAGACACAAATACCAGTCCATATCCACTTCAAGAAGGCACAGCCTCACCTCCAGGTTCTCCTCAAGGTTCTCCACCAACATTATCACCAAGTCCTGCATCCATGCTGTTGTATAATCCTGTTTCGATCCCAGTCGCAGTCCCTGTACCAAAAGAGGAAAGTAAATATTTTAAACCAAAATCCTATGGTAGACCAAAGCGAGAAGTACCAGATGGTTACTTGCGTCCAACTGACTATACGACAGCAAAAATTCATGGTAGTAATGTCCATACACCTCATTTATATCCACAGCAACAGCAACAACAATACTTACCAACCCATAATCATTATCAACAACAGCAACCTCCTCTTCAACAGCAACAATACATACTACCACTGAATCAGATCCCACACCAATTCCAACCTTCATATCCTCAACAAGCTCCACATTACATTCAACCTTTCCCTTATCAGCAGAGCCAAGTATTACCGCCTCAACAACAAGCAATAGCACATCCATCACTGATGCAACAGCCAATGCATTACCATGGCAACAATAATGGAGCACCACTGGGATCACTTGTTCAACAAAATAGTGCTTATTCGCATATTCCATCACATGTTGTGCACCAACTGGACTCACTGAGAAATAAGAAACAGAATTTACTTAAAGAGTTTTCTGTTTGTGGGTTGAGAAACTTTGGATCGTCTTGTTATATCAACTCAACAATTCAATTATTGTTTGGTGTATATGAATTTAAGTCGATTTTCAATCGTGGGTATCAAAAGCATGTTAAAGCGTTAAAATATCTCAAGATGGTAGCCAAGGCAAATAGCCACTCTAAGGATTCAGTATTATTGAGTGATGCTACTGCGGGACTTTTAAAGACATTTCAAAACAATGGAGGTGTTTCTGTTTCTCCTACGAAATTCATTCGTGTGACAACAATGTTAAAGCCAGATTTCAATATCCCATATGAACAACAAGATGCACAAGAGTTTTTATTATTTTTGTTGGACAGACTTCATGATGAAATGGCTGATAAACTGCCGGAAAATTATAATCCTGAGGAAGCTCTTCGCAAATGGAAGATTAAACTCTCACTTGATACCAAAGATAAATATTTAGATTGGTGCAAGTCTTTACATGAACACGAAGGTACCTCCCCAATCACAGACTTATTCCAAGGACATTTACAAAACAAGTTAAAATGTAACAAATGTGGATATGAATCTATTAGTTATTCACAGTTTACTATTTTATCATTACCTATTCCAGCTAGTAGCACCAAGGAGGTTAATTTAAGTGACTGTTTAAGGTATTTTATTCAGGACGAAGTTTTATCAGGAGAAAACGCATGGCATTGTCCGAAGTGTAATGGAGAAGTGCCAACTTTAGATAATCATCCTGTTTTTGAAAACAAAAGAAGTGGACTTTTCAAACTTGGAGGGAAAAAGAAACAGCATCAAAATCAAAAGAATCTGAAAAATAACGAGAATGCAATTTCTACAAAGAGTGTCAATTTTGTCAAATTGCCAAGTATTTTGATTCTTCAATTAGGGTTATTTAATTTCACTGACAAATTGGACATGCAGATTAGATACCCATTAGTATTAAAGTTCAATAATCATGGACACGAGATAGTATACAAATTATCAGGTATGATTAATCATGTTGGTAGTTTAAAGAGTGGACATTATACTGCATTGGTGAATAAATCAAATATTAATGAAAAGTTAAAAAATTTGGACAATTTAAAACAACCATTCTGGTGTTTCTTTGATGATGACAACGTCAAATCCAATGTAGCAAATGGTCATTTAAGTCCTCCATATGATGAAGTGGTTTCATCAGATGCTTACGTTTTATGTTATGAGAGAATAGATATTTAAAAAGAAATACAAATCTACAGTACTTTATAGAATCAAAATATAACTTATATTTTTCTTAAAATTATACTACTACTACTACTACTACTCCTCTGAATCAAATGCATTTTGCAACTTCTTTTTAGCTGGTGCTTTCTTCTTTAGACTAAGTTTTATAGGTCCAGAAACACTAGGTGGTTTAATAGGTTGATCATTAGTAGTTTCTTGTTCTTCTAATTTCTTGCCCTTTTTGATTTGCCTTAGTAATAGTTTTTCTTCTTCTTCTTGACCATCATCATAAGTTTTGTTTTCCAGTAATGATTTTAGTGTTTCTTGTGGATCGATAAATCTAATCTCTAAATTAAACCCTTCGTCATCAACATCATTATCGTCATCATCATCAATATTTGTTTTAACTTTAACTTTACCATTTTTACCCAAATATTTAACAAATGAAGTTAAAGTTCTCCATCTTGTTGAATTCATATGAACATGATCTTTATCTCTAATATATTCTTGATAAAATTTATTTGCATTTATAAATTTTGTACCATGATTTAATTTTAATAATCGAAGAAAATCAATAATAAATTGATCTGAATAATTATCAATTAATTTATTTGATTCTCCCAGCAATTGAATTTGTGAAATTTTACCTTGATGAGAAGGTGAAGAAAGATGATTTTTAAAACCATTTGAATCTCGACATTGTTTTTGACAAAGTTGACAATAAAATTTAAGTTTTTGTAATCCTGATGCTTTTAATTTCTTTGATTGATATTTCGCCGTTCCTAATTCTGCTTTTGCCATCTTGAGTCCTGGATTATATTTTCGTTGTATAGGTGTTTGATTTATTGTAAGATTAGAAAGTTTTTTGGTGATATTTTTCTTTTGAGCTGATGGTGCACCTTAATTAGTATTGGTTGGTGCACGTACTTGACTATGGTTTAGCATGACAAATGACATAACTGTCATATTTGAGTCAAATTAAAGCTGTCGTTCTGTTTAAATATTGAATTAATGGTTCAGATACTATATTTCTTATCTTGGCTGTTAAATACTTACTTTCTCTGTAGTCATTTACCAAACTGCAAAATCATCAATCAACTATAACATTTTACATAAATCTGGTAACGAAATTCAACAAAAAATATCATATCTTAATCAAAGTCTGATTTGAATACATAAACCACTCGATATGAATTCAAGTCAAACTTATAACTTCTACTTCTGTTTCATTGCTGCAATATATCGATTACCGTATGTCACGACATTAGACGACATTTTATACATGTCGCAATTTCTACACTCATCAAGCAACAGAATGAAAGAACGAAGGAAAAAAAAAAAAAAAAAAAAAGAAAAATTTTCCAATATCAATCAATCTAATACTTGAACTTTACTTATTTACAACCACCTTTCATTTATAAAACCATGTCTGTTATAGGTATTACTTTTGGTAACACATCCTCCTCAATTGCCGTTGCCGGTGCTGACGGTAAAGTTGACGTTATTGCCAACCCAGATGGTGATCGTTCTATTCCATCAGCTTTGTCATACATTGGTGAAGATGAGTACCATGGATCTCAAGCTGAAGCAAGATTAATAAGAAATCCAGATAACACCATTGTTAATTTCAGAGATTACATTGGTAAGAAATTCAGTGAAATCAACCCAAATAACACCACTGGTGCTAAACCAAAAGAAATTAACGGTGAAATCAGTTATGAAATCACTAATGATGGTAAAACTGAAATTTTGACTGTACATGAAGTTGCCAAAAGACATTTCAAACAATTGAAATTAGCTGCTGAAGATTTTATTGGTAAAGATATCGAAGGTGTTGTTTTAACTGTTCCAACTGATTTTACTGAACATCAAAGAACTGAAATTTCCAAGATTGCTGAAGATGCTGGTTTGAAAGTTTTACAATTGATTAATGAACCATCTGCTGCTTTGATTGCTCATTTATCTGCTGAAGAAGACAGATTAACTCAAGATAAACTTTATGTTGTTGCTGATTTCGGTGGTATTAGAACTGATGGTGCCGTTATTGCTGTTAGAGGTGGTGTTTTGACCATCTTGGCTACTGCTCATGAATACGGTTTGGGTGGTGATAACTTGGATGCTTCTTTGTCTGAATTCTTCGCTAAAGAATTTGAAAAGAAAACTAAAGCTAACCCAAGAACTAATGCTAGATCATTGGCTAAATTGAAGGCTGAATCTATTGTTGTTAAAAAGACTTTGTCTAATGTTCAAACTTCTACTTGTTCTATTGAATCTTTGGCTGATGGTTTCGATTTCCACACCAGTATTAACAGATTGAGATATGAATTAGCTGCCAGAGAACCATTATCTAAAATGACTGGATTTGTTGAAAAAGTTATTTCCAAGGCTGGTTTAGATGCTTTGGATATTGATGAAGTCTTGTTGGTTGGTGGTGCTGCAAACACTCCTAAATTGGCTTCTAACATTTCATACTTATTCCCAGAAACCACCAATATAATAGCTCCATCTTTAGATTCTAAAGCTTTGAACCCAGCTGAATTGGTTGCTCTTGGTGCTGCTTTACAAGCTTCCTTGATTGAATCCTTTGATGAATCTGAAATCAAAGAATCTTTACAACCAATTGTTGTCAACACTCAACATTTGTCCAAATCCATTGGTATTAAAGATGCTGAAGGTAAATTCCAACCAATCTTGGTTGCTGAAACTGCTTACCCAATCAAGAAATCCATCGAAGTCACTAACGGTGATGCTTCTTCTGTTGTTGTTGAATTATACGAAGGTGCTAGAACTGTCAAAGAAACCGTCATTGAACCAGAACCAGTTGAAGACTCTGAAGACGAAGATTCTGAAGAAGAAGAACCAGAAATCAAGAGAGAAGTTGTTTATGAATGTGGTGATAAATTGGCTGAATTATCTTTGAAAGACTTGAAACCAAATGCTAAATTGGAAGTCACTGTTAACATTACCCAAAACGGTGTTTTACATTTGTCTGGTAGAGAATTAAAACAAGGTTCTACTGTTGTCAAAGGTGAAGTTACTTCTCAATAAGCGTAAATAGGATTTTATAGAGAAATAATTAATCAATATTCATTTTGAAGTCATAAAAAAATAGAACTTCCAACCCTACTCTACCCTACCCAACCCAACACAAATTTTTATGATTTTGTCATTAAACTTGACGCCGCACATCGTTTCCAAAAACAGCAAGCATGGTTTCTTTTTTTAAGCCCTTCCACGACTATTTCTTTTTTTTATTTTTTTGTTGGCGAAGAAAAGTTGAACAATTGTCTAAACGATAGCATCCTTTAACCAACACCTTTTTCTTTGCAGCATCGTCTTCTTCTCATCGTGATAATATACATATATAGAGATAGAATATGGCAAAGAAGAAGAAACAGGAAATGTCACAAGTGTATAATGGGTCACTGAATGAGTTTATATTTGGAGAACAAGGAGGAAAAGGAAAGAACTTGACTTCATTTCTTAAGAATTTATCATTAACTGGATCATCTTCAAGTCTCAACAATAGTAGTCGTGATTCATATGAAGAAGTCAATAGTAATATATATGGAAGTTTAAGTTATACTAAACCCAATGGATCAAGTTCAACTAATTTGAATTCAAGTTCATTTTTCCAATCAAGACCATCTACAGGTAATAGAGCCGTATCACTTGGAAATATGGTAAGACATCATTCTCCTAAAAGTCTACCTAGAAGATCTCATTCTAATACTAGATATAAAGATTCCGATGATGATTGGGATGCTGGATTAGATGAAGTAACAGTAAAACCAAAGAATCCCCCACCAGCACCAATGTTGGATTCATTATATCCTGATTTAACTGTTCAACTTTCATCTTCTCAACAACCAGAACAAATCACTACAAAGGAGTCAATGGATTATGAAGATTTGCAGGCCAAAGCTGAAGTAAATAAATTAAACCAACTTAATAGTAAATATGCAAAATTTAGAAAGATTCTCACTTCAGATAATATTATCAATTTACAAGATTTAAGGAAATTATCTTGGAATGGTATTCCAAATGAATTAAGAGCATTATCATGGTTATTGTTACTTGGATATCTCCCAACAAATAAATCTCGACAAGGGTCAACCCTTAAAAGAAAACGTCAGGAATATATGGATGGCTTAGGAAGTGTCACAATAGAATTTCACGAAGATCCTCCAGAAAATAATTCAACTGTATCATTATCTAATGTAAATCGTGATAAACAATTATATCATCAAATTAAAATCGATGTAAAGAGAACAAATCCTACGATTAAGTTATATGGATATTCTGAAACACAAGTTTCACTTCGAAAAATTTTATATCTTTGGGCAGTTAGACATCCAGCAAGTGGATATGTTCAAGGGATAAATGATTTATGTACACCATTTTTCCAGATCTTTTTGAGTAATTATATATGGCAATTGCAAAGAAAACAACAAGGAGAAAAAGATGATGAGGATTTGTTTATTCCAGGGTATATGTCTAATGAAGATGAAGAAGATGTTGAAGAAGAAAAATTATTGAATGATCCCCAATTGATGTGTTACAATTTAGATAATTTTAAACCAGAATGGCTTTCTCAAAGAGTTACTTCCATAATTGAAGCAGATACTTATTGGTGTTTGTCCAGATTATTAGAAACTATAACAGATAATTATATTCATGAACAGCCAGGTATTATTCGACAAATTGGAGATTTGAGGAATTTAATATCTAAAATTGATGTGGAATTATTGAATCATTTTGATGAAGAAGGCATTGAGTTTATGCAATTTTCATTTAGATGGATGAATTGTTTATTAATGAGAGAATTGCCAATTAATTTGATCACAAGAATGTGGGATACTTATCTTAGTGAAACACCATTAGGATTCTCCAATTTCCATACCTATGTATGTGCAGCTTTCTTGATTAAGTTTAGTAATGAGTTAAAACAGAAGGATTTCCAGGAGATATTATTGTTCCTTCAAAACCCACCAACTGAAAGCTGGACAGAAAAAGATGTTGAGCTAATGTTGAGTGAAGCTTTTATTTGGCAAAGTTTATACAAGAATGCTTCAGCACATTTGAGATGATATAGATTTAGGAAAATAAAGAAATAGCTAGTTAAGTAGTAATGTCGTCGTCGTAGTCGTTGTGAATTTTTTAATATTGGTTACAATGACTCTGTAGTAGAAGTCAACAAATGACATTGGTTATATATGTAAGATTAATACAGATAAAGCCGACCTCTGTCACAACAAACCAAACCGGAAAGAAAAGAAAAAAAAAAAAAATTTAAATTGCAAAAATCGAAGTCAAAAATTTTAATGAGCAAAATGAACAAAGGGCACAAAGAGTTTATTATATTGATTAATTAGTGCGTAATGAAAACGAGATTAATGCAACAGATTATAAATATCTCATCACTCCTCCTCCTCCTCCTCCAATTTTTTTGTTCATAATTTCCAACGTGTTCAATTTTTTTAAACTCTTTTTATTCTTATTTCTTTGGTTTATTGGAATTCACCAACCCTTGTTTCAACAACAACTACAACAACATTATTATTATTATTACTACTATCAAATATGTCTAAACCAGCTGGAAGAACTATTTTAGCCTCAACTATTGCTAAACCATTCCAAGAAGAAGTCACACAAGCAGTTAAAAAATTAAACTTTACTCCAAGATTAGTTGGATTTTTAGCTAATGAAGATCCAGCTGCTAAAATGTATGCTAATTGGACGAGTAAAACTTGTGAATCATTAGGATTTAAATATGATTTAATTGAAGTTAATAAAAATGATTTGGAAACAGCATTAATTAAAGCTAATAAAGATGATGAAGTTAATGGTATAATGGTTTATTTCCCAGTTTTTGGTGATAAACAAGATCAATATTTACAACAATTGATAAGTCCAGAAAAGGATGTTGAAGGATTGAACTTTTTATATTATCATAACTTGTATCATAATGTTAGATTCTTGGATCCTCCTCATAATCAACAAAAATCTATCTTACCATGTACTCCATTAGCTATGGTGAAAATTTTGGAATATTTAAGTGTTTATAATAATATCTTACATTATGGAAATAGATTATATGGTAAAAAAGTGCTTATTGTCAATAGATCCGAAATTGTCGGTCGTCCATTGGCAGCATTGTTAGCTAATGATGGTGCAACAGTATATTCTGTTGATATCAACAATATTCAACAATTCACTAGAGGTGATGATTTACTGGAACAAAGACATAAAGTCGTTGATTTGGATGAAAGTTATACATTAGAAAAACTTGCACCTACTTGTGATGTTATCATCACTGGGGTCCCACTGGATAATTATAAATTTCCAAGTGATTTGATTAGTCATGGTACTGTTGTAATTAATTTTGCCAGTGCTAAGAATTTCACCGATGATGTCAAATCAAGAGCTGGATTATATGTTCCTTCTATTGGTAAAGTCACCATTGCTATTCTTTTAAGAAACTTGTTAAGATTAATCCATAATAAACAAATCAGACAAGGTGAAATTACTGAATCCCCATCAACATCATCTTTTGTATAAGGTACAGATACAAAAAAAAGAGAGAGAGAGAGAGTTGTACTGTGTGCAGGAATTTGAATGGGTAGAGACAATATGCAAATATGGAGTCAAGGGGAGAAAAAAAAATTTTTAACTCTGAAAACGATGAGAAACACCAAAAGAGAAGAAGAAAAAAAAAACTGCATGTGGGTAAATATCCCTCGAAGCCTATTAATATCACCAAGTGACTGATCTCCCCCACCACCAGTACAACGATTTGCATTTCTGGTTTATTCTATTATTATTTTATTTTATTTTATTTGTCTTCAACAGTGATATATAACTAAATAAACGATACACCAAAGAAACAACTATTTATTTTATTTATCTTCATTTCATATCATCTATTTTCTATGAGTCATGAGTTCACCGGTGAGAAGAGAAAACGAAGCAGAGATATCCGACTCATCATCTACTACAAGCAAGAAAAGAGTTGTTCATATTGATCCATTAGCCATTACAGAATCATTAGGGTTTCGTATATTTAGAAAAGGAGGAAGAAAACCATGGACTAAAGAAGAGGATTCAAAACTAGTTGAATTAGTACAAGCAGATTATAAACATCCTATTGATTTAGATCAAGTTGATTGGGATTCAATATCAGAGAAAATATCGCCCGATGGGTCTAGAAAGGGTAAAGATTGTCGTAAAAGATGGACCAATTCCCTTGATCCTAGTCTTCGAAAAGGTAAATGGACAAAAGAAGAAGATGAAGCATTAATTGAAGCATACAAGAAACATGGAGCAAGTTGGTTAAAAGTATCACTGGAAATATCAGGAAGAACAGATGACCAATGTGCCAAAAGATATATGGAAGTTTTAGATCCCAGTACAAAAAATCGATTGGAACCATGGTCTATGGAAGAAGATCTACTATTGATTCAATTGATTAAAAAATATGGTACCAAATGGAGAACAATTTGTAATTCTTTTGATAGCAGACCAGCATTAACGTGTCGTAATAGATGGAGGAAATTAGTTACAGACGTTGTTCGAGGAAAAGCAGACCCGTTGATTAAAAAAGAAGTTGAAAAAGTGACCAATGCTACAGAGAGTGATTCCTCAGATGCAAATATATTAGAAGTTTTATCTAAGCAACAAGAAGAGTTGACGAAAATGAAGAAAACTGCCGAGATTAAGAAACCTCGACCTCCTAAAAGGACCAATAGACCTGTTCATGAGACTTCTACTTCATCAAAGGCCCCAATGCCATCTTCATCATCATCCACACCATCTGAAACAGTTTCAAGATCAATTCCTATGGTCACTGGACCATCCAAGACAGATATAGAGTGGAGGTATACACTAGCACCGGCGGATGCGACTAACGATGATAGTAATATGTCCCCAGGAATGCTTTTTGAAGGGGAAGCTGGCGGTGTTATTAAAAATGAACAATTAGTAAAATATTTGGTATCTTATGCTAAAATGAAAAACATGAACGTTACGGTTCATCAACATATTCATCATCATTATGCAGCTACAAGTGGTCATAGAGATTCAACGCTAGAAAGAAGTAGCAGTGTCAGTACACCTGCAGCATATAATGTCGAACCAGAAGACCAACAGGCACGTTTCCAACATTTTAATTATTTACCACCATTGGTACAAGTTCCCAAATTGAATTCTTCTCAATCATCACCAAACAATAGTTCACAAGGTGATACGAACCAATCTGGCTCAACTGCAACTCAATTTCATCATCACCATCACCACCACCATCATCATCACACAGAAAAATCAAATAGAAGTCGTTCAGAGCGTATGAATAAGGACGTATACAAGAATGACATTGCCAATGATTTTGATGGAAGTAGGGAATCTGATATTATGAAGTTGTTGAATAATACTGAAGATTTCTCAAAACAAAGAGAAGCTACACCAGGATCAAATCCTTTGACACCATTGACCCAAGCAGTCGAATATGTTGAAGCAGAGAATAAACAGAATCATAAAAGAAGAAAGCTTGATAATGGTACAACGTCGCACAGAAACAATAGTCACCAACTACTGAGCCATAATGAACATCCTAAGTTTGATTTACCTAGTGAAGATGAAGAAGGGTTGGACTTTTGGGAGACTATGAGAAATTTGACTGATATTCCTTATGGTAATCCGAAAACTCCTAATAAAGTCAACAATATATCAGAGAATGTACCAGTTGCCAAGAATAGTAACGACAAGATGACCACATCTAACAATTACTCACAAAAGCCAGTTTCACAACATCACCCACTTCATTATTACAATAGTAGTACACGAGAAAACACCCCACATCCAATGACGAACCTCACAGGTGACGACGAAGAAGATGAAGTAGAAGAAGATGATGACGAACAAGAAGAAGGATTAGATGATGAGGATAAAGTTTTAGCACGTGAAGTAGAAGAAGTTGGAGTAGATCAGGAGACTTTGAATAGTTATGGTTTATTCTATAATGTTTATACAAGAGAAGGTTCTACATTTCCTGATATCCAACATCAAACTCAAGCCAAACCAGAGGAACAAGGTGCAAGTGTGTATGATCAATGGGGTGGAGGATTTGGTATTATTCCCTTCAACCCGTCATAGAGTGTATAGTTGTATACAAGCAAAATAAGAAACAAGGTTATTTAATTAAACTTTTTGTTGGAGGCGGGAACACGCCCTCACTTCCGCCCCCAAAAAAAAAAATAAAACAAAAATAATACACGGGAGACATTTTTTGGTTACGACAAGCGTACGACATTCATGCGTTTTGTTTTTTACATATTTTGTTTTGATGCCGTATGTTACAGATGGATGGAAGGAACGTGATGCTGTGATTATCACAAGAAGATACATAAATGCAAGATCGGTTCTTCAACCTAGTGAACTACATATATATATCTAACATAAGCTCAACGTTGTTCATTGCAATAGATAATCACACCTTAAAGAAAATTTATTTCCCATAGTTGACTCATTTAAGATTATAACCAATCGTCTTGAGCTGGTTACGTAAGCATTATCTGACACACGCACACACATATTATTTTCTTTTGGTGTGGCCGTCGTAGCATTCCCAACTAAGAGAGAGAGAGAGAGAGAAAAAAAAAATTCTTAGGCCCAAAGCCCAAATAAATAAATAACGAGAGAAAGAGAGAGAGAGAGAGAGAAATCTCTGGAACCAAATACACACACACACACAGAAGGTTTTCAATTATATCATAAAAACATACACCCACTTTCATTTAGATAACAGTCATCATTTATCCTATAAGGACTTATTATCATCTACCACATTCAACATTAGGTATTATTACAGAGAGATTAAAAAGTGATCACTGGAATCTAATTTGTGAAAAATTTATGATATAGCAACTTTTTTTTTTCTGTTTTTTTTTATTATTTTTATTATCATTTATAATTTTCAACCAGGTGACTGAGAGATTGTAATATAACTTCGTCCCACACAAAATAAAGTCTCCGGAAGGTTTTTTATATTTATATATATACATTTATTTATTGGTTTAGATAAGTTAATTACAATATGCCTGAGAATACATCCAAAAGTAATCCAAATTTTAGTCGAACAAAACAACTACAGCTGGATGGTAAGAATATTCAAAGTGGTGACGTGAAAGTGGCGCTTCCGTCAAATGATCCACAACAAACTACCACTGCAACTACCCCATCTACAGCAACTATGAAGAAACAGCTGGTGGAAACTAGTGATACTCCTAAGGAAGAACATTCTTCCACTTTTAAACTTCCAAAACAAGCATTAATGAATTCAGATATCAAGCATAATAGTGATTCATCAGTATTAATTCTGGCTAATAATTCAGGTTCTGGCCAATCACCTTTGCATTTGCCAACAACACAACTACAACATCAACAATCTACAACTTCCGTTGCAACAGGTGTGACACCTGCAGGTATCAATCATTCCGAAAGTCATCCATCAGTTGTTCATACAAATAGCAATCAACTTATGAATCCTACTCCTAATCCAAGTTTGATAAATACGACAAGTACTCCTACTGGCGGAGTTAATGTATCTATTGGAAACACTCCTGCTGCTCCTACTCCCGCCTCGGGAATGCAAACTCCTACAATACTAAATAAGAATACCATTACTAATATCAATAAAACTTTAAAGGCAAAACAAAAGGTTATCCATTCCAGAGAACCGCATCCTAAAAACCCTACTTTAATATCCAATATCATTAATACTTCTCCTCAGTCAACCGTGTTTCCTAGCTTACCAGGAGCTAATTCATCAAAAGATGGAGATTCTAATGTTAACCTAATGAAGAATAACAATAGTGGAAATAACCCTGTCAATAATAGCACTACCAATACCGGAGATTCATCTGGTGGAAATAATAATGGTAATACCAAAACTGCGACAGAAGTATCAAAGATTACTAATAGTGATGGCTCAGTGAGTGCATCAGACCCATTATCAACAGGTTCAAATAAACTACCCCAATCCCAGAATGCACCTCAAAATCAAACTTCATCACAACCCCAACTTCCCCCACCACCATCGGCGGCTAGTTTTATGCTACATCCAAATAATTCATCTACTAATATGTCTACTTCTGGAAACAAACCTGATACACTAGACTCCCAATCAAAACCAAACAAGAAAAAGATTTCGAAACAAACTTCTACCAAAACTGATTTTTTTGCTGCGCGTTTGGCCAGTGCTGTTGACGATATAGAAAGCAGCGATAGCGATGAAACATTTGTGTATGAGAATAATGGTAATGGGTTTGATACAAACACCAATAATATCGATAATGCAAGTGTTTCCGGAAGTATAGCAGCAAGTGGGGTTGCTCCAGGCACAATTAATGGATCTATCACTGGTGGTGCACTTCGAACTCCATCAATCTTTGAAAATGAACAACTCCTGCATTACTATGACAATCCTAAACAATCAATGAAGTTATCATCCAATAAAGCTCCATCTATTGCAAATTCCATCACCAGTAACAACAACAATAATTTGGATTCCATTCTTAAACGACCACCACATTTGAGAGACCTGTCTGGATATTCTACCAATGATAATGACCCTCGTACTTCGTTCCCGGCAGCTTTAACTGACAGATTGGGTCCTTTGTCACCAACTAATATAGCGTACGAGAATATGCCAGAATTTCAAAGAAACTCGAGTGTTACTCATTCAATTAACGAAGGTTATAATGATGATACATTTTCATATAATGAAGTAGACGATGACTTGGTTGACGATGAATCAACAGATGATGGAGAGATAGGAAGAAGCAATAATAATACGCTTATTGCCTCTTCAAACCAACAATCTCAGCAACAGTCTCAATCACAACAGACACAACCACAGTTACAGGCTCAGGCTTCAATGCAACATTTACAGGCACCTCCTTCTGTCACACCTTCATTGTCTACTAAGAATACATCCAAGAAAAATTACAAGTCATCAACTTCATCTTCTAAATTAAGATCTACTGCATCCAAGTTATTTGACAAGAAAGGATCACAACCTAGAAGATACAGTACAATACCAGATGATATAGACATTGAAGATTTGGATGAGGATGAGTTTATGTATTATGATAATAATGTTAGATTCCCACCTAATGAATCGTCATCATTACTTAAGAGTCAAAGAATTCCTCATTATAGATCATTGAATTTGAATTATCCTATTGTCAAACGTCAGAATAAACGGTATTTGTCTACTGGTCAACCATTGGAAAGTTCAGATCACGGATCAGCCACCGATGGAAACGTTGTTAACAACTCTGGCAAGAACAACAATATTGGTAATAATAATAATAATGGAAATAATAACAATAACGGCAATAATCGCGTATTCCCATTCCCATATCAAGATCAACTGTATAATTATTATTATGATTATGATGATTTTGACCAGGAATCCCAAAGATATAGTCCTAATTTTGATTTACCTGATTTGCCATTGAATAGGGCTACTTCTAGAAATTTTGGTAATAATCCTAATCATCCAAATCGTTTAGGAAATAGTCATTTCTTTTTGCCCCGAAAGACTGATCAAAACAATTCAAGATCAAGTTTCTGTAAATCTTGTATCTATATGTTTATTTCATTATTGATGGTATTAGTAGTTGGATTCATGTTTGGATTCATTTTGGCCACCACCAAGGATTTGACAGATGTTGGAATCACATCAATTGAAAATCCGATTGTCAGTAAAGACGAATTGGTGTTTAATATTGTTGTTGAAGCATTTAATCCAGGATGGTTTTCTGTTGATATTAATGAAGTAGAATTAGATTTATTTGCAAGAAGTGGGTATTTACCTGATGATGGTGATGCTAATGACGGTGGTGAGATTAAGATCGGTAGTAGTGGATCACAGAAAGTAGAAACGGTGAAATTAGGAAGTATATCAAACCTTGAATCAACTATGAATTTCAAAGGAGGTATTATATCTAGAGAACCAACTATTCAAAAGGGAGAGATTAAGTTGCTTTACCCTGGTAAGAATATAACCATTGAGTCATTACTGAAAAATAAGAATAATGAATCTGATGATAATTCTAAAAAATGGGAAATTATTTGTGCTAATCCATTTGATTTAATAATCACAGGAATTTTGAAATATGATTTACCATTTGCAAGAACAACTAGATCAGTAGTGGTTAGAAAAACAGGTTATATTGATCCTACATTATTTGTGATACCGGGAGATGAATAATTTCAACATTATTATTGATTATCAATTTGCTATGGTTTTATTCAATGTATATCTTCATTAGCTTTTTCTATATACATATTATTCTCTTGCTGATACCAATGTCGTATATAATTATAATTATTGTTAATAGAAATTTTTGAATATTGTTGTTTCTTATATTATTTTTGTTATTATGCTTCTATTTGAGAACTATTTCGTGTAGAGTTTCATAATTAGGTAGTTTTCTATATTGTAATTTAATATTATGTATTCGTGGTTCAAATGAAGTACCTCTAGGATTCAGATTATTAACAAAAGGATTCATTTCCATTAAATATTTCCCATTATTATTATTATTATCAGGAGGATTAATTTCAAATAATAATAATAATTTAATTATCATCATATACATTTCTTTCATAACTAGATTATAACCTGAACACATTCTTGATCCAGCACCAAATGCAAAATGAAAATTCTGTACATTTATTCCATTTCCACCACCATGATGTGTCGAAGAAGAAGACGAAGAAGTAGTAGCAAGTATTTTTGATTTAATTTCATTAGTTTCTGAATCTAACCATCTTTCTGGATCAAATTTAAATGGATTTTTGAATATTAATTCATCATGATTTGCAGAATATGCATTCATAAACATATGAGTATTTTTAGGAATCATAAAATTTTTATAATATATTGGTTTTGTAGTTAATCTAGGTAAACTTAATGGTAATACTGTAAAATGTCTTAAAGTTTCAAGAATTAAAGCTTGAATATATTTACAATCTCGATTTTCTTCATTCAGTTGATTCCATGCTTGAATAATATCTCCATTTGCATGATTTAAAATATCTTTTATAGCTTTATCTTGAAATATCTTACCTATTCTTGGTTGTGATAATATTCCAATAAGATAATTCAAATTAAGTGGGGTATTATCTAATCCAGCACTTACTAATGTTAAACAAATACTTTGTATTTCTTGACTAGTTAAGCTGTTAGAATTATTATTATCATTATTAAGAATTAATTGTCCAAGAATACTATTAGCTATATTTGGATCATTTTCAGCTAATCCATTTTGTAACCTATTATATAATTGATCCATATATTTATTCCTTCTATTTCCACAACGAAGGGCAAATTCTCGATTATTAAACCATGGTATTAGTCTTAAGAAAGGTACAGAATCTTGAAGATTAGATATTGGTGATCTTAATCTTATGATATTATTCTCCACGGTGATAATCTCTTGACATAATTTAACATCTTTATTATAACAATCCAATTCAATTCCATAACTCATAAGAATAGCTGTTTTTAATATGAATTTTTGTAAATAAGGTAACATATTTACATCAGTTGATATATCCTTCTTTTTAATTATTTCTTTAATCATAACACAAATTTCATTATCTATGAGACATACTTTTTCATCAATTTCTTTCTTTCTTAAACACAGTGAAATAACTTTCTTCTTTCTCAGAAATGTTAAACTTGCAGGAGTAGAACCAACTGTAAAACCTTGTAATGCTGAAACTAATCCATGAAAAGTATAACTTAAAGGTCTTGAATTATTTTGACAACTATGATTTATCCATAATCCAACAACATCATCAAATGAATTAACAACAACTACACGTTTATTTCCAATACGAATTTGAAAAACCAGTTTATTATATAATTTATACCATGTTAAATAAATCAATGCTGGATTATCTAGTATTAAATGTAAATGACCAATAAATGGCAAATCTCCAGGAATACTGAAAATATTGGCAATCTCTTTAGGTGATAGACAATAATCAAATAAAATTCCAATTGTTAAAATGGTTAAAATAATGGTGAATATCGTAGCTATTGGATGGGTATCAAGATATGTTAGCAACGTTAGCAATGATTGATCCCATGGTATGCTCAGAAGCATAGTTGGAGAGGGGAGGGGGAAGAGTGGATGGTACCAGAAAGTATCAAATGTTTAAGCTATTGTTATTAGTTCTCGTAGCAATTGGTGTGTCAAAGGGAGATGAACATTATATGGTTGTAACTTTTTTTTTTTTTTTGGTTTGACAACCAATGGTGATATTTGCAAACTTCTGTTTATTTTATTTTTTTTTCTGAGTTGATTTTGCAGCATAATTAAATAGTTCGTAGAGATACGTACTACGAGTGACTGATACATCATGACTAATAATCAATCCACATAAATCACGAACAACAATAATATTAGACTTGTGGATTTGTCTATGATGATCCAGAAGTATTAATGTCAATCCTCTTGTGTTATATTATATTATATTACAAAAAAAACTATCATTGATGATAATGCAAATAAAAGAATCAATTAATGAAACCTAAGATTATATACAAGGCATCCCATAATTAAACCATTTCTTCTTTTTCTTTTCCAATGACTTGGTCTTTATAAAATTCAGATTGTTGTTCCTTTCTTGATATTTCAGTTTCTTCAGCAATCAATTCATCAATATCATAATCATAATTGTTTGGGTTGGTATCAATATCCAATTTTTCCTTCTTTCTGTTTCTCAAACTAGAATCAGCATTATTAAATTTATTCAATTTAATTTTCAAAGGCATATCTTCTGACGTGACTTGAAGCTTTTCTTTAAATGCATGTGCTCTATTCTTTAAAAATCCATGTTCTTCAGATTCTTGTTCTTGAGATTGTAATTCATCAGGTGGAATATATCCATACTGTTGATTGGCTTGTTGTTGTTGTTGGGAAAATTCTGGAGAAGATTGTTTCTTTTGCTGATTTGATTTCTTATGACCATGATGAGTGGTGTCGATTTCAATCTTGGTTAATCCTGAAGCATATGGTAATAATAACATTACAATTACCAATGCAATACCAATAAATAATATAGTAAGAAACATGGTGGAACTATAGATATTATCTAATATAAGTTGTTCAATATCACCGATGACTTATAAAAGAAATGAGATTGGTTTAAATATTATTTCAAGATTAAGTTTTTTTTTTTATTTTTTTTTTTTTTTGGTTCTTAAATTCCCGCAAGACATAAATTGATGATCGCCGGAATTTGGTACCAACCTGGAAGAGAAAAATGGCTCAATTATTTTTTTTTCTTCTTCTTCTCCTCTATACAGTTTATTCTTCTTTCACATTCATCTTCACAGAATTGTAATTATTCCCAGGTTATTTTCAATATATATACCTTACTTTCTATGACCACACACAGAATCATGTTCAGAAGATTAGCAATTACTACCACGAAAGCAATTTCACCAGTGATTTCTAGACAACTATTTTCCACCGTTAACGCTCCGCTTGCTTTACGAGTCTCAAGTGTGGCTTCTACAGCACCATTATTTCCAGCTTCAAGAGCTTATTCAATAAGTACTCAAGGAGAAATCATTGATGGTAAAATTGATAAAATCACTGATAATGAATATTCCAACATTTCTAATGAATATTTAGAATCTTTATCTGATTCATTAGAAGAATTAAGTGAAAGTTTCCCACAAGTCGATGCTGAATTAAGTCATGGAGTCTTGACTTTACATTTACCACCTCATGGTACTTATGTTATTAATAAACAACCTCCAAATAAACAAATCTGGTTGAGTTCTCCAATAAGTGGTCCAAAAAGATACGATTTGATTGGTGGAAAATGGATCACTTTAAGAGATGGTTCTGCACTTACTGAATTACTTGAAGAAGAAATCAGTCTGGCTATAGGTGAAGAATTCAAATTAGATAATCTCCAAGAATTATAAGTATAATTTATTATTGTATATATTGTGTATTTAGAATGCGATCAATGATTTAATTTCCCGTCTACTATGTACTGAAGTAAGTTAAGATCTGATATATTCGTTTAAACAGTTACTATTCTACAATTATAAACACCACACACCTACTTAGTTACTTACTCACTTACCACCTTCTAACACCTTCAATCTTCTTCTCAATGCTTCATTAAAACAAATCTCTTGTGCCAATGGGAAAAATGTCTGTACCCATCCTTTCTTGTAACTCTCACATTCAGCTACAATTTCCTTCAACTCCAACTCTTGGAACTTGATCTGGAACTCGTATTGTTTGAAAATATCGTCTCCAATTAATCCATTTTGATACAATTTGGTAAATGCCCCCTCGTTCTCTTTTAACTTCATCGATCTTCTTATCGCTTCAGCTGCTCTTCTCAAAAGTGCAGCCTTCATCACCTTTTCATGTGGTTTCTTCTCCTTAGGTAAATCTGCATCAACATATGCTGCTTTCAATTGATGATAGATCTCAGCAGGGTAGTTTTCTTTGAATAATGGTTCAATCTCCGTGAACGACTGTAATCGTCTTCTTCTGTAAACAATCGAGAATATCACAAACACCGTCAACACAACACCCACATAGATTAATGGTGTAAATACAGAGATCTTGACAATCTCTGGTTCGGGAATAGCTGTTTCTTCTGCCATGGTTGTTCTAGCTGGTGGTAGTTGTACTAGTTGTGGTGGTGATTCACAGATAATTGAAAAATTTCTACTGTCTCACATGTTTTGCTAACACGTCAAGCGAGAGCATGGTAAAAAAAAAAAATATAAGTCGTGCATTCTACAAAATACTCTCCAGCAAGACACTTGTCCTACACTTCTTATCCAACTACCAACCATCGCTGTTTCTCTTGTGTTTGATCCCGAAATATCTGGCCAACTCGTCATAGATCTCATTCACTTGATCATCATCAAAGCTCTTACTCATCTCTTCGATATCCTTATTCTTACTGATATCCAAAATCGCATCCTTAGCATTATCCTGTTCCAACGCTTGCTCAACCTCTTGTTCATTAGGAACAATAATCTCATAAAACACACCTAGTCTGATCAATTCCTTCTTTGATAAGTCTTTGAATTCTTGTAATGTTTTAGGAACGGCAAATTCCGGCAACTCACCATCTCGATTCATAATAGGAGCTAATGTTTCTTCATCATACTGAAGGGTTGAGTTATATACTCTTCGCATGGTTCTATCTTCTAATGAATCCAATTGTGTTTGTAGTTCAGTAACAAGTTGTACGATATCTTCATTGGTGATATAATCAGACATATCAACTGGTGGTTGATTAGTGGTGGTGGAGGAGTCCAATTGTCCCTTGAGGTTTTTGATTTGCATTTCCATTAATCGTTGACCGGTTTGCGCAATTAGTTTGCTTTGCTTCTCAACTAGAGCCTCCAATGCAGAGATACGTTGGTTGACATCTTCTGAAGTAGACATGGCTTGGAATAGTTTCAATTGTGTGTGTGTGTGTGTGTGAATGTTGATGTTGATGTTGAGAGAAAACCCTGATTTTCCGATTATGTGTTTACTTTTTTTTCAGTTGTGTTCCCAGTTAGGATGGATTTTATTGCTGCGAAGGAATTCAATGGTAGAGCAAGTTACAAGGAGAAACGGTATGCAAAGATATTACTACAATCTTTTACGACAACATCTTCTATATTATCTATAGTTATACTCTCTTAAACTAATCTAAAACTACAGGATCATCCCAACTTGAACCAGTCCCATTGTTTTGGAACTTCTCGTTCAACATTCGTGCTGCTTCTTCAAAAACACTATTGTCTTCTAAATCTTGAAGTCCATTGATGGAACTACCATTTCTGCTACCTTTTCTACTTTTATTCACATTATTTTTAACAGTCCTCCTGTTTGAATTTTGAGATCTAGTATGCGGAGTATTCTGAGGTCTAGTTTGAGATGTAGTCTGAGTGCTATTCTGAGAGACTGTCTGACTAGTAGTCTGAGATGCTGTAGGTGCTGTAGTTTGAGTTGCATTTTGAATAGAATTTTGATTACTTGTGTCATTGTTGTTTCCAGTAAGCGCATTATTTGTCGTCCCATTTGATGCTGTGTTATTTCCTTCTTGATCATCATCTTCGTCATCAGAACTTAAGAGTACAATAACTTCATCTTCATCTTCTTCTGCTTCATCTTCAGGTGAACCAGATTTGTGTGCTTTCTTTTTCGGTATATATCTGGTCATAGCATCATCAATCAATCTATATTTTTCACTTTCAACCAAGACCTCAACTCTATCAATGTTCTTTGGAGCACTCTTTATAAAGAAATTAAATCCATCACTAATCGTCAATGACGCCATAGGAAATTTCGTATCACAAATTGGACAAGTATACATTGGTGCATTACTATGTGGATTAACAAATCTTGTCGAATACTGGGGTTTAGGATTATTAAGAATTTGCAAAGTTTGACCACCTCGGCCAGCATGAACATTCTGAGATCGTGAATTTTGCAGTTGATTTGCCATCAATCGAGCATGCTGCTGCCTCTGAAGTTGCTGGAGATATAATAAATACTTTGGATCATTTTGCATAGTTGCACCTGGACATCCCGGGTATCCATTAGGTTTAATTGAACCAGTAGAATTGGCATTTCCGTAAAGACCAGGAGGTGGTGGTTGCAAAGGTTGATTAGCCATACCATACGGCATCATATTTGGATTCTGGTTCTGCGGATGTTGCATCGCAGCGACTTGTGCAAATTGCTGTTGACGAATAAATTGCATCTGTTGTCTGACTTGTTCCGGAGGTCCTTGGTTTCCTGGAAATTGTTGCATCCGAACAGGTGACAATTGTGGACCTTGATTTTGCTGTTGAATATTGGGTGCTATTTGACGAAACTGTTGCGATATATGTGGAAGTTGTTGTGGATGCTGCTGCTGATGTTGTTGCGTAGCTTGATTAAGTAACACAGGAAACTGTGGTGCTTGCTGTTGAGGATTTTGCATCATATCAGGTTGATTTTGAGGAAACTGAACCGGGAAATGTGAGAAAAGTGATAGTGGTTCAGCTGGTGAATTTACTTGTAGTTGTGGTTGTTGATATATCTGCAGAGCCTGTAATTGTGTCTGCCCTGGTATTTGCGCCTGTGCTTGGGGTTGGGATTGCATTGTTGTTGGTGGTTGTGGTGGTGCAATATGGGGGAGTACTACTTGCTGCTGAGAAGGATTAGGCTTTGCTTGTTGCCCTGGTTGTGCTTGATATCCATCTTGTTTCGTCCATTGTCTAGCCTGTTGTTGTAGTAATTGGTCGGTTATGTCAGGTTGTTTCTTTTGTTGAGGTTGTTGGTTCATCTTATTTTGGTGTTGAGTCAATTTATCACGATTATTTCTAATCAACATTCTCTTTATTGCTTCTTTAGTACTTTTAGAAATTTTGTTAAATAGGCAAAAGTTCTCATAGTCAAAACATTCAAAATGTACACATGCCGCTGACTTAACTGGAAGATTTATTCTACCACCTCCTAGTGGATCATTTAATGCAAATATTATTCTATCAACGGACCCAAAATCATCGTCCTCATCAATGGCTTTCAATTCTTTAATGATCATAGGCGAAACATTTATGGGTAGTGGTTTAAAATCATCATCTTCTGTCTTGGAATCTTCCAACTTTCTTTTCTTCGAGGGCTCGCTGTCTTTTGTTTCCGGCGGTGGTTTGTCTTTTGAAGTGGAAGTTGGTGTTGATTCTGTATTCGTTTCATTTAAAGCATTTGTCGGAAGCAATGGCTTGCCATTTGATTGTAAAACAGAATGCTGCGTTAGGAAATTCATCAACTCGTCATCAATGGAACTAAGTTCACTATCTAAATCATCATCATCGATTTTTTCATTTGATTTTGAATTTGAGTCAACTTGTATATCATTTTTTTGAATAGGACTACTTGTAATAGTGGCTGCAGGATTGTTGTCATTCGAAGATGTGTTGTTGTTCGCTGTTGACTGTAAATTTGGTAGTCCTGTATCGTTTACTACTTTTTCAGGTTTATCTATAGCTACCGTTTTCAGCCCTTCCAGAGGACTTCTAAGAATATCACTCAAGCTAACCAGAACATCAGAATCACTAGCTTCTTCCCCGTTATGCGGGAGAGGTTTCTCTTTTGTGCTGCCATTCTTGATACTTTTTAACTTATTGGGATCTACCCGAAGGGTAACCAATAACTTCTTGCTAGTATATCGGCATCCCATTTCATGCACTATGGACACGTTCTGACTTTGAAAAGTGGGACCTTTAACAATGATTTTTGCCATGATATTTTCATACAATAATACTCCGATACAACTCTCGTATTGATAATATAAAACCTTGGCCGTGATAGTGGCGTGAGATGTATCTTTCTAAATGGTTTGTGTTTGATTATCCTTGCACTAAATTTTTTTTTTTTTTTTTTTTGGAAGATTCTTTTTTTTTTCTGTCTTTGCTTTTGGCATTTCTGTGGGCGCTTACATAAGCAATGGCTCATTCATATACCAGCCTTTCAAGTTAGATCCAAATTTAATGATTAGACCCTTGGTAATCTCTACATAGGAAGGTCAGTTAATATGTTCACAATTGATCTGTATATGATTACCTATATTGGAGTTTACTATTTAAATTACCAACGGTTATCGTTTCTACCACCACCATAACCAAAACTGTTATCAGTATTAAAACCACCATTGTTGTTATATCCACCATGGTGATTGTTTGGACCGCCGTGGTGATTGTTTGGACCGCCATTGTGGTTGTTGAATCCACCGTTGTTGAATCCACCACCATTGTTGTAGCCACCGTTGTTGTTGTAGCCACCACCTTGATGATTGTAGCCACCGCCTTGGTTGTTATTGTTCTTACCACCACCTAATAAATCCCCAAGCATTTGACCAAATCCACCAGATTGTTGATGACCTCCATTATTATTATTGTAATTATTGTTGTTGTAATTGTTATTATTATTGTTGTTGCTTTTACCGCCAGATAATAAACTACCAACTAAGGCACCTACACCTGAACTGGTCTTATCTTGTTTCTTATTACCACCCATGTAATGGTTGATGGCTTGATTCATGACAAATGATTCAAGACCACTTTGTTTCTTATTACTGCCACCAGTCATGGAATTCATAGCTTGGTTCATGACAAAACTACCAATACCTCTGTCGGTTTGTTCATTATCATCATTTGGAGCAGAAGATGGGGCAGGTACACTTTCTGCTTTTATTTCTGATCTGTTGGAATCATAGCCACCTTGAGCTTCATCAGCTGGAATATCCCATTGTGATTCACCGGTTTTTTCATTGACGTAGAAATATCTTTTGTATTCTTCATCCCATTGAGCTTTCCAGCCGCGAGGTAATTGAGGAGGAGCAGGTCTTTCTGACATTATGTATTGAAAAGTATCTAACGTTAGTTTCGAGTAGAATTGAAAATACAGAAAAAAGAGAAGAGGAGAAAGAAGAAGTAAACTAAATTAAAAAAAAAAAAATCATCACATTGTTTCAGGTGTATTGATGTTAATTTATATAAACAAGGGACAAAATTAGGAAAAATGTGAGAGCTGATCAAATTTCAGTTATAAATTTATTTTCTTTTTTCTTGTCGTGTCTTTTGGTCTAACCACATGAAATGAAATTAAGAAGAAAAAAATAGGAGATGTGCGATTACCACAAATTATTGGTAGGATTCCCCCCAGTCGAAGTACGAGAAAAGAAACGATGCAATCATACATAGAATAATATCAATGAATTGTACGATAATCTTTAAATCTAATCATTTCATAGAACTAAAAGTAAGTGACACGTATAGTGGCATTGTTCAACTAATATATCATGATGCTAGTTTCTTAGCCTGTTGATTTTTTATTTTTTTACAGTATAATCATGTATCTTGTCGTTGATACAAGTGCGATCGGAAAGCGAGAATGATCATGGCTTTTAACCAATTGTGCACAGCCCTACCATCGGAAAATGGGTACATTTTCATTACTTTACTTACTTTCATGGCGGAGAGAAATTATTTTTATTACAATATTTTTCTAAAATACTATTATTGTCAATGATAATAATATGTAATAATAATAATAATAATAATAATAACTTTTATGCTCTATGTATTTGTCTATGTATAGAATAAATGGCTTAGTCTGTTTTTAACCATTCAATAGTATTGTCAAGGAATGAACACACCTTTGCAAAATCGGCATCTTTAATAAATCTAAATCGGGTGTTGTCAAGACATAATATTTGTTTGACTATCTCATATCTAGATAATTCAAAATCAACTTCATTACCATCATTATCGTGATGTTTGAAATTACTGTAGAATCTAACTTTCATTCTATTCTTTTCTTTATCACAAATACCACCATCCTTTAAATAAGAAGCTGGGTTGATTTTCTTGATATTACAATGCATGAAAAACACTTCAACATCTCCTTTATTGAATAAATCATTCCATTTACTGATATCTTCTGGAGATTCAGCTCCTTCTTTAACGTTCTCTTGATACTTTTCATAATCTTGTTGTGGGTTTTTTTGTGCCATAACCATACCATGGAAGGAACCCCCAGAATGATAACCAAATGTTCTAATTGTAGAATGAACTTGATACCATGATTTATTACACACAAATGCAGAAGTAATAAAAGTATCTTTATCACCTTCACCCATTTCACCTAAACTGAATAATTTATAATACAATTCCGGTCCAAATAAGTTGTAATATAATGACATTAAAACAACCTTCCCATGTGTTGCTTTATTAATCAATACTTGACCAGATTCAGTCGACATATCAGAAATAGTTCCTTCTAAGTCGTTAAATTTTGTTTTTAATTCTTCTTGTGGGGTTATTTGGATTGGCTCTTTCAATGGGAATTTACCACTCTTGGATTTAGTGGTGGTAGAATAAGGTCTTCCCACAATATCGTACCAAGCCGGATGAATTGTTCTTTGCCAATAATCTGGCCACAAAACCAAACCATGATCATTGAAAACTGCCAGATCAAAAAGAATTTGAGGATCTCTAGCTGGCATGTTTTCGGAATCAAGAAGTAAAACATTTTGAAATGAACTTAAAGCAATAGCAAGAATTTTAAATTGATAACTTTTAAACTCCCATTTCTTATAAGCTTTAATACCCATGATTTCAGGTACAATAAGACATTTCGCATCCAATTTAGGTAAAAGAACTTCACAAAATTCACGTTCACGTTTATAATCTTCAATCGATGGCATTATCACTTCCACAGGTACTTGAGAGCCAAGTTTACGTATATGCATGATGTTAATATAAGCCAACCAAGAATAGAAATCACCACCAATTGTAACAATACCACTGGTTCCTGGTTTGTAAACGGTTTCTGGTAACTTATCCGGAAGAGCATCAAAAACAGTTTTATGTAATTCTGTCACATTTTCCTTATTGTATACATGAGCTTTTGATAATAATTTTATTCTTGAATTAACATCAGTTTGAGCTTGTTCTGCCTTTGGAACATATTTAATGAGTGGTTTGATATCTTCCAGGAATCTATTTTCATCAAATATTTTGAAAATTTTTGTCCAGAAATCATTAACCAAGTGTAAGTTAAGTTTTTCCTTATCATTTTCATCCTCTTCAAATTCATCTATTGGTTCTTCTTCCTCTTGAGAGGAAAATTTGTCAGTAATCCCTGATATTTGACCACTGATATAATCATTTGCTTGTGTAATAATTGCGGATGTTTGATGATGTTGCAAAGCTAAAGTTGAAAGAAGTATTATACTGGTAACAACAACCAAAACTGCCATTCTAGATGGTTTCATAAACCACTTCATTTCTCTACGTATAGACATTGTTGATGAATCCTCGATGGGGGTTGGAGCTAATGAAATTAGAAAATTTGCAGTAAACAAGAAAAAAAAAATAGAATCTTAAAGATATTCGAATGGTTATATATATGATTATTTATATAACTATGAAAAATAATAAAAAAAATTCCAATAGGATTCTTCTTCCAACAATCTTTTACTATTGTTAAAAATAGAAGGAAAACCCGAATGGGGCAATAGATTAGAAAATAATGTGAGCAACATGAATCTATTGTGGTTTTATTTTCAAGCAACACGAACTAAAACAAAAAGTTTTAGTTATTGCTTTTGCTTTCTTTTTTATATCTGCACTTGCTTTGGGTGTACGTTTTGCAAGTAATTGATATTTCGGGGGCATGATGATTGCACAAAAGCGTGTGTGAACAAAAATTTTGTTCTTTATTGGGAATTTTTTTAAAGATACGAACCATGCAAGTTAAAAATAGCTCTAGAATTAAACAATTAAGGAAACGTTCTAGCACAATGTTTACCTAATACTTTGTTGCACAATATCACGTCCATAGTTAGAACACGTATTAAATACAATTGAATTTAACTTATCCTATGCATCAAGATAAACTTAACAAGAAAGAGTATATGTTTTACCCAATCCACTGCGTGTCAACATTCTAAAATGAATGTCGCGTCACCAGAATTCACACTTGTTTCGTTCGTGAATAATATATTCTCTTAGGTTGGAAGGGGAGGCAGTTTCAGACATGATAACAAAATATGACACCACAAGTGACTTTGAAACTCACAATAAACTGTTCACACAGGATTGTTTTTATTTTAATAGTTATATTAGCTTTAGTAAACGCGATAATCTAGACGCGTCTCTATGATATGTTTTGTTCAAACGGATTTCCGCTGATTTTGGGGTATTGAAATAGATAACACACCCATGGGGAATCTAATTGCTTCTAGCTGTTGTAATGGTTCACAAGTTGTTATCCCATTATGACCAAAGGTGATTGTTTTTACAATCCGGTAGTTAATATCCCCCATATAACGTAAAAAGAGATATTATAATAATATTGTACCTATTTAAGGTGGCTCGTTACATAATATAATTGTCATCTAAAACAAAAGCCCCGTTCCCTCTTTCTGTCACCCATGCCAACTTGTTTCTTCTTTATTTTATATACATTATTGATGTCAGGATGGCTTAGTGCTCATATTCAATTGTTATTTTCATTTTGCTTTTTTTTTGAGTTTAGATTATTTTTTCTATGTGGCTAGTCTTTCATCATTTGACCCCTGCCAAGAAGTCCCGATATTTTCACCGAGGATCATTTTGCTAACCCTATTTTTTCTTTCTCTCTCTTTTTCTCCAGTTACGTTTGCTCAAAGTAAAGATGTCAAATTTTTGATCAACGAAAATTTGTAGGCACATCTAGATCATTGAAAAGCCATCATCTAAAAGTTGATTTTAAGATCTCTCTTGATATTCTTAGTTCCTCTGAGCCACGTGCTAAGTGAAGAAGAAGATTGAAAAATAATAATAACAATAATAATAATAAAATATTATTTCTGTCCTTCTCCCCCCACCTAACTTAGTGTAACTTTGTATTGAATTTGAGCAATCCTGAGGATAAAAAATGCGTTTTTGTAACAGAAGTTAATAAACGAATTGGGATTTAGTCATCTGATCCCAACAGATTATTACTTTGAAAATCAAAATTAGAATGATGGATATGGACATGACACACATAACCAACTACATATATCTTCTTATTAACAACTCACTTATTTCTATACAGATCTATACTTTTATTGGTCTATCCAGTTCAGTATCTTCTGTAACCACTTCTGCGACAATACCCGCTTCTCTAGTTTGTAATACTCTAATAATGATCACCACAACAATACTAGCAATCCCAGTAGCTAAAGAAGCCCAACACCCTTTCTTGAATTCGGGAACAGTATCAGCAGCATAAAATAAAAGTGACCACCAAGCATTAACTGCGTTACTAAACATATTCATTGATGCTAAAACAATAGCTCTTTCTTGTAAATCATTTGAACATATTACATTTGCCCAACTAAAGAAAACGGTTTGACCAGCAAACGAAATAGCACTTAAATATTGGGAAACAAATACTGCTGCAGTATTATGTGGTTCAACAGCATGGATTATTGCTGATATAATAACAAATATAGCGATTATAATCCCCATAATCCAATGACCTTTACCATTGCCAAAGCTATGAATGTATAATGCCAGGATCAAAGTAGATACAATACCAACAGCATATAATCCCATGGGATAATGATTTCTTTGTTCAATGGTGTAATCTTTAAATTTCAACCATAATGCAAGAAGAGAATTGGAAACAAATGATTCATTTTCACCACCTAATACCCATAAAAATGAAAATAAATACCAATGCCAATTTCCTGTTACTCTTTTAATAATTGACCAATTGAATTCATCATGGGTAACAGGTTTGGATAATTTTTTTGCAAGAGCAATTTCATGTTCTTCATTAGTGAAATAAAATGGTTTTGAAACTTGAGGTTCATCAGGGAAACAAATTAATCCATAAATGACAATTGGTAAAGTTATTATAAAATCAATTATAAATAACCATCTCCAGCCACGAATTCCATTATGACCATCCATATTCTTATAAATTGCTGCTTGTAAAACACCTGAAAACAATGATCCTAATAATCCAGAACTTGTAAATATGGCTGTTCTCATAGGTAATAATTCTTCATCATAATAACTACCTAAAATTAAATGAGTACCAGCAAAAGTGACACTTTCAAACATGGCAACAAAGAATCTAATAACACATATTTGTTTATATGAAGTTACTTTATATAATGATAAAGTCAATACACCCCAAGCAAAAGCACAGAAACTTAACCAATATCTCGGTCTAACTTTCAATAAAATTAAATTGTGGGGGATCATCGCGACAATATAACCAATACTAAAACATGTATTAATTAAATTAAATTCATTCCCCTTCATATTTAAATCCTCCTGCATACCGGAAACATAAGCATTCAGTAAATTAGCTCTTGACAAATAATTGATCCAATATAATAAACAAACATAACTAAGTACAAATACATCAAGTTTGAATAAATAGCTTCGTTCTGTTGGATTACTTGGAGGTTCTCCCCATACTACTCTTCGAATAGTTCTTAATGGTTGTAATATCTTTGTCATGTGAATCAGCGATGATATGTTGATGAGATTATCAGGTATAATAAAAATTTCAATGTGAAAACGACATAGATGATGTGGAATTCGATGGTGTTTTTATACGACGAGCTTTTTTTAGAAAAAGAACGATGCCTCGGGTTAAACACGATTTGTGAAATCTCCGTTTTTTTTTTTTTTTTCTTTGCCTTCTGCCTTGCCTTGTCTTGCCTTGCCTTGCCTTGCTTAGCTTAGCTTGATTTGTGAGGTATTTGCGATAATCAACAGATTTCTATCTCATAAACACCCATTGTTGTGAGGAGAAGTTTCTTATCTTTGATATTAAGTTTCCGTTTATCAAAAAATTAACAGCAATGATTTCTTTGTCGGAACCCGAATTTTATCGTGAGGAGCAACACAATGCATCTGTCAGATTATTTTATTTTATTTTTTATTTTTTTTTTTTTTTTTCTCAGCCAGTCTTGTTTCGTGAACTCTTCTCGCCCCCAAGCTACCATCAACATAGTTAACAGAACCATCTGTCCCTGTGACTTGACGCAATAAAAAAAAGGATATCGAACTCCTATCTCTTTTGGTGGTTTTTTGAGATTGGCTTATCTAAGATAGGAATTAATTACTTATTTAGGGTGGCTCTCAAAAACGGCTGATTTGTGATAACTATATCTCTCCGGATTTTGTTCAAAAATGTTGCAAAAAATAATTAATTTCCCTTCAAACACAAATTTCTACAACTTTATTAAATTTGATGATTGAGAAATAATTATTTTATTACTATCTACTTATATACTAGTCGGTATATCCAATTAATTCAGAGATAACTTTCAACATCGCAACAACTTTCTCCTCTTGGAATCTTCTACCAACTAATTGTAATGCAACAGCACCACCATGACTTTCATTTGGATCATAATCATTCCAAACTTGAATATCTATGTCATTATAACCAGCAGTACGTTTATCAACTCTATCAAAATCTTTATGTGCTCTAGTCACAGGGAATGTACCAACTGAATAATCAAGAACATTAAATGGTGAAGTATATCCAACATATGTTGGAAATTTCCCAATTGGACTTCCAGCAAATGGTGTAGCTGGCATAATTATAGCATCAATTGGTTTACCATTTTTAGTAACTTTGCAAGTTTCATTCCATCTATCCAAATAATCTTTCATCAATTTAGTTCTTTCACTTTGTAATTTCCATAATTCAGAAACTTTCATATCTTTACTAGTTCCGTAATTTTCCATATATGGAAATAAAGGTTCTTCGGTTTCCATAGTTTGTTTCAAAACATGATGACCACCATCACTAACAAAAAATTGTCCAATTATCTCTGCCAATCTAACATGATCGACTGGATCCCACTCAATAACATCGTGACCGGCTTCAGTTAATTTTTCAATTACAATTTCCATTCCTCTACGAATTGGAGGAGTTGGTCTAACAAAACCATCATCAGTTAAAACAGCAATATTTAAAAGTTTAGGTAATTCAACATTTCTCCAAGGAATTTCAACACATTTAGCATCATGAAGCCAAGGTTGATGATCAATGATTGATTTACAATAAAATTCCAAATCATCAATAGTATTACATAATGGACCATTTACACTATTGACACTTTCTAAACCAGGTAATCCAGATCTTGCCCCATAAGTTGGAAATCTTCCAAATGAAGGTCTAAGCGAATATAAATTTTGAAAAGATGCTGGAATTCTAATTGAACCTCCAATATCTGAACCAATACCAAATGGAGATCCTTTTAATTTAATTAAAGCAGCTTCACCACCCAGTGAACCACCTGAAGTTAATGAAGTATTCATTGGATTTAAAGTATTCCCCCAAATATGATTTGTAGTTTCTGGCATCATCATAGCTACTGGAACATTTGTTTTAACATATAATATTGCTCCAAGATCACGTAAATTTGAAACTAATGTTGAATCAAAATCAAATTTATCAGGATTAAAACAAAAATTAACCATTCCAATAGTAGTTGCTTGACCTTTAACATTAAAATTATCCTTTAAAGAAATGGGTAATCCATGAAATGGTCCAATTGTAGATCCATTATTTAATTCTTGATATTCATCTAATTTTTTAGCTGTTTCAATAGCTTCATCAAAGAAAATTTCAGTAAGACAATTAGTTAATTGATGAGCAATTGAAGCACGATGACAAAATGCTTTAGTTACTTGTAAAGAACTCCATTTTTGTTGTTTAATATTAGTAACTATTTCAATAGCATTACTTTCAGTGATTTCTAACTCGTGTGGAGTTAAGAAATTACCTTTCGAAATCCAGGATAAAATATCTTTAACATCAGAAGATGGTAATTCAGATTCAGGAATAAGCCAATCTGGGTTAAATTTGGCATCTCTAGCTGATCTTTTCTTTAATGCAATATCTTTGTAAATAGGTTTAATAACAGTCATTATGAAGTATGTTGTTGATAGAATGATAATTATGGAAAACTGGATCGGTAATTTTGTGGAGTTCTTATATATCGCGCGTGGGGGAAGAAAGAAAGAAAGAAAGAAATAAAGTGATTACTTAAAAATATGTAGATAAGAATTGAAAGAATATCGGGTATCGGAATTAATTACTGAATTGGAAAAATCAAAAATAAAAATGGAAGATAATGGATTTTCTATCGAATTATTGGATTACTCTTTCCGACTAAGGTAGGTTAAAGACATTATATGGAATTATGATGATAATGATGAGCCGGTGATTAATTGATAAACCGAAAATTAGTGCCGTGTCCAAGTGGGAGATCTGTTGATTTCTATCTTTGAACTTGCACATTAATGGATATCGATAGAAGTCGTTTGTATTGATTGTTTGGTGCTTTACCATTCCTCGGATTGCTAAATCTTCAGGCGAATTGAAACACATACATGCAAGAAATATTGTATAATTACTATAGCCAAATAATCTTTCTATTTGACAACTTCGGTTGATAACTTTCTCTATTCACATGCGTTCTATAGACTTCACTTCTCCTTATAATCTGCTCAATCATTGAATTCCTTCGCAGCAATAAAATCCATCCAAACTGGGAACACAACTGAAAAAAAAATAAACACATAATCGGAAAATCAGGGTTTTCTCTCAACATCAACATCAACATTCACACACACACACACAATTGAAACTATTCCAAGCCATGTCTACTTCAGAAGATGTCAACCAACGTATCTCTGCATTGGAGGCTCTAGTTGAGAAACAAAGCAAACTAATTGCGCAAACCGGTCAACGATTAATGGAAATGCAAATCAAAAACCTCAAGGGACAATTGGACTCCTCCACCACCACTAATCAACCACCAGTTGATATGTCTGATTATATCACCAATGAAGATATCGTACAACTTGTTACTGAACTACAAACACAATTGGATTCATTAGAAGATAGAACCATGCGAAGAGTATATAACTCAACCCTTCAGTATGATGAAGAAACATTAGCTCCTATTATGAATCGAGATGGTGAGTTGCCGGAATTTGCCGTTCCTAAAACATTACAAGAATTCAAAGACTTATCAAAGAAGGAATTGATCAGACTAGGTGTGTTTTATGAGATTATTGTTCCTAATGAACAAGAGGTTGAGCAAGCGTTGGAACAGGATAATGCTAAGGATGCGATTTTGGATATCAGTAAGAATAAGGATATCGAAGAGATGAGTAAGAGCTTTGATGATGATCAAGTGAATGAGATCTATGACGAGTTGGCCAGATATTTCGGGATCAAACACAAGAGAAACAGCGATGGTTGGTAGTTGGATAAGAAGTGTAGGACAAGTGTCTTGCTGGAGAGTATTTTGTAGAATGCACGACTTTTTTTATATACCATGCTCTCGCTTGACGTGTTAGCAAAACATGTGAGACAGTAGAAATTTTTCAATTATCTCTGAATCACCACCACAACTAGTACAACTACCACCAGCTAGAACAACCATGGCAGAAGAGACGGCTATTCCCGAACCAGAGATTGTCAAGATCTCTGTATTTACACCATTAATCTATGTGGGTGTTGTGTTGACGGTGTTTGTGATATTCTCGATTGTTTACAGAAGAAGACGATTACAGTCGTTCACGGAGATTGAACCATTATTCAAAGAAAACTACCCTGCTGAGATCTATCATCAATTGAAAGCAGCATATGTTGATGCAGATTTACCTAAGGAGAAGAAACCACATGAAAAGGTGATGAAGGCTGCACTTTTGAGAAGAGCAGCTGAAGCGATTAGAAGATCGATGAAATTAAAAGAGAACGAGGGGGCATTTACCAAATTGTATCAAAATGGATTAATTGGAGACGATATTTTCAAACAATACGAGTTCCAGATCAAGTTCCAAGAGTTGGAGTTGAAGGAAATTGTAGCTGAATGTGAGAGTTACAAGAAAGGATGGGTACAGACATTTTTCCCCTTGGCACAAGAGATTTGTTTTAATGAAGCATTGAGAAGAAGATTGAAGGTGTTGGAAGGTGGTAAGTGAGTAGGTAACTAAGTAGGTGTGTGGTGTTCATAATTGTAGAATAGATAGTAATTTCTAGATTACATAAAAGTTATTATTGATAGTTATTATTGAATAATTTTGCAGTTGTTTTAAATCATAATCATTGATTTATACTTGGGTCATTTCAAATATGTCAATTTAAAATAAATTAATTGCATATATATGTATAGATACAAGGTCACGATAATGATCATTGGGATATTATTTTATTTTTTACCAAGAATCACTTACAAAGTTTGACTAAAAATAGATCATCGTAATAATTATAAACTCTGGAGTAGAAAAAAATTATGTATTTCACACAAGCTGTCACTTTGCAACAGTGATAAGCACATCGTCTCGCAAGAGGATAAGAATAATAAACACCTTCTATGATTCGTTTTAGGTTTTCACACCCAAAAATTTAATTTGAGTTTATATCGCCCCGTCTGCGCAAGCACGAGGAGACACAGCCACCAAAATTGCCCAAGAAAATAAAAGTCGTGCTTTGTGCAACAAGTTTACGTAAAGGAACAAAAGAAATCTGAAAATTTTTTGTTAGGTCGTGTGTGTGAGACCCATGACAAAATAATTGGTCGTTACAAAGTATTGTTTCCCATTCAATAATGACATATAGTTCTGTCACATTTCAAATCACAGATGGGTTATGTAATGTTTTGAAATTGAATGAATCGAGTAAAAATAGATTTGAATATTTTTCTCATTCATTCATCTCGGCTACTATGGATACACAAAAGACATTGGAACAGTTTCAATTGTTTTGCTTCTATCACGACGTCATTGTAGTCGCGCTTCCCCCTTCCATCGATCTCCCTCCCTCCTTCCCTCCCTCCACCTGTGGCCGCCCCCTTTTTTTGACGTGGTCGTCGTGAAGCAGAAGAAAAGCAATCTAAAGTTGGAGGAGGAGGAGGCGTATTTTTTTCCCTGTTCTCCCTCTGTAACCCTGTCTTGTTTTTACGACTTAATTATTCAAGGCTTACGATGATGTGCATTGTAAATAATTGCTGCAAAAAGTTAGCATTATCCTCATCTACTCGTTGGTCAAATGTCTTTACAGTTGTTGATGGGTCATTGCAAACAAACAGAGGTTATTAGGAAAACCAACGAAAATGTAACAAGAAAAATATTTAACTCGACTCGGAATCGATTATGTGTGCACGCTGAAATCACCCACTGGGTTATTTTTTTTTCTTAGTATAAGTTTTCTTTTATTTTTTTTTTCTTAGCATATGGAAAAAAACGAAAATGCAAAATAAAATTTTTTTAGTTCTTGGTACACGTCAATGATCCCAAGTGCCCACATTAAACAAAGTACTTGCTAAGCTAAGTTACGTTGAATAAACTAAAGATCAGGTTCTGAAGATTCACATTTTCTCTTATATAAACTCAGATTCCTCCCGCCCTGCCCTCTGTTTCTTTTACTTTTACCTTTTTTTTCATTTATTTGATATTCTTAACCAAACCACTTTTCAACAACTTTCGTTTTCATTATTTTCCAATTTAAGGACACCAACCCTTTACTACGTCTGTTCCCTGTTTGCACTTTACACTTTAGTTTTGTTAGGTCAATCAGAAATTCATCCCTCCTGCTCCCTTCCCATCAATTTTTGTGTGTGTGTGTGTGAGTTTATTGCAAAAAGAAAATTTTTTCTTTTCTTATTTTTATTTATTTTCATTTCCCAAAATCAAATCACATTTTAATTAAATCACACAATTGTTGTATTTTCTTTTCATTATTTCATTCAGTGCTTTTAGAGAGTTTTTATTTCCTTTTTCCTTTATTATTGTTAATATTAGATTTTCAACTCCGTCTTTTTTTTAATATTCCTTGCTACAATCCTTATCCACATAGATATTTCTAAGAATGATTTCTATACTCAAGTCATTACTTACTTTAACTGCCTTGTCTTCTTTGGCCTTGGCTAAATTCGAAGATGTTTCCCCTCCTATTGAAGTTGTCGGTAACAAATTCTTCTACTCCAACAATGGTTCCCAATTCTTGATTAGAGGTATTGCTTATCAACAAGATACTTCTGGTTCTGTTTCTACAATTTCTTATGATTCTGATCCAAATAGAAAATACAATGATCCTTTGGTTGATCCAGAATCTTGTAAACGTGATGTTGAATATTTCATTGCTACAAACACCAACACTTTGAGAGTTTATGCCGTTGATCCTGATAACGATCATGAAGAATGTATGAAGATTTTCAGTGACGCTGGTATTTACATCATTGCTGATTTATCTGAACCAACCACTTCTATCAACAGAAACAACCCAGAATGGAACTTGGATGTTTACGACCGTTACACTAAAGTTATTGACACTTTACAAGAATATTCAAACGTCTTGGGTTTCTTTGCCGGTAATGAAGTTACCAATAACCGTACCAATACTGATGCTTCTCCATTTGTTAAAGCTGCTATTAGAGACATGAAGAAATATATTAAAGACAATGATTATAGAGAAATCCCAGTTGGTTACTCTTCCAACGATGACGAAGAAACTAGAGTTGCCATTGCTGATTATTTTGCTTGTGGTTCTTTGGATGACCGTGCTGATTTCTTTGGTATCAACATGTATGAATGGTGTGGTAGATCAACTTTTGAAACTTCTGGTTATAAAGACAGAACTGAAGAATTCCAAAACTTGACCATTCCAATTTTCTTCTCCGAATATGGTTGTAATGCTAATCGTCCACGTTTGTTCCAAGAAGTTGGTACTTTGTTTTCAGATAAAATGACTGATGTTTGGTCAGGTGGTATTGTCTATATGTATTATGAAGAAGCTAACAACTATGGTTTAGTTTCATTAGATGGTAGCAAAGTTTCCACCATGTCTGATTACAACAACTACAGATCCCAAATTAATAACATTAGTCCATCATTGGCTACTCGTTCCACTATTGGTTCAGCAGAAGCTTCCAGAACTTTGGCTTGTCCAGATAACAGTTTCTCTACTTGGAGAGCTGCCACTGACTTGCCACCAACCCCAGATGAAGAATACTGTGACTGTCTTGCCCAATCTTTTAACTGTGTCGTTGCTGATGATGTTGATGAAGAAGATTACGGTGACTTGTTTGGTGAAGTTTGTGGTTACATTGATTGTTCAGAAATTTCGGCTGATGGTAATGAAGGTGCTTATGGTAGTTTCTCATTCTGTTCTGATAAAGATCGTTTATCCTTTGTTTTGAACCAATACTACCATGACCAAAATGAAAGATCCGATGCTTGTGATTTCGGTGGTAGTGCTTCTATCAATTCCGATGCTGTTGAAACTTCTAGATGTAGTGCTTCAGGTGTTAGTTCTGGTTCTGGTACAAGAAGATCCGGTTCATCTACTAGATCAGGTAGCAGCTCTGGTTCTAGTTCTGCTTCTGATTCTTCCTCAACCAGTACTAGTTCCGGCTCAAGCTCCAATGCTGGTGTTAGAGTTGCTGGTGAAATGTCTATGACTAAATTATTCACCATTACTGGTATTGTTACTGCTTTTGTTGGTGGTATGTCCATTTTACTCAATTAGAAAAGGTATATAGAGTTTTGTCTGTTTTCTAAATTCGTGAATGGGTGGTGACTATTCACATTTGTATATCGTTTAAATTCAATAAAAAAATAAATATTAAAGTTTGAAAAATAAATGAATAATGTTTTTTTTTTCTTTTCTTTTATAATTATCTTTATATATACATATTCTATAATCTAATCTTCAATCTAATTGGTGACCATAAAAATTTCATTTAATGCTTTAGAATCCATAACTGATGCTCTTTTTTGTTTAATCCATTTTGATCTTGCCGAAAGTCTAGATGCAATTGCTGGAGGTGGTGTTGAAGATGATTCTTTAACTTCAATTGTTCGTATCTTGTCTTTCTTGGACTTCTTATCCTTCTTGTCCTTCTTGTCCTTCTTGTCCTTCTTGTCCTTCTTGTCCTTCTTGTCCTTCTTGTCCTTCTTGTCCTTCTTCTCCTTCTTTTCCTTCTTCTCCTTCTTCTCCTTCTTCTCCTTCTTCTCCTTCTTCTCCTTCTTCTCCTTCTTCTCCTTCTTCTCCTTCTTGTCTTTCTTCGATTTCTTCAGTTTTGGTTCATCTTCCTCCTCATCACCATCATCACGATTTCTCTTCTTACTTTCACCTCCATTCTTTTCATTATTCTTATAAGAAATCAATTTCTTACTTTCTTTATCCCAAGTACTACTTAAAGTCTCCCCCTTAACAAATCTCATCCCCCATTTTCCATCAATAATATTATTTTTATTAACATCATCTAATACTTTATTAACACTATCTTCATTACCATTTAATCTACCTAAAATTCTTTGAAATGCATCTAATCCAGCAATACCATCTTCTTCCAATTTTCCATCTTTACCTTTTCTTTTATGTAATGTTGCTCCTAATCCTACATTATCTGTTTTAATTGAAACTTTAACATGACTAGTTAAAGCATGAGATACTAAACCTAATCCGGATCCTTGTTTCCATCCCATTTTTGAAAGATATTGATGTCCAAATCGTGATGTATCATTAGACCAATTTGTGTTTCTTGGATCATTACCAAATCTTTGTTTCACTTTCGTTCCTGCTAATCCCATATTGTTATATTCCTGTTGTCTATAGTTGTAGAATCAATGTTTAAGTGTATGAATAAGAGAGATGCGATTAGGAAATTTTTTTTTTTTTTTTTTTTTTTTTTTTTTTGGTTTAACGTGAGGAAATGGTTTTTGTGTACATTTTTTTTTTTTTTTTTTTTTTCGTTCGTTCATTCTTTCTTTATGCCTACTTAACTACCTAATACAGATAACCAATTATCAGTTGTATAGAACCCACCAAATGATCCTTTTCTAATAAACTCATTTTCTAATAACCATTCAATAACTGAATTGAAATCATTTGCACTTAATAATGAATCAAATTTATTGAAAATTAATTCAAGAGTAACTCCTGGACGGAAATGGAAATGGTACAATACTGCAACAAGGATATCTCTCCATAATTTACTATCAATTTGTCCATTGACATCTAACCAAATTCTTGAACATACTTTACCCGTAGGTATAGACGTTGTCATTCTAGTATCTTCTTCTAATGGAATGCATGTTTCTGGTTTATACACCACAATTTCACAATCTAAAAATCCTTTATTCAACAATCTTGATTCATATCCTTCAAAATCATAGTTCTTGTCAATTCTACCAAGACTGATACAAGATTCAGACACTAATTGTAAAACCTGTGCCATTTGTCCATTGCTTATACCTTGTGACAATATGAGCCCTTTATTTGAATTGATTACAGGAATTAAACTTTCCCTAAACTGAGCTGCTTTATTGAAAAATAACGATTTGATTCTAACTTGTAATGCAGCATATACTTTTTCTGTCAAAACAAAATTATTTTCATTATCATCTCCATAATATACCAATTCTTTATCCCGGATCATTCCTTCTGAAACTGTACGAAGAACCAGCGTTGTATGATGTCTCAAAAGTCTATCAAGTTGTTCTGGTGCACCATTCAGTTTAGATGTACCAAACACAGCTTTGAACACAGTGCGTACATCATCATGTTCTTTATGTGGTGATACTTTCAGTAAATCATTATTATTATTTTCTGTGTTGTCTTCAAAAAATGGAGTATTTGCAAGTTGCATTTCTCTGGTTGTCATAGATTGGGTTTCATAAACATCATACGTTTCATAAGTAAACAAGTTAACTGGAATTCTTTCGTAATGTTTATCATTATCTTCAATATTTTTGTACAATGGCATGACATCTAAAATTTGCTCATATTCAGCCTCATATCTAGACCACAATTCCAAGAAAAAGGGATACTTTATATTTTCTAAATCACTTGAATCAACATCTTCTTCTTCAATGGCTTTGGTTACAATCTTTTCAAATTCCTTGACCCCTCGATTAATAACTTCTGCACCACCAATTGATCTTCGAAGTAACGACCATGATTTTCTCAAGGAATCAACATCAGCGTTATTGAATATTTCACTAATGGAATCAAAATCAATCATATTACGAATAAATGCCTTGGAAATACAAACAGCTCTGAATAATGTAATAGCACCTTCTTCGTCCATTTTGAGCGCAACTGTATTTTTTCCATCTTTGGAACGTCCTTTACCAGATCTCTTTTCAGGTGCTGTCTTCCTTTTAAGTTTCTTTCTAACAATAGATGACACTTCTGCCTTGGGCTCTGGTTTGATTTTAATTGGGATCGCTTCTGGAATTTCCGCCAATTCTCTTTCGTTGAACTCATCTTCAATTTTTTTACTCTTCTTCTTTCTGCTTCTGGTTTTCTTCTTCGTTGTTGTGTCTAAAGCATCATCATCTTCAACCGGCACTTTAACAGGTGGCTCTTGACGAATCTTTCTTGGTCGACCCATTGGACGTCCTCTCGAAGTAGCTTTAGACAAAGATTCCAACCTTCTCCCCTTGAATGGAGAGTCAATAGCAAACAAAGTATATTCAGATTCCACGGTTCTATGACTAGGCATTTGCTTGGTAGTCGAATGACTAGAATCAGTTTTACAGTCTTCTCTAGCCAAATCAATTTGTTCTTTAGTGGGACGCAAACCTTCATCTGTTAGGTAAAATAATGAACGAGTAACATCCTGTCCACTTAATTGCATATGAACCACTTCAACTTCCAAATGACCAGATTCTTGTAATCTTGCAAGATCACGAGTAAGCGTTTTTCGATCACTTTTAGTTGTCGTATTACCAAGTCTGGCATCCAATTCTCTAAGAAATTCAGAACTTGTGTAAGCAACACCACCCTTCTCTTTAGTCATCTCAATAATCAAGTTACGTCTAAGTTCACTTTTACTATCAGCAAAGAGTCTCTCACGAAGTCCAGTATTCTTCTTTTTATTCGATCTTTCCCTTGTCTTTTTTGAAATGAAAATGTGCGTTCCACCATTTTCTTCATTGAAAGAAGTATCACTATTAAACGATGTCTCTTCATTAAATGATACATCATCATTGAAAGAAGTATCTCCATTGGTTATCAGTTGGTCAGTTGTATCAGCTACATTATTCGTAATCTTTATTTCCACCACCTCCAACTCATCATCATCTTCGTCGACATCTTTCATTTCAACATCCTCTTCAGTTGCTTCAGCTTCAGGTTCTTTGTAATCCTCGTCCTTATTTTCTTCTGTGGCAACGTCCTCTTTTTCTTCTTCTTCCACCACCTCGTCGTCATCATAATCATCATCAATAACAATAGGTGGTTTTCTGGCAGCTCTTTTAATTCGTGATAGTATATCATTTCCTTTAATAGGATCCGTATCCTCCAGTTCGTCTGGTAGTTTTCTCTTTTTAGTTTTCTTCTCTACCAGCTTAGTTTGTGGCTTGTTTAGACTACCAAGTCTAGGTTTCTTTACCTTTGGAGTAGTCGCCTTTTCCACTGGTTTTTCTACCACCTCCGGTAGAGTTTCACCTCTTTCTGGGTGGAGCAAAATATTAGCCGATCCTAGTCTCTTTGGTACTTCCACTAATGGGCCTTTACCTCTATCGTTTAATTTTCCGCGTAATCGTTTTTCGACTTTGTTCAAATCACCATCCTTGAATACTTGATTTATCGGTCTTTTCTTCTTTGCAGGTTTAAGTTTCAACTCTTGTGGATAATTATCACGCATGTAAAATCGATAGAATTTGATCTTACCTTCTGATTCACATGTTCGCATGATACCAGTAGATTCATCTTCTTCTGGGAATGGATTCAAATGTTCTAAAGCATCACCCTTTAATTGATAAGATGGAAGAACGTCAAATAACCTCTCAACCATTCTATGTCTTGAATCTCCAAATAATGATCTTATGATTTCTTTAATAGTTGTACCTGAATCTTTCGACTCTTGGACCGCCTGTGCAGTTAACACTGTCAAAGGGAAAAAGTTATTGAACAATACCACTGACTTATTCTCGTCCGTTTCAATATCATCATCGTCATCATCATCTAGAGTATCTCCATTTTGTTGTTTCTCATCACTTTGCGTATTCAAACCATTAAACTCAGATTCGTCATTATCAATTAATTCATCTTGAGGATCTTTCACAAACTTAAGTGCATAGATTAGTTTGTTTGTTTCTTTATCCCTAATGTTAACCTTCTCCACAATTCCTTCATTATGCAAAAATTTGGTAATTGCTGTGAAAAAATGTGACTTGACTTGGGAATTATGCATTCTTAATTCACGTTTCAAATCTCGAAACACTCTAATTTGATGCGGAGCATTCTTACAAGCTTCGATGATATGGTTACGTACTCTTTCACGTGATCTCCAGTAGTATCTTGTACCACCATCTTCTTCTTCTTCGTCTGCGTCTGCGTCATCATTATTTGCTTCTCCGTCTTCATCACCCTCTCCACCTCCTGTGCTCTTTACAGGTGCTTTCTTCTTTTTTGGTTTTTTCTGGTTGTCTTGAGAAGATCCATCATCTATCGTATCACCAACTGATCCTGCGAATTTCAGGTGAATAATTAAATTACTGTGGGACTTTCTCTTAGCATAGAACGCACTTTCTTTGATGATCAAATTGTAGTCTTCTAATTTCTTCAAACGTGCAGTCAATGAACGGTTATCTTGTCCAGTTGCATCTACCAAATCTGGGGACCAGATACCATTTGCGCCATGTTTGGCAATTTCTTGTAATAATTCATAAGGTTTTTCCCCTAACGCTTTGAAAAACATCTTATTATTAGACACCCCGGTCAAATAAAATGCCTGCACTTCATATTGCGGCAATACCCTGACATTCTCTGGATCTGGATAATTCGCAATAAATGTGTTATAGTTTAATGTAATAGGAATTGGATTGTTATTATATGTGACATAAAGTTTAGATTCTTGTTCCGAATCATAATCATCATTCTCAAAGAATAGCCATTGCCAAATTGTTTGTTTCTGAAAGTCGTCTAGACTCTCTGTTTGTTTGAATGATAATTGTATGAATTCCCAAAGCTCTTCAATTGTTAACCCATATTTCCCTGAAAATGAAATTTTCTCAACTGTAAATTGAACAACCTCATATGGGGTACAAGGAAACAGCATCTTTAGATCGGAGGATAAATTATATTAGTGATTCTATAATCTAATTGTCTTGCTTTGCGTCTCCAGTATTTCAATTGTTTATATTCTTTTTTTTTTTTTTTTTTTCTATCAAACCTTTTTTTTTTTTATTAATTCTCTCTCTCTCGCTCTTCCGGCTTTAACCATTTTTTTGTTGAAATTTTAATCTTCATCATCTGAGAGAGAGAGAGAGAGAGATACCAAATAATCTACGTATTCACAAAATGAGTGATTCAGACGACGAACCAATTACTTTGTCTGCTCATGCACTTGCTGCATTACAAGAATTCAAAAATGAAGAACAAGAACGTTTAGAAAAGTTTGAATCCTTGTACCAACAATCCGAAGACAAATTCGATGAACAAAAGAAGCAACAAGCAAACATCACCATCGATGACTTTAAAGAAGACTGGCAATTATCTCAGTTTTGGTATTCTGATGAAACAGCCAGAATATTAGGGAAAGCGTTGTTAGAAGGTGCAGATGATGAAACTGTAGTTGTAATTGCCAGTGCACCTTCTGTTTATGCTGCTATCAAACAGTTCCCACCGGAAGAAATCCCTACCGAACACATCTACTTATTGGAATTTGATCCAAGATTTAAAGTCTTGGCTGGAAGTGAACACTTCAGTGTTTATGATTATAACAAGCCAAATGACATTCCAGAGAAATTACGTAACAAATGTCACAGAATCTTGATTGACCCACCATTTTTGGAAGAAGAATGTCAAACCAAATCCAGTGAAGCTGCCAGAAACTTGTTGGTTAAGGATAGATCAGGTAAAACCAAGTCAGGCGATGATAAATACAAATTGATCAGTTCTACTGGGGAAAGAATGAACGAATTGGTCACCAAGAAGAATTACCCCGACACAAAGATGACAGATTTCTATCCAGAGCATAAAAATGGATTGAGTAATGAATTCCGTTGTTATGCTAGTTTTGAATGTTCGTACTGGAAGTTTCAAAAATAGAGACAAATGTATAGTCATATAAACCCTAAATAGAATCAAGTCGTGTTCAAATCAAAATACTGTATATAAACAGCCATTGCCGTCAGCCATCGTAGGCTTCACTCACTCACTCACCCACCGCAAAAAAAAAAGAATAGGTGAGAAACGTGAGAAAGACAACAAAGTGGTGAAAATTTTTCTCAATTTCAGCAAATTTCTCTCCTTCTGCTTAAAAAAAATTTTTCTTCTTTTTATTTGTTTTATTTCCTTCTTACTTCTTCTTCTTCTTCTTCTTCTTCTTTCTTCTTCTTTCAATTACATCAGTAACCTACATATTACAATGTCATTCTCCGACTTCTCCAAAGTTGAAACTATCAAATCATTGAACGATTTCTTAGCCGACAAATCATACATTGATGGGTATGTTTTTTTTTCTTAGTATGAACGACAGCTCATCATCAATTTTAAATGATGATCTCAATCTTTGGTCCGTGTTTATGAGGTGGATTCAAGACCCACCGCATGAGTGACAAAGAAGATTTAAATCTTTTATCTGATTCCAATTGGCAACGAATTGGAGCTGTTTGTTTTGTTTTGTTACCTATATTTTAGGTTAAGTTTTACTAACATAATAGTTTATAGCTCAGCTGCCACTCAAGCTGATGTTTCTGTCTACAAAGCTTTCCAACAAGCTTACCCACAATTCACCAGATGGTTCAACCACATTGCCTCATACACCGAAGAATTCGAATCTTTGCCAGCCGGTAACGCTCCAGCCGCTTCTGCTGCTGCCGAAGAAGACGACGATGATGTCGATTTGTTTGGTTCCGACGATGATGAAGTCGATGAAGAAGCCGAAAAATTGAAGCAACAAAGATTGGCTGAATACGCTGCCAAGAAAGCTGCTAAAGGTCCAAAACCAGCTGCTAAATCTATCGTCACTCTTGATGTTAAACCATGGGATGATGAAACTGATTTGGAAGAATTGTTGGCTAACGTTAAAGCCATTGAAATGGACGGTTTGACCTGGGGTGCTCACCAATGGATTCCAGTTGGTTTCGGTATCAAGAAACTTCAAATCAACTTGGTTGTTGAAGATGCTAAAGTTTCTCTTGATGAATTGCAAGCTTCTATTGAAGAAGATGAAGACCACGTCCAATCTACTGATATCGCTGCTATGCAAAAATTGTAAGCAAACACACTATATATTAAATAACTACTAGTATATATTATATTTCAAACGTTGTAATTGTTGTAAAAAAAACCTGTAGTCTTTGTATTGATGGTGAAATCCACTATTCTATATTACACATACAAACTATTACACAGGCAAATAATCAATTCCATCATCAAGCCATTCAGTTAAATACTCTTCTGATGTTAAACCCCGTTCCCACACATTCAACACAACCTCTTTCATCGAATACAATGTTCCCATCTGTGCTGTTTCATATAGTGTTTCCATGTAGATCAACAAGGCTGTTTTCTCTTCCTCTGTACGACATTCACATGCAATTGCATATACCGGCCATACCATCTGTGTCACCAATGGAGACTTGGAATTCATAGTTCCATATGTGCTAATAAACTCATTGACAATTTTGCAGTTCATCTCTTTGTAGTCTGGAAAGTCCATTACTCGGTTTAATGTCACCAACACCGCCAATGCCCAGCAGCAAGCACATTTCATTCTGTTCACATACGACTCTTCTCCGGATTCACTAGCAAATGGAACGTAGTCACGGTAGTGTATTAGTTTATCTTTAATATCAGTATACCGTTGGATATAACTGGAACTGTCAAGATTCCCTTGGTGTTTTTCGTGACGGATTAAACAAACTTCGGACATAGCAATGAAAACCTCCCCAGGACAGCCCATAATCTTTGCCGTTGATATAGACTCATTAGCAGTACCATACCACTCGGGCATCGAGCAAGGCAATCGGCAATCTGGACTCACAATGGCAGCTACCGTGTCATACCAACTCAATGCAACACAAAGTGATCGTTTCTTATCATTTGACATCAACACTTCTTCATAAAACCCGTTATCTTGGCAAATTGTTCCAAATACTTGGAAGAAATAGCGAGCCAACCCACTTTTACCCTTTTCCAACACCAGAAACAAGATACCTACATTAATCAACACAAGTATAACAAATGAACTAGAATGTGTTTTGGAAACTTCTTCTTTAGTCATTTTATGGGAATCATAATCAAGTTTCATCTTTGATATAGTTTCATTGATATAACTAATTAGGTGACCCATAGTGCTATTGATATGTCGGATTCCTGTCTCGTAGAATTCAGCCCCTCCTTCTCGACATTCATACATATGCATACACGCTAAGGATATAAAACAACTTCTGGCCACATTGAAATCACAATATTTTAAAGCCAAATCTGGCCATGGTGAACTTGGATGTCCATCCAATAATGGTAAAAGCTTCTTAAAGAAATGCTTGAGTAGGATATTCTCTTCTTCATGGGAAAGAGCTGGAAGAGGGTCCTGGGTAACTTCTTGTAACTGTGTGTTGGTTGTTGCTATCGTAGTCATTGGTGTGGATTCTGTTGAGAGTGATTTCTTTTTGGTCTCCCATTGGTCTTGATCTTCTGGAGATGGGTCAACAAATTCTTCGTAGTGTGACTCCAAATTAATCAAATTTGTCACCAGGGATTGTGCATTGTTGTGATTAGGAATATTTCTGAAATCTACTGTTGATGTGAATAATGTTTCTAGATCCTCAAACCATGCATTATTATTATTATTATTATTATTAGAAGTGGACGATGGAGTTGGTGCTTCATGGGGGAAACTGCTACTTTCTGATTGTTTAACATTTTCGAAAACAAATTTATTTTCATGACTGGCATGTTCTTTCCGTAATCGTTTTGATTCACTATTTCCATCTTTGGATACTCCTCTCTTGATTCCAGTATTTGGCAGCAGTTTTGTCAGTTGAGTATCTGGTGTGGATGATCCCAGAACAATTTCAAACGATAATCTCATTGCGTATCCTTCACAATGCCGATTACTTTTTGAGCAGTTATTACACACAGGCTTGGCTTCATCGCATTTCCTGTGTCTATTACAAACTCGTTAGTACTATTGATACGTATTATAAAAACCTTAAATCATTGTCAACATACCGTTTTTTACAGGTCCAACAACCAGTTCTAACCCTTGTGATTTTATTCCCCATCACTGAAAAATTCTGCCTTGGTATAATTTTGGGCATGAATAGTGATCAAATACAATATTTCTGTAATTCAAGTTCAATTTCAATCAGATTCAAACAAAACCAAACATGGGACTGGAAATTTTTACCCCTTTTGTGCAATTTCCTGTACATATGCAGACAGCAAACTTTTCATTGGTGAGATAAGACAAAAAAAAAAATAAAAGTCTAGCCGCTAAGACCAATAGAATAAGTAAGGTTATCCTGTCACTTTTATGAGTGTTATATTTCTATAACTTGTTATTGGTGGAGAATCTATTATATTTCAAATTGGTTGATTAATGGTGCAAAAGTAGTCCATTTGTATGGTTTATAGTAGATTTGAATTTTTAAAATTTTTTTGTTGTAAATATTGACTAAAATTGTGAATGCTAGGACCAATTCCCGTTGAGATATAATCTATACAAGACATTATTTTGAAATTTTGACACATAGAATCCCAATTTTACAACCATATAGTCACAATTATCACTCCCTAGCACTAAATTCAAACCAAATCATAAATACTATCTCTTTGCTGCTTCTTGTTTTCATCTCGATATATAAATTTGAAACAGTTATGAATGTATAGAAAAAAAAAATTGGTTCTCACACGAAAAGTAGCAGTTTTTTTGACAATTCTTTAATGAACATCCAGTTCACAAGCGACAAGATTTAGAAAAGAATAAAGATAATCATCATATATTCTAAAATATAGATTGTATTTAAAAGATAAAAATAAATATAAGTAGAAATAAACAACGATTATTTCCAATAATTTCAAAGAAATACAATAAAATTATCTTCATTCATACCATCACCATATCATTTACATAATGGTACAGTTAGAAGCCATGTATCCTCTACCATTCAAGACACGAATAACAGCATTATCTTTAGAAGCAGAAGAAGTGGATTGAGTTTTAGCATTAGAGTTGTTGTTAGTTTGTTGAGCAGCCATTGTTGATTATTTGTTGTTTGTTTGTTTGATAATGATAAAAGAAAAAAAAACAACAATTTTGGTGGTTAATCATATCTCTTTATATACTTTTGTAATACTATGATAAACTATTGAAGTATATATATTACTTGCATATAACGTTTTTAAACAGTTGAGAGTGTCTTTTTTTCACTCCTTCTCTTTGAAAGAGTTTTTAACATGATTTGAAAAATTTCCTATTTCGTCGATAACAATAAAGACAGTTGTAGATTGGCACCATTTTTATTTAAATGGGTTACTTTATTTACGAAAAGATTATTGATAATGAAAAATTCCTATTATGTTCACTACAATAGTATGAAATTAATATAGACTTGACTAAAAAACGATAATCTGAATTATATCACACACATTTTAATGTATATTTGTTTCACATTTGTTGTTTGTAAAGTCAGGCTGTTCAAGTAATAAATGATCAGTGCAACAACAGGAGTTTAACTAATGACTGGAATATTCATATCCCTTAATTTGAACCATAAAATTTCAAGAGTTTGGTTTCACTGATAAAATAATAATAGTTAGCAAGTTTGGTTGGTAAGATATGTACTCATAAATTTCATCATTATACAAATAATCATATCTCTTTGAAAACACATAACCAAAAAAAAAAAAAAAAACACTCATTTATTTAACATATGTATCCTATTTAAAATCTTATCTACAATCTTTTTAATCTCACTAACCTCTGACTCGGACAAATCTTCAGATTCAAGTACCGATAACAACATATAATAAGCTGTGCTATAAGAAATCAAACAATTTTTAACATCTTTTCGATTAATTTCTGAAATGGCAGACTCTCTAGCAATCTGGATAGCCCGCTGGTAAAGCAATACATCTGCACTAGCGGAAGATTCAGTAACTACTGGTGGAGCCATTTCACTAAGTATTTGGAAACGTTGTAAACATACATCATATAATTGTGAATCACATTTTCCCGAGATATTCATTCCCTTTGCAAGTAACGATAATGCCTTGTCATATAACTTCATACCATCCTCAGCAATTTTCTTTACGATCTCATCGGGTAAACCAATTTCTTCTTCATCTTCAATAGTGTCTGAAGAAGGTGGAGAAGGAATAACCTGTTTGTACTTTACATCTGCCAATGTCTTGACAGAATGAGCCATATTTGCAAGCATTTCAAGTCTCAGTAAAACCATATCGTCATTTTCTGGGGTGCTAACAATCGCTGTTACTGCAATAGAAGGCCCTGAACCACTACCATATATTAAATCATCATCAATGACATTTTCAGCAATTGCAGACACTGGAGTCGAAGAATTTGTCGACTGTTGTTGATTTGTAGCATTAGTCCCAAATAATTTATGACTTGCCAAGAATAAGGCTTTACTTAATGCATTTGTAGGCGAGATTGATATTTTCCTCTCTGTGAAACTTGGTCTTCTGTTACTTCCTGTTGATGATGTCCTTCTTTGTCTTGGTGCACCGGATGATATTGCATTTGGTGTGGTATTAGCAGACGTTGTAGTTGGTAGCTTGTCAAAAATATCATCAATGATTTCCTTTCTTTCAACAACAACATAATCTTTATCTAATACTAAATCATCCTTCTGGGTTTCTTTAGAATTGTCATTAGTTAATCTATCCTCTCTTGTAGATGAGGAAGGAATATCTGTTTTTGGAGATGGACTCATGACAGGTCTTTTAATCGTTTCCTCTACTTCAATGTTTTGTGTCCTTTCCTCCTCTTCTTCTTTATTTTGTTCCTCTTGATTCACAATTGGTGTTAATGGTATTGGATTAATAAATTGTGATCTTTCTGATGGCTTAATTGGACTGATATACTCGCTAATAAATAGATTTTCATCCATTTCCGAAGTCTCTAACGGTTCGTCAGTCTCTTCTAAATCACCAGTTATTAAAGGATGACTGAAAAATTCATTGAACGATATTCTCTCAGTTGGGTTGTATTTCAATAATGATTTGATCAACGACTTTAACGATTCTGGAACTTGTGCAGCACTAGGGAATTTAATCCTATCATTTGCCTTTTCAATATTCTTCAATAATTCGATATGATTTCCAGCTTTAAATGGTGGTTTACCCACCGTCATTTCATACAAAACAGCGCCAACAGACCATAAATCAGCTTTCGCATTATACTTTTCATATCTTAAAATTTCTGGTGCCATATAAAGTGGTGATCCACATAATGTTTCTGCCATAGAAGTCGATGGCAAGAATCTAGCAAATCCAAAATCTGCAATCTTCAAAATGGGCAATTCCCATAATCCCACAAATTCTCTATCAATAAATTCTTGTTTTGAATGTACTGGTGGACACAACAACAAGTTTTGTGGTTTGATATCACGATGAACCAAACTTTTACTTCTTAAAAAACTCAATGCAGACGATAACTGTTTCAAAAAATGAAGTACCAAAACCTCATTCAATCCATGTGATCCTTCTGGTGAAGGGTATCGTTGTAACAAACTGGAAATAACTGGATGAGTTTTCACCAATTGATTTCTTCGTCTTATAAAGTAAGACAAATCACCCATAGAACAATAATCCATAACCAAATGGAAATAACTCGAAGTTTGTTTATAATCCAATAATCCAACAATATGAGGATGTTTCATATTTTTCAAAATCAGAATTTCAATTTCCAAGTTCTCAATAAGTTTCTTGGATTTTAATTTAGATCGATACACGGATTTTATAGCCACGGCTTTATTATTGGTAGTATTGATACATTTATAAACTGTGGCAAATGACCCTTTTCCAATCTCAGGCCCTATTTTATAAACTCCAATATATTCCATTTTACTATTAGTATTTGTTGATGAGACAGTACTTGTAGTTGAAACAGTGGTGGCAACTGAGTTTGCAGGGTTTGTGGACCCAACTCGTGTTTCCTGGATTCCTATCCCTATATTTCCTTCTGGGCGTGGTATTCGTTGGTGATGAGGTGGTTTCGACATTATATAACCGTGTTACTCCTGTTAGTGTATATGATTTGGTTGTAAACCTGATATCAATTTAGAATAGTGCTTATAATTGATTAAGGGTGGGGAGTAGTAAGAAGGAAAAACAACAAAAAAAAAAAAAGTCAAATAGTAGGGTCCGTATAACAGTAATTTACTCTTGCTGTGCCTAAAAGGAGTGACAACAATAAGGAATGGATATCGATGAATAAATACTTTTAAACAAAAGATAGATAAACACCAGTGAATTCTAATTTTATAAAGTCAATAATCAATGATTAACTGTGAATTGTAGTCGTAGGTTTGTAAAAATCTTGTATTACAAATCAAGCTTATAAAAAGCAAAAAAAAGAGTCAAACAAAATCAGGCAAAAAAAAAAAAGCAAGACCGAACCGCGATAAAGAAAATCCAAAAAAAAAAAGAAATCAGTGACAACGGTTATCAGCACGTGTAAAATATCACATGACTACAATCAGATCATATCCTGATTAACTCCATATGCATTTCATATTCTGATATTATTTACAGTATACAATTCTACTTATGATTTCAGTGGTTGTGCTTTTTTATCTTCATTAGTAGTAGATGATGAACAACCAATATTATCACCACCATCATTGTGGCGCTGTAACAAACCAACTGTAACAGAATTGGATCTGAAGAAAGACGGACGATTCAGTAAGAACTTATTCTCTGATTCCTTAACAATTAGTTCTTCATCATTATCTAAATGTTTAGCATTTGGGAAAGGTGAATAAACCGGACCTTTCTTGTAATGATTATTGAATTGATTGTTGCAAATGTTCTGCCTCAACGATTTCTTTCTTTCTTTCACAACTGGTGGTCTTATAGTAGCAGTTGATGCTGTTGTTTTTGGATTTAATGGAGATGATATCTTAACTGTACTATCCTGTAATGAAACAGGCATGCCCAGGTTGGTATCCATTGATGTGTTCCTGTTCAGATCATTTGTCAAGGTTGCTGTCGACACATTGGTTGAAATAATAGCTGGGAATGAACTATTATCGTAATAACCATACCCGGATGTATTATCACCGCTATCTTCACCAATTAAACCATCAGGAACATCTTCAAATTCAGGTAACCCATCATGGAAAATAATTGGCGTCTGGAATCCATAGTTTGAACTATTATTTGAACCACTGCCATTATTGCTACTATTATTATTATGGTTGTTATTATTATTGCTAGTTGATCCTAATGTTGGTAAATTGGAATCGTGGGATTTTGCTCGCCCTGTTAATGATAAAAAGTTGGCTCTTGAGATAGGTGCAACTTTAGACTGGAAAGCAAGAGTCAAATTCTCTTCATCCGACTCTTCATCTTCTTCATCTGAACTAGAACTTGAGGAATATGACGAGTAGGAATCGCTGCTTGAATATCTATTCATTATTACAGGAGCAATTGGATCTTCATCCGAAGACAAACCACCAGTATTAGCATTAGAGTGAGTATTACTCTTATGGGTATCATTAACGGTAAAATTAGCTCCTCTAATACCAGACTTCATCAGATTCCCTAAATTGAAAGCTTTAAACTTTTCTGTAATTGTGTTTGTACCATCACCAGCATTGTTATATTTGAAATGTTCTTCCAAACGAGGAATGTCGGACTCGGACAAACTCGATTTACGTCTTAGTTGTTGAGGAATCTGTACACCTTCGTCTTTTGTACCTTTCATTTCTGATTTGGTATGATCATTTCTGCATTTGGTGTATTCTTGATACTTCATAGTCAAATAGTCATCATTGATACTATCCAAAGATGCAAAACTTTCACTCAAAGGTAAAGACATAATGGAGTCATCTGGAAGCCCTTTTTCATCACTTGAAATACCACCAATTGGACCAATCTTCAAAGATGGTTTACTATCTGTCTCTTGATTATGAAGAAGATAGTCACCAAACATTTGATTACTCTTGTTAGTAGCAGGTTTTGAAGCCGCAGGTACAGGAATTGGAGCAGCAATGTTTGTGTAATTCTGTACATGTGAGTGTTGATGTTGGTATGGCGATGTCGTCGACTCGTAGGATAATGAACTTTTAGCAGATACAGCTTGTGGTTGCGATCCATGAAGTGAAAAAAGACTAGATCTTCTTCTCTTGTCATCCTCAAGTTTGAGTCCCTTGATGGTTTCAACCGCAGATTGGTTAATTAAATACAAGTCGCCACCAACATTTCTCTTTGTTTCAATCTGTGGTGCTTCTGATACAGATATACCAGCTGAACTACCTCTTCTACTAGAGGAATTACTATGACTTTCAATCATATCTTGCAAAAAACTCTTCCCAGCAGCAGTAGCAGCAGCAGCAACGGGTGCAACCACCGCAGCAGCAGTTGTAGTAGTAGTGGTGTTGGTAGTTGGTTCTCGATTGCCTGCAACGGAAAATTGATTATTTGGAAATACTGCTGAAGCCGACGATGAAGAAGTTGATGAGTTTGGTAATTGATTAGACAATGCTGAAGGGAAATGAGGGTTGGTTTTGTTGTCGTGAATTCCGTTTCCTTGTTTGAACTGCATCAAGGACGACATTTTAGAAGAAAATACCTGAGGTGGAGGTGTTGCACCTGATATTGGCAAACCTTCTGATAAAATCATCGAATTGTTATTGTAATTATTATATCCGGCAAGTTTGGTACTTGAGTTGAAATTGGAGTACCCACTAGATGATTCTTCGCTGTTTTCACTCTTTGAGTGTTCAAGATGTAACGAAGCAAATTTATCTCTTATTTCACCATCTTTTAACCCACCGGCACGAATTGCTTTAACCAAACTTCTTTTGAATCTGGTACCAATTCCAATAATTGCATTATCGATTTCTGCTTGCAGAATGTCGTGTTCTTCTAAGTTGAAATTCAACGGTTCCTTGGCAGTTCCATTATGGTAAAATAATTCATTCATAGCTTCAATATTATCATCCAAATCCATCAAAGTAAATGGGTGTACTTTAATGTCAGCAATTTCAATTCTTGATTTTCTGTTCTTATCCAACATTCGGCATAATAAATCTTTCGCTAATTTGAATTCATCTTCAGAAACCACACCAGGTGATTTAAATGATTCAATATCTTTGGGAAATTCTAAAGGTTGACTGACAATAACTTGGAATAGATCGTATTCAGTTTCTGCATTGAATGGGACTTTGCCAAATAATAGGCAATACAATGTGACACCAAGAGCCCAAATATCAATTTTGTAGTCAACTTTTGGAGGTCTTGCCGACCCATTACTAGACATACGTCGTTCACCTGGAGCTGCAACCGATTCATCGGGATTAAATTGACATAACTCAGGAGCAAAAAATGCTGGGGTGCCTGCAGTTTTTGCTAAATCTAATTCATTAACCAAATGTCCTTCTTCATTTTCGGCCAAGGAAGATGCAAATGACACACCGAAATCACTAATTTTGACCACATTATCGGCAGACACCAACAAGTTTGCCGGTTTAATATCACGGTGCACAATTCCTTGCATATGTAAATATTCCAAGCCTAACAAAACATCGCGGAATATTTTTCTTGATTGCTTGAATGTTAAATTTGGAGAAAACTCGTCAGATAACAAATCGGTTTCATTGGCGAAACTATGATGTTTTTGTGGTTGTTTGTTTATCCTACTTCCACAGCATGGGATTTCATTGTCATCAATGTCATAGCATTTATTATCCACTGTAGACTCCTTTTTATCAGAGGATGATTTCTTCCATTTGATTTCTCCCTTTTCCATATATTCCAAAACAAGATAGATCTTTAAGGAGTTTACATCGTCCAAAACTTCTTTCAATGCAACAACGTGTTTATGATGACATTTTTTCATGATGGCAATTTCTCGTTTAATTTTCAATTCATATTCATTTACAACTGGACCAGTGGAATCTTTTCGTAAACGCAATGCTGGTCTTTCCTTTCGTGACTTTCTATTGACAATCTTGATTGCAACCAATTCGTTTCGTATCAAATCTCGTGCTAGTTTCACTTTACCGTGTTCACCTCTGCCAATTTCCCTTAAAATTTCATAAGTATTTAAAACCTTTCTCCTAGTGATCGGATCATACTCCAATAAAATATGGTTGGTCTCTATAACTGGGGATGATTGGTATGATTTATTAGGGAAATAATTTGTATTATTGCTTGTGGATCTTGTTAATGGAGTAGTAGGAGATGAAATACCAGATGTTGTAGAAAATTTAAGTAGCCGGGATCTTGAGCCAAGGTCAGGATAATTATCGGTAGTTGCCATCGGAGGAACAACCTTCAATTCTGGAATGGTTTCATTACCAACAAAATGTGGTTGGCAATTATGACTATTGTGATCTATTAATGAGGAAGTTGAACTTTTTCTGGATGATGAAACAGATGATTTTTTAGGAATCACAATCCCACCCGTTGGGCCGACTTTATAAATCAAACCGTGCTTCAAATCATCAGTGGACATTTGTCTAGGGGAGATTGGTTGGGAATAAGAATCATTACTCTTGACACGTTCAACATGGTTGGATTTGGAGACAAAATGGTGTTCATTTATTGTATGGATCGGAGTGGGGTTTGTTGTCGTGTGAGCACCACCACCACCACCTACACCACCGTTACTAAAACCTGTTTCGATTGGATTGTCCAGCAATTGATCCTGGCGAAGGGAATTGGTTCTAAATATAACAGGAGTATTGGGTACTGGGGCAGCACCGTTTGGCTTTGATGTGTTTTCAAGGTTTAGACTTAAAGCATTCTTAGTATTCAATTGTGGTTGCTGGGATGGTTGTCGACGAGAGTTTGGGTCTTGACTGTTGGGGACAAATTCTTGATGCATTAGAGATGCAGATGATGCTGTCATTATAATCTATACTCCTTCTCTTATTCTTGCTTCTCTTGAGTTAGTTCTTATTGACCTCTAATGATAATTTTAAGATAATTGTTAAAGAAATGATTAGAAGTGATTTTTTAGCAGAATCAAGCAATGTAGTGAACATAAAGAATATGTTGTGTTATTTTCGTTGTTTCTCGGTGGGAGGAGTAAAGGTGGATGAGTTAAATTTTAATGAGCCCTTTTCCTAGATGATATATTTAGTTGATATTATTTCTTTCAAAGTTGTAATGTGCTCTTTTTTGAATAATGATAATCAGTTGATTCGATTTTTTTTTTTTGGTTTGGTTCAAAGAGAAAAGGAGGGTGGATTTTTTTTTTCTTTGGTGTGTGTCTACGTGTGTATGTCTCTGTGTGTGTGTGTGTGCGTGTGTGGAGGAGAAAAAAAATTGCTAATTTCACTATGACAGAATCAAAGTGTGTAGTGTAGTGTAGAGTAGTGTATATTGTGAGAAAAACTTTTCGTTTTCCGTTCTGTGACTTTCTTCAGATAATTTTAAGTCACGCTTCAGTGGCACCATCTCTCCGAGCTAACTTTTCTCTGACCTTGCTTTTTTTTTTACCCCCGATTGTGGTTGAAGTTGCAATATTTCCATAAACACACACGGGCATAGCTTACATTGATCAACTTTGGTTTATTTGGTTAATTATTTGATAGTAAGATTAAACTTATTGACAATAACTTATTGAAAATTTTTTTTTCATAGAAAAGAATATTTCCATCCCTTTATTTAGAGTTGTAATAACAACGTTAAAGTGAATTTTTCAGTATAACCGCTTAAAAAATAATGAAATTAAAAACTTTCTTTTAAAAAAACAAGAAGTAAAGGAGTATTCAGAAATGGTAAAAGAAACCTTGTTTGCTTTTGATCTGAATAGTATTTGAAGTAGTTTGAACCTTGGCAATTTGTTAACTAAGACACCTCTAAGTCAGACCACATACTATTTGTGATCGAGTAACCATCAATTGGCTCTAAACCAAATAGACTGCGAAATTAAAGAAAGACAAAATAAAAAAAATTGGATTTACGATGGGATAATAAATAGCTAATATCTGTAGACAAGAAGAAAGTATATTACATTGGGGATAATAATGTAGCCTATTCCCACCTTACGCACACCCTTACTCGCACATTCTCCTCTGATTTATATATATTTATCATTATCATCCCTAAACTATCGTAATATTTCAAACTATCATCAGATACTGTCTCCAAGGTGACCTTCTTTGTTTTTAGAACTATAATAACAGAAAACATTTGGCCGTCTGCATAAGAACACATGATCTTTTTTTAATTTTTTGGGGGGTTGAATTTCTTAGTTTTACCTTTAGTTTTAGTTTTAGTTTCAATCACCTTTCATAAAAGATTATTTGATCTATAATTACTGTTGTTGGTCCTCAGTACACATATGACTGCATACAATTTCCCCCAGAAATAAAAAGAGACGGAAAAGTCGTGCATATCATCCCAAAGGCAATGAAAGGGGATTGAGAGAGAGAGAGCACTAACAACAAAAAAAAATTATTACCAGAGCCCGGTTTGTGTAGTTTTAAAGATCGATAACCCCGAATTATATAGCTGTATTCTAACTCCTTAATATAAAGTGCAAAATAAGAACATGCAAAAAAAAAAAGAAAGAGCCAAAGACTTGGTTCGTAACTGTAAATGATTAAAAAAAAGCCCACAAGAATCTGTTTATCTCCACGAAATGTTATTCTTAACCCATAAAATTCTAGACCTTAACTCTATTACCGAATGTCCCACTGGTAATCACCCCCAGAAAACAATACGAAATGGTTAGAGGAAAGAAAGAAAAAAAAAAAGAAAATGTCAGAGTTAATAAGTGGGACACAATGGTCCATTGCAAAAAATTTTTCTTCTTTGTTCCCTTTGATGGCTAGCTTTAATCATCATTATCATCACCACCATCATCTACAACTCATCGTTGTAGTGATTCTACTCTTTACAAGTTTAATCTATTGTGTTTAACCAGGAATAAGTAAATGATATATATATTACGTGGAATAAATAAGTTTATAAATAATTGTTCAATAATTCGTTTCAGTAAAAGCATTAAATGTTTTTAGTTAGGGTTTGTATGTATGTGTCTTGATATTGGCATAATGTGGGTTGGTATGATGATAAAGTTGTTGTTGTTGTATCTTTTTTTTTTTTGGTTTTAGTTTTGTTTTTTGGGTCATAGATTGGTTTCGTGTGAAGGGGGGGCAATTTAATAGTTACTCTATTTACTGTTGTATAATAGATCTGATGTAGTAGATGTGGTTGTTGACCTCGAAAGTTCACTGAATATTTCTTCATTATCGTCATCGTTATCGTCGTCTTCTGAATAATGGTTGAAATCTAAAAATTCTTCCATTTCAATTTCATAATATGATCTCTTATGAGTTATAGGAGTTGTGTTAGTTAGGGTGGTACTTGTTGATGTAGTTGAGTTGATCGATGGTGATTGCTCTATAGAGAATGGAGATGTAGGTTGACTTGGTTGTTGTTGATGTTGTTGATGTTGTTGCTGTTGTTCCATGACATTTGATTTGAGTGATTTAAATTCTTTAATCAAAGATAATAAATGAGATTTCAATTCTAAATTTTCATGGTCTATAAGTTTGAGATTATTAGATAGGGATGAAATGTTATTATAATCCGGGAGTAAATCTGTGAGTGCAGCTTGTTTAGTATTGGTTTTATGTTTTCTGCCTGGCTTTGATCTAGGAGGTAAGACCCAATTCTTGGAAGTCTTCAAGTTAATTGGTTGTTGTGCTAAACATGATATTGGTTAGTATTGAAAATAGTTCTTCTATTATTGCCTTGAATGTTCAATAATCGGTGACTCTCTGACTCTCTCTCGTGTACTTTGAGAATATCAAGAGCCAACGAAAAATATCAATTCCGGAACACAGCGCTACACATACCAATCATTGTATAATATTTAATGTGAAGGGTAAGAATAAATAAGAATAAAACAAGATGAATTGAAAAGAAACTTCTTTTGATGAAATAGAAAGAAGAAAAAAAAGAATAAAAATAGTTGTGAAAAGTAATTGCTGTGAAATATCAAAAACCAATTTCAATTCCAAATAAAAAAAAAACAAAAAAGGGAAGAAATTAAGATGAGTTTATATAAAATCAATTTGTTAGTAACTCCTACTTTTGTTATTTTATTTTATTTTATTTTATTTCATTATAAAAATTTTCATTGCAAATTTTGTGGGACACAAAATTCAAGGAACATAATTGTGATCGTAGACTAAATGTTGTGTCTGCATAACTAGATCGGATGGTTACGGGATCATCATTTATTGCAAATTTTACCAGACACGGTTTCCCAATAGGGCAACAGGTTCAGACATTTGTATGGTTTCGCGAACATTCTGTCTTTGGTTTTTGGTCAAATTTTGACATTGATTGTTAAAAATAAATTAGTGCATTACTGGTCGGATCGGATATGCTCAGTTAATTAATACCAAGGTCGTTGTTGGTTTATTTTGGTATTCTCTCCGTAGTGGATAAATCTGGGGCAGAAAACCAATGCGTGTCTAAATTATTCCTATCCAGCTTACTTCGTTGGTTATTTCATTGGCACAAAAAGTTTCTCTCTCTCTCTCTCCCATCATCACAGTCGGGTTTAAAATAAATTTCAATTGAAGAGATTATGACAAAATGGAAAAACACCTCAACCTTTTTAAAGAGCAAATGGATTAGGTGTATACATTTGATGGCCCTAAGATTTCTTTCTTTTTGTTTAATCTTATCGTATAAGATCTTTCTTCTATTTACAAGGGGGAGGTGGTCATTATCAGAAAACGCAATTTAACGAGGCATGTCATCTGTTTACTTCACTACACGGAGTCAACTGGTTATTATTATTATTTTATTCATACAACAATTTATACCCCCTTCATTAATTAGTGTGTTTAGTTATGACTGAAAAATAATTCAAGATGAGATACAGTGAGAGGAAAGAGGAAAAATAAAAAAAAAAAAAATTTTTATTTGCAATTGCAATTGTAAACCATCTCTTACACAAATTTGGATTGTATCCAGGACAGTCTAAGATGTGAATTATCGTTATTTTAATAACCGATGGATGGAAACTCAAAAAAAAAAAATATAATAAAAGACACGTTAATCATTGATTGTCATTATTACTGGGCTCTTGTGATCTTTCACAGTACACACAATGTAGGGTAGAGCATTTTCGTTTAAGTTTATAAAACCAATGTAGTTATCATGAACAGTCTAGATTTTAAGGCAAGCGCAAACATAAATTGCCCTGTTTTGGTTCACAAAATGTATGAAATACATGCTTATCCACCGTCACGTATACATGAACTACGATAATCCTTACATATTCACCTGGAGTAATAGGAGAAACACAGTATGTTCTTTGTACACCAAGGCGAATACTGGACACCAACAAAATTATCAATGTTATTCTCTTACACACACATTGTTCTAATAATTTATCGATCTGATACTAGCTGGGCACAAACTCAAGACATCGCTTGCACAATGGGCGAACGCCAGCCCGTTTCAGTTTCATCTTCATTTGCAATTTCAGTTTGAGTTTGAGTTTTTGTTTCTTTGCTGCTGCTGTCGCTGTCGCTGTTGTATTGCCGCGGGATGACTCAGGTTAACAATACGTGTGAAAGAACAAGAAGAAGAAGACAAAAAAATAAAATATAGGATGCGGATTTATTTTTATTTTAGGTTGTATGTGAGCTCTTACTGACGAATGCCTTTAATTCACGATCGTACAAGTTGATCTAAAAGATGAAGACGCCTTTATGACAAATATGCGCTTAGAATCAGCTATTACTCTAATCCCTTAATGAACTATTAAAATGGGAAAAATAGGGGATTATAAGAGATGAATTAGAAATCAAAATGTAACTTCAAAAGTGTTCCAAAAACTTGTTTTTGATTAATCACTGTGTGTGTGTATGTGTGTGTGCATTTTTTTTTTTGTTTAAGGTTTAAAATTTGTTCTTTCCCATTCTTCCTTTTCCTTTTCCTTTTCCTTTTCCCGTTATGTGTCGATAAATAATATTAGAATCTTTTATAGACCCTAATCACTACCAAGACAGAAAAAAGAAACCCTTCATTGTTCTCTTACACCAAGCATTAATTATGGGAATGGGTTTAAGTTATTATTTTCATCTTGAAAATGTGCCTTTTTGAATTTTGGATGTTTGTTTATTTTTGCTTCCAATTTTGATGGCAAAAAATTCACAAAAGAGAGAAAAGAAAAAAATGTCTGAAATTCGTATTACCCAGAATTTTCAGCGTCATCGTTTACACAAAAGTACACGACTGGATTTGCTGTCAGGCAGGCAAATCTCCTTCCTTATATCCATGGCTAACATTATTGACCAATTAATGCAATTTTGATTATGTCACTTCTCCAGTCACGACACAAAATTTCATACACTTTAAAAAAAAAAAAGAAAAGGAAAAAAGAAAAACAAAATCAGACATTTTAATTTAGTTTATGGAATTCTCACCAAACTCCGTAACCAATAATCTACTGGGCATCTAATACAAACTAAACTCCTTTAATTACAACTATATGGAGATTAGGCTCCGTGTTAAAAGGGGTCACTCACTCACATAATTCTCAAAAGACACAATGAACAAATGTCCCACGTATTACACTTAACCCATCATTAGAAATCCCGTCCCCTTTTGAGACGTGTTTCTGTGTTAAAACATGGGGGGTTTGAAAAGATTATCCAAAAACTTCAAGTGGGTTTACATGTAAACGCATGTTCTGTTTCGATAATTTTCGCTTCCATTTCGGAGTTGGTGATCCTGTAGTGCATCTGCATGTTGATTCCATTTTTAATTAGAGGCTTTTTATTTGTAACAACAACAATAATAATAATAATAATTAAACTTGACTCTGTAACAAGACACATACCAAGATTTAACAACCTAATAATTAATACACACATTGTTCCCAATTGAGTCTTAAAAAAAAGAAAAAACTCCGACGAAAGCGAATAATGGCTAGAGAAATTATATAATCAATCGTGTGTACGATAATTCTTATTATTATTATTTATTGTTATTATTATTCATCCACACAACCCATAGGATGATTCAAGTCCGGGGTAATGTCTGTTCAATCTTTGTTAATAATTTCTAGACGAACGGGAAATATTATCAAACACGCAACCCTTTTATTTTTTTAGTTTATAGGGAAGGAGAAAGTTCCGATATTGTTTATTAATTTGCAATTTTCTCATCGCGTATTTCTCCTTTACTTCCCTGAAACCTTAAATTTAAATTAACATGAAAATGAAAATTAAAATAACAAAAACGGAAACTGGTCTTGAAACCTTTCCGGTCCTCGACGGTTGACTTACGTCATAACCCATCCATTCCGTTACTCTCTCTGTGTGTACGTTTCTCTCTGTGTGAGAGTGTGTTTACAATGTTCTTCTTTAATTTCATTAAAAATTCGTGTAATTTTTGCTCTTAAAATTTATTCTTTTTTTTTATTTATTTGTGAATTTATATAATCTATATATATATATCTGATATCATTCCCTATTGTTGAACTGGCATAGAAGTGGATGGTTTCAAGATTTCTTCATCAACTAAATTAGTCTTCCAGGCACTAGTGATAGTCTTTGGTTTAGTCAAGAAAGTAATACCAGCTTTACCATAGAAATTCAAATCACCCAAGAAAGAACCTCTTGAACCAGTGAATGAAAACATTGGCAATGGAACTGGAATGGGAACATTAATACCAACTTGACCAACATCAATTCTTTTAGTGAAATATTGTGCAGAGCCACCAGAAGAAGTAAACAAGGAAACACCATTACCATATTTATTGTTATTAATCAATTCAATAGCTTCATCAATAGTATCAACATTAACAACAGATAAAACTGGTGCAAAAATTTCTTCATCATAAGCTCTCATACCTGGTTTAACATTAGTTAAAATAGTTGGTGCCAAAAAGTTACCTTTGGCAAATCTGGCATCATCTGGTCTATAACCTCTACCATCCAATTCTAAAACAGCACCATTGGAAACAGAATCAGCAATAATTTCTTCAGCACGTGTTAAAGATTCTGGATTAATAACTGGACCTAAATCACTCTTTGGATTAAATCCACTACCAGTGTTTAATAATTTAGCATCTTTAATAACATCTTGAATCCATTCTTTAGTTTTACCAACAGTAACTAAAACAGAAATTGCCATACATCTTTGACCAGCAGCACCAAATGCAGCCCCATTAACAGCATTAACAAAACTTTGTTTATGAGCATCTGGTAAAACAACTAAATGATTCTTGGCACCCAAATTAGCTTGAACTCTTTTACCTAAAGCAGAACCTTTTTCATAAATATATTTACCAGCTTTATCACCACCAACAAATGTTAAAGCTTTAATTCTTGGATCTTCAATCAATTTATTAACAGTATCATGTTTACCATGAACAATGTTCAACACACCTGGTGGAACACCTGCTTTTGCAGCCAATTCACAAATAATCATACTTGCACCTGGAACTCTTTCTGAAGGTTTAATAACAGCAGTATTACCAGTAACTAAAACTAATGGTAATGACCAAAGAGGAACCATAGCTGGGAAATTAAATGGACAAATAGATCCAATAACTCCCAATGGTTCTCTAATCATTTTAGTTTCCATATCAGTTGAAACTTCCAAAGTTTCTCCTTTTAAATCATTAGTTATATTACATGCAGCTTCAGCAACTTGTAACCCTCTAGTAACATCACCTTGAGCATCAACAAAAGTTTTACCTTGTTCTAAAACAATAACACTAGCAATTCTATCCATATTTTCACGTAATAATTGAACAAATTTAAATGCAATACCTTGACGTTTAATTATACTAGTATCTCTCCATTTTGGAAATGCTTTATGAGCTGATTCAATAGCTTCTTCTAATTCTTCAGGAGTAGATTGGGGAACTTTTGAAACAACATAATTAGTTGCTGGATCATGAACATCAAACCAAGTATTGGAATCTGATTTAATAAATTCATTATTAATAAAAGATGGAGTAATGTATGGTTCAGTAGAAGGAGTTGTATGATCACTTGGATAATTTGAAGTGGTTGATGATAATGTAACAATTGATTTATTTCTAATGGCCATGGCAGTAAAAGTTGGAATTCTTGATTTGTTCTTTAAGATAACTCTAGATAACATGATTGATAAAGTCTGATTAATTCAAGATATAGATATATATATATATAAATAGAATAATATACTTAATGACCTTGGTTCTTGAAGGGGGATAATCGTAGTTTAAATAGTTTTTTTTTTCTTTTAGGTTGTTGATTAGCAATATAACCACTGAATGTGAAATTATAGGATATCGAAATCCTATTTTTTTTTTTCACTCCTGTATAATGTAAACACCATACATTATGATTTTTTTTTTTGTGGGGATCAGTACAAGACATAGCCATGGATATCAATGGCGAAGGAGGGGCTAGATAGAGTAAAGGAAAACAAAGAATGATATTACAGACGTGCTATACAAACCCCACCTTTTAAGTTGTAATACCCGAAATATCATTCATTTAACATCAACCCTTTTTCTTCATTAATACTGTTTTGAATTGTTGATGTAAATTTTTACTGTTATCGTTCCCACTTAATATGAGTGGTGTTAATGAGTACATGAGTGCGTGCTTTGTGATCAATTTTTTTTTTTATTTTTCTGTTCTAATTAACAGTCACATGGGGTTGGATTCCCGCTAAGCAAATTTGTTGTTTTGCGGGCTGGTCGAGAAATTGACCGAGCTTATCGATACGCATAGACTTACCCTATATCGGTCAAGCCCCTCCTGAATCGCACAAAATTACATAATCAACCAATCAATCAATCAATAGAATACACGTGTATATATATATATTTTTAATCTTTTTTTATCAAATTATCTATAAAATCAAAGACAAATTAAGCGCAATCTTTTCTTTCTAAATTATTTCTAGATCTAGGACTTGAAATTTGGATCATTGGACAAATCATAATATAAATCTAATAAACAACTTCCACTCCAAGCTTGTGTTGGACTTGAATCATTACAGAATGCCCCATCTTTATTAGTCAATTCAGTTAATCCACTCCATGGGCTTTCTTTAATCCATTTAATATGACCTTGTAATCTTTCATTCAACAATGTCAAAATCTTGATATTTGGAGTACAGTTACTAGCTAAACAATAGAACAGCAAGAAAGCTCTCAAGAAATACCCAGTATTCCATACCCATTCTGGTCCTTGATGATAGTTTCTACCTTTAGAAGTAGCAAAATCATCATTATCAATGGAATTTTCATAATATGGACAATAATTCCAATCAGATGGATCAAGGGTTCTCATACCAACTGGACCTCGAATGATTTTATCAGCATGATGAATAGCACCAAGAGCTAACTCTGGAGTAAACAATTCTGGGGCAACACACATGGAAATGGCAAAATTTGGACGCAATTGATAATCTTCATATGGTTTTCCAGAACCATACAAATCCTTGTAAATTCCTCTACGGTTAACCAAAGAAGGATCAACGGCATATTTGTGGTCATCCTTTGGATCTTCAGGAACATAGTAATGTTTTTCAAAGTTGGATTGTAACAATTTTTCCCAGTCAACTAAAGAAATCTTTGATCCATCTGGTTTTTCAACTTCAGTGTAATCAAATGCTCCTTTTTTATTCAATTGGTTGACAAATCTCAATGCAGATTTCAATAAACCTTGTAATTCAATTGCAGATCCATCTCTTGGAGTACCTGGAATACCTCTGTTATGAGCTTTTTCACTTTCTCCCATCTTATCCATCCAAGTACCACAATTGAATTGATTACCACCATAAACAAAACCAGTGTCCCAATTAACTCCAGCTTCAACATTAAAACCTTCATCCCTCATTTGACTATCCAAGTTAGGACCGGCATTGGCCTCACGGTATTTGATACCCTTTGCATGACGAGACAAAATCTCATAGATGACTTCTCTAATACTGGATTCATAACTAAATGCACGTGGATCATCCCATGGAACATAAGTGTCATCCAATGGGAATCTACGAGTCACTTTTTCATCCAAAATAGCAATACCGTTTGGTGCATAGGTAACATATTCTTGAATAGCTTGCAAGAAGAACCATGCTGCATCTCTAGCGTTATATCTCGGGTTTCTACCAGCATCTAATAAATTAGGAATTAAACCATGTTTCAAAGTTTTAGCAAATCCTAAAATATGTTCTCTAGCATCATCAAATCTACCAGGAACAATCAACAACCCTCTAAAGGAAATGAAAACATCACGTCCCCAACATCTCATGTAGTCGTTACTGAAATGTGGCAAACCAGCAGCCAAACAAGCTACTTGTTTATCAGGAACTAAAGAGGTATTGTTCATGAATCCAACCATTTGAACTGAAGTCAACGCCAAACTTTGAACAAAATTGGTGGCAATTTGTAATTTTGGATCAAAATGTCTAATAGCTCTGAATCTAGCAGCTTCATAAGCAATACCAACAATCAAGGCAAAGTAATGTGGTCTTAAGAAATAAGGAGCTTTCTTGACCGCATCAAATCTGGTTCTCAACCATTCTTGGAACTTACCCAATTTTGGTGATTTTTCAACATACTTATCCAAACGGTTAACAATGTAATCCAATGCCCATTCACCATCTCTCAAATGGTTACAAATAGGATGTCCCAAATTGTTAGACCAGATAACGTGTTTTAATGCGGTATTCCAACCTTCCAAACCAGCATATTGCAATCTGCCGTAATTTGGAATATCATAAACATCTTCTTTACCATAACTAGCATCCAATTCTTCGGTTGAAGCTTTGTACAATAAAGCATTCAAGTCATACAAATCTAATTCAACCGATGCATGAATAGCACCTTCTTTAACATAAGTGTCCAAAGACACATCAACACCTGGAATTTCAGTTGAGAAAACAGAAATAGAACCTGGGATAAAAGTATCTGCATTGACACTAATGATCGAATCACCACTACCTGTATATTCAACAGATGGAGCTTCAATATCTTCAACCTTTACTGGGATACCGGTGAGAATCTTGTCAGAATGAACATAATCACCAACTTTCTTTAAAGTGTAACTGAATTCATGTTTAACCTTAGTACCACCTAAAATAGTTGGCTCAATACCTTCATAACTTTCATTATTGGAAAATTTACTTCGGGCAATCAAAAATTTACCCTTACCAGTACGAGCATTGTAACGTTGGATGGTGATATACTGACCAGAATGATGAATGTACATTTCATGGTCACGGATAATATCTTCACTTTCTTGAACCAAATCATCTCTAATTTTGTTCAATTTAGCCTTAACTGCACCAATACCGTTGGAGTCATTCAAATCATATTGTCTAGTTTCACTGACAACATTCAACAAACGTGGAAAACATTCATCATAACCATAAACGGAACCAATGGCAGAACTACAGAATGCAACTAAAGCAGCGTTTGGCAAAGTATCTTCAACAGTTCTCTTTTGAGCTGGCATTTCGTTATCGTGAGTACAATCCATGAAAATAGCATGTGGAGGTTGACTAGTCAACACTTTTGGAATTTCCAATTCAGTATATCCATCCATATACTTATTCTTAACTGGCTCGTGGTCTGCTGGGTAAGAGAAATCATCCAATGGTAACCAAGTCAATGACCCAATTGGTCTACCACCGTGCTTGTGAACCAATCTAGACAACTCACCAACATTCCAGGCTTGCATAGCCTCTCTGATCAATGAGTTGATACCAAATCTTTCAACAAAAATTTTATCCATCTCTTCTGATCCAGAGAACAATTCTGCAATGACGTACAAGTTTGGATTGACTTTTCTAGCTTCATCCAATAATCTTTCACCAACATGTAATGGAGTACTGTGACAATTGTCAATTCTGAAACCATTAAATGCTTTAGCAGATAATTTAGAATATTCAATCATTCTATCCCAGGTTTCTGGAGAATCTTGATACCTCTCACCGTATCTTAACTTGACACAATCTCCCCAAACAATGATTTCTCTACGGATGTAAGCTCTTGATTGGTTAGAAGCGAAATCAACCAATGGGTTACCACCCCAGATCCAACCATTGTTGGCCAATGCTTGAGGTTTACCATCAGTGTCAGTAAACCTAGTGAAATATGGTTCAGTCAATGGGTTTTTTTCAGTGATTTCACCCAACTTTGGTCCATTATCAGCCAATCTCAAGTATTTGATTCTATCACCCAATTGTTGTTTAATACTTTTAATATCATCATCATATGTGGCATATGGAACAACATTGATTTCATCAACAATTTCTTCGGTTTTTTGAGCAATGGTTTCAAAATCAATATTAACATCATAAATTGAAAGTAAAATTCCCAACAAAATGTCAATTTGTAACTTGTTTGCAAATCTTTCACCAATGATGATCTTTTCATGGACATTTGCAGCTTTCAAAACATAACTGGCCAATTGTTTCAAGTCGTTGACATCAACATCACTTGGAATATGAACACGGTTGATTTCATGTTTATTCTTGGTGAATGAACTTTCTAATTGTTCTACAATTTCTCTTTTGTTAAACACGTAGTATTCCCATAATCTCAATTTGTCCAAAACATGAGTGCTGATTCCTTCCATAACAGCATTCAAATCGTGGTCAGATTTAATTTCAGTAGGCAAGCCCAAAGTTTTCAAATTTTTGGAAAATTCTAATAATTCACCATCCAATTCAATAGCTGGAATTAAATGAGGGGCAGTAGTGGCATTGTACCCTGAATTTGGAGATTCTCTCAACCATTCGGAATTATTAGCAGTGTGATTCCACACAACATCAGTCAACGACAACAAATCGTTATCATTCAAGACCTTGTGGATCTGTTTGGTTGCCAAACTTTGATCCTTGAAAATATGTGGGTCGAATTTCAATTGATCGTAGATTGAGTACGGTGAGTCTGACTCTCCTCTTTCTTGCAACGGAGTGAAATGGATCATGTTATATCCCTTTTTAGAGACATTCTTAAAGAATTTATCCCAGTTTTCATATGGTCCAATCCATTTGGAAACAACAGTTTCAACATTAATATTATTAAAAGGTACAAATTTCCCATTGATTGTCAAATTTGGTGGAACAATAAAATAATGTTTGGCTGTGGTTCGGGATTTATCATTTTCGTCGTCATAAGTAATGTAGTAGTCGTAGGCCCCAGGCTTGTAGATTGGGATAGTGAAATTAATATCTTGATGAAATGAAGTGTTTATTGGAGTTTTATAATGAGTATTTCTATCAAAATCTTGTTCGTAAGAAGGTGGGACATTGGTACGGAATACACCGTTTCTTGAAACTTTACTTGCAGCATTCAATTGAAACTTCAACTTGAATAATAAGTCACCAGGTTTATAATTCTTTGGTAATTCCAATGAAGGTAAGATTAATACCCCATTATTTATGTTTTCATTGTTGACTGGTTCTCCGAGATTTGACAATCGGAATAAGATGGTACGAGCTTCTGCGTCTTTGCCAGACATTTCGTTGTTATCACTCGTGAAATTGATATGTTTTTACTTATCCAATTGATATTTGGAGGAATTTTAAAAAGTAAAAAGAATGAATATAGAAAAGGAAAAGGAAAAAAAAATTAAATGTTGTCCAAAAAAAAATAAAAAAAATTTATATAACCTTGGATTGCTGGGAGATTAGATTTTCAGTTCCAAAAAAAAAAAAAAAAAAAAAAGAAAAGAACAACAAAATGAAAGAAACAAAATATTAGCTAATTTATATATAAACTGATGGTTATAACGGAGCATGTATTGTGTAAAACTTTTCACCTTCTACGTATTCAATTCCATCATAAGGATTGCCTTATATGTAGAGGTGAATAATTAATTAGTAATTTTTAGGGAGTGTGTTCACACAATATCCGAACCACCGGAATGCTAGATTTTGTGCTCACCACAAGGCGGGGGAGAACTCCGTGAAGCAACAAAAGTGTTTTAATTGCTCGCTTTAGACTCTCTCTCACTCTTTCCCCCGGTAGCTCCAGGTCGACAACGCGCGCCCCCGTATCGTCCAATTTATTGTTTTCCGTTTTGTACAGTTTTCTAGAACGACAAATTGTCTCCCCTCCTTCTGTCGTTACCTTCATATGAAAAAAAAAATGGGTCGCGCAAATGAGTCGAAAAATGTAAGTACGACTTGGGCGCAATCCAATTGTGCTGGCCCCCTAGAAGATCAACAAGAACAACCATACTAGGTTATTAACGTTCCTGTTTCTTCACCAATTCGTTTGCTGCCGCTTTTTCAAATAACCAGTATTTTCGAAGAATTATTGCGTGTTCGGTAATATATAACAAGTGGGAGTCCACGGTTTGCTTGACCATGATAAGCTGCACCCCCTAGTCGTAATTAGACTCCTCAGATAAGAGTTACCGGATATAATGGATATAGTTTTTTTTTTTTCATTCGTGTTAGAACTAATTACATCATTGGGTGTAGACTCTCAGTTTCAAAAAAACGAAAAACAAACTCAAAATTAGTTGACACCATGAATGCAACGACTTTTATAACTTCAAACTCATACAGTACCACAACAAACCTCAATATTCTTCACGACATTTCCACGAAACTGCAAAAAAAAACTACAGCAAATTATACACATTTTCAATGGTTTAACCTCTATCCTGCACTATATAGTAACTTAATTTAACTCGGGTGTGCTTATTTTATTGTTTTTTAATTAATTTAAACCTATTTTGTCAAGGGAAATATCGTATGGAGATTTCTAAATAGTAAAATACACAGCCTACAGAGGGTAAAAGGGGATATTTATAGTGAAAAATTATCACTAGAACACGTAATGGACTCTACAAGATGAATTAATCAGCACGGCAATTTGCAATCACAAACCTTTAGGGCATTACCAGCGGCAATTAGCCAAAGGTAGTGCACATTACATTTGCACGTGACATATTTACTAATGTTTTTTGTATGGTCATTTTTGCTGGTTTTCAGTTGATTTGATCATACTTTAATGATGATTATACACATTTAAAGCTGTTGATCTACTTGATGATTATAAATGGGTTTTGAGTCCCGATTTCTAGTTCTTTCCTCTCAATTCAACATTTATCAACATATTCATTTTCAAAAGTGACTATTTTGCTAACTATAGATATTTACGTTTAATTTTAATCATTATTGGGGTTTCATTAGGAAGTATTCGGTTTCTTCCTATGTTCCGGTACTGTATGTCAAGTGGTGGGAAGAGGAACCAAGTGATGACGGGTTGGTCTCCTCCCCTCCCACTTACCACCTCTCCTAATTAAAGGAGAGGGACGAACTGGGCCCACATATGTATGTGGGGCCGACCCAGCCCGTCTATGGCCCTCTGCTTGAGCAACCATATCGCGTCCCCCTACTGGCCCAAGGGGGAATAGATAGAGGATGAACCAGGAGGGAAGGGGACTGGTCGACAGTCCTCTACCTGGTCCTCTACAAGTAGAGGTTTGTAATAAACCACCACTACTACTGATCGGGATAGGTTAGTTCAATATCCCGATCAGTAGCTTTTAAAGATAGTGATGACCAGTCACAATCTTTTGAAGAACCTTCACTAATCAACATTGCCCCTTTGTGTATATGTTGATCCCTTTTTATGAGGTTCAAGATAACATGTGTTCCCAATCTGCTATCTTATTTGGAAGGTTCTTCTTATGTTTGTACATCATACTAAAGGAGCTAACAGTTGTTTGAATTTCTTTGCAATGACTTAACCAAGTGACACAAGCAAGAACTGGTGGGGAACATATAGCAATAACTGAAGGGGGACACATAACCTTTGATTCTTTGTAAGCTTGTAATGGATAATGGATTACAGCACCTTATATTGAAGTTAGTATTTGCATCTATGATTAAAACACATCAATTGATACTCACTTGATAAAACTGATATCATAAATAAAGTAATTGATATTAATTGTAGATAAAAACAAGAAAGAAAGAAAAAGAAAGTGTTGTAAAAAAGTTTTTTATTTTTGCAATTTATTTGTCCTTTTATAGTTGAGTTTTTTTGGGATATTTGTGTAGGTATTTTTTGTTATGCTTTATATATTTGATGCTACCATATGCGGGGAAAAATCGAACTATTTCCGAGAAATATTTAACAACAATTATGTAGATTATTGAATTTTCACATACTCAAATTCAGTAATCATCTCTTTTATCTAAATGTTACAATAATTTCACAGGAACATCACTAAGCTTTAAATTAATTTAGTGCCGATACTCTGTATTCATATGATTCCACAGTTTTATTATTTCAGAATAAATTTGTCAAGAAATGAAATGAAAATTACCATTGCCATTCGGAATAACCATTACATACAAATTAATATCCATAGGATGATCACTTAATTTCTATAAAACTTTTAACAATGTATAGTCACATCACTATAATTGACTTAAGAAGAGAAATGCTACTGTTTCGAACCTACAATGCTTTTCTACAGTATTAGGTACACGAATATACGTCTCACGTAAATCAATGTCAATTTTCACTGTAATCTGTTAACAATTCCACACGTTCAATTCTACATCCATACAACTTTGAGGATTCTTCTACTTCTACTTCAACCCCTGCCCCCCCCCCTTAGCATAACCTTAGTATGCTCGTATAATTCGATTACTAATCAGCTGTTTTTTTTTTACATAGTTTATTTTAGGCGCGAACTTGATTTTTATTTTAATTTTTTCTAAACTTTTCATTTCCTTTCATTTTCCTGTATTATCAATCAACTACTTAGCATTATTAAACATGACATTAAATCCATTTGAAATAGTCTTTGCTGTTCCTTTAGAATGTGGATCATGTGTTGATTCCGTTGCAAATGTATTGAAGAAGCTAGACGGGGTTGAGAAGTTTGACATTAATTTGAAAGATAACCTTGTCACGACTGAAGGGTCTTTAGCTCCAAGTGAAATTGCCAAAGCAATTCAAAGTACAGGGAGAGATGCCATTATTAGAGGAACAGGTAAACCTAATTCTGCAGCTGTTTGTATTTTGGAGTCGTTTGATCAAAAAGATTTCAATCATCCAGTCAAGGGATTGGCTAGAATTGTCGGTGTGGCGCCACAAGATTTGTTCATTGATTTAACAGTCAATGGTTTACCAAAAGGAACCTACTACCCATCTATAAGAAAATCAGGAAACCTCTCTGAAGGTGCATTATCCACTGGTGACAGTTTCTACGATCTACAACCAATTGAGGTCAACGACGCTGCTAATCTGGAAACTACTATTAATTCTATTGGTGCCAAAGTTGTCGACGATAAGGATTTATATTCTGGACAAGCAGTTCTTCATGCCAAATTAGGTGTCAATGACTTAATCGGCAGAAGTATTATTTTATCCAAATTGAAAGATCAAGTCAGTCCGGATTCAATTTGTGGGGTCATTGCAAGATCTGCTGGAGCTTGGGAAAATGATAAACAAGTTTGCAGCTGTAGTGGAAAGACTGTTTGGGAAGAAAGAACAGATGCCAAATCCAAGGGAATTGCTGTATAGAGTTAGAAAAGAAAAGAGTTGAATATTATGTATGTAGAGTATGTACCATGCATTCGTTCGTTTAATAAATACGAAATTTATACTCATAAAAAAAAAAAATAATATTGTCGGCCGAAATTGTCTGCCCATTGTCGTTGTAATTGGACCGAAATGGTACCAGAATCCCCGTTCCCCCTAGTTAAAGTTTGGTTGTAAATTAGAGCCTAAACGGATGGCCCTGTTACTCGACAGACAAAAAAAAAAGTCTAGGATATGAAACAATTTGAACAACAATAAAAACAACCCTGTTGTTAAGAGGAAGAACCTTGATTTACCAGAGCTACTTATTGATGTACCTTTGTCTAAGAATATGCAAAAAGGATCCTTTGACGATAATGCACAAGTCATGACGAAAATGAATTTGTGATGACATTTTCTTATTAAAGTGTACCAAATCAACAATACACGCACACGCCTGTACTCATACTATACTCACACATTCACACTGCGATTCAAAGCGAAAGAAACAAATAAATAAATAATAATAAGCAAAAAAAAAAAATTGCCATACAAAATCAAATTAAACCAAAAGAAAAAAAAAAAAAATAGGCAGAGTTCCTGTGTGTGTGTGTAACAGACAGGGAACAAGAATACGATACAGTTCAATCAATCAATCATCCCTAATTACTACCTTTAATCATTTGTCTAGATCTATATATTATTTTACTGTATACTATTGGTCTTACAGAAAGCTTACCATTTGTGAATAATACATCCTTGTCAACCTGTGTACACCCCTTTCTCATTAAAATTCAAAAAGGTTAGATATATCCGTCCCCCCTTGAAGAACCTATTTAGTGATGAACACGAGTGGCAGATCACACATTATTTCGTTGTTGAAGGAGCAAACTGATGCCATTAATCAAAAGAAATCGATTAAATTGAATTCATTAAATGTCAGTGTAAAACCGTCAGAGGTTGTTGAGATCATATATGAGTTCTTGAATAGCTTTGATCCGCCATTGGAATTGGAGAAATTATCACTACAAAACAACCAGTTTATCGAATTACCGTCTAACTTTCACAGAATTACTTCACGTTTGAAATATCTTGACTTGCACCAAAATTTGATTTCCTACATCCCACATGACTTTTTTGAAAAATTTCCATGTCTAGAGATATTGGACTTGGCGTCGAACAGACTAGAAACATTACCCGAATCATTATCCTGGGTATATACGTTAAAGGTGGTGTCAATTAAAGATAACAATTTCAAGTACTTGCCACCACAACTAGGCGAATTGCCAAATTTGAATTTGATTGAAGTTACGGGTAATCCATTAATTCTTCCGTCAAATGAGATCATACGTGCATTTCAGAAACAAAAACCTGATTTGGATTGGGTTGGAGAGTTGAAGAATTATTTGGTCGTCAACCGAGTTTTGCTCCATCTGAAAATTGAAGAGTCAACCATTTCATCTGCTTCATCTTCCACTATTGTTAGCACTGATGAAATTTCCCTGCACCATACAACTACAACAACAGCAAGTACCAGTACTCCTCCAAGTATAAGAAGGGCTCAAACTACCAACGATGTTCTAGTTTCAAGAAATAAATCGTCAACCATTTCGGCAGGTTCTGCAAATACAGCAGCAACCTCACCATTACCACCACAGTCATCTTCGTCAACAGCTTCCTCAAAGGCATCACGTAGAATGGGTTTAATCATCAAAAAGTCAGATGAAGGAGGAGTCCAGTCAAAAGAAGGGTTACTTAATGGCGTGAATTATTCTGAAAGGGTCCCCAATGATGGAATTCATCACGCTTCAGAATTAAACAGTTCGGATGCACAGCTTTCTTCACTTCCATCGACAGTGCCAACTACTACCATATCAACAGCGTCTATACCTGGTAACAAATCCACAAGTGTGAAACAACCAACTTCTACCGTAGCAACTCCATCCAATACTTCCCGTTCGAGATCAAACACACTCCGGGAAATCGACCGAATGTTAGAAAAGACGGAAAGTGTCGACACCGAGCATAAGTCAAATGCATACTTCAAACGTTTATCCACATTACAAGAAATCCCAGCTGATGAACCTAGTCACCATACTGACTCGCAAAAGCTTACTTTAGATCCTAAACAGATACAAACAGCGCGATCAAGCTCAAATGTACCTAGCCCTAGCGAAGGCTCACCTACCAAGTCTCATAATCAACATTCTACAAAGATTCATTCCCATCCAACTATAATCAAAGTGTCCAGAAAGATTCTTTTCTCATTCAGCGAATTGCACTCGTCAATTCGGAGATTTACATCATTTTGTACAGACAAGAAGGTAACAATGAAGATGGTTTCGTTTCTTTATAGTACAAAATCTAACATAGATTCTTTGGTCGAGAATCTTGAATTAATGGAAGAATCAGGTAATAATTCTGAACAGATTGCACAAGCATTACATAGTTGCATTGGATCATTCAGATCAATCATGAAACTACTTCACGAAAATATCAGCGTATTTGTCACGAATATCGATGTTTGTTTTATCAGAATGGTTTATCTTTCACTTTACGGATCTTTCAATGAGTTGCAAAATGCCTATTTAATTCTAGTTGTAAAGCCAAACGTCAAGACACCTACAGATGCAAAACAGAAGCTTTCAATTAACACATCAGTCAAGGATTCTTTTGAAGAAGTTGACGAAAAGCTATACAACGCTATTGAATCAGCTACTTCGAGCACACAAGCCATTTTTTCCGAGTTGAATAAAGCGATCAACAAGGGGGCAACTACTGCAAACGATGGAGCCATTCATCCAAGTGTTGCATCAAAGATTAAGGAGTTGACGAATTGTTGTTCCTCAACATTAGAAGTTATAAAAAGGTTGAATACCAAACTTATAACCATCAGTAATAATCCGTCGATAACAACTAAGAAATTGTTTGCTGAAGATATCAATCAATTTATTAAAAATATGGTCAGCACACTTGCAGCCGTAAAGGCTATTGTTAAAGATATCGACATTCTTGACGATATCCGTGCATCGATGTCCAATTTGACAAAGATAGCTAAAGAGGTCACCTATTTGTTAGAGCTTTCTTCTTACAAATCATTATTGCCAGATTCATCATCCAATGCGAATCCTCAACAACCTCAGCTTATGTCAATTCCTAGTGTATCGAACTTATTCACTCCTGTTGCGGCACATGCCCCATCATTACCGATTAGTGCCCAAACAAGCATTCGTAACCCAATGGGTAGCAGCACTAGTTCATTCACACTGCCCCCGAATGCAAATTCTAGTGCCAATATAAACGCACTAGATAATACTGTTGGTAATGGAGCAATAAGTACCGGCCCGTTGACGGCGCCTCAATCGAGTGGCCAGATGTATGCTAAAAATGGTATTAATCCATTCGATGGGTTAATCATGGCCAAAAACAACGAGAACCATTAGTTATTGCCTTGTTTAGATTCTTCATATATATATTTTTATACAGGGTTTGAGAAATTTTAGTTGATTTTGATGTGTTCATTTCCATTCCGGGACTTGAATCCCGGGTCGACTGTTAACTCTTGTTGCTCTCTAATTTTAATTCCATTTTCGCCTGTTTCGCCCTTTTCTTTTCCGCCGCATGGTTATGCATCCAGATCCGTTCCATTCATCGCATTCCAATAAGTAAGCAACAACAACCAAAAAAAAAAAAAAAAAAAAAAAATCTTGAAAACTTTTCATTCAAACAGGTCAATCAACAACTTGAAAACTGGAAAGGTTATATAAGGAATCCCCTTGAAAGAATTTCTATCCATCAGTCTAAGTTTAACTAAACCAGGTTTATCATTGTATTATAATTTTTTCCCCTTATTATTCATAGACTATTATCTACACACACACATATTATAGACACTTAATACTACCATGACTATTGAATTAGAAGAACCACCACTTACTCAAGATAACAAACAAGTTGCCAAAGATCTTTTTGCTGGTACTATGGGAGGTATTGCTCAAGTTTTAGTTGGTCAACCATTTGATCTTGTTAAAGTTAGACTACAATCATCACCAGAAGGTACATATAATGGTGCCATTGATGTTATTAAAAAAACTTTAGCTAATGAAGGACCATTTGGATTTTATAAAGGTACTTTAACTCCATTATTAGGTGTTGGTGCATGTGTATCTGTTCAATTTTCCGTTAATGAATTTATGAAGCGTCATTTTGATAAGAAATTGAATGGTCAACCAATGACTATTTTAGATTATTTCTATTGTGGTGCTGTTGCTGGTTTTGCCAATGGGTTTTTAACTAGTCCTATTGAGCATATTCGTATTAGATTACAAAGTCAAACAGGAGTAAATAAAGTATACAATGGTCCATTTGATTGTGCTAAGAAAATTTATGATCAAAATGGTATCAGAGGTATTTATAAAGGTTTAGGTCCTACTTTGATTAGAGAATCTGTTGGGTTAGGTATTTATTTTGCTACTTATGAAGCATTGATTGCTCGTGAATTGAAATTAGATACAAAATTAACAAGAAATGATATTCCTGCTTGGAAATTATGTATGTTTGGTGGTTTATCTGGTTATACTTTATGGATTGGTATTTACCCAATTGATGTTATAAAATCAAAATTACAAACTGATGGAATCAAGAATGGTAAATATAATAATGCCATGGCCGTTGCTAAAGATGTGCTTCGTACTCAAGGAATCAAAGGTTTATATAAAGGTTTTATGCCAACTATATTGAGAGCTGCTCCAGCCAATGGTGCTACTTTTGCTGTATTTGAAATTACTATGAGACTTTTAGGTTAGAGGTTGTAGAATTAATAGACGTTGATTTGATATCGAAATGAACAACAAAATGAAAATATTAAAATTAAACTGTTCATTAAAAATGATTTGAAAACACACTTACACACACACACACAAAAAGTAAGATATCATTACCATATAATTGTCTATTATTATTCTCGTTTGTTGAGATTGTTTATTCCTTCAGGGTGTAATTCGAAATCGTGCCCTGCACCTCCTTGGTAGGTTTCGTACGTGTTTGGTGATTGTATTATTTCCGGTGGTTCATCATCTTCATAATCTTGAGGACGAATAACTCGAATAAACTCCATAAAATCTAGCATGTATTCACCATTAAATTCATAACTATCAGTTCCTTGAAGTTCAACTTCTTCCCAAAAACTTTCCAGCTCAGTGACGGCTGTATTTGAATCCTCTCCGTTATGTGGTGACACTTGTGACTCGAGTTCTTGATTGTTTAATTTATTCAGAAGATTTATTTGTTTTTCCCTTTCTCTTCTGTTAAAATCCTTATCAATTCGTAAATGCATACCAGGTATTAGATCAATCAAATATAAGAACACCAACGACAAAATAAACACGTATGCACTGGTAACAACAATTCCCAATAATTGAAACCCAAATTGCTTCCAATGGCCAGCAACCCATCCACCTTCAGAATCATACAATTTATTAGCAAATATACCTGTAAGCAAAGATCCCACAATACCAGGAACACCATGGATTGCAAAAAGATCCAATGCATCGTCTATATTGAAAAAATACTTCAATCTTGTTGCCAAATTCCCTGTTACACCACCAACAACACCAAATACGATACCTTTCCAGAATTCTGCATTTGATGAGACGTATCCACCACCAGGCGTGAAAACAACTAAACCAGCCATTATACCCGAAGAGAATGAAATCATTGAGAATTTTCTCTTATCAACAAAGTTAGATTTTGACTCGTGATATCTTTGATTAATAGAAACTCCAGTTCGAGATATCGCAGGTTCTATTGGAGAAGAAACGACGGCGTGCAAGTTATAATCTTCTGGTTTAACAGTAACCGTTTCACCTTCTAATGGCACCGCTGAAAAAAAGAAATCTATAGCTGTCCAAATTATTGCACTTGCACATGCTGCAATCAATGTATTTATGATGATGTATACCGAATTGAATGAAAATTTAAAGTCACAACCAGCAATAAACCCTATCCATCCAAAAAAGACAAGACATGTTCCAAGTAAAATATGACCTGTATTGGCATTTCGATAATTGAAAAGTAATTTGGGGTTTCTTGGACCCAAAATGTAAGAATATGCTAAGCACGTGAATCCACTAACAATATGAATACAATTCCCACCAGCGAAATCCAATACTGGTATTCTATGCAAATCAACAGATAGCCAACCGTTAGTATTCCAAAACCAATAGGTAATAGGGTTGTAAATAATGGTTGACCAAATAAAAACAAATAGAAGCATTGGTAAAATTCGTCCTCTTTCAGCAACACAACCAGGGAATGTGAAGGAAGCACAAACTAATTTAAAAAATAAGTTAAATAAAACATGAACTCCTGCTAAAATATGACCTCTCGAATTCGTAAACTCCGCTGTTGATGCATCTCTGAACTGTCTTAGCACCACAAAGTTTAAATTCCCAATGAAATGGTTAGCTGCTTCTGAATAACATAGGGAGTATCCCCATATAAACCAGTCTATAACAATCATTGGTGTCAATATTAGTGGTATGGCAAACATGGTTAATGCTGATCTTCGTTGAGTTAACCCTGAATAGAAGAACGCAATGCCAAGTATAATCAAAGGTAATAAAGCAGTACAACCTAACATATACAATGTGTTTATACTTGACCGCAAGTCAAGCATAGAAGTACTGTCGGCATCTAGGTCTGCCATGATGCGTGGAAAGTTGATGATCTCTAACAAGAAAAGGCCAAAAAAAAAAATTAAACTAAACTAGCTGATCCCTGGAACAGCTATATGAAATAAAAGTAAACTTGTATGGTTTACTTTTTTGATGAGTGAAAATTATTCACACTAATGGGGTGTGGAGTTTGCGTAACGACCGCGGTAATTCGTCCAACGTTAGGTGATTGGTTGATAAGCCCTGTAGATAGAGAAGCAAGGCGAGATCAACTTTCTCTCTTTGTCAAAAAAAATTAAAAAATTTTTTATTTCTATTTTTTTTTTTCATTGCGAAAATCCCATCATTCATTCATTCATTTATTGTTTGATTGAACCGATCTGTGTGATTCGTTGCTGTTTTTTATTCGGTTACGAGCACTTACATCATGTAAGTAATTAAGTAGCCCACGAAGTTAAGTTTAAATGATTTATACTGAGTATCAGTTAAACAAAATTATCCTGAAACTGAGTTCTACTCATCATGTGACTCATAAGTAATCACGTGATATAATCTACTTTGCATAAACAGTAAAACCGTTGGATTGATTTTCCTTTTCATTTGACATGCACTGAATGATATCTCTTTTCAGACAAATTAGCCTTAAGACTCCTTAACAATGAACAGCTTGGGTAGGACGTAAATGGACGGAGTCAAATTTAAAAGGAAACTATCCTACAATAAAGTATCTATTATTCATATTAACACTATTGTAATTTTAGGAGCAATGCATAAAGCCTAAATTTCTAAAGCGAGATAATAATAACTCCAAAAGAGGAACGGGACTAAGTAGTCATCTTCCACCTAATACATGATTCACTATTCCTTCCCGAGAAGCAAAAAAATAGCCCTCTAAGTTATTTTGTGGTTAGACCCTCTTGTTTTTTTTATTGGTTATTCATTCGTAATATCGTGAAGAATCACCCGGTACAGTATCAAAACTAGCTAGTAATAATGGTACAGCTCCACTTGGGGTCATGATGATGGTATTTTAATAGCACAACTGCTCCATCAGATATCCTTGACTGTATTGAAAATAGAGGACAACCTAGAAATCTGGAAATGGTTCAAACAACCTGATTTTGATGAAAATGCCGAGATTGAAGTGTAGATAGAGCTGCAAAACTTCAAACTGCGTGCTGGTCCTAAACTCATGTCACATATGTGTACATATTTAGACAAAGCACTGGATGGTTCCAACATGCCAGAGCTGGTTGTCATTTCTGATCATGATGACGTGGTGTGTATACGTAATTTGGTATACATTTCCTTTTTGTACCGGCACTGGTTTTTACAGATCAGAAATTGACAAATACCTAGTTGGGTTTACCTGGGCTGTTCGGAGATTCAGTTTTTTTTTGTTTCGAATAATTATCCTAAATTCAAGGTTGCTGTATCTATATGGGAATCAAAATGTTTGTTTGTGAATAAACGCATCGCATACATACGGCAAGTCAATTCAAACCTCTGAAGACTAGCTGTCCAATCTCCAAATAACTTCACCGACAAAATAGAGACAGTAAGGGTATGTGCTACTTATTATTATTCTCCTAAAGGCTGGGTGTCGTATTACCATAACAGAAGAATATTGAAATCTTTTCGCTACAAATGTATTCTAAAAACTTACACAGAGGAATACTCTCTCAGAAGATTACACGAATTGTTTGTAATGACAAATTTTTAATGTTGAGTATTGATTAGATTATATAATTATAGAAGCTTCTGTTTGCATAGAGAGTAATGTCGTGAATAGGAATCTACATAATAGTCGTCAATGAAAAGCAAAATCCCAATAGTTAAAGATTGTACACGGTGGAGAAGATATTGTAGATGTACCGCAATAGTATCCTAATAATAAAGAGCGTTACAAACCGGTTCAATTTAACCCCACCTTGTGTATAAACTCTGGGGGACTACGCAATCGAAACAATAGACGTGGAACAATGAAGGGAAGTTGTTGGGATTTTATAGTCTGTTCACTAAAAACCCTCCTTCCTATTTTGTTTGTCTTCTCTGGTATGTACCCGGGGAAAACTGGAACTTGTTTCCGAGACTCACCGACTGTAACGCAAAATATTGTTCATAACACGCCCAAGCACCAATAGTATCACTTTAATAATCGATTACAATTGTTAAATATAGCGACTTGTCTCAACAACAAATTCTTGTGGTATTTCATCACACACACACAATAATAGCATTTCCAAGGATTTGTCAGGATTATTAAGTTGCATCATTTCCTTCTTGAAATTTTTGTTTTTAATTCCAAATTCTGAATTTAAAGTCACTTGTTATTCGTTGATTCCAATTTGTCACCAAAACCGGTAGTCACAAGAGAGCGAAGGGAAAGAAAGAAAGAAAGAAAGAAAAAAAATCAAGAAAATCAATACACTCTCACACATACACTCCCACAACTTTCCCCCACATTAAAAAAAAAAAAACTCCGAATTAATTCAATTTCCGATTCATTAATAAAAGAATATTAGGGTTGAATATATACTCAACAATCAAGGTATCTTCTTTATCTAAGGTCTACCATCCTTTTGTTCTTTTTTATTTATCTTGATCGGTATTTTGTTTTTCTTCTAGTGACTTTTTTTCCCCATATTCATCATCACCATCTCCACTCCACCATTTATCATGACTAAAAAGTTGACTCCACAAGAGAAACAAAATAGAAAACCAGCAGTTAGGGCTTGTGTTTTTTGTCACCAAAAACATCTACAATGTTCCAATGAGAGACCTTGCAAGAACTGTGTCAAACGAAATATAGGCCACGAATGTCGTGATATTGTACGAAAACGAGTTCAATATTTAACAGGTAATGGAAAAGGGTCATCAAGCAAGACAAAAACACCAAGGAAGAAGCTAAAAAGTACACCTATTACTGCGTCCAGTCCATCAGTAGCATCTACCATTTCACCATTACCTATTGATGCTGGTTTGAAACAAGAATTTCTGACCCCGAATGAAATACCCATGTCTGAACCATCATTAACTAACCAGCCGTTATCCATGTCTCCTTTGAATCCCCAGGGTGCCAACAATATCACCAATAACTTTAATTCTCATGCAACAAGTCAACAAATTAAAGAGATACTAGAGGTACCTCCACATGTGAATTCCATGATGAATAATTCAGGACTTAATACCAATGTCAGTTTAACTCCTGAAACATTGATGATCCCAGATCATTTACAATTCCATACTACAACCATGTTGAACACCACAAACGATGTTTTGAATAAGTTACTCACAGATCAGTTTGAAACCGAATCATTGATCAGTGCGAACAACAGCAACAACACCAGCCATAATGATAACTTTATAGCCCAGAATAATAACAACAATCCAGAACCATCCAATCTTCATAATAGACATCAATTCAGTTCAAATTACTTGAATGAAGAATACCTAATGTTGGGAGACATATTGTTACACTCGAAACCCGTGAGCCCATCCCCATCCAATACCAGTGCTTCAGAATATAATACAAATACTTTGTCTCCAACAAATTTTGGATTTATTCAGAATATTGATTTCGAAGGATTTAACCAACCAAAAAAGAAAGTTGCAAAAAAATTAAAAGAGTCACGGCCTTTTATTTCATTAGGTTATACCGATGATTCGACATTGAGATTAAACCATGCCCCAGAAGCTAATGGCCAGACAGAAGATTTGTTGGACCATAATAAAGATGACTCGAGAAAGAACCCAGGCAATGGGAACCTGATTATCAACTTTGAAACCAAATATGTCAAGGACTATGTCGCCCCGTTCATTACTAATGGGTTATACCAATCTGTGAAGGACATCTACAGTTACCAGATTATAAACTATGAGTATCCTGATTCGTATCATGCATTGACAAAATTCTTGAAAGAGCGCTTTGGTGGAAATGACTTATCAATTGATGAGAGAAAAGAAAAACGATCAAAGTTGTTGGTCATATTGAAGTTGATTGCCAGCTACAGACCAACATTCATTGCTGCTCATAAATCACTTTTAAAGCCACAAGATTTGTTATTTCTTGAAATGAGTCTTCAAAGATCATTATTGGATTATAAGAAATTGGTTGAGTTGAGCTCATCGCCTTCTATTATGTGGAGAAGAACTGGTGAAATTATTTACATTACTGAAGAAATGGGGTTGTTACTTGGATACCTGCCAATTGAAATACTAGAGAAGCGATTCTTCCTTTTCTCCTTGATGCCAGATGAAGAAATTATCAGATACTTTAAGTTCTTCAAAAACATTGCTGTTAATGATTTACAATCGCTGATCTCCATAAAAGTTAAATTGATTAACAAAGAAGGTAGATTGGTTGAATTCTGTTCAGTGTACACCATAAAAAGAGACATTTTTGATATTCCAATGTTGATTGTCGGACAATTCCTACCAGTTATGTAGTCACAAATATTTATTTATTATTTATTATTTATTTATTTATTCTCGTATTATATTGTAATACTCATATTATGTTGTATGAGTAGTGCGTAATTTGAACATTTGCTCTAGGCTCTATATTTTTCCACTAACTCAGGATCCTCATCCTCTAATCTTCTTAATAAATAGTCAATTTCAACCTTTTTGGTTAATGGAATAATCCAATCTTTATATAATTTGGCAATTATTTCTGGTTTCACTTTACTTTGAACATTCTGACCAAACTTTAGTGAAGGATCAACACCGTATCCTTTTGCTTTTACAACCAATCTTTCCAAAATCTTAGCTTCAACAGCACTATTGGTAATTGAGTTTTCAATTCCTTTGACATCCTTATCTAAAATTAATTTAATGTACAATGGTTTATCACTTTGGTATTTGGCCTCTGCTACAAACTTACCAAAATGAATACGTCTGGAAATAGCTTGTAAACATTCAATATCGCATGTAGACGCTGACCCCAAGTTTTCTTTTTGATCACCTTCTTTACAACTTACTTGAGGTACAATTTCTTCCACATAGAACTTCATTATATCAGAGTTAACATTGATTTCATCTGAATATTTGGCCAATATCTGGGGATAATTAATTGGAGGTAAAATTGGTGTTTTCAATTCATTTGGGAAAAAAGGTGTTTCATCTGGTGCTTCATATCTTCTGATTTGCGAATGAGCAACTTCCATTTGTAATAATGCCCATTCTAAGAAGGTCCCATCAAAGTTAGGAATTTGGTACTTGTTTTTTTCATAAACAGATGGAGAACTCCAAAATTGGGAACGTTCAATTAAATCAAAGACAATGGTATCTTCCATTCTGACCAATGCTTGACGGATGTTACTCAAATCAAGCACCGTCTCTGGTTTCATAAAATCCATAGTGACGAGTAGTGTTTGTTTTATATGGTCTAGTTGGAAAGAAGAATCGTCGACAATTTTCACTGTTTTTTTTTTTTTTATTTTTTCGGGTTTTTCAGTTTTTTGCCCGATACCGCGGTACGATTCATAATGTCTTCTGGCAGAAGCAGTTACCTCAAAGCTACTGCAATAGCTCACCTCCAAGACCTAGAAATTTTATTCAGGACAGCTTCATATTCCAACATAGTAATAATATTGGGTCTCTAGTTATGGCATGTAGAAGAATATATGGTCTACAGTAGTATTAATTAATAACAACATACACAAAAGATTTTGGGCCTTCCTAAATTAATCATACGGTACGGAATAGTTTATTTTCGGATGTGCTTAGGCATTCCTTGCCTATCAGGATTATTGGCAGTCTCTTGTCACTTAATTAATGTTATCAGTTTTGGTGAATTTCTAAGATATCAGAATGACATCACTGATGTGTTTTCTGGTGTGGTTCGATTGTAGGTTGCTGAACACCATCTGAAATACTGAACAAACCAAATATCTATTTTTAATAGTTACTTGTATTAAGAGTTAGTAAATTCTAGTGTTCCACAGAGTAAATTAACCTTATTGTGATGTTACTTTTCAGTATTATTAGACAATTCCATATCTAATTTTATTTTTTTAAGTGAACGTTATCAGCTACACCGATTACTAAAGTTAAACGTTTTGTAACAAGTATAACCAAACTTCGGCTTTAACAGACGTATGACAGCAAAGAATGAAATCGGGGTAGAAATCTAAACGGAAAACAAAATCCCAGGCATTATATAATAATATATGAGACTTCACAATAGCAAAATCCCCTCCTCAAGAGAAGATTGATCTGCACCCAAGAATATTCACAATTCTTATACTTGCTCAACTAAGTTGAACTTTGGAAATTTTACATGGTAGTGTTTTGGTTAAGCATTAAAGATAATATACTGGTTTTCTTTTTTTTTTTAAGAACCACCGCTTTGTGGTTTGAATATATTGTATTTTAATGCACTTTTGCATGCTTATCTTTATATGTTATTCTTTTGATATGTTGATTAACCTGATAATACCATTCCTTGTCAAATTAGGTTCATAGAAATACGAGCTACAAGTCCATCATTATTTGCGTAGTGCTGGTCCTATTAAGCGATGATGCCCCTAATGGTCAAAAGATCCTATACGGAATACACTATCAATTGACAATGAAGAGATGAAAAATTAAAAGCAATTCATAGAAAGTCCCTTTTAGTTAACAGAACGAAACTAAAAAGAAATTTTAAGATACGAATCGCTATACCACTTTTCTTTTAAGAATTAAGTAATAAGCAGTCAATATATCCTTCTCCAGATAACTAAAAATTCAAAAGAATAATAATTGATCCGTAAAATCCATTATTGAACAAATTAGAAACGTTAAAATACAAATTAACACATGAAAATCGATTATATAATCGCGATAACCCAGAAGCATAATTTAAAGCCACATTAAATACTAACTGCTATATATAAGTTTTTTTTTTTTTTAAATGGTGCGCCAATAATATAAATAACTTTAATGAAGATAGGACCTCAACAACACTTCGGAATGCATATCCAATACTCCTTGTTACTATAGCTCATTGACATCGAATATTGTCTCTAGTCCTTATATGTGCTTCTTCGGCTCAGATCTCTCAAATCAATGTGAACTACAACTATTCATATTCAATTTATAACCTGGTCCCATTCTTTTGAGAATCAGCCATGCGGAAGATCAACGAAGTTTTATCCCAGATCTGCAAGATTATGAGCGTTTTCAGATAGTATTTGATCTGTTTTGTGACTTCTAGAAAACCAATTGTTTTTATTTTATTGTTCTAGACACTAAGCCATGGTAGCGCAATACAGGAAGTTCGTAAAGTATACTTGCACCAAATGGAGAAAGTGAAGTAAATACTGTATAGAGATCAACCTTGCAAGATGATATAAAAATTTTCACGGCAATTTATCAATATCACTGGTGGTCAAAAGCCACTGTTCATACATACAAGACCTCCCCCCGCTAGTTCAATTACTTGCAGATACATTGGTTGCTGAATTTTCATTCAAATGTTGGAATTTTGAAACTATTTATAGGAAACGCAATTTCCTTCATGAGTTTTGAGTATAATAGGATTTGTAATTAATCATTGTTCATTATCGCAGCATTATGTTACCTACAGTGGATAAAGATATTTCCAAAGAATCGGTATCTATTATTGAAAGAGTCTCTTCTGAGGACTTTTACCCGTCTGACCAAGCTAACAAACTAGAAAAACAAAGTTCAATACAAAGTATACACATATTCAGAGAGTCAGATGCTGGTGATGGTACCTCTAAAGAAGATCACTATTTACAGGGATCTCAATTGATTCTTTGTTTCTTTGCTTTGTCGAGTGCATTGTTTCTCTTCTCTTTAGACCAAACCATCATTGCAACAATTTTAACTACAGTGGGATCCAAATTCAATTCATTTGAAGAAATAGGTTGGCTTTCTAGTGCATTCATGTTGGGTATGGCAGTTTTTATTCAACCATTTGGAAAGTTATCCATTATTCTTGGCCGTAAATGGACAATGGTGGTCGCTATTTTAATTTTCCAAGGTGGCTCATTAATGTGTGCTTTAGCTAATAGTATGAATGTTTTAATTGGTGGAAGAGTAATGGCTGGTATTGGTGGTGCTGGTGTTAATAGTGGTGTCTTTGTTATCGTATCTGAAGTTGTTCCAATTAATAAGCGTCCAATGGCATTAAGTCTTTTGGGAATTATTTTTGCAATTGCTTCAGTATTAGGTCCTCTTATTGGTGGTGCTTTCACTTCAAATGTAACTTGGAGATGGGCATTTTATTTGAATCTCCCAATTGGTGGAGTATCTTTAGCTGTCTTTATTTTCACGTTTCACCCACCAAAACCAAAGGTTAATATAAAACAAGAATTGTTGAGATTTGATTATCTTGGTACATTTTTGTTAATTTCTGGATGGGTCGTCTTTTTATTGGCACTTACATTTGGAACATCTGAGTTTGCATGGAATTCATCAGCGGTCATATCATGTTTCGTTATTGGTCCTGTTCTATTGATTGCATTTGGTATTTGGAACTTTGGCTTTTCAAAAAATCAGATACTCGCAACTGAAGTTATAGTTATTCCACAGGTACTTGCTTCGGTAGTATCACTTTCTGGTATTTTTGCTGCCTATATTATGATTATGATTTATGGTTCAATATACTTCCAGTTAATCAAAGATTCATCTCCTTTAGGTGCTGGTCTTCATTTACTCCCATTGGTAATCTCCGTTTCTGTCTCTATTCTATTCACAGGTCTGATGACACAAAGGTTAAAATACTTAAAACCGTATATTATTGTTGCTGGTGTATGTGGTGTTGTTGGGTGTGCATTATTAACTTTACTTGAGGTGGATTCAAATTTCGGTCAAGAAATTGGGTTGTTTATTCTTGTTGGAGTACTGATGGGTTTGACAATGCCTCCATCGTTGTTAACTGCTCAAGTTAAAGCACCAAAAACACCGTCTGGTATGATCAATACCACAGTTTTTATGAATTTTCTGAGATCCATTCTGTCGGCATTTGGTGCCATATTGGGTGATGCTGTTTATTCGGTATCATTAAAGAAAAGATATAAATATGCCATAAAGGGACTCAATAATCCACAAATCATTCAAGAGTTGGAAAAATTTGATATTAAACATTTAATTAGTTCTACTGCTGAAATAAAATCTCTAAGTCCTGACACCCAGCATTTTGTTAAAACACAAATCATGTATGCTATAAGAAATGTGTTTTATACTACAATTGGTTTTGCAGCTATTTCTTGCATTGCTGGTGTTTTTGTTACCAATAAAAAATTACCAGAAGAAGTTGAAATTAAACCTAAAAATCTTGAACCCGAAAACAAAAAAGTTCAAGATTTAAGTAAAAATGAAATCATGGTAGTCTCAGAAGAACTCGACACAGCCAACCTGGATCAACTGGAACCTATACAATCACCACAAAAAGTTAAAAAGAAAGTTCATAGGGATATTGTTGAAGAGAGAATGCTATACTTGCTTACTATTGGGAAAAGATAGGATATGTTATCTTGTGTATTTTTGTCTTTGTTTATTTTATTTTTATGAATATATTTTCCGGATTATCTTTTGAAAGTTTATCTACGAGCAATCAAGATGCGCTCGTAATTTGTGATCGCTTGTCCCAAATAGGCAATTAGATCCGTAGTGTTGAAAATTCAAAAACGGAATATTTAAAGCGCGGTATCTCTCGTTGTTGCTAGGTTGTTTGCTAACTCTCCACCACATCATGACCAAGGTATTCGTTACAGGAGCTACTGGGTTTATCGCTCAACATATTATTAAACTTTTGTTATCCAAAGAGTATGAAGTTGTTGGAACAGTTAGATCTGCATCAAAAGGTGAACAAATGAAATCAATGATGTCACCAACAGACAACTTCACTTATGAAATTGTTTCTGAGTTATCTGCTTCAGATGCATTTGATGAAGTTTTGTCAAGACATAAAGATATCCAATATTTATTCCATGCTGCATCACCATTGACATTTGATACCGAAGATCCAGAAAATGTTATTCTCAAACCAGCAATCAAAGGAACAGAAAATATCTTAACTGCAGCCCTGACTCATTGTCCAGATTTAAAACGCGTTGTTCTCACATCTTCCGATGCAGCAATGTATTCTAATGAAGATGAAACAAATCCAGAGTTATCTTTTAATGAAGAAAGTTGGAACAATACGAAATACGAGGATGCAAAGAAAGACAATGTCACTGCATACTATGCATCCAAAGCATTTGCAGAGAAATTTGCATGGGAGTTTATCAAGAATAAGAATCCACAATTTGATTTAGTTGTGGTTAATCCTTCCTGGGTTTTTGGTCCTAAAGCATATGATTTTGATCCAAAAAGATTCAACAGCTCAAATGAACTTATCGATGATGTACTCAAATTAAATCATGGTAACAATTCAACATTTGAGAATTCTTCTGGTGGATATATTTCTGTGAATGATATTGCTAAAGTTCAAGTGTATGCGATAGAATCCAATGACTTGGTTAGTAAGAGGTTGTTAATGACAAATGGATATTTTACAACACAATTGTTACTTGACATCGTTAATGAAAACTTCCCAGAATTGGATCTACCAAAGGGGAATCCAGGAACAGAACAGGATGAGTTCAAGAAATTAGCCAAAGTCAACAATGATGTAACTAAGAAGCTTTTGCCATGGGAGTTTGAATCATTAGAGAGCATTGTTGTTTCTACTGTTGAACAAATATTGAAAGCTAGGAAAGAAGCGATTAATGAAGCAAAATTATAGATACTTCTGAATAGATTTAGTTACAGTATTGACCAATTGAAGTAATGATGTGTAATATACATTAATCTGTGCGCGAAAACACCTGTAAGATCATTGATCGTTGTATCCCTACCGTAGAATACAAAATATACATCAATCCAGCCTATATTACTTACAATATTTTCATATTATTAGTCTTGTTTAAAATTCAATACCATTTGAAACTAACAATTTGAAATAATTATTATTGGGTTTAAATAATTGGGTTTGACACTAAAAGTAGCAAATCGTAGAAAATTATTTGAACAATCTGTCTACAAGTGATTGGATTTAGAAAATGTGGAGAAACAAACATTTATTTTATCTAATATATATAGAATATAGCAATAAAATTGAAAGAAAGCAATGATATCTTCAATAATTCAATTCAAGGAAATACCAAAAATTGTCTTAAATTATGAATTCCATTGGGACTTTACATAACAGTACAGTTGGAAGCCATGTATCCTCTACCATTCAAGACACGAATAACAGCGTTATCCTTAGAAGCAGCAGATGCGGATTGAGTTTTACCGTTAGCGTTGTTGTTAGTTTGTTGAGCAGCCATTGTTGATTATTTCTTGTTTGATTACTGATGATAAATTAGAAATAGCACAGGTTGGCACCCGTAGAGACCCATTTATATACTTTTCTGATTTGCATCTAATTACATGGTGTCTGTCAGAAGAAGTCTATTAGTTGCAAACTTTTTGTCACCAGGGTTGCATTTTTTTATAAACAATAGTTTTAATGCAAAGTCAAAATTTCCTTATTTGTCGATCACAATGAAAATTTGTTTCATTAATGTAAAGTAAATTATTATTATAGTCATGGACAAATACTAAGTTACATGCCATCTATTAAGAGTATGAAAAGGCCCAAATTAAAATACTAGTTGAGTAACTTGATAACTGTACTGCAAGGGAAAGTACGCAAATGAACAAACATTAATAGAAATAACAATAATTAAGTTTCAGAAACTTATTACGGGAGTATAAAACGTTTGGAAGCAGTGTATAATTTCTGTTAAGTTTTATGACATGCTATAAAGAGTTAACTACTTGAAACATATCATAGAGTTTCGAATTTGTGTCTATGGTTATTGTACACATGCAAGCAGAACAACAGGTGAAATCTAATTCACTACATTCATCAATACTTGGTATACTCTATTGATTTATACATATATCTGTATCAGAATATTGATAGTATTGAATGATAGTTATCACTATTGTGTAAATAAAAGTATTAATATTGCATTTCATAAGACGTATCACAAAATTTGTATAAATTTATCAATAATTGTACTATCTAGCCCTCTGAAAATTATATCTTCCTAATAATCATATGTTTACCATCATTTTAAGGTACTTGAATATTGATAAGTAACAGTATTGGTGTATATAATGTTCCAAAGGGGTTCATCAGGATCTCAAGTGGTTTATTCCCGTGAAATTCAAATCGGTTCACACACGAAAAAATCTTCAAAAATGACGTGAATCTCTTTTCCCCATACAAAATGTAATAAATGGAATGTTTTCAGTTGTATTTGAAGGAAACATGTTTCATTTTAGGTATTATGCGTTCAACACGTTTATATAATAAAAAGAATAACATAATAGATTATTCAGAATACTACTAATAGTGGTACCAACGGATCAGAAGCTGATTTATATATTATATATTTCACTCTTTCTGATATTTGATTTTATTTTTCTTTTTTCTCAGAGTTTTCTGTATGAACCATGGACTTAAATTCAAGAATTAGCGGAATCCGTGTGTCGATAATAGGTTGAGCATAACTAATAACCAATTTTAATCGGTAACTATTTGTAATGCTGATTCATTTCAAGCCATCGACTACTGATAGTTTATTCAAATGATAAATTTCTTCTTTAAATTTACTTACAGTGCACCTCTTTGGAGAATGAAGTATACTAAGATTTTTATATCGATACAGTAGATCTTGGATAGTTACATTATTTGCCGCTGTTGTATATTTGTCAGTATTCTATATATAATGATAGTCTATAAGAACATTCAGAGTATTCCAATATCTTGTCTATCGATATTGTTGTGGTTTCCACTTTTTTCAAATAACAAAAATATGATGAAAGCTGTTACCAGTCACTTGATGTTGTTGCAAGATTTTGGAAAAAAGGTGTATTAATAAAGTTGCGAAAAACTTTTTTAAATAACCAAAAGTGAGAAATCGCAGCATTCTTTTTAGTTTGTTGAAAACCTCATTATGTTGCTGAAAAGTGGCATCATCATAAGGTTGCCCAAAGTTGTCAAAACGTGGAAAATTGGAAACCTCATTAATTTTATGGAAATTTCCAAAAATGCGACGACAAAAAATTAATTTGCTTATTTTTAAAACTAAAGATACTTCATGAAGTTGTCCATGTTTTGCTAGATCTATTGATTCTAGCTTGATTTTCATCGCTTAAACAACATGATGTTATTTATGTCACTGTTTAATACTGTCACACTCAATCCTGGACGAATTGGCTAACAATGGGTGTAGTTAATGGTCAATTCTTACTTTTGGAAAATCAAAGGATCTTTTTTTTATCGGGAATTACAACTTCTCTAAATAGGTCAATAAATATAAGTTTTACCTAGCTGAAACTGTATTTATTAGAATATTAATATAAATAGTAATCTTTTCATCCTATTCTTATTTTATATTTCTAATTTTTAGGGTATCTGGTGTTTCCTAAGGGGTGCATCAGCAACTCGATTGGTTTATTCCCGTAGTTTTAATATTGGCCCAGACACGAAAAAGTTGTTAAAATTGACGTGAATCTCTTTTCCCCATACAAAATGTAGTGGGTTTCTAATATAGTGAGAATAGATCTTTGATATACCGAAAAAAAAAGAAGCATTTTAGACACCATTGATATAACCTTTTTCAAATATGTATTTTCTAATCCATCTGAATTTAATAGAAATCAATCAAAATAATCAATTTCAAGGTAATCCAAATCAATCAAAATAGCCAATTTGACAAGATTCTGAGTAAACAGAGCCAGATGATAGAGGATTATGTTTATGGATTCAATGGCAGCAACTTAAATATTCAAATATCCCCTTAATTAAATCATAGATTTTAAGTTTCTGATTTGGTGCGTATTCGTATATTCCAGTAGATGTGCTATATATATCTGTATATTCAAATATTCTGTGCATTAATTCACTGATTTTCAATATCCTAATTAGTGTGTATTTCTATATTCCAATGGTTGTTCTCTATATTAGAATGTCCAAATATTCCTTCCAAAGCAGCATAGATTTGTATGTTCCAAATTTGAGGAATATTTGGATGCTTCAGAAAAAAGTAGCATTTATATCTCTGTTTCTCTTGTCGTCACAGTGCGACATGCAAATATTCCACGATTTGTAACATTTGTCGCTGTTAGTACGATTTTTGCAATTTTGAAAATGGTATACAATTTTCAGTGATAAATTATGCTATCTCAGTTTATTCTGAGTCAATTGGATAAATATTGGAGGAGTTAGATGTAAATCTTGCTCTTGGAATTTGAAAGTATCTTTTTTTTATCGGGAATTATCATTTTGATGAATAAGTCAGTAATTACGCTATCCTGACCGCTCAAACTGTATTCATTGGAATATTAATGTAAACAGTATAATTTATATGCTGTTTTCATTTTATTTTCACAGTTTTTAAACCATATAGTGCTTTCAAAGGGGTTCATCAGGATCTCAAGTGGTTTATTCCCGTGAAATTCAAATCGGTTAAGACACGAAAAAATCTCAAAATTTGACATGAATCTTTATTTCGCCATTCAAAATTCAACTGATGGTATTTTTTTAGGACTACATAAGCTGTATTGAAGAATTATTGTCCTCAAATTAAATCACTAATACAAGTCAGGTTTAATATGTAAATATTCTATTGTTTCTATTATATTACTGTTTAGATATAGGACAAGTATAGTCAATCTACATAATTAGTTGTTGATGAATAAATTTGTTCTCAGTTTTTAGATTTTTTGAATTTTGAATTTTTTTCGCTGTAATTCTGGACTAAAATTGTAATTTTGTCGACCTGTCTACAACGAGATATAAATCTCCAAGACCCATCCTATTTACTTCTTACACTTCAGATCCTAACTCTGCAAATCATTAATTACAAATAAATCAAATGAAAATGTATAGTCCTTGTGGTTGAGTAATGTCCGTTTAAGTTTTTCGGCCCCTTTCCGTGTGCGTACCTGTAAAAAACTTAACTCCGTGTAGCCGTGGCATCAGCCGCTTCACTATATTTATGCGGGGATAATATGCTGCAACAATATATGTGTTGGAGACTGTACTTGAACATCCGTGTATCATATTCCAAACTATCCCTAAGCAATTATTCACTACATCAACATATATATATTTATATATAAGGAAGCTTTTGATGACAACATATCAATCATAAGAGAGAAAAAAGAATAAATACTTATTTAGTAATAAAACCAAACTCCACTTAGCGTGAACTGACATAATATTTAAAAAGATAATCTCCGCCTTTCAAAAATTATTTCCATCCACTTTTATTCATCTTGTATTGCCACAATCAATCAATATATTGCAAAATGGCTTCAAATGAACCAGTGCTAACTCAATCATCAGAACCTACTCCTATTAATACCGTGGAGGATACAATAACTCCCAACCAAGAACAACTTGAAAGACATGACACCAATCAAAGCAAACAGAAATTTAAAGAATCCGATGCAGGTGATGGAACAAGAAAGGAAGATCATTATTTACGTGGACCTCGATTGATATTATGTTTTATTTCTTTGTTTCTTTGTTTGTTCTTATTTGCATTAGATCAAACCATCATTGCCACTATTTTAACTACAGTGGGTACTAAATTCAATTCGTTTGCCCAAGTAGGATGGCTTTCTAGTGGGTTCTTGTTAGCGATGGCTGTTTTTATTCAACCATTTGGGAAATTATCTATAATTATTGGACGTAAATGGGCCATGGTTGTGGCAGTAATTTTATTTGAAGCTGGTTCTTTAATGTGTGCACTTGCAAACAGTATGAATGTTTTAATAGGTGGTAGAGTTCTTGCAGGTGTAGGGGGTGCAGGTATCAACAGTGGCGTATTTGTGATTGCCTCTGAAGTATTACCAATTAACAAACGTCCTTTTGCTCTTAGTATCTTTGCTATAACTTTCGCAGTTGCCTCGGTGTTGGGTCCTTTAATTGGTGGTGCATTCACTTCTCATGTTACTTGGAGATGGGCATTTTATATTAATTTACCAGTGGGTGGAGTTGCTTTAATTGTTTTTTTATATTCCTTCCGTCCCCCACGTCCAAAGGTTGACATGAAACAGGAAATGAAAAGATTTGATTATTTTGGAACATTTTTGTTAATTTCAGGATGTGTTGTGTTTTTGTTAGCGTTGACTTTTGGAGCAGACGAATTCCCTTGGGATTCCGGTGCCGTAATTTCATGTTTCATTATTGGTCCTGTTTTATTGATTGCTTTTTGTATCTGGAATTTCAAGTTTTCCAAGAATCAAATCATTGGTACAGAAGTTGTTAAAGTTCCACAAATCATTGCCTCCACATTGTCAATATCAGGAATATTTACAGCCTTCATTATGTCAATGATTTATGGCTCTATTTATTTCCAAGTTATTCAAGATTCGTCACCCTTAGGAGCAGGTCTCCATTTACTTCCTACAATCGTGTCAGTTGTTCTTTGTTCGTTGTTTTCGGGGATTATGGTGCAAAAATTTAGATATGTAAAACCTTTCAATATTGCTTCTGGTATTTTGGGTCCTGTTGGTTGTGGTTTGTTAAGTTTGTTACAAGTAGATTCTACTTTTTCTCAACAAGTAGGATTGTTGATAGTTATAGGTGTTTCTGCTGGTTTGGCAATGCAACCATCCTTCTTGTCAGCTCAAATAATGGCACCAAAGAGTCCTTCAGGAATGATTATGACTACTATTTTTATAAACTTTTTCCGATCACTTCTTTCTGCAGCAGGTGCTGTTTTAGCAGATGCAGTATATACAGCATCATTAAGAAATATCTTCAAGAAGAATGTTGCTAAACTTACGGATCCGGTTATATTACAAGACTTGCAAAGGCTAGATGTAAGTCAATTAATATCTTCGGTGGAAATCATGAAAGAGTTGCACCCAGAGACTCAACACTTTATTAAAACCCAAATTATGGATGCTATAAGGAATGTGTATTATACTACCATTGGGTTTGCGGCAATATCACTTATAGCCTGTTTCTTTATTACAAACAAGAAACTTCCTGCTGATGTTGAAATAAGAACAAGTACGGAAAAAGATGAGGAAGAAGGTGTTGGCCAAGAAACAAATGACTCACTCGAGTCACTGGCAAATGAAGTGGACAAGAGGGAAAACAGTGAAGATGGACAGCAGATATGATGCAGGGTGTGTGTAGGTAGTACCTAAATTGACAATTAATTAATAATATCAAATAAATTAGTGGTGTATATTTACGTATTGGACCGTAACCATCTTTACGTAAGATTAATAATCCATTGTTCCTCCTGCGTAGTCATGCATTCATAGAATTTCCGGAATACGTTGAGTATCCATTGTTTCAATAAGAGGCTAACCACTCACACACACACAGAGAGAGAGACAGAGAGAAAGAGTGTGCGTGTGTGTGAGAGGGCTACCAGAAATTGACCACAAAAATTACCTGAATTATAATAACTGTTCTTCAGGTAGTGCGACGTGCCAACTTTAATTTGTCAGATAAGCACGTCTAGCTTTCTATTTTCATTTTAAGGCTTATGCATGTAGTAGATGATTTGGTGTCTGATTATTGCTTTTTTTTTAACTAAATTATCCATGATCCCCACAGCTAAAATGTTGGGGAAATGTTAGATACGAAACGATGTGTATGTTTGCTTTATGCTTATTTGGTTGCTATTGAAAATGAACACTGAGTTCATTCATAAAACAATAAGATCCTTTTCTTAGTAATTTCTTCCTCCGATTGGTAGGACCCAATAAAAAAAAGATGTCCGAGGATACGCGGCACCAAAAATAGCAAGGTAGTGGCCCTGCGGACTCAATCTCCCCGCGACATATGCAGTCTTGCTATTATATATGTATAATTTTTTTTGGGGAATAATGTTCCATTTGCTGAATAATATTTTGTTTAAAATGGAAAACGTTTCCTCTTTATAATATTCGGATTTGTATAAAAATGCTATCCCTTGTATTGTTCTTGATATAACCACTCTTTTGTTTTTTTTTTATAAAAAGGTTTTCGTGTTCCAAAATCAAATAGAAAATTTTTGTTATTCCGTTTAAGAGTTTTAATTCCCTGTATTTGGAACTTTAATTAAATAAGCTTTTATTCATTGGTTTGTTTTCACAACTATGTATACTCCTCCTACTGATATTCCTGCTTCTCCTTTATCGGAATTTTACCATCTTCAACCATTAAGTGACTCATCTCCAAGATCGCTTGTTAGTCGTTTATCACCTGTTTCAGCTGACAGTTCGCTTAACCAGTCATCTACTTCCGATTTTCATTATGAGGAGGATCTCTTTGATAGGGTTTTGGGTTACAATTCTGTATCCATGCTATCTTTAAACAAATCCGGTCCACCTTCTACCTCGGAAACATCGCCATCGTCGGATTTCAGTGATTTCTTATTTCCAGAACAACTTGTAATTCCAAAACTGAAACTCCCCAAGGTAAAGAAACAATCTATTGCAAGATCAAGACGTGCTTGTTTAGGATGTCGAACTAAGAAATTAAAGTGTGATGAAGCTAAACCTTCTTGTTCAAGATGTGTTGAGAAAGGGTTGTCTTGTAACTATACTTTGCAACTACAATTTAGAGAAGATGTTGAAGCTAAGGGGAAAAGATTTGGTAGGGAAGGTATTAATTCATCTGGAAATACCAATAAATTAACTACTGATTTGTTGGTCAAAAAGGGAATGAATTCACATTATCAGTTGATTAAAAACTCCGATGATATCAAGTTTATTAATTTTTTTGTTCATGATGTGAATGAGAATGAACCTGAATATCATTTGAGTCATTCTTTACAATCATCAATAATCCCACAAGATGTAATCTATGGATCGGGTATTAAAGATGTTAATTCTTTGGGATATGCTTTAAACTATTATATTCATTTCATATCTCCAATTTTAAGTCCTGTTGGTAATAATTCAATAACTTATCAACAAATAGAAAACAACGAAGCAAAATCAATAGTTATTGAAAAAGGTTTAGACTTGTCTTCGTTGATGAAATATTCCCAGAAAAACAATGCTATTTTCTTCCTTATACTTTCCTTGGGATCAATGTATTTATCGAAATTGAATGATATTTCTGAAAGAGCAGGTTGGTTGAATAAAGCCAGACATTTTCAAGATTTAGGCTTAGGTAAGATCCAACCAGAAATAGAGAGACTTATTACAGGAGAGGATACTGAAAAAACATTTGATACTGATTTATTAGTTTGTTTGGTATTATTAATATTATATGAATTTGCTAATGATTGTGATAGGAAATGGACAGTTTATTTAAAATTATGTAAAAAATTATTAACTTCAAAAAATTTCCATATTCCAAAAGAAAGTTTAGAATATTCATTATTGAAATTTTGTCTTGAATTTCTTGATTATCAAGAATCCATGGGTAGAACAGCATGTAAAGATGTCAATATGTTTTTCCTTGAATTAGAAGAACAAGATGAATCTGCTATGACTAATCAAGTTAGTTTAGTTAGTTGGATGGGATGTGATAGACGATTGATTCCTATTATTTCTGATATAACTGATTTATCATTTGAAAGATTTAGAAATTCCGTCACTGAATCAGACTACTTGACATTGAGTAAAGATATGTTGCGTCGAATTAATGAAACTAAGATAACATCAATTGGGAATATATCAATGGAACCAGAAGAAGTTTGTTTCTTGTTGGCTTGTGAAGCTAAAAGATTATCTACTGAATTATACCTTCAATCATGTCTTATGTGTTTAACTCCTGAAGATGATATTATTCATGATTTAGCTCATGAAATATTCAAACATTTGGAATATATCATAATTACAAACGATCTCCCATGGTCTAGTTTAATTTGGCCAGTGTTTATGGCAAGTTCTCAAATATCATGTATTGATCCCAAATGTGAAGAATTGAGATATTTGGCATTGTCCATTTTGGATAAATTAGATTGTAATTCTTTGGGTAATATAGGTAAAACAAGAAAAATCATTGTTAATATTTGGAAGAAAAGAGATATGGCCAATTCTGATTTACAAAGTGTTGGTGTGGTCAACAAAGATTCAAGAAAGTTCAAGAGAAGAAAGAGATTAATGGGATTTGTTAATGATTGGGAGAAATTTGTCGTTGAAGAAGATTATGCCATTGCGTTAGCTTAGGTATTGTATAGGTTTATGTGTTTTAATTTTATTTATTGTAATCAGATGTTATTTTTTTTTTTTTGGACATTATTGGTAATACCACATGGGTTCCAGAATCAGAACCCTCCATAGCGAATGATAACACATCAGTTGACTGTTACATAAATATTACGAGTAAAAGCGGGGTGGATAATTAATTGTGGGATCAACCGAACGGCCCATAACGTATCATTTTCTTTTTGGGGTCAATCTTACATCGACAAGTTACAGCCATTGCAATAATAAATCCTAAAAATTCCGGCGGAAGAATAGAATAGTAACTCCAGTAGCAGTAATATCATACAATATTGATTTTAAGTATCGTGAAAATTAGGAATGAAACATGGAAAACTTGAAATAAAACCAAAAAAATAGCCTGATTTTTTTTAAAAAAAAAAATAGTGCGGGAGCTGTGTGTATTTTGCAATCGATCTAATTTGCAGGCAAAAAAAAAAAATAGCGTGATCTTTTTTTTTTCTCACAGCGTGTCTCACCCAATTTCCTCCTTATCCCCCCCACGATGAACTTGGGGCTGGCGATTGTCGAGGGAAGTCGAGGTGGGGGTGGGCCTGACTGCAATGCTCCGTAAACTTATTCTGTGTCATGTACGTTTTTGCATCTAAAAGTTAATAACCGTAACATTTCAGAACAATATTATTATTAAACAGGCTCATTGTTATTATCAGTTCATTTTACATGATTCAATAAAAAAGAAAATGACAATTTTTTTTTTGGAAGAAACTCTATAAAAAGGGTAAATAATCCCTTCTCCTTGTCTTCTCCGCAATACTTGTTTCTTCACTAGTTTAACTATCTACTAATTCATACACACATATATAATAAATATTCTTATACAAATCAAAAATGGCTATCATTAAATCTCCAACTATCACTCCAGGTACTGCATTGATCATCGGTGGTGTTTGCTACGGTTCGTGGGCTATTTGGATGTCAAGAAACTACTTCAAGAACTCCAGTATCAGAAAAAACTACATTGATGCCGATAAGGAATATTTAAGAGTTCATCCTATGCAAAAGATCCAATACGAAGGTAACTACGATGCTAAATAGTTAGGATAGCTAACTTTTTCCCATGTCATTCATTTATTAGGGTCAACTCCGGTTAGTATAATTTTGCCTTATTTATTCAGTTCTTTTCTTCATGAAACAAAAGTTTCATTTCTAATATACATATTCTATATAATATTGACATAATGTGTAGATTTATTGGGGGTATATCATCATCTCTGCTAGTTATAAACTCACTAATGTTTTCATAAACGTTTGTTTCGGCAAATTTTTGTTTCATTTTTGTCATAATCTCTTGGTTGGTTATTGGTATTAGTAGGTTTTTGGAATGTAACTCTTCAACTGATAGGTTGAATGGATAGATGCATGATTCAGACGGACAGGATATAATCGATAGTTGTGGTTGTAACAAGTGTAGCTTTAATTCAGTTTGACATAACGGACAAGCCAACGGCATATCTAGTGTTTGATAGTAATTGGTGATGGTCTTCGCAACATACAAAAAAAAAAGTGATAAAATGAGTTCGGATTTTTTTTTTTTTTTTTCATTGAAAGCAAGAATTCATTCTTGACTCATCGAGTTTCTACAATCATTGCATACCACATACCACGATGAAGATATCACAGGAAACTGTTCATAAATTACAACTGGATGCATCTTGTATTCGAAATATTTGTATCTTGGCTCATGTCGATCATGGGAAAACATCATTGAGTGACTCTTTATTGGCAACTAATGGGATTATTTCTCAACGAATGGCAGGTAAAGTCAGATACCTTGATTCTAGAGAAGATGAACAATTAAGAGGAATTACTATGGAATCATCAGCTATTTCATTATACTTTAAAGTCATGAGATTACAAAAGGGATCAGATGAACCTGAGATTAAAGAGCATTTGATCAATTTGATTGATTCCCCAGGGCATATTGATTTCTCATCAGAAGTTAGTACATCATCAAGATTATGTGATGGTGCTGTGGTGTTAGTTGATGTTGTGGAAGGGGTTTGTTCTCAAACAGTAAATGTTTTACGTCAATGTTGGATTGATAAATTAAAACCATTATTGGTTATCAACAAAATTGATAGGTTAATCACCGAATGGAGATTATCTCCTTTGGAAGCTTATCAACATATTTCTAGAATCATTGAACAAGTGAATTCAGTTATTGGTTCTTTTTTTGCCGGTGACAGATTAGAAGATGATTTAAACTGGCGTGAATCTGGATCAATTGGGGAATTTGTTGAAAAAAGTGATGAAGATTTATATTTCCATCCAGAAAAGAATAATGTCATTTTTGCGTCAGCCATTGATGGTTGGGCATTTTCTGTCAATACTTTTGCCAAAATATATCTGAAAAAATTGGGATTCTCACAATTGGCATTATCCAAAACACTTTGGGGTGATTATTATTTGGACATGAAAAACAAGAAAATTATTCCAGGTAAGAAATTAAAGAATGCAAATTTGAAACCATTATTTGTTTCCTTGATCTTAGATCAGATTTGGGCTGTGTATGAAAACTGTGTTATTGAAAGAGATCAAGAGAAATTGGAAAAGATTATAGAAAAACTAGGTGCACGAGTCACTCCTCGTGATTTACGTTCCAAGGATTACAAGAACTTGTTGAATGTTATTATGTCACAATGGATCCCATTAAGTCATGCTATATTAGGTACTGTTATAGAATATTTACCAAGTCCTGTTACAGCACAGCATGAAAGAATTAATAAAATCTTGGATGAAACCATTTACAGTGCTGTTGAATCGGAACATGACAAATCTAAACTAGTTGATCCTTCATTTGTGAAAGCTATGCAAGAATGTGATAGTACTGATGCGGAAAATCATACAATTGCTTATGTTTCTAAATTATTGTCAATACCAAATGATGATTTACCTAAACTTAGTAATTCTTCAGGATCATTGACAGCTGAAGAAATCCAAGAACGTGGTAGAATTGCAAGAGAATTGGCTAAAAAGGCATCAGAAGCAGCTGCTATGGCTCAAGATACTAAAAAGGGTGAAGATGATTTTATCATAAAACCAAAGAAGGATCCCTTTGAATGGGAGTTTGAAGAAGATGATTTTGAAACTGAAGAAGATGAAGATGATACTATCGAAGAATCTACTGAGACATTGGTAGGATTTACTCGTATTTATTCAGGCACATTATCTAAAGGGCAAAAATTAACTGTCGTTGGTCCTAAATATGACCCATCTTTACCAAGAGACCATCCAACCAATGTTGAGCAAATTTCCAATGATATTGAAATAAAGGACTTATTTTTAATTATGGGAAGAGAGTTGGTTCGCATGGACAAAGTTCCTGCTGGTAATATTGTTGGTGTTGTTGGATTGGATGATGTTGTTTTGAAGAATGGTACTATTTGTTCACAATTACCAGAAGATAAACCATACATCAATCTTGCATCTACATCCACATTGATTCACAATAAACCTATCATGAAAATTGCTGTAGAGCCAACCAACCCCATCAAGTTGACTAAATTGGAAAGAGGTTTGGAATTATTGGCTAAAGCTGACCCAGTTTTGGAATGGTACATTGACGATGAGTCTGGGGAATTGATTGTTTGTGTTGCTGGTGAATTGCATTTAGAAAGATGTCTTAAAGATTTGGAAGAAAGATTTGCTAAAGGGTGTGAAGTCACTGTTAAGGAACCAGTTATCCCATTTAGGGAAGGTTTAGCTGATGACAAAATCAACACTATGAATCAAGAAGAGTCGGATTCCGAAGACAATGAAGATGAATTGGTTGACTTGGAATTTGAAATCTCACCATTACCAAAGGAAATCACCGAGTTCTTGGTTAATCATGAAGTATCTATTTCTGAAATTGTTAACAACAAGCATGAAAATGACGATTTCAAGAACGAATTTGTGGATAAGTTTGCTGCTGTTATAAATAGTTCTGAATTGGTGTCCAATTTCCCAGACGCAAAGTCTTTCATCGAAGGTATTGTTTCCTTTGGACCAAAACGTGTTGGTCCAAATATTTTTGTTGAGGAGTATGAGTCAAATCTACTTAGACACATCTTTTCGTCTACAGCCCCTGAATCTAGATTTGAATATGAGAATAACATCCTCAATGGGGTACAGTTGACATTTAATGAAGGGCCATTAGCATCTGAACCATTACAAGGGACTATTGTCACGTTAAAGAAAGCAGTGAAGAATGAAATTAATGAAGACAAGATAGTCAACCCGGGAAGAATTATAGTACAGACTCGAGATTTAATTCATAAGCGTTTCTTGCAAAAATCACCACGATTATTCCTTGCCATGTATACTTGTGAAATTCAAGCTGCTTCTGAAGTTTTAGGTAAAGTATATGCTGTTGTTCAAAAACGTGGAGGTGCAATTATCTCTGAAGAAATGAAGGAAGGTACTCCATTTTTCACTATTGTTGCCCGTATCCCTGTCATTGAAGCATTTGGGTTTTCAGAAGATATTAGAAAGAAAACCTCTGGTGCTGCAAGTCCTCAATTGGTGTTTGATGGGTATGATATGTTGGATATTGATCCATTCTGGGTTCCACATACCGAAGAAGAATTAGAAGAATTGGGTGAATTTGCTGAAAGAGAAAATGTAGCAAGAAGATACATGAACAATATTAGAAGAAGAAAAGGGTTATTTGTTGATGAAAAAGTTGTCAAGAATGCAGAGAAGCAAAGAACCTTGAAGAAGGATTAAACATGGAGTCTATAATTGTATACTTTATATACTTTGTTTTAGATATGTAGAACATGAATCCATTACTGCAAAAGACCACAACGTAGGAATTGAAACAGAGAGAGAAAATTTTTTTTTTCTTTGTTGGTTAAGTTAACCAATGCTTTGTGAAGCAAGTGTGTTTAAAATCAAGAAACCCGCAACAAGAAGAAGAAGAAGAAAAAAAAATTTGGCTGAAGATTAAAGTCATCTTTTACTATCATCATACTAACATCACAAAAGGATATATAAATTGGCCACGTCGAGCACTGTTGGTATATAATTCACTATTATTAAAAGCAACTGGTGCCACTACACACTCTTCTTTCTTATTTATCTCCCAATAATATTAATCTTCATGCATGGAATATAACATATAATCATATAAAACATACTACAATACAATACAAGCTTGAAATAATATATCACCTGTCATTAGAATAAGAATAAGTAACTAAGACAATTAGTACAACCAAGAGAAACAAAAATAAAATGGCAAAACTATCTACAGGTTCAAATCAATCTAATAATAGTAATGGTAATACTACCAAGACGGGGACATCACAAACTCCAAAGGCAACAATCACAGGGAATTCATCACGAGGATCATTTCAAGCAACAGTATCTACATCACTAATTAAAGAAGGGAATTCATCGGGAGTAGGATTGAGTCCTAAGCAATTATTTGAATTGGTTTCTAAAAATTATGAAACTTGGCTGCAGGCTATGACAAAACAATTTGAAAATGATGTAGATGAAAGTAATTATTCACCGTTTCCTAATGAAGATGATAATGTTGATACAAATGTTATTAATGAGAAATCTAATCCTATTTTTAATTATAGTTTACTAGAAGCTTTGGATGCCGCATCTAATGATATGAATGAACAACTCAGCGCAACTACAAATTCTTCGTCGTCTAGTGTCAAACCTAAAGATGGGAAACGAAGAATTCTTGATCCAAGTACGCATACATTATTGAATGAAAGAGAAATTGATTTTCTTCGACATAAGATCACTCAAATTATTCAACATAATAACGAAACAACCGAAGGGTTTAATTTATATGATACAAAAGACGAAGAAGGATTACATGAAGGTAATTGTGGGTGTTGTGATGAATATGATCAAGACGATTATGATCTAGAAGAAATCAATGGAGATGAAAATTATGCATATGATATACCACCAACCCATCATATTGAAGTTGAATTAAATACATCTTCAGATTGTCCTATTCATGGTTCTGAAGGTTGTGATTGTCCTATCTTTTCCCATCATATTCGTAGTGGAATGGGTGGTGATAATGATGACGATGATGACGATGATTATGATGACGATGATGACCGTTATGCACCATCATGTGAATTTATGTTTGAATATGATCTGAGTGGGAAATTAATACCGACCTATAATAACGTGGCAGAAAAGTTGCGAGAAATGGAAGCTAATGGAGGTAGATTCCCTTTTAAGAATCATCGACTGAAGCTACCTTCAATAGAGGAACTACATGCCAGAGATGAGAACTTGAAGAAACAAAACAAAAAGAAAAAGAAAAAGAAAATGAAAACCACGAAATCAGATTCAAATCCTCCCATAACAAGAACAGAAGATCTTGTAAATATTAGTCAAATTAAAGTTCCTCAGAATAGCTATAAAAACGACTCATCTACTATTCCTAAAGACTTCATTGGATTTATCCCTAGCAATGAGTGTTGTTTATTGTGTGAATATGAAGCTGTATTTGGAAGTAAACCGAAACAAATGATTAAATGGTATGAACAAAGAATAAATGCAGAAGAGAAAAGAAGGGCTGAATTCAAAAGGAAGTTACAGAATGCAAAACTGAAGGCCTTACGAAAACAAAAAGATATGAGACAGAAAAGTATCCAGCAACAACAACAGCAACAACAACAACAAAAGCACAGTAATCCAAAACCTCTGGGACCCTCAAATCCTGAGTCTTTACAAAGTAAAATTGATGAAGTTGATTAAGCTATAATTAATGGTTATAGGGTATATATATATATATATAACTCACAGCTATCAAAGTAATTTAATTTAGTGAAATATGTAATTCACACATAGAATATACCAGTGCGTTGAGTTTGTTATAGTAGCATACTTTAAATGAACGTATCAGCTTTGAATCTTGGTCTTTATAACATTTGTTCATAAGGGAAAACTCAAGTATTCCATGATTCTATTAATGTAATATGCTCATTTGAATTGTAATCACAACTCATTTAAACATCTCACGTTTACTGCAAAATATCGCATTATCACATCCGATCCAAGTATCCAGGTTAAACCACGATACTGGATGATAACATATGATATTCTTTTCTTGAATGGAATGTCAGTTTGTTTGTTCCCAACTCTCTAACCAATCTAACAATAAAAATAATAAAAAAAAATCTATATTGAATAGTTTATACTAAAAGCACCTAAATTAATACTTTGACATACAAGAAAGAAAAGAAAAGCAACAAATTAAAGATTGGATTAACAGAAAAAGTTGTAAATCTTGAAGTACCATGGTTTAGCATTATCGATTTGACGTTGCTCAGCAATTTCTTGTTTTAATAATTCAATATCAAGTTCTCTTCTACCAGTATCCAAATCAATATCTTCTAATTTAATCCAAAGCATATTCCAGGATTTGTGAAAAGTCTTAAAAACAGCCCACATAATAATCATTAATGGTAAGGATAAACAATTTTGCCAGAAAGTAACAACATCAGTAGATTTACCATCTGGAGTAATTGAGACCAATATTTCAATAACAATAACAAAAATCAAGACAACAAGACCTGACCAAGAACCAAAAGTACCTAACGGTGATTTAAATATGACTTCGTCGGTTGATCTGCCTTGGGCATCCAAAGCCCATCTCCATCTTAAATGAACGATATTGATTGCAGCCCATGTGAAGAAAGAAGATAAAGAGCAAACGGAAAAGAACCAAGTGAAAACAGCTCCTTCGTTATCATTAACAACAAGGAAACCTAATAACCCGATAATACTGGTAAATATAATAGCAACAAGTGGTCTACCACTTCTATCAATATAACCAAATGATTTTGGTAATAATCCTTGAACAGCCAAGGAAGCTAAAGTACGAGAACAACCATAAACTGAAGAGTTACCAACAGAAATAACAGCAACAACAATGACTGCGTTCATAATGTGAGGAACCACTTTAATACCACCCTGATTAATAGCAATAACAAATGGAGAAGCTGCAATACCCTCACCATCAAGCAAATCTTGATTAGTGTATGGAACCAAACAACCAATAATAATAGAAGTCAAAATGTAAAAAATAAAGATTCTATAGAAAGTACTTTTGACAGCTTTTGGAATACTGATATTTGGAGCCTTTGTTTCCGCAGCAGCCAATGCCACTAATTCAATACCACCAAACAGGAAAGCTGCCAGAATAACACTCGATGCAAATCCCAAAAATCCATTATTAAAAGCACCTGGGTCTCTCCAATAACGGCCACCTATGTAACCTTGATCTCCAACACCACATGTGATACAAATACCCAATATGATGAATCCAATAACTGCCAAGACTTTAATCATGGATAAGACGTATTCAACTTCACCATAGCCTTTAACACCGAAGAAGTTGATAGTTACAATGACCACCCAGAACACAGCAACCCAAACAGCCGGACTTACCAGTGTATTCCAGTATTGTACAGTCATGGCAGCAGCAATCAATTCTGAAGGGAAAGAAATACACCATGAAGCAGCATATAAAATACCAAACGTACTACCAAAAGAAGGTTCAAGAAATCTTGAAAAAAATGAATTGAAAGAACCACTGACTGGAAATTGAACTGATAATTCACCCAAGGCATATACCACACATAATAAAGAATATCCCACAATTATAAAACTAAGTAAAAGACCCATTGGACCAGATTTTGATAATGCGTAACCTGATCCAACAAATAACCCTGTACCAATAGAACCACCAATAGCAATCATTTGTAAATGACGAGTTTTCAAGCTTCTTGCCAATGGATGTTTTGCAGATGCGAGAACAGCCTTTTCAATGGGTGTTAATTCACTAGTGTCAATCCCTTCATCTTCTAAATCTATAGGTTTGAATGAATCATATAATCTTTTAAAGTAGTTACCTTCTTGATATTGGGAATATTCAGATTCAAATGAAGTCGTGCTGCTTCTATCACTGGCATCATCTGAAGTTGTATTTCGTACGGCAGAGGATGATGTGTGATATGTGGATTCAACCCCTATTTGTTTTTCAAAGTCTTTGTTTGACATAAAGAGTTATGGATAGTAAAGTGTAAGTAGCAAAAAGTAATAATAATGATAATTCTAAAAATGAAAAATTAATAAAAAAGAAAGAAAAACATAGGAGAGGTCAGGGGACGAACAAAGACGTTTATATTTATACACGGCAATGAAATTTGTCTAATCATTTCATGAGATATGCAGAATTTAGAAACAGGAAAATTTTTATACTGTATTGTGAATGATGTACGATTGTTAATTCCTTATGCATGAATAGTTGACAGTGCATAATTGACACAAACCTACTATTTCTACGATAAACAAAAGAAATGGAACAATAGAGTGAACATGGGAGTTTCTGATTGATACAATACGTTGTTATCAGATGTTAATATGGGATGGAAAATAATTACCACCATGGTGATCGAATCCATCATAGAGAAAAAGAAACCCTATGGAGTTGTAGCGTGACGTGAGATTTAGGGTATAGGAACGATGATTTAGATTATACAATAGACCGAGCATTCAATCGGACTAGTGACATACTAATTTCAAGTCAGTCTTTAATGATAAGAAGGAGGGATGAGGTCATGATTTTCATCATATAAGCTAACATCAACTAATCGGTATGTGCACAACAAAAATAATGATTTGCAACATTGAGGAATTCAGGGGGGGAAGTTAGAGTGTAGAAGAAATTTTCAAATGGATCTGAGATTTGGAATATTTTATTGAGGTGACAGACAGTCCCCTTTTTAATATTGCATTCGCTACACACACATATACACCCTCCTCTTTTTTTCCCATTAATGTTATCGTCTAGTTATCATACAGCAAACGGTACAACATTATTGAAATATTGTGCTCTTCGGTATCCATTGTTGTTATAGAAAACAACTTTGGTTGATGCATCGGAAGTTTTATCTGGGGCTAGATTTACCAAAGAGCTCTAAACAATAAACACTGGCTTCAAACGGCAAAACAGAATTATTATTATCAATACAATTTGATAGCCACAGTTTTTTTATTTTTATTTCTTCTTTCATACGCCTGTTCAATTATTCTCTCTAGAGCACAAAAAATTTCAAAAGATCCACAATTTGTGAATCCACAGATGCTAAAATAGGTTTTTCCGTGTTTGTTAAGCCATGCTTAAATGTTATACAATTCGGACATGGTCTCCGAATTGGGGGCTTGCAGTATTATTCCCGTTTTTAGTTAATTAATTACTTTGTGTATGGTATTCCGTCGTCATGTGTATTGACTCTTGTTGATGAATCCGTGAATATGATTCGTTTTTGGTTACCTTTCTCAATTGAACTCTCAAAAAAATATAATAACCGGATGTTTCAATATTCAAATAAGGAACACTACATTATAGCAAATATACTACTGACAACGCACTCCATTTCTACTCCCTTGCTTCCTCATCTCAATTGATATTTTTCAATTTCTGATTAATTTTTTTCTTTTTTTTTTTTCTTTTTTTCTTGTTTTGTGCCACTTTGCACGCACGTTGGATTTTTATTTTTAGTTTTGTCTCACTACATAATCACTGGCCCTAATTTTGCGTTTCATAAGTTGATGGGCTGGCATCCATTGTTATTTCCATTTGGACGATACCTCTACATACACATCTACAATCAGCCATATCGTCTATATTCCATCCTCCCCATGGCAATCATTCCCATATATATATATCTTGATTACATTTTCAAATCTCGAATTGATTATTATTGTGGGCTGTTTATCAGGCGGAAATCTACGCTTCTTATTCGCCTAATTGTATAAAATTCATCTTTGAATATCACGTACTTGAAAGCCTTGTTTCATATTTATTTGAAAACAAAATATATGAAAACAATACAAGATCGACGATTCGTAACAGGGAGTGTTGGGTTATATCCATTGCACCATCGAATCACCTCCTCTCTATCTCACCTCTATCTCACCCCCGCCCTGGCCCCTTCTCCTCCTCCTCCGCATCTAGAACATTTGTGAACTTCGTGCATAAGTAATGATTAATTGGCATGATAGAACATATAGGCATATTGCTTCAGTATTATATATGTTTGTTGTTTCAGTTTCAGGGATTCATTCTAACATTCTTGTAGATGAATTGGATCTTGTTCCTTTATTGATACGATTGACGTCGATCATTTTGTAATTCAATTATATTAATTTTCAACTGAATTTTGTTTATAAATCATAGTAAAAATATCGATCGTGTAGCAACTCCAGGTAATGAATTGAACAATGTTCTTGATGCATATCCACCATCTAACTTATTGTTAATTATCATCTATTGTCGCCAAACAAAGAGCATTGCACATTATCTACCTATGTTGTAAAGTCCATGATTTAATTTTTATTACGCTTTTTTTTTTTGGTTTGCTTGACTATAATACTATAAATACATTAATAATAAAACTTAAACGTACATGATATTACCTTCTTGATTATACTTCAACACTTTTTGGTTGATCATCTGTGATTAATTGAGGCTCAGCTGTTGCTGGGGCCGTACCTGTTGTATCTGAAGTTGAAGCATTTGTATCACCAGCATCATCTCCTCCACTACCAGAAGCACCGGTATCCGTAGCAGCAGTTCCCGCAGCACCACCAGCACCACCCATCATTTTCTTATAAAGTGGACATTTGGCATTGGTACGAATATGTCCATAAGCACCACAATTCTTACAACGACGTGTTCTACTTTTACCTTTACCAATACCTTTACCACCAATAACATAGGAACCATCAGGTAACATAACAGTATTTGCATCAATGATTGTGACCCCAGCAGCGGCAGCAGCATGAATCAGATCCTTAGGTGGTTTCTTGGCTCTGCTTTGTTTAGCACGTTTTTCCAAGTTGGCCAATTTCTCTTCTAATGCTTTTACGACGAATCTTGTTCAATTCTTTATCATTTGTTGGTAAGATTTCATCCACATCGGCATTCTTTAATAATTCATCTTCAATTTGTTTCTTACGTTTGACATAAGCACGAATTAATCTTGGATCACTAATGGTTTCAACTCTTCTTTGAACAATCCCATTTTCATCTCTAACTCTTCTGGTGATTCTCAACACTTTCGAATCTTCAACTTCAAGTTTACTCTTGACAAATTGTTCATGGTCATTTGGTTTATATTCATCATAGATTTGCTGAAGCTTGAAATCAGACCCTTCTCCATGATCTACCAATGAACTTCTTTGAGAATACCAAATTCTCTTGATTTCCTGTTCATACAACTTTTGATTATGTGCAGCTGCATTACTCTTTGGGACATTCTCAGGAGGTGGTGTAAATAAAGGTTTGAACGGATTCTTTTGAGTAGCACGTAACATAGAAAACCCTAAACCAATACCTGTTGGATCACCTTCACCGTTTAACTGTAACATGGTTTTAGTTTGATTGGCAATAACAAAATTTCTTGACAAATTCCATGGAGCCAATTCATCTTCAACATCAAGTTCTGCATCTTGTTCTTTTGACTTCTTTGTCTTTTCTTTCTTGGTGGAGGTGGTAGTGGAAGTGGAACTCCCATTTTTGTTATTGCTCTCCTCAGCAGTACCGTCTTGGTCCTCAGTGTTTTCCTCTTTCTTTTCCTCCTTCTTACCCTTTGGTTCTTGTTTGGACTCGTCGCCAAACAATGTGGCAGCATCTTCTATTGCTTGTTGACCAAATTGCATTGTGTCCATTAAAGAAGCATCCTCAGGAGTAATCATTGTTCTGATTTCATCTTCTCCTGGAATAACATCATTTAATCCTCTTACTTTCCAATACCCTTGATCGTCACCATGTCTTTGATATTCCATAAATTCTTTCAATCTTTGTCTATTTTGCATATCGGTGTGTTCAGGAAAATGCTTTGAAACATCTTTAACTGAAATACGAGGAGCCCCAAGATTATTCATCACTCTGAAAACAACCATCTTCAACCTGTTCTTGGAAATATTAGTCACTTTTCTGGAATGTGGTGCTGGAACTTCAACTGGGAACGTATTACCCACGGCAAAATTGAAATTGACCGCTCTCAAATAAAACTTTTGATGTGACCCTGCACCTTGTGACCTAATCATCAAGAAATCAGTATTCTTTGGATCATGTTTAAATATCGGAGCTCTAACCATGTTATTGTATAAAGTTGGAACAAAATCACCAGGAGCAACTTCACCAAAGTTCCAAAATGGTGATCTATCTTCAACACCCAATATGTGGGTTTCACCAACTTGTGCCTTTGGACGTGAAGTATCATTAGCTCGTTCTTTTCTATAATAGTTGATTAATTTAGAACCCATACCAAAGTTGGACAAAATAGGCGGGTACTGTTCTGAATACTCCAATGCTACTAAGTTTGCAGTATCCGTAGTTGTTAATTCTGTAGTCTTTGAGAACACTTCTTGTAATGATTTACCCTTGTCTTTCTTTCTCTTTCTCAATTTCAATTTAGAGAAACTAACAAGCGTCCCTGGTCTGACATTGAAAACAGGTCTGTGGAACAAACGCATTTCATCTGTTCCGAGTTTGACTTTATAATATGGTGTTTGTAATCTCAATGCAGGAACTGAATGCTCGATGTTAAGGTTACTCAATTGAGATCTTTGTTTGGTGTTGTAATTCTTTCTCAACAACTCATATTCTTGATCATTGGAAAAGTTAAACTTTAACTCTAGTAATTTATCATTGGTAGGAATAACAGCCTTGGTGATATCGGATTTCTTTTTCGGTACAAACAACAAGTTTGGATCATTCATATCAAGTTTCAACAATTTACTAGTATCCAATTGTCCATTGAAAATATCTTCATCATCCTCTTCATCTTCTCCAGAACTTTCAAGTAGTATTTCATTGATTGGTTTTACATTATAACCATCGTCTCCAGCATTGATTATAGCATCATCATCCCAATCGGTTGTAGATAAAATCAAATCTTTAGAAAAATCACCAAACTTGTTGAAATTACTCCAATCACGTTTAACATAATCGATTTCTTTTATGAATGAATCAATCGAGGATCTTTTGTTCTCCAACTCTTGAATGAAATTCAAATCACCTTGGGTTATATTAGTGACATTTTTCTCGGGTTCAGTTTTGACATTCCTCATCTTGAACAACTTCCGTTGATCAACATCCACTTCAAGATTCAATTTTGTTGGAATTAAAGGTTTTATATTTTTATTGTATGCAATTGGTGGTCTTTGATATCTGAAATACTGTGGTGTAGGAGAAAAGAATTCATGGAAATTAAATGGTCTATATCTTGAATAGGATGGGAAATAATGTTTAATATTCCTCTTCATTTGCTCCTTTTCAAGTTTTTTAACAATCTTTTCTAGTTTTTGTTTCTTTAGTTTTCTGTTTTCTTCTTCTTCTAGCTTATGTTTCTTAGAATTGTCATCATCAAACAATTCTCCTAAATCATCCAATCCATCATTCTCATCAACATCCATTAAATGGTTCCCATTACCCAAGTCATTGAATAAAACATCATTATGCAGTTCATGTTCATGGAAATCATCACCAGTACCAAAAATTGCATCAAATTGATCATCAGCAGCTTCTTGTGCTGCCAAATCATCATATTCATTGTTATCCTGTTGTTTCTGCTTTTGTTGCAGTTGCTCTTGTGGTGGTGCTTCAATTTCTGGTTGCCCCTCTTGAAACAATTTGCTAAACTCGTCATCTTCATAATCATCATTAAAATCATCATGTTCATCACGAGTATGTTGCAGTAGTATACGTTCACCATTGGAAACTTCTTCCATGGGTAGGTCATCTTCATCATCCGCTAGTTCATCTATATCTTCATAATCTATGGCATCTTCTGCATGTTCTGTTTTCCTCTCCAGAAATATCGCATTAATAATTTGATCGTTTGGTACGTCTGTACTATTTACATATTGATTGTATGCTGCATCACCTTCTTTATCATTAATATTATTAGTATTCACCACCATTTTCAATTACTGATCTTGATCAAAAGGGGATGTATGAATGTAGGTGGTTGATGGTTGTAATCTACTATAAGAGTATGGACGGTTGTTGGGAGTGTTTTTTTTTTCTTCTTCCTCTTCATTTCTCGCTCCGTGGATTTTTTTTTTTTTTTGGGTGTTGTTTTGTTTTCCTTCGAATGGTGATTTCTCTTTGGGTTTTTCGTGACTTTGATCAACTAGAAGCTATGACATTGAATGATTTAAAATTAAAAGTGAAAAAGGTAGAGAAGAGACTTGTGATATGTTTATTATCAGGTATACAACTGTCCATAAATTATCATTCCAATAAATCTATTGACCTTTATGTCGTAACGAACGGCAATGTCTACAAGAACTATATCCAAAATCTAATTCGAAAACATAAGGATGTACATCTAATAATTCAATATTCCAGTATTGAATCAATAATGAGAATGTTTAAGTTTATATATCAAATTAATTCTTTGGAGTATATTCTCCCCATTCCAACCACCATCCTTTATGATTCGTCAGAAATTGAGAATTTACAATTATCTCCAGATTTTATACTAACCCAACAAATAATACGGTACTTGAATATGAAACATGGAGCCACTATAATGTCTTTATCAAACGTTGAAGAAGTCACTACTGTTGAGAATATCAATGATGTTTTAAATCTAGAAAACCTAGCCCCGAAACCAATATTTGAATCCACATCAGAGAGGATTAACTCATTAGAGATCAATTTATACATCCCTTCTTCATGGGATTCTTGGAATAAAATTGTTGTACAAGGGAAATCATTTGTATTACCAGATACAGAACAAATCATAAGAGATGAATCAAAGTTAGAATTGTTAGACAGCAATTATGAAAAGTTTTTGAATGATCAATATGACTTGCATAGTGTATTACAAGGATTGAATCCAGAACAATCTGAAGTCACACCTGTTGAAACAAATTTTAAGATTTCATTAAGTGATATGTTAAGAGAAATAGTTCAACCTTCAGTTGTTGAATAGAGCATTGTATCTGTTTTGTATAGTCCTTTCTTTCCAGTATCCATTTTGCCAACACCTTAATCTTAACCCTATCTGGTTGTATGACGTGCACCGAAGCACAAAAAAATTGTCCTTTTTTTTCGTTTCTCTCTCAGCCTATGCTGCCCCTTGTCCTTCTTTTTTTTTTTTTCTCTCTCTGTTTTGGCTGCTATAAGCAATACAGAAAATTTTCTGGACCGAGATGGGTTTATGGAATTTAGTTTATCTACAGTGATAGTTTCACCAGTTTCTGTTGGATTATATATGGCATCTGAACATTTGATTCAACTCATTCCATATACATTGCATTAGATCTTAGATATCGTTGTTGTTGTTGATTAGTCTAGACTTGTATTATTAGATAATTTTAATTGATATCATTCCACAGTTGACATGAATGGTGAAGTAGAGGTAGATGATCCATTAAGTAAGAGCACTTCAAGACTTTCCATATGTCAAGCAGATATGGAAGAATTAGGGGAAAAGAATCCTAGATTACAAGTTCGAGAATTTTTAAAAAATGAGGGACAATTATCACGTCGTGATTCTGCAGTTTCATTAAATTCATTTGTTGAAGATGATACACCAAAGGCAAAAAGTATTGAAAAGAGAAGAAGATCATCCGTTCAAACAACTGGTATTACTCAACAACCTGCCAAAAAGGAAAAAATTCATAAACGTAAACTTAGAAAATTAAATCATCCACCAACAGTTGAATTAAATCCCGATACGGCTAAGGAAAGTGATACAAGTGAAGGTGATGATGGTAAACGATTCCCATTTAAGAATATAAGACAGTTGATACTTCAAATTTTTAATGTCCCACCAACTAATAAATTGAAATGGTGTAAACTTGGAAATCCAGAAAAGATTCCTACAATTTGTTTTTGTTTAGTTCCTGGGTTACAGTTAGAAGATCGAGATAATAAAGACAATGGAAGTAGTAAAAAACTGCTAAAGCAATTACCAATTTCATATTTGAAGAAAATTGATGAATTACCATTTATTTATGATAATTTTGAAACTTTTATTAGATCCATGAGCCCGGGGACAAAAGATTCAGTTCATCTGCCACTACAAGCAATAACTAATGTTCCACTTACTAAATATGAAAAGAAATCACTTATGGAAAAACTGCAGAAACAAAAAATCACCATTCGAGATTTATTGTTAGCAGAACAACAATTGGTTCAACATAATTATCCTAGAAAATTAGCTGATGATACATGGAAAGAAACCCAACCACATGATCCTGCAAATAAATCACATATTTACGCATTGGATTGTGAGTTTTGTAAAGCAGGTACGCAAAGTGTTTTAACCCGTATTTCATTGATTGATTTCCAAGGGGAGGTTGTTTTTGATGAATTGGTTAAACCAGAGGAAGAGATTACTGATTATGTTACTAAATACTCAGGTATAACTGAAGAAATGCTAAAAGATGTAACTACAACCATTCATGATATACAAGATTTATTTCTCAAACATGTTTCTAGTGAAGATATTTTGGTTGGACATTCTTTGGAATCTGATTTAAATGTCATGAAGATCATGCATTCCAAAGTTGTTGATACATCTATTATATATGAACATAATCGTGGACCACCAAGTAAACCGTCATTGAGATGGTTAGCTCAACAATATTTGAAATCTGATATCCAAACTGGTGAAGATCATGGGCATGGGCATTCATCAATAGAAGATGCTAAGGCATGTTTGGATTTAGTCAAATTAAAGATTCAAAATGGAAGGTTATTTGGTACTAATGTGGGGGAAATTTCTATATTTCTGAGATTATCTCACAACTCTAATTTCAATGGAGATTTTAAATCACTTTGGGTCGGATATCCAAATCCTCGAGGACCTTATTTAGATTTAGAAGATTTAAAATTGACTAAAATCTCTGCTAAAAATGATGATGAAATAGTTGATAATTTTTTGAAAGAAATTCCAAATAAGAAATTTGCTGTTGTTAATTTAAGAGATTTAGAGTTGAATTCAAGATGGGGTAATGCACCTGAATATTACAGTGGAGATTTAGATTATGATCAAGTTAAAGCATTTCAAAGAACTAACGAAAGATTAACCAAGATTTATGAAGCCTTACCTGAATGGTCGGTACTTATTTGTTATTCTCAACTGGGAGATCCTAGAGGAATGTATAAATTACAAGCTGTTAGACGTGATTTCCAAAAATTAGCTAAAGAAAATGTTGATGTAAGCACTTTAACAAAGGAACAGTCCTGGGATGCTGATAAACTTGATTTACTTCTTAAGAAAACTGCATTAGCTAGAGAATCATTAACTTTTATTAAAGTAAAACCATCTAATGGTATTACTGAAGAGAAAGGGAATCTGCAATAAATATAGGCGATAATAACAATAGTGAACATCATTGTAAAAAAAAGCAAACTATACATTGAAATAGACATGACTTTTTTTTGGTTTTTTTGTTTGTTTGTTTGTCGTTACTTTCTGAATGAAATATTAGAACTTAATTACCTCTCCAAGTACTCCGCCAGTTTGTTCTACTTTCTTTATTTCATTTTCTGAACCATTTGTGGTATTTTCAGGTTCCTCAATCACAGGAATCTTGAAATATTTCCATTTACTTAAATCTAAGATATCGTTTGGATTTAATATATTATTACTTTGTTTATGATTTATATTAGTTTTGTGCCAACCTTTCAATCTTATTAAATCACTAATCGCTGGTGTACCAATATCATCATCCAACCCAGTTTGGTTAAGTGATGATGATGAGGTTGTAGTTGTTGTAGTAGTATTAGCTGTAGGAATATTGGAAATTGTTGAATCTAATTGATTTGAATTATTACATAAATTTGGCAGATACCAATCATTTACCCAAGTTATAGATTCACCTAAAACCTCATGGAATTGAATTTTTTGCAGTTGATTTCCATGTTGTGAAGAAGGAACAGGAGTTTGAGTACCACTTTGAGAAAACATTTCTTGAATAGTATAGTTGTGACACTGAAAAGGAAGATATAGATTCTAAAAAATCTTTGAATAATACTTGAATAAAGAGAAAGCAAATAAATAACAAATCTACAAAATTTTCTTTTTCCTTTTCCTTTTAAATAAAAGTGGATTTAATCCTCAAAAAAAAAAATGAACAAAAAAATTAGACAAAAGAGAGGATCATCCCTTCATTGCCATTCCTCCGTTTATGTATTCAAATTCTCACTCTCACCTTCTTGTTAACAGTAATAAGCTCACATCAAATAATAGGTGGTGGTCTTTTTTTTTCTTCGTTCGTTCCTTTACCAAAGATTATTAAATTTTGTGTCAACAAACACTTAGATTGTCCACAGTTACACGACTAGGGGATTTGACCACAAGTCCAACAACAGGTTTGTCCAATTCAATACAACCCACACTATTGGATCACCCACAAATATAATTGACAACAATGTGTGCAATTGTCAATAGATGGTTACTGACAGGTATTATCTGAATTTAGTCGTGCATGGTAGACAGGGTTTGGATTCTACAGAACCAACAAATGATCCTTGCGGTAACCCATAATCAAACCCCAATTGCTCACAGTAGGATTGACAGTGGATCTCTTCTTTGAATTATTAAACCATTGATATCTGTGACAGTATCACATCTGCTTTGTTAGTCAGTCGTCTTTCGTACAAACAACCTGGCTGTCTATCTTTCTATTTTTTTAATTTTCTTGGAGACCAAATCACAACTGAAATTTCTCGATAAAGTTAGTCGTGTACAAGTGATCAATTTGCTGTTGCCTTTCAAAAAGTTGTTCAACGATCAAACCAATTTTTTTTCTTTTCCTCTGTCTTTCTCTCTCTCTTTCTGCTGTTTGTTTCTGACAACATTTTTACCAACCAGAACGAGAAAAAAAATTTTCTCCTTTTACTTCTCCCTTATTTTCAAGAACCAAAATCAGTTTTTTAACCACCCATTAACAACAATCTAATTATATCAAAAGATATTCTTATTATCAATTAAAGAATCAAATTCAAATCATCTTTTATTTTTTTTTCAAACAAATATAAATTTACATTTGATTCAAAAAGTAATCTAAGACACCCACACTTTTTTTTTTTTGGAAAACGAAAAGAGAAGAAACAAAAAAACCTACAAAGAAAAGAGTCCAATTTTTTTTAAAGGGAAGTTATTGTATTATTATTATTATTGTCATTCAACTTTTAGCAACAACTAGTTCCTACTTTTTTCTTTATTAATCGATCATCATTATCATTTATCTTACTACTACTACTACCCTTATAATCACATATAAATATATATATATATTACAACATAATTAACAATGTCGGATACTACTTGGAAACAAAACTTGAACCTTCCACCAAAGGACACTAGACCACAAACTGAAGATGTTTTAAATACTAAAGGTAAATCATTTGAAGATTTCAACTTAAAAAGAGAATTACTAATGGGAATATTTGAAGCTGGTTTTGAAAAGCCATCTCCTATTCAAGAAGAATCCATCCCAATGGCTTTGGCAGGTAGAGATATACTTGCAAGAGCTAAAAATGGAACAGGTAAAACCGCGTCATTTATCATTCCTTGTTTACAATTAGTCAAACCTAAATTAAATAAAGTACAAGCATTAATATTAGTTCCAACTAGAGAATTAGCTTTACAAACTTCGCAGGTGGTTAGAACATTAGGAAAACATTTAGGTGTTCAATGTATGGTTACCACTGGTGGTACTTCATTGAGAGATGATATAGTTAGATTACATGACCCAGTTCATATATTAGTCGGTACTCCAGGTAGAGTGTTGGATTTAGCCGCCAGAAAAGTTGTTGATTTATCTGAATGTCCACTTTTTGTCATGGATGAAGCCGATAAAATGTTGTCTAGAGAATTTAAAGGAATTATTGAACAAATTTTGGAATTTTTCCCAGCCAATAGACAAGCATTGTTATTCTCAGCCACTTTCCCCCTTGCAGTCAAGTCATTTATGGATCAACATTTAAACAAACCATATGAAATCAATTTGATGGATGAATTGACTTTGAAAGGTATTTCCCAATTTTATGCTTTTGTTGAAGAAAAACAAAAATTGCATTGTTTAAACACTTTGTTTAGCAAGTTGCAAATCAATCAATCGATTATTTTCTGTAATTCCACCAATAGAGTTGAATTGTTGGCTAAGAAGATTACAGAATTGGGATATTCATGTTATTATTCCCATGCCAAGATGCCACAACAAGCCAGAAATAAAGTTTTCCATGAATTTAGACAAGGTAAGGTTAGAAATTTAGTTTGTTCCGATTTATTGACTAGAGGTATTGATATTCAAGCAGTTAACGTTGTTATTAATTTTGATTTCCCAAAGACTGCGGAAACTTATTTGCACAGAATTGGTCGTTCTGGTAGATTTGGTCATTTAGGTTTGGCTATTAATTTAATGAGTTGGAATGATAGATATTCATTGTACAAGATTGAGCAAGAATTGGGTACTGAAATCAAACCAATTCCTGCAACTATTGATAAAGCATTGTATGTTGCAGAAAATGCCGATGCTGTTCCAAGACCATTTAGAATTGATGAGTTGCCAAAGGGTAATGCAACTGTTCATAACAGAGGTTATGAATATAAAGGTCAACCAGAAGTTAAACCAGTTGAAAATGGTAAATCTGAAAGACAAGTACAACAATCAGGATCACCAGCAAATGGAGTTCCTCCTGCTCAACAACAACAACAACAAGTTCCACCTCCTCAGCAACAACAACAACAACAACAACAACAATATCAGCCAAATTATCAAATGCCACCCCATCCACAACAATTTGGTCAACCAGGTATGATGCCTCCACAACAATTTAATGGATACCCGCCATTCCAGCAATACCCACCACAATTTGGAGGTTACCCTGGACAATCCCCACAACAAATTGCACCTCAACAACAACAACAGCAACCACAACAACCACAATCTGCCCGTCCTACTCAACAATATTAGAAGTCATGACAAAGTAAGTGATAGTAGCCAATTAAGAATTTATGTGATAATTTTTGATTTATTTGTTTTGGATTCATCGATATTTAATTTTATTCTAGTTTATTCTTATTATTCTTGTATTTTATTGTACCATAGTTTTTATTATTTTTTGTTTTGTTAGATGAATTGAAATTTTTTTATTTTTTTTTATTAGTGTTATGACAAGGAATTATTAATTGGCATGTTAGTTATGAATGTTTATGAGTTTTGATGATGAGTTGAGAAGGATAAGAAGAAGTGATTATCAGAATCATTTAAAAGATTATTGAATTATGAAATCACAATTGAAGATATATAAATAAAAAAAGAAAATTAAAAACCCTATTTAAAAAAATTAAAAAAAAAAATGAGATTTTATATATATATGTATATATAAATTTATTTTATATTCAGGATGATGATTATGTTTTTTTTTATAGATATATAGTGTTGAAAACAAAAGAAAATCAAAGAAATATATGAATCCATATATATATATATATATAAATCAATAAGTTTGTAATTGAAGTCGTGCAATGGAATGAGGGCTGGTTAATGTGTGGTGATATTGATGTTGATGTTGATACAGATACTGACACAAAATCTTGTGGTATCTTGACTGTTTACGCTACAAAACAGATTAGGAAGACAGAGACACAATGTATGCATATTACAAATTGCAATGTAATTTCTGTTTTTTTTTATATAGATTATGAAGGCAATTTTTTTTTTTTTTCACATTTGACTCGGATCTAATAAAGATGATTAACAGTTACAATATTTGATTATCTGAGAGTATGGTTTTGATGATAATTGTATTCGTGATTCCAGTCATGTGACTCTCTATTTGTTAATGTAAACTAACAATAACGATGACAGTGAAAAAAAAATTTTCTTCTTGTTCTTCTCTAGTACATAAGTTGTTGTTGTTGTTGTATTAAGTTTGTAAGAATCTCATTGGATCTTTTGGGTTGTCAAAAAAGAAAAAAGAAATATGCAACAATTTTTTTTTTTTTTTTTTTCACTTATATTAACTGAGACAGATACTCTTCGCACAGAATCATAGCTAGAGGAGAGGGAAGAAGAAAAATTTATTAGAGATAATTTATTTTTCAAAATTCAATTTGCCCATTTCTTTCCTTCTTTTAAGATTTCTTTTAATCTTCACCATTTATTATCAATATTGGAACAAGAGTCAGTTTAGCTTTTAAATCATGTGTGGGATCTTAGGGGTTGTGTTAGCCAATCAACATTTAAATGTTGCACCAGAATTATTTGAAGGGGCAATGTTTTTACAACATAGAGGTCAAGATGCAGCAGGTATTGCAACTTGTGGATCAAAAGGTAGATTATATCAATGTAAAGGTAATGGTATGGCCCGTGATGTTTTCACTCAACAAAGAATGAATAATTTGGTTGGTAATTATGGGATCTGTCATTTACGTTATCCAACTGCTGGTTAAAGTGCTGGTAGTGAAGCTCAACCATTTTATGTTAATTCGTGGG